ACAACAGTAACAGTTACGTCCCCATCAGAGGCCGTAATAGTAAATGTCTCAGTATCGGTTCCTGTCCATATGAGAGTGGTGGTTGTAGTAACAGGACAATAAGAAGAATCGGTTGTGTTCAACTCATAGAAAGGAAGATCAGAATCAGTGACATATGTACCGTCGGGTAAGGTCATAGAAATATTGAGGATACCGTCCCCTGTGTAACCGTTATAAAAAAGTATCTTGATGGGATAATACACGCCAGCCTTAAGTTGGTATTGTGCAGACGCTGTCTCGGGCAGATAGAAATTATTGGCAAACAGGTAGGAACTGTCTCCTGCTGTATATGCAATGTTTGTATCACTGCAGCAGGTAAATCCGTTTCCATTTCCAAGTGTTAAAGCCCCAGCATTGTTATAATTTGCCAGAATGGTGTAAGTTCCTGACTCAGAAGCATATAGGTAACCTGTAAGTCTCACTCCTATCTTTTCGGTGTTCACAGAACAACCATAAAGACTCTTAGTTAGCCCAATCTCGTCCACGGTATAGATGAAGTTAACATCATCACCTGTATTACCAGTACAAACAACGTTTTCTTTGTCCATTCTTTCAAAAAGGGTCTCGAAAGATGGTTGATCATTAGTTATCTCGTCTGTATTTACACTGACGAACTCAGACTTTAAACCCCGTATAAGGTCACTTGTGGTGGGAGAACACCCTCCCACATCAACAGCGGCACATAATATTGGTGTCAAGAATACCAAGCCACTTAATATGCTAGTGAGTCTCATCAGAACAATTTGAATACAATTAGGGTATTTCGTTGACTATATATCCACTTATGGGCAAATGAGAATGACTAGACTTGGGAAGCTTCCGAATAATATCTATTAATGTTTTGGGCAGCTACTGAAGTACAATATCCTGGAAGGAAAAAATAATGAACAAACTATTGCCAAAAATTGGTACTTTCATTTTGGAATATGTGCTTGATAAAAGGTTAAACAAACCTTAATAATGAAGTGAAAGGGTGACACTTCTGAAAGGGTAGAGACTTATACCTAAGGGGGACCAGTTTTACTACAAGGGGTAGTTTCATTAGGCACCCAGACAAAAATGACCATTGGTTTAGAAAACTTAGCTAAAAGGGTAACTAGAAGTTGATTCAGGTTCTATCGTCGTCAAACCAAACTACTTTGTTATTCTCAATGCAGCAACTTACTTGTCGCTAAAGGTATCTTGATCCAAAAACAAATTTATATAATCCAACGATATAGGGGCTTTACCCTATTTTCACTTAAAGAGTGCAGCTAACTATATACAGTGCTACAGAGCCTGAAAGTACAATCCAAAACGTCTAAATGTTTCCGGTCATGCTACATGCGGTCTAACGGACAGCCAGTTGATTGCACCATTTAGGGAATTGGATAATAAAAAATGTTGAACTTCACAATGGGCCAAGACCACGATGCTCTGAATTAAGAAAAACCAGGGAGGCGGCCTATTGTTGGCCAAAAAATAATCTCGCATACCAAGGTCACGGGATATGCAACCTTAAAGGGGGTAGTCATTTTTATGTGACCCACTACCCGTCGAAGGGCAGGTTTTTACAAATGGGGTCGTATACCCGGCCATTAATCCTCTTAGGAATATGTTGAGCTGGCTCTAAATGCCAACTTGTCCCCATACGATAGAGACTAATATGGCCTTGAAGTTTGGTGTCTTGTCATCCACGCCTAAAAAAGAAAATTTTGACTCGCTTCCGCCAGCCAGCTCAGCAGCCTTGGGCAACTTGAGATTCTTTAATGACATGTCCTTTACATTTTTCTATCGAGTGTTGATATTGGCCGACTATACTACCAGCATTGGCGTATGTTCAGGTGCAAGGAGATGATATAAAAGATCTGAAGAAGCTCTGGTCACTTGCTGAGGTTTTCAAACATTGCTAGCCATATCAGAGGGCCCCCAAAGATTGATTATCTCTCCGGTTATGATGTTTTATCGTCACCTAAAACAACCGCAGGGTTTTGATTATCAGCGAGTCTAGCTAAAAAAAACATGCTGACAAGTGTGAATAGAGTGCGTATAGTGCAGCACACAAAGATGCACAGCGTCAGTCATAGTAAGAGGTTAGATTAATAATATAATTATAGGCTGGTTTGTGCAAGAAGAGGACAATGTGATCTAATAAGCTTCAAAAATGGCGTAGTATAAGAGGTGCAATGCTGTTTTTTTAGTTGGCGAATTCAACTCGGCTGTCACTACTTTGTTATTCAGGTTGATATACCTATCCGCCTTCGAATACGATAAACTAGGAAAACTGAGGTGTATGAAATCTATCCTGCATCTGATTATGAACAATGCCCCTATCTTTGGCATTCCGTAAACTGCATAGTGTGTGAACTGTACGCAGTAACATTTAAAGTATATGGTTACGAAACAGGTTCATCCACTACCTTCCTTCCTTGTTTGTTGTGTGCAGTCACACTGTAGCCTTGATCCTGACGCACACACTCCATCACCCACGGTAGAAGATTTCTTGTTAGAAAAAGGTTACTTGGAGAGGAGTAGCTACTTCTTTAGGTAAGATATTTGTATTCCTGGTACCTCAGCTGGTATGCACTACAAGTAAGTTCCGAAGAAAGATACGAACAAAAGATTTTGTACCCCGATTAGCTCCTTTAACTGAAATTGACTTACCCGTTTGCCATCCAAGCATCTCATTGGGGGAAACAAGATATCTAGTATGGTAAACGAATGGTCCCCTAAGTAGACTTTCTCACTTTTGGGGAGAGTCGTTATTAAACCGCATAATTAAACTTTTTTTCTCTTTTTACAAACTATTACAAGGTGGAAGTTTTCGGTTATGAAGATCCCTTTCAACCTGTCCATCTCCCCAATGAGGTAGTTGCACTGTAGAACTCATTTCCAACTCATAATCCCAACTATTCAACAAAGATTGCTCTTATTGAAGCAAATTAGATCCGTTAAAGACGAAACGAGCAGAGGAGCAGACGAGCTGAGAATTGAAAATTTGCAAGAAAACCTTCAAAGGATCGTTGACGATATGAGCAATGATGACTTGATCCAATACAACGACCAGGATGAAGCTTCAGATCCCGGTGGAAACTTGGACGACAATAAGGGCAAAGGTAACGATGATGATCAGTTGGGCCCCGATCTCAATAAATTGACGCAGGAACCTTCACTTCAACTTACAATACCGCATGGCCTGATGGTAAACCAACTGTAGTCGTTCAAACACCTGAACCAGTTGTCACCGAAAAATATGACATCACCATCATCTTACCATGCACCTGCGAAGAGCCTTCAACCATCACAACAACTGGTGCTAAAGGTAGTGGTGCTAAAGGTAGAGGTTCTGAACCGGTTTCAGCAGGTAATGGCTCTGACACTTCGACACAAGAAATATCTACTTACGAGGGTATGGGCTCAAAGAACACATAAACATTCTTAGCTGTGATATCTGCTCTTTTGTGGATTTCATGTTGAATCTATCCAATTGAACCTTGGTGTGATTTATACATGAGAAACGTGGTAGTTTATCAATGTTTGGTTATTATGATTCCTCTTTGTTTAGCTATTTCGCTTGCCATGATCTGTTACTGTAGTAATGTATGCTTTCATGGTTTAATAACAGAACACATATAGCAACGGTAACGAGTATCCAGTCACAAACCGGTCCCCACGCATTCAAGATTTGAAGAAACGGGACACAAATCTGCATTGAATCAAGATCTAACCCGTCCACTAATCAGCCTTGCTGTTGTTGACTACAACTACTTATCGACGAACCAGGATTATCGGACTCTCGTTAATACAAAGAGTTTCTCAGCGTTTTCGCGAAATCTCCAAGACAAAATGAAAATAATTGAGGGAACCTGCGAATTGAAGAGAGGATAGACATGTCATAGTTACTCAGGTTCCTAGCGGTAGCAAGATTATCAGGGCGACTGGAAATTTGGGATAGTGGGAGTCCAATATTGACCATAATTCTTTACCAACCACGCGTGGAAACTTCAACAAACAAAATAGTTCACACAACCAGCTTTGCAATTAGTGTGCCAACCGAAACCAACTTCTATCAGTTTTCCTTTTGTGATGGGCCACATAAATGACAATTAACACCACAATGAACAGTCCAAGGGTGTGCTCAGCTCCAGACCCCGATACTGAAACAATTCGATTCAGGTTTCGAGAGGTTCCAGACTCTTCACTTGCAACCATCACAGGGTGTTTCAGCACCTTGACAGAACTAATAATTATTCACGAGAGCTTAACAGCTTTTGAATTTCGGAAACCTTATCCTCACTGGGAGCTGATCATTATGCTTGTGCTTTCAGATCATAAATATAAGATAGATTCGTCCCTATTAATCGAGTTTCCGAATATAAAGCGTTATAGCCTGTTCGCTTGGTTCTTATGTATATTTTAGACGAAGTACGAAACGAAATAATCTAAGCATCTGCTGAAACCATTGATAATCAGCAAGATGACAAAAAATTTTATAAATAAGTTTTATGAAAAGTAAAACTAAGTAATGGTGATATTGAGTTCAGAAGGAATCCATTCATCCTGAGAGTTGTAGTCAGCGTGGTTTTGCTTCAACAAGTTCTCTGGAACTTTGTCAAGGTGTTCCTTGTCTTCCACAATAACACCTCCCATACCCATTGCCAAGTGAGTTTGGATGTGACAATGAACCATAGCGATATTGTTACTAGCAATAAATCGGATAATAGCGTATCCGCCTGTAATAACAGCAACATTGTCCACATATGCAGGGTCCTCGAAATTAAATAAGTCGTCGCTTCCATCTTCAAGAGCCTCTTCAGTAGTATTGTAGGCGAAGGTACTAACGGTATCATTTTTAGCAATAACCCAGAAAGTGTGTCCGTGCAAGTGCATTGGGTGATCTGCAAGTGGAGTGTTTTGGAAAATGATATCAACAACATCACCCTCCTTGATTCCAGCATCTACAACTGAACCTCCGAAGGCTTGAGTAGCATTAATGGAATCATTACCTTGAAGCTTGAACAAAATTGGATAGTTCATTTCCATACCACCATCAAAAGCAACCCCATTGAAGATGGTGAAAGTAGTGGAACCAGGACGAGTCAATTCAGCTTGAATGGTAACATCAGCAGCACCGGTTGGTGGCTTGAGAGTGCTATCGAGAGGACTAGAACTGAATGGATCGAACTTGATGAAACTTGAGTCTAACAAGTCACCAGCCAAGTTGTTGTGTAGAACACCGTTGGTATCTTCAATAGCAACGCTCTCTTGCACGTACTGATACGTTTCGTTACTGTAAGAACCATATTGCAAGTAAGCAAGACCAGTGTAGAGTTGGGGCATATCATCACCTTGGACTCTGATAGCAAAAGGCTCATCAGTATTTTCGTGTTCATCTTCCACGGTCTTAATAGCAACCGTAACTCTTAATCCAATTGGCAAATAGAGTTGTTGGACTACTTTAGGGTGAATATAAGAACCATCAATAGCAACAACAGTCAAATTATGGTCATCGACACTCAATGTCTTGGAGAATTCACCCCCCATGTTAATAAGGTTGAAGAAGACATAGTCCTCATCGTTGGTATAGTATACTTCTTGGTCAACCGTAGAGTTGAAACACTCAGTGTTAGTTCCTGGGAATTCTAACAAGGTGGTGTTGTATTCAATAGATGTGAAACCGTTAAGAGTTCCAAGGTCCATACAACCGAAGGAATCCATGTGCCAAGTATCAGCACCGGTAGCACCCATATATTTTTCGTATTTGGTAGCACCTTGGCTGGCAAAAGTACTGTTGGGGAAACAATAGTGGCGACCTTTACCGTTGATCAACAAAGATTGAACACAAGATGGGTCCATACCATAAGCGAACATCTTGACAGCAATTTCATCGTAGGTTTCCTTAAACCAGTCACTGAGTATAAGATAGTTTGGCTTCTTTTCTAATCTGTTCAAAAGAGACAACTCGTCAGTATCGTTAGTTATTTCACCATAAGGTCTTCCAACCTCATCAGAAGGGTTGATATAAATTGGTCCTATGATACCGTCGTTAGCATAAGCTCTGTAATGAGCATGGTACCAGTAGAATCCGTATTGATCCATCTTCCACACGTAGGTGTAAGTATCACCACTTAAAATAGGCCATTGAGTAACGCCTGGAACACCGTCAGAGAAAATAGTTCCGTTTTGGTGGATACCGTGAAAGTGGATGGTGATTGGAACCGTTAAGAAGTTGTTGACCTTGATCACAACCCAGTCACCTTGGTTTCCATCAATAAGAGGACCAGGAGATTCCCCATTAATCAAAAAACCTCTACGGTAGTGACCATCGGGCATCACCTCTGTTTCAGTCAAGTTCCATACTTGGTAGTTGACGGTGGCGCCACTTGGAATTAAGTCCAAGTTAGACTTCAATCTCTTCAGTCTTTTTTCAAGGGGCTCAGATAAGTCCGAGGAATCTTGCACCCCTCTAATTTCTAAAGCAGGAGCTGCATTACTTTCAACTTTCTCAGAAAGCGCAAAACCACAAAGAGAAAGGGCCACTAAAGCAAAAGTAGAAATCTTCACCATCTTGGTTCCTATGTAAAAAATGATGGAAAATGCCCCTTATATATGCTGAAATAAAAACCGGTAGGTCGGGATTGTGGTGGGCCTTGTTGAAAATGTACTGTACTGACTAAAACATTATAAACACATTATAAACAAGCTATTGCATTGAAAAGGAGGTGAAATGTCGCATTACTAATGTTTTGGTCTCGGAACAATAGGGTTTTTGAATAAACATGCAGGAGTGAGGTTAAAGCATGCAGATAGATAGGAAGGTGAAAACAAGTAAATAATCATCAGATAGTCATCATTTGGCTCTCTGGAGAGCAAAAATAACACTCCCCACTAATGTCGGCATTGTAACTCAATGATTACAAGTCGCTTTGGCGAGAGACAGTAGTCTGAAACTAATAAACAGATGAGTGCAAAGAATCAGTGAATCTCACATCTTGGCGGCTAAATGCAGAGGAATGCATAATAGAACAATTGATGCCATCTGAGACGTATATCCAGGATCCGGCATACACAAGAATACCGATTTTTGTGCTTTTATGTGTGGGCAAAACAGTGCTGAAGTGCCGGGAGCTGAAATCAGAGTTCTTTCAGCTAAGCTATGTGTAATAAAATTTACAAGAAAAACCCCAAGGAAAGCACTGATAGAGGGACCTGAATGGGTTTATCTCGGTTATTTTGCATTTTTATAAAAATAAATACTTTGACGCCGTTAATGCAGCGAGGCTCAAAATTTTCAGTCGGTCGGAAGTGCCACCACTTTAACCGATGACTAGTCGAACCAAGCACTGAATGTTTGACATCAACTAGCTAATTGAGCCAAGCGTATATGTTCATGAGAACTAACATTGAGAGCACGGTCTTTTGGATGTGCAGATTTAAACTACCAATGCTTAAAACCATAGTGTTAAAACCGCTTCTAAACATATAGTGCCGTGGAATTTCAACATAAAAAGTTTTTTTTGCGAAAAAACTAGCCGCCTGTTCGATGTTATTGTAGGGCTTTATTGTGTAGTTCCATGCAAGAACATCTAATCATCCAATCCAGTAGCATTCTATGTTTTGATTTCTGATTGTATCTCATTGAGATAATACAGTACTAGTTGATAATCACACCTAAGCTTTACACACTTCGTCTAGGTCACTCGTCTTATGGTCATGAGGTCTCCTACCATCGCTGGTACCTGTAACGTTGTGCAGTGCTTGAATCTTGCGGCTAGCAATTTTAACGAAGTGCTTCCTTCTTGCAGGGGCCTGAGCACTGCGTTCCTTCGGACAATTAAACTTAAGGAAGAGTATCCGTTTCAAGCCTTCGTAATTTAGTTGTCGGACTTTTCAACTTTATTCGATGGGGTATCCTGTTGGGGGTCTGTGTAAGCCAGAGGCATTGTTTGACACATTTCCTGTGATTTGAAGGGTGTAGAACAGCAGCGTACAATAGTGGAGGACAATAGTAGATGACAGTAGTTGAGGACTAGATGAGAATTTAGTTAGACATATGGCTTCTTACTGGAACTCAAGTGCAACTCGGGTTCAATACAAGATTACAGGGAAGAAGGGTCCTTTTTACGCATAATATTCTCGGAAGTTTGTCTTTCAAGCACTTTCACACAATCGTTGTTCTCTGGTGTTTCCCAATCATATTGCTCTATTATACCTCCCGCTCATATTTGTGTTCGTTTCCCAATGATTACACTATTCCCTTTAGCTAGCAAAGTTAAAATTTCTCCCCAGTCGCGATCACAGCTTATCGTTAAAACAGTAACCTACACCAGTTTGGAATAGCTTCATACATCCACTCACATGGAAAAGTTACAGATAACTACTGTTGATAACGTTGTGTTATCACGACGTGGTTACTGTATATCTGGTACATTGACTTTATCCACTTATCATCTTGTATTCAGTTTCCGTCCGTCAGCCTCAAATGAACTATCACCTTCAAAAGAAATATGGATATGTTATCCCATAATCGACAAGATGACCAAGTCTCGGGGATCCTCATTGCACTCTTCTAGGAACAATCAGTTTAGTGTTCTTCCCAACGGGGAATTGAAAGATAGTCAATTGGCTGAATCATACAAGAATACTGCAATTGATCACTACTCCGCTTCTAATATTCGGATTCAGTGTAAGGATTTCACGTTCTATTCCTTTGATTTCGTCAACGAAATGACGTGCAAGGAAGTTTTTCTCAAGCTAAGTGCCTTGATAACTGTTCCCAAAGTTCAAAAAGATATTAAATCATTCTATGCATTTTACTATAAGGCCAATTCCATGGAGTTGAACCTAACACCGAAAGGGTGGGATATCTATGATCCAGTATCTGAATATAGACGATTGGATTTGTTTAAGGATGATGGGTCTGCACTGTTCTGGAGGATTACTAATGTGAATGAACAGTATAAGCTTTGCCCATCATATCCTAGTGTTATTGTCGTGCCATCGTCGATTTCTGATAATGTGGTAAAACATGCTTCGAAATTCCGATCAAAACAGAGAATCCCAGCAATCGTATATAAACACCGCCTCAGTCCCAATGGAAACGTTATCGTTAGGTGTTCTCAGCCATTGGTGGGGATCAACATCCAAAATAGATCCATCCAGGATGAAAAGTTGATTGGGGAGATATTCAAATCACAGGAATCCGAACGGCTTGAGAAGTTGAACATAGATAGTGAGTTCATTGACCAGCCCCAAAGAAACTTAATTGTTGATTTACGTCCGATAACAAATGCTATGGCTCAACATGCCTTGGGAGCTGGAACAGAGAACATCGATTATTACCGAGGTGACCGCTTGCCTATTGATAAGGAAAATGGGTCATCAAACCAAGAAGCTACTACAAGAAATGTTGACAAAATTTTTGGGAATATCGATAACATTCATGTGATTAGAGATTCCTTGAATAAGTTAACAAATGCATTAAATGACTTGGACCAGTTTCCCGTGTCTGTTGGCGCAGATAGCGAGCAAGTCTCGTATCTGGCGTTGCAGCTGTCACTTTCCAAATCACAATGGTTGCATAGGATATCCATCATTCTTCAATCGGTGGATAGAATTACCAAGTCCATTCATTTGAATAATACCAATGTAGTTATTCATTGTTCCGATGGTTGGGATAGAACTTCCCAAGTATCAGCATTACTGCAATTATGCCTTGATCCTTATTACCGGACTCTTCATGGGTTTATGATTTTAATTGAGAAGGAGTGGGTCAGCTTTGGATTCAAATTCAACACTCGTGCCGATCATGGCGGGTGTATTGGGGCCGTAATGCCCAAACCAGTGCATGATTCTTCTGAGTTTAATGATGATAGTGAGCTTCCAAATGGATCTGCAAGAAGTGTAGCCTCATTTCTACAAAAGGCTGCTAACAAAGCAGCAACCCGAATCAGAAATACTGCTGTTGCTGCTGCCGAAGCTGCTACCAACAGTAATTCGTCATCTACAGTTGATTTGAATATCAACAACAATAGTAGCACTTCAGAACCCACCCCGGAAGCTTCAGACTCCAATGGAGGAGGATCATTCTCAGGACACGCATACGGAGGAAGTAACGAGAAGTCGCCAGTATTTCACCAGTTTTTGGACTGTGTTTATCAGATCTACAAACAGCATCCACAACAGTTTGAGTTCAACAGCAGGTTTCTTAAACGGTTGTTCTATCACTATTACTCGTGCCAATATGGACTGTTTGTATGTGATTCTGAACGAGAATTAAAGATGAATCATAAATTACACGAAAGCACCGTTTCCGTATGGGACTACTTCAATTCTCGATCTAAGGAGTTTATCAATCCCTCTTATGAACGGAAAGATGAAGTGGTGTTTTTCAATTATAGTGATGTTAAATGGTGGACCGAGTTGTATGGTAGATCAGACGAAGAGATGAACGGGTTATCCAACTCGCTCGACCGTAAATTTGCAAAAATCAACTTGACCAAGTAGCATAAATAGATCAACAACATACAAGCTGCAACATCTAACACTATCTTTTGTGATAGTGATGTAAATACAAATAATGGTTTTGGGCATATGTCGCTTTTGATTCGTTGCGAATCACGATCAATAAAGTTAAGCCTCTCGGAAGATTAAACGAAGTTGTGTTTCATGCTCATTATGCCTTCCAAACTTACCAAGCGATTCAAATCGTGCTCCGGTAAGTGTCACTAACTATACCCGGCTCGGGCTAAATTATCCTTGCTCCAGCTGATGTTTTGAGCATTTTTCCAAGCTCCATAACAATACTTGTGTTTTCGAACCCCCCTAAATAGCTGTATGACTTCATCCCACTGATGGAGGTGTCGAACTACTTGTGCTTCCCTCATACCGTGGTCTTCAAGCCAAATCGGCACCTTATGGCTGTAGTTGGACGTGTTACCTCAGACCACCTCCAGTAAAATTACCCCAAACTTATCCTGCATATTGCATAAGTAGGGATTTTCAAATTTGGAGCAACCCACATAACAGAACGAGAAAGAAAAAATAATCCAAATCCCATCCACAAACACCCATAGTGATTTGTAGATTATGGGGAACAACACGTCACAAATCCGTCGCTCGTCGGTCACCTACAATGAGTCGAATGTCCGGAGGTCCACCACGTCTTCTCAGCGACCCGATCACCAGAATCTTGATGAGGAGTTCAGTGACCTCATTCTTCACGAGGTCAAAAAAGATCAAGATATCCGGCAACAGAATCTATTCAATCAGTCTGTCGCGGTTCCCGAGTCACTAAACAGGCACCCTTCCCTCAAATACAACCAGTTTCTGAACGATTTGATAGAAGATGAGTTTAATGAATTGAAGGATTTAATTGAAACAGACGAGGCTGAACTTACCAGAAACATCATCCCTAACGACAAAGACGTCCATAAAGACGATGATGATGACGATATGATTGGCGTGGACGAGAACGATACCACTTTGGTGGTGAATAACCACAATGAGGTCGACGACAACATGGACGTAGATTATGCTAATCACGCTTCTGGTTCTACGACAGTTGAAACTGTCACACCTGATTTGTCTTCGGTTGATTTCACCAAGATCGTCGCCAACGCATCTCCTGGAGCTGCTGCCCGGCTGCCCGTGGGTGGCTATAGGTCCAAGCCCACGGTACAACCCATGACGATCAACTCCAGTGGCAGTACCACCAATAGCCATGGGGGTATTGTGGACGTGAACAGCAACGGGATTGTACCAGTGGAGATCAAGTGGGTCAATGTGCTCAAGGAGAACATCCAAAAAGTTTCAATCATCGGGTCCTTCTCCAATTGGAGGAACATCATCCGATTAAAACCCTTACCCCATCTTCCAAACGAGTATGTGGTGACAATCAGATTACCTTTGGGGGTTCACAAGTTGTTATACATCATCAACAATGAATATAGGGTCAGTGACCAGCTCCCCACCGCCACTGATCTGGAAGGGATTTTCTTCAACTGGTTTGAGGTTTTGGATGGTCTGCACTTGTTCAATCACTCCCAAAATCAACCCGATCGGATAGTCTCGGCTTCTACAAAGTACGATGCTAACATCATCCAATCTGCTGGTCAGCATGAGATCGGAGAGATCCAAAGAAAGTCCCATAGCTTCCTAACCAAAATCAGTAAAGAGGATCATCCAAATGTTGAGCATTTAGAATATAGGGAAGACCCTTACGAAGCTGATGAAATGCAACAAGAAATGCAGAAAGAGTTGTTACAGCAAAATCCCCTGGCCCATGTTCCTGCGCTGGTCCACTCCTCGTCTCCTGACAAAAACCACCATCCTAATGAACCATATATATTAATGTCGGACAACAATTCGTCTTCGTTTTTGCTTCAGCAGCGAACCAACAATCAGATAGAGTATTCTGGGGAAATTCCTGAGATATTTGTCAACTATAGTTACTTCAAAAGCCAGAATTCCAATTTCGAATTGCCCGAACCTCCGCAGTTACCAGCTCATCTTAACAACGTTTTGTTAAATAAGCTATCCAATCACAACAATAGCAATACCCAGTTACCTGCCCACAATACTTCATATCCTCCACATACTCATAATTATTCCTCAGACAACGGGACTATGCCTCAATTGGATACATTCAAACCTCCTAGTGCCTCATTCATGGGTGAGCTGTCGAGCAGTAAGAGGCCGCCATTAAGAAGGGCTGACTCTTCATACTACGCATCAAATCAAGAAGCCTATCACCTTTCAATCCCCAATCATGTAATTTTAAACCATTTAATGACTACTTCCATTAGGAATGATGTGCTAACTGTCGCTTGTATTACCCGGTACTCAGGTAAATTTGTAACTCAAATAATGCATTCCCCAGCTGACTCATTGTCAGGTGAAAGCTGAGAGTTTGAGTAATATAAATTATTTTAGGTGTATATAGTAGAATCTAATCAGTTGGATTTGCAATTTGTAATACGCAAGCGGTTTTTGCGGGATAAAAATATATGATACACAATTGAAACATTTCTGAAACATCCACAAAAGCCTCACCAATTTCTGTTATATATTCGGCAATTTCCCTTCACCCCATTGCATTCATTCCACTAAGTTGAACCATGTCGTGGAATGGGCTTAAGAAGGCCATCAACAGAGCTGGTACTCAAGTAAAAGTTAGGACCGGACAGATTGATCAAACTGTTGACAGACAATTTGACTTTGAAGAAAAGCGGTTCAAAACAATGGAAACCAACTCCCTCAAACTCCAGAAAGAGTTGAAGCACTACCTTGACTCGTTGCGGATATTGACCAGTGCCCAGATGAATGTGGCTGAAGTGTTGAAATCGTTCTATGGAGAGGATGATATAGTGACTGCTCGAGACAAAATAGAGAAGGGAGTCAATCCTGATAACTTCAGCGAGGAATACTACAACGTCACGAAGGACTTGAACGATAACGTTTTGGCATCATTAGAGGGTCCTTATAACCAGACCATCTTGAATCTGGTTGCCCGCTTCAACTCCTATTTCATTGAAATCAACGATGCCATTAAGAAACGAGCCAACAAGAAGCTCGACTATGACGCCATGAAGAAGAAGCTTCAAACTATGGTAGAAAATCCCAAGTCCAACGAGATCAACACCAATGAATATGAAGCCAAATTACTGGAAATCAAGAGTGAATTGGAAGATAAGAGAGCCATGTATGAAAATTTGAATGACAAGCTCAAACAAGAGTTGCCGCAGTTGATCAACTTACGTGTCCCATTTTTGAACCCCTCGTTCGAAAGTTTCATCAAGCTCCAATTGCGGTTTTTTAACGAAGGTTATTCCAGTTTGAATAATCTTCAATTGCGGTTGGATGCAAATTTGAGACAAGACTACATTAACGGAAACTTGGAATCTAGACTCGACGACGTGTTGATGAAAATGCGGGAGTTAAATATCACTGGTTCCAGGTGAATACTTCTATATAGTCTTATTCCTTTATATGTTAAGCACTTATGATAAATGAATTCTATCCCGGCGACTTGTCGTAGTAAATTTGGGCCGACGAGGAAGATCCCGCGAACATTTGCTCGGCTGTTATCAGAAATATTTAAGGATACTATCAAATACTGCAAAATAAGGAATGCTAAGTAGGAAAAAACTCTCCGGAGACTACCCGCATGACCCAGGGATGAGTGACTCTTTCTGGGCAAGACATGTGGAAATTTGTACAAAAATTAATGGCAAAAGATATCCCGTTCCTTCATCAGTCGTCAATAGCTTGCTCAAGTCTTTTGATCAACGCAATCTCCCACGTCCTTCCACAACCCAAATACAAGCATTGATGAATTCTCCGTCAGCAAATGGAGAGGCTTCAAAAGCTTATACTCTAATCCGCTATTACCAAGTTAGTCAGCAGGGTCTTTTTGTTACCAATGAAAACACCGATAAGTTTGGGACCACGATAAAGTACACTGGAGCAGAAAACTGGGAATCCGTAATGTGCTATATGGATGCTTTATTGTTTGCAATGTTTGCCAATTTGGACAGCTTCGAGCCAATGTTGTTTTTGTCCAACCAAAGTCAGAACATTCTAGTCAACCGACTTTCGAATTTGTTACGGGTTTATGTGAATCTCTTGAGAACTGGGAATTTGATCAAAACCGATTTGACCATTAGGATTTGTGAAACTTTGCATCAGCTTGGGTTTACGGAGGCAATGTCTCATAAGCAGCAGGATGCCTCGCCATTATTCGAGTTTTTGGCCGAAACCTTAAGTATGCCGCTTTTAACTTTTAAGATAGACATTCAACATGGAGGGAAATTCAATGAGGAGGATGACAGGAAATACTCTAAAGAAAGAATGTTATTTGTGAGTATTCCAGAGGTTGTATCTGGGGAGTCGAACAATGAGAACGAGATTCTTCTTGAGGAATGTCTTGAGCACTATTTCAATAATTCCATTAACGTCAAAAGGGAACTAGAAAGACGAGCCACTATGGAAAGTTCCAAAAACCACAAACCTTTTACAGAAATGATTGAAACTGTTGAAGATCCAACTGAATTAACTCATGAATCAGGCTCAATTTCAAAGGGTAGCAGTCGTATCCAAGTAAGGACCAGATCCTCCACATTATCTATTTGGACTGTTAATGACAATGAACCCAATTCAAAACCTAAAGAAGTGAGCTTACCAGCTTGGATGTTTTTAAGGTTATTACCATTTTACACCGATGATAATGATGTTTCAGTTTCGGAAAATGGCAAGACTGACAGTATTGCTAAGGGTTCTAGAGAGTTTGCCAAACGGAGGCCCGTCCTCCCAATCTGCTTGAAGAGATATTCCTTTGAAAACAAGAGAGCTAATAGGCTGCAAGTCAAGGTCATCATCCCACCGGTGATTAACTTACCGTCATTTGTGGCTGATGAGAATGATGATAATAAGACATCACATAACTATAAATTAATTCTAGAGAGTGCCATTTGCCATAGGGGAACCTCCACTACGTCTGGTCATTTTGTTGCTGCTGTCAGAAGGAACTACCAACGAGTTAATGAGACTGATGATGAATCATACTGTGCTGAATGGTATCTCTATGATGATTTACACAAGCCAAAAGTAGTCGAGAAATCCTTTAAGGAAATCTTTAACACTGAATGGCCTTACATTTTATTTTACCGGTTGATATCTTATGAGGAATCTGAGTCATCGGCAAACAGCATCCGTTCTGGTCAAAGTTCCACGAACTCTCCAAGAGTGATTATCCCTCAAGGTTCCAAATCCAAATACTGGCAGGAAGATACTCTCTCACCAATTCTTTCTGCTTCCAACTCTCCTTCTTTCAAGTCTGAAAGTGCTATTGACAGCCTCAACAAATCTTTAACGAATATGAGTGCCAATAGTGAAGGGGGAAGCGACACTGCTCCACCCGAGTCTAAACATGTGGATATCAGAGATAGGTATTACTGGTATATACCTGATCTGAATATGGACTATTACAAGGAAGACTCTCTTTCTAAGGTCAGTACTAGACGAACTAGTTTTACAGCCCCATTTCGTAAAAACAGTCAGTGGAGTGAAACCTCGGCTACCAATACAAAGTCTGAAACCTCAGCTATCAATACAAAGTCGCCAACTGTGGATACCAAGTCTCAAGAGACACCCTCACCTTCTGGCTCAATGTGGAGGTTCAAGTCCAAAAACAAGTCCAAGAGTCCTCCGTTGGAAACCCATGAAATTGAAAGTATGGTTTCTCATATGAGCTTAACCAACCCCGAACCTCATATAGAGACTATCACCGATGTACATTCAAACCCTGAGCGATCGAAAATTGACACTCGCCATCATCACCACATTCTTCATAGACATAATCATGATGAGATCAATAATTCATATAAACGATCTAGGTCAATGAGAGAAGCATATAGAAAAGAGAAGTGCATTATCTGTTAGCTTCACAGTCATTAATTATATAATATTACATTAAATACATTCAATCACAGTAGTAGATTGCTCCATCTGTTCCGGCTGCTGCTACTTTACTCTGCTCTTGTGGATGAAATTTCACCGTGCTGATCAACCTTTTGGAAAGGTTTAGCTTTTTCACCACTTTCCCGGAATTCCAATCCCACAATAAAATATTTCCCTTCGAATCCCCTGCAACGAGAATCTTTCCATCGGGGGAGATATCAATTTCGATCTTGTATCCAGTAACGTTTTCATTCTTGAACACTTTTTTCTTAAACTTGAACTTTCCTTCCCCATCTATAACCTGAATCGCATTGTTCATATTTTGGAGAGCAATATACTCCTCACTGGGTGGGACACATAAAGCAGAAGAAACAGCATATTGTGTTGGGTGTGTTACAGTTTTGACGGGAATATTTATTCCCCAACTCCAAATTCTTATAGACTTGTCATCAGACAGCGATAAGAACTTATTTCCATGTTGTATAACACACAAAGCATTGATGGAGCCCACATGGTGATCATAAGTTTGGAGTAGGTTATGGGAGGTTCCTTCAATGTCATAGTGTTCTATATTACTGTTCATTAGCCCTACTAGAAATTCATTGTCATTATTCGGGTTGAATTTCAAGACAGTAGGCACTGCTTGCACTTTTATTGTCTTCAATATAGTACCCGTTTCAGTATCCCAAAGTATCACCTTCTTGTCAAAAGAACAACTCAAGAACTTGTCTCCAGATAAATTGAAGGCTATGTCTTTCACAGCCTGAGAATGGCCATAGTACTCTCGAATCAACTCTTTTTTATGATACACGTCCCAAAGACGTACAATACTGTCATTTCCACAAGATAGTAACAAATGTCCAGAATTTGGAAAGAATTCAACCTTTGATACACCTGAATCATGTCCAGGAAATTTATGTACCACCTTCTTGGGTACAAAGCACTCTTGGGCTCCCGAAATCTTCATCAAGTTGATTTTGGGAAGCTGTGGAACATTCATGAAACTTCCACTATATTTGAACAGAGCGAAGTACTCTGTTGTGAGCTTGTTTTTTTGCTTTTTACCTTCTTCCTGTTTTTCTTGATCTGATTCTTCTTCCTCGTCTTGTTCATGTTGTTGTTCTAAATCTTCTTCTACTACCACTTCCTCTTCACTCTCTTCGAAATTGGCCCACGGTCCAAGATAATTGTCTTCTATATCACCTTCCTTTCTCTTTTTTTTCTGTCTAGCCTTCGACACATCCGGTTCTCTCAAGTGTCTCTTTGTGTGACCCTTATCAACATATACTCTGTGTGATGTTGCAACATCAAAACTAGGTGTTATTGATGTTTCAGATAGATCAGATAGATGCGGGCTATAGTCAATTACATGTTCCGAGAGCCTTGATAGTATCCCTTGCTTGGGCTGGGTATCGGAATCTGAATCAGACGAATATCCTTCTATTATGGCCATTGCAGCAAAACGCCGATTTGAGTTCGCGATGAGCATTGGCATTTTTTTAGTTTCACCGTAACCATGAGCAAGAGAAGAGTTGAAGAACCAGAAGATTCCGACATCGATGTCAGTTCCACTGATTCCGAAAACGAACAGGAAGAACAAATTGAACAAGAAGATGAAACTGTCAATGTCGACTTTGACTTTTTTGACCTTAATCCTGAGGTGGATTTCCATGCAACCAAGAACTTCTTGAGACAGTTATTTGGAGATGATTCGATTAAATTCGATCTTTCTGCTATTGCTGACTTGTTCTTGAAGGAAAATAGCGTGGGAACCACAATCAAAACCGAAGGTAAGGAAGGCGATCCGTTTGCATTATTATCAGTGATCAACTTGTCTGAAAATAAAGGTAACTCCAGCATCAAAGCAATCGTCGACTATGTTTTGGAGAAGACCACCAAGAATATGGAGTTCAACTACATGTTGAAGAAATTGATCAAAGAAAATGGGAAGATCACTAAAGACACTTCCAAGCAGTTGAAAACTGGGTTAATTGTAAGTGAAAGATTGATCAATATGCCAGTCGAAGTGGTTCCTCCAATGTACAAGATGTTGTTGGAAGAAATGGAGAAGTCCGAAGATGCCCATGAAAAGTACGAGTTTGACTACTTTTTGATCGTTTCCAAGGTATATGAAATGGTTGCATCGAATATTCAAGATGATGAAGACAACAAAAAACTGAAAAAGAAGAAGCCTGCTACTGAAGCTCAGGTCGAAATGGATTACTTTCACTACGAAGACCTCGTGTTGGAGGCCAATGCAATGTACCACGGCTATTACGAATACACCAATAAGCACCAAGAAACCGATTCAAGAAGAGTGTTTACTGAATATGGTATCGAACCAAAGTTGAGTGTAATCTTGATTGACAAAGACAGCTTGGCCAAGTCGGTTCCTGAGATGGAACAGAAATTCCCTCCATTTTAATCCAAAAATGTGTACATTAAGCATTTACATATTAAGTAATGAATATATCTATCGTAGTCAGATTGCTTCTGGATATTGTCCTATTCCCCTAATAAAGCTCTCACAATAATCACTATTATCAACTCAGCGATTGTCAACATTATTATTATAATTGCAAAAGCAATGCCCAACAATTGTTGGATCAAGAATTTGATGATATTACCTCTCAGTTTGGGCTTTGAGGCCACGTCAATCTCCTCGCTCATTTCAGTAAAACAAGTAGTGATTCCGGGTCTTTGGACCTTGTCTAAATTATCAAGACGTCTTCCTACTCCTTACAACTACCTGTTATCTGCTCTAAACCGATACGACTACTAACGGCTGCTAAATATTCAACCCGCGCTCGCTTTGACCCTCTACACGAATTTTCTGGCGTCTGAAAATGAGACGAAAATTTTTCAGATTCGTTAGACCTTAAAGGAAGTAAAAAGATGGCTCCACCACACAAGAACCATAATTTCCGCCCAGAGAACGTCTTGAAGCGTGCCGAAGACTTAATCGGTGTCGGAGAAGAAGAAGCTGCCTTAGAAACCTTGTATGAGTTGATCACCTCCAAGAGAATCCGTTATTTACAAGTTGAGGATTTAGAGCCTATTGCTTCGTTATTGATCAAGTTAGCGGTTGATTTAAGAAAAGGAAAGTTGGCCAAGGATGCTTTACATCAGTATAAGAAGAACATTCAAACGTCTGAAAATGGTTTGGAATCCGTTCAAGTTATCTGTCGTAGATTCATTGAATTAGCTGAGAAGAAGTTGAACGAAGCTCAAGCTAAGGCTGATATTAAAATCGATCAGGATGACGACGATTTGGAAACTTCCCAAACCCCAGAAAGTATTTTGTTATCTTCTGTATCCAACACCGACTCAGCTGACCGTACCGAACGAGAATTGGTGACGCCTTGGTTGAGATTCTTGTGGGAAGCCTTCAGAGCCGTTTTGGATATCTTGAGAAACAACTCCAAAATGGAGGTCACCTACTCTGCTGTTGTGAACCAAGCATTCCAATTTTGTCTCAAGTTCAACAGAAAATCCGAATTCAGAAGATTATGTGAATTGTTAAGAACCCATATGCAATCGGTAACTATTCAAACCAAAACTTCAAACACTAATGCTATTGACTTATCCGACAGTGAAACTGTTCAACGTTATTTGGACCAAAGATTTGCTCAGTTGAACATTTCTGTCAAGTTGGAATTATGGCAGGAATCATTCAGATCTGTCGATGATGTTCACAGCTTGATTATTTCATCGAAGAAGTCTCCTAAGGCAGTTATGATGGCCAACTACTACGAGAACTTGGCCAGAATATTTGCTGTTTCTGGAAATTCTTTGTTCCATGCTGCTGCTTGGAACAAGTTTTTCAACTTATACTCTCAGTCCCCAAATGCTACTGATGAAGAATTGAACCACTATGCTTCAATCTTGGTTTTGTCTACTTTGGCTATTCCACAGAAGTCTTTGAACAGTAACGAAACTATTGTTGATGACCAAAAGTCGAAGAACAGCAAGTTGTCTTCCTTGTTGAACTTGTCTCAAGTTCCAACCAGAGAAAGTTTGGTCAACTCGATTGTTAGTAGAAACATCTTGGCTTTTGTTGATCCTGTGATCAAGAAGTTGTTCAAGGTTTTAGAAGAAAGCGAATTCCATCCTTTGACTATCAAAGAAAAGGTCTCGGAAGTATTTAAAGTCATCGAAGAAGACAAGGACTACAAACAATACATTCCTACTTTGAGTGAAGTGATTTTGATTAAGTTGTACCAACAAGTCAGTCAAGTTTACGACAGCATCAAATTGGACTATTTGATCTCTTTGGGTATTTTTGAAAATACAGAATTCCAATTGACTTCTTTGGAAGTTGAAGGTTTACTTGTCAATGCTGTTAAGGAAGGCTATTTATCCTTAACCATTGACCATGAATCTAATGTTGTTTCCTTCAAGTCTGATCCATTTGAAGAATCCTTGAATGATTCTTTGACCTACAAATTGCAAGCTTCTCCAGCCGAATTAATCAGAACTCAATTGAGTAAATTGGCATTCACCTTGGCCAACTCTGTTAAAATTGTGGATCCTGAATACGAAGCTAAAGTCCAGAAGGCTAGGGAACTCAGCTTACAAGTGGCTATCAAGAATCTTGTCGATGAACAACAAGAAATCGCTAACCGTGCGGTTATCATGGATGAACGTAAACAGGTTCAAGACGTGTTGAAGAGAAAACAAGAAGAAATTGCCTCCAGGGAAAGACAAGAAAGGTTGGCCACTGAGCAGAAGGCTGAACAAGAAAGATTGGCGGCTGAGCAAGAAAGAAAGAGTCTCGATAGATTAGAAAGAGAAAAGCAGTTGATTCAACAACAAGAGAAGAAGAAAATTGCTGAAGAAATCAATGCTAAGGGTATTATTAAGATTGATATGAACAAATTGGATGAGTTGGATACCGATAAGTTACGTCAAATGCAAATTGAACAGTTGAACAAGGACAAGAAGGACTTGGAAGAAAAGATGAAGGTATTGTCCAAGAAGGTTGATCACACTGAAAGAGCTTTCAGACGTTACGAATTGCAATATATTCAGAAAGAAGCTGATTCCCAAAGAGATTTGGACTTGCAAGCTTATGAACAACTCAAACAAGCCAAGATTGCTAAGGCTAAAAGTGAGCACGAAAAGGCTTTGGAACTCAAGAACAGATTCTCTCGTATTCTCCCAGACTATGGTCATTACAAGACCATTATTGACTCTAAGAACAGGGAATCTTTAGCAAGAGCTAGGAAGGAAGCCCAAAAACATTTAGAAGCTGCCAAAAGAGAGAGATTAGAACAAGTTAAACATCAACGTATTGAAGAGTTGAGTATGATCAAGGAACAAGAAAGAGAAGAAGCTGAAGCTAGACAACGTAAAGTGAAGCAAGAAGAAGAAATGGCTAGATTGAAGGAAGAGTTGAGAATCCAAAGAGAAAAGGATGCTGAGGTTGCTAAGAGAAGACACGAGATGGAAGCTGAAATGGCAGCCAGAACCCAAGCTGGAACAGGCTCAACCCCTGCTTCTCCAGCTCCTTCTGCGTCTCCAGTTTATTCTGTTCCTCGTGCATCTCCTGGTCCTTTTGTCTCTAGGGCCTCCCCTGCTCAAGCATCTCCTGCTTCATCTCCTGCTCCACAATCTGATAAACCTCTTACCTATGCTGAAAGAATGAAGTTGAGAAGAATGAACGGTGGTAGATAAATGTTAATTATAGCTAATATGTAATATATTATTACCCATTGCAATTCATGGTACAGTACCGTTGAAAATCAAATTTGTACGGACGGTGCGACCGTTTTTTTTTAACCTTTAGTAACTCATCATGAGCAAAAGCATTACCATCATCGGCTCGTTGAACTATGACCTTGTAACGTACACAGACAAGGTTCCTGAAGGAGGTGAGACAATGCAGGCCAATTCTTTTGAAAATCACTTGGGTGGAAAGGGGTTGAATGAAGCAATTGCGGTTGCAAGATTATCATCCAAACAATCTACCATTCCTGTTAGAATGATAGGTAACATTGGAAATGATACATTCGGTAAAGAATTGAAACAAGCTTTGGTTGAGGCAGGTGTTGACACCCAATTCATCAAAACCATCGACGGGGTCTCGTCTGGGGTAGCAACTATTTTGGTTGAGTCTCAATCTGGAGAAAACCGTATTTTAATTACACCAGGTGCTAACGGGGAATTGAAGCCTAGTTACGAAAACTACGAGACTTACTTCCCGAACAAAAACCAAGAAGGTTTCGTCATTTTGCAAAACGAATACCCCAATACTGCCGAATCAATTGAATGGATTAAGACACATCGGTCAAAATTGAACATTGCATGGAACCCTTCACCATTCAAGCCAGACTTGATTAAGAGTGAAATCTTATCAAGAATCGATATGTTGATTGTCAACGAAGGTGAAGCTTTGGATGTAGCCAAACATCTTTTATCGTCTGAGGAGATTGTGGCATTTGATGAGAGTATTAAACAAGATAAAGTGAAAGGCTTTGGAGAGTTGGCTAGCAAATTGACCAAATTGATCAACCCGGCTAATATAAATCTTGTTATTATTACAATGGGAGGCCAAGGATCGCTTTTCTCCACTAAAAATGAAGAACCAACTTTTGAAAAGTCCGTCAAAGTAACTTCTGTGGTCGATACTACCGGAGCGGGTGATACCTTTTTTGGTGGAGTAGTAGTGAAGCTTGCATCTGGATTTTCCACTAGGGATGCAGTCAAGTTTGCAACCAAAGCAAGTGGTATTGTGATCCAGAAAAAAGGTGCTGTTGAGAGTATTCCATTATTGGAGGACATAAACTAAGTTCATAATATGTAATTTTATTCTAAAACCAATAAATACTATACATTAGAGACATAGACTAGAGTCCATTAACTGATATGTCTGTATAAGAATGACTTTTGTATGATTATGCCTTTCTAGACCGAACCTTAGATTCTGGTACTGGAGTGGCGTCTCTAGCACTAGTGTGGACATATTCGTTGACTTGAGCAGCAACACCGCCGCTAACAGACTTGACTCTCTTGGATCTTCTGGTAGTCTTCTTCTTGTAAACATCGATGTAGAAAGAGATGAACAAAACCAAGTACGAGGACAAAATACCACAACCCATGTAAGCAGCAGACATTTCACCCGTACAAGAACCACAGTATGGTAAAGAGCCACCCAAAAATTCATCAACAATCTTGTTATAAGTAGCAAAGTACACAAATCCCAAGTCCAAGATGAATTGAAGAATCTGGAATCTGGTGACCCATTCTTTCCACCAAACTCTAATACCTCTGGCTGCCAAAAAGTAGTAAAAGTACATCACCACGTGAACCCACAAGTTAAGAGTAATAGGAACCCAAGAAATGGCGGTCTTACCAGTTAATTGGGTGTAACACAACAAAGCAGTGGCACCATGGTGATAGGTGTGCAAGAATGTTAATCTCTTTTGCTTAATCACCAAAAACAAGGTATCAACAAACTCCACAAACTTGAAAATATAGTTGAAATAATACAACACTTCTAATTCCTGAGTCCAAGCCTTCGCACTACAGATAGCATAGTACAAACCTTCATAGTAGATCATGGGGAAGATCTGTTCTACCATCAACACCAAAAGGGTCAGGGAGGCTGTAGTCAAAATCACATTGTGCACTTGAAATGGCCCGTTGAGTACAAATGGGGTGATTTTAAATTTTTTGAAGATGAAGTCTCCTCCGAAAATAACCAAGTAGTAAGTGGCAATGGCAGCAAGTACAGGCTTGCCCGTGGAGAGTGGAACTTCGCCTGCGATGAACTCAAACTTGGATGGTACCAATTCTCCACCAGTGATCTTGCTCACAAGCCAGTCAAAGTAGGGAAACAACTTGACACCAAAAGGGGTGTCTGGGGTTGGGAAAGGAAACGAGTACGACATCCTTAAGTTTGAGATTATAATTTGCTGTGCTGTGATTTCTTAACAAACTTTCAAAAAAAAATATTATTCACAAGCAAAACGAATTGTTTATAAGAGTTTTTGTTGGTCAGAAAACGCGTTTTTTCCAACTGAGGAGATGCGATGAGCGAAAGCGTATATGTTGAAGACAAAGCAGTTATGAGTGATGACAATAGCGACTATTCCACTACCGGCACTTCGAGCTCTGGTAGTGAATCGGATGAACCCGTGCAATTGCTCCAGAAGCCTGTATTCATCAAGAAATCCAAATCATCAGATGCCAGTGCTTCCGAGGCTGTCGCAGTCGCCAATAATACTAAACACAAAGTCGTCACAAATTTGGAAAACGCCAACGAAAACATAAAATCGCTGCAGTTGGGCGTGGAATTCAATGGCGTTAGTGACGTGGATGGGCTCGACCCGGAAAAGGACTATAATGAGTGGAAACAAAGAGAATACGTTCGTTATATTCGAGACCGGAGCGAGATGATTGAATTAGAGGAGATTAAAGCTGATTTGATCAGACGAAACCAAATGTCCGAAGAAGAGTTGGTCAATATATTTGAAGAGCGTCAAAGGGCCAAGCCCCCGAATACTACCGGGGCTTCTTCGCGTATTGGTGTGTTTTATAATGATGACAGTCTCGTCCAGAAACTTAGTGAACGAAACTACAACGAGAAGCATATTGACCACTCGCGGCCCACAAAGTTCAAGTCGTCTTAGCCTGGAGCTTCTACAAATAGGATTTTGAGGTCATTTTTATGGGAACAAGTCGGATTTTTATAGACTTTCTAATGATGCACGAATTACATTAATGGCTGCAACCAGTTTGAGTCGCACATAGTCATTTTTTCAACGACAAACCATGTCTTTGATTCCACTTCCACCGTCTCTAATACCTTTTCTTCACCAATTCTTGCCTACACCTGGGAGCAAGACGTTTGTGACACTCACATATGCTCAGTCTCTTGACTCCCGCATCGCTGCCCGTCCCGGAGTTCAAACAAAAATATCCCATCTTGAAACTAAAACCATGACCCACTATTTGAGATCAGAGCACGATGCCATTTTGGTGGGCATTGGAACGGTTCTCGCGGACAACCCTAAACTCAATTGCCGTTATAATGGCGGGAACAGTCCAATACCCGTGGTGATTGACCCATTGTGCCAATGGGAATATGCTAAGTCTCAGCTTCATCAGATTTGTGAAAGTGGACAAGGAAGGGCACCAATTATCATCATAGATGACAAGTCAATGCCTTCTCAAGACAATGAGAGGATATTGGGCCTACAAGGTGGGAGATACTTGAAGCTACCGTTGCTTTCAAACCGAACAAATAACTGGAGCATTATTCTCGATGTGCTTTATGAACTTGGCATTAAATCGGTGATGGTTGAGGGAGGAGCCAAAATCATCAACGAACTATTGGCATACAAAGAACCCATAATAGACAGTTTAATCATCACGATAGGGCCTGTTTTTCTTGGAAATGAAGGGGTGGAGGTGAGTCCTCTGCGCCATGTTGACTTGTCTAACGTTAAATGGTGGTCAGGAATCCAGGATAGTATAATGTGTGCTCTGGTTGAACATTAAAACCTATATTACAAATCTATTTATGACAATTATAAATACTTTTTTTTGATAAACTTGATTGTCAATTATAAGCAAATTCTGTAAGAAGCATACCGACCTGAGGTTTCAGATCTTCTGATAATCTTAACAACTTCACCCCTTTTCAAACCCAAATATCTGGCCACTGGGTCTTCTCTTTGGATTCTTGGTAACTGCGATTCCTTTAATCTGTATCTATCCAACAATTCCTTCTTTTCTCCTTTCGACAACTTGATGTGTTTTGGAACCAACTCATGGTGGGTGATGTTAACTACCAAGTCACTTTCCTGGAAGGTTTCAATCAGGGCTGGTGCAACTGTTGGAATTAATTTATTTGCACTTGGGGTTATGGAGGACTGGTAAATGAAAATACCAGTGGAAAAGTTCCTTTCACTGATATGAATACAGAAGTTTCTCATTGTTTTAATTCCTACTGAATCTTCGTCACAGAACTCAACCCATAAGGTCCCAAGCTCAGGGAATTTTTCCAAGGATTCTGCCGTTGGGTTGGCTTGAAAACACATCAATTTTCTTTGTGGCATGTTCATACTGTCACATATTTTTTGTCTGAATTCATCCAAGCTCATATCGAGCTCCTCTTGAGAGATGTAATAGCCCTAAAATTACTGTTAGTTATTGATTTCCTCAAAACTTTGGTTCAAGATCTCTAAGCGGTTTCTTGCTTGTTTATCAACATACCCTATCTCTGACCATCTCCTTCACGGTCTTGAACGTTCTCCACAAACGGGACATGCTTCTGTCTGCTTCATCCATTTTGACTTATGCTATCTTTAATGCTATTGTATATCCCAGTGCTTGAGTGGTTCACACCTATGAAATATTTTTCACTCTCTCATCAACTTTTTTGCGAGTGCGAGTGTTTTGTGTAGCGCCACGACTCTTGATACTAATGATTTTGCAGTAATTGATTTCTATTTATCTAGATTAAAGGGAATTTCTTCTAAATAAGCCGGGTCTTTCAGATGATGATGTTCCCGAATGTTTGATTCTCCCAACAATTTTGGGCAACTTTCCTTCATTTTCCCATTGGGTGAGAATTTCTTCAGCATAATCCAATCCCACTTTGTAGATTACCTCGAACTTACCAAAATCCAAGGTTCCAAACTCTTCGATTGGAGGCCTCATGTAGTAAACACCAGGGGTTCGTTTAGCAATCTCGAGAGCATTCACACTGGCAACATAGGCTAACCTAGATTGGATATCCATCATATTTGGCACATTTGGATGCTTAGAAAATGGATTCCACCGATTAAACACAACCCAAATTCCAGAAAGAGTGTCCCCATAGTTCATGGGACTCCTGTCATCCACTGAACCTACATCCACTGCCATAATGTACTTTGCACCTCTTCTTTTCATCTCTAATACGGGTAAATTGTCCAAGTATCCTCCATCCAAAAGCATGCAACCATTGTATGCTATTGGAGGTAAGAGACCGGCTAACGACATGGAAGCTCTAATAAATCGCCACATAATTCCATACTCATGAATGTCCATTGTGGAATTGGTAATATTGGTAGAATTACAATAGAACTTGATCCAACTATCTTCCAACTCTGAAAATCCAAGCACTTTCCATATTCCTCTGTTAAATTCATAACCAGACAAGTATGAAGTCACCGGCAATGTCAAATCAAATAATGACAACCAGTAAGAAGAAACTCGTTTAGCAAACTTCTTCACTTTACCATAGATAGAAACCGAGTTGTACTCAAGGCCATATAAGCCTCCAACAAAGGATCCAATCGATGTTCCGCCAATTATATCAACAGGAATTCCATGTCTTTCCAATGCTGTCACTACTCCAAGGTGGGAGATTCCTCTAGCTCCACCTCCTCCTAATACAAGGCCTATCGCCTCGTTGGAAAGAATTCTTGCTAGTCTCAAAAAATCATTCTTGTATGGCTCTACTGCAGTTGAAGCCTTCTCGGTTTTGTTCAACCGGGAATTGCGAGAGAGCCTTGATCTAACAATCTCGAACCTCTGTTTGATGTTTTGGTTAGTCCTTTCGGAAATCTTCAAAGCAATGTCTTCAATTATGGATTTCTTCTTCAACGGCTCATTTCCTATACTATTGGCAATAGTCATCTGAATGTGGTGATGACCCTGCACCCAGTTTCTATCTTTCAACCAAATTGAGGTGGAACCGTATGGAACAAATTTTTCAGGATGGAGTAGACATAAGTCGGTTCTTGCAGTAGTTCTGTACTTGATCAACAACTTCTCAAATTCTCCCACACTAACTGCAACATCGTAATCTTGTGCGTTTGCAAGTAATAAGATACAGTCACCTTGGCTGATACATGTTGAAGTCCAACTTGATCTAACGGTACTATCACAAATATAAACAATAGTTTCGTATTCCTCTTCTAATGTTGCAAAAAATCCTGACAATTTCAACTGGGATAAGCTATCATCAAATGCATGTCTCCCTAAGTGGGTTAAAATAGTAGATTGATCTAATGCAATAACTTTTCTTCCGATAATTTCTAAGGAATTGACCAACTTGGTAGCAAATTCTCTCACTGGTAAGCCATTCACCGTTGGCAACACTGTAATGGTTTTGTAGTTTCCAGAAATATGTGACAGGGGAGATTGGAAAGGAGTTGAGCTATTTGTTTGTGGTACTGTTATAGTGCTGCTCAAACTGTTCTTAATTCTCAAATCATTTTGAGCAGATGCAACTTTTGCAGCAACAATTCTTGAAACTTTCACCATAATTGAAGGGTTCTGCGACGAAAGAATTTCAAATAACGTTCTGGGGATCCTTGCCGTTTCAGAATCTCTAACAGCAATCAAAGAGGTAGCTCGTCTTGATGCAGTCAATACTTCAACTTCCCCTATTGATTCTCCGTGGCCGTATTCCCCAAGGACGTTAAATTCATCACCAATTTTCCCATTTCCGTCCAACATGTCTTTAGTAGAATTTTGACTCTTACTCTGCACCACACGGAACCTTCCACTCAATATAATATGAAAGCCATTCGCTTGATCTCCCTCAGCTGCCAATACATCACCAGCTTGGATATGACACCACTCCAAAGCAAAATCGATAGTAAGGATTTCCTTTGAAAGTAAACTCTTGTACCGACATGCCAATGGCAATTGAAGTTGGTAGTACTTGTCCATGAGTCTTGCCCAATCATATTTATGTATACAAGCTAGAATCACACCCTTTGACGAAGCTTTCAAGGTGGTCAAGGCCTTGATCCCCAATATACTTGACAAGTATCCCCCGAGTCCACCTTGAGGAATGGAACCTCTTTTCACTGTCACAATTTTATTATCTCTACCACTAGCTTTGTTACATTCGACATCTAAAGATCCATCAATGACATAATATAGCCCTGAGTTGAAGGAGTTTTGCTCGATGACTATCTTGCCAGGCTCAAAATACTTGATTTTCAAGTTCTTAGCAAAATCATCCTTAACACTGTCGAAATCAAATCCAGAGCCATTGCTGATAGACACAGCTTTAGGTCTTTGAATACCTTCTAAAAGGCTATCAACTCCCTTTGATTCAGTTCCATTCAAACTGTTGTTGTATTGTGCCAACTGCGACTGGTTTATTGTACTGTAGATCTTGGGACTGGCAGCTCTGCTATTGGTGGTGGATGGAACACTAGAAAAGGAATCATACCTATTCCTGCTGGCATAATCATCATAAACTTTGTTTTTGTTGAATGGGTTAATTAAGAAGCCACTTGGATCAGTACTACTAGCTAAATTGCTTAAACCCGACATGGAGGGGGAGGAGGACAAAGATCCCAATCGACTAGCAATGGGAATCAGCTCGGTTCTCTTGAGAAATGGAGAGTTCCCATCAATTCCCAACAACTTAAACATATTTTCAACGACAGCGATTCTGGTGGAAGTCTCTTCTGTTTCCTCAATGTCATTTGAGAATGTTGTTTCCGTTGAAGAAAGGCTAGAAAACTTACCAGAAGTATCTTTGAAACGCAGATTATAGTCATCCAAGTTGAATACCGACTTCCTGGATATTGGTACTGAGGACAATAGATCACCCGGATGACTGGGCTTAGCTACCGAACTTAAGGATACCAATCTGGAACTCGATTGTCTATTGAAGGTTCTAAGATCAATGGCAGTCTTTTTCTTGGTTAGCTTTTCCATAGAAGATGATGATGATTGCTTATGTTCATTCAAAGATCCTCTTCGGTTGGAATACTTTTCAACCAAAGTGTTTTTCAAGTAGTCTGGTAAGGAGGAATCGATAGAAGAATTCAACTTCACTTCGCTGTCAATAATCTCATCAGAAAGTCCTAGGTAATTGTGAATAGTATTCATAGTTACCTTGAAGAGTCTGTTCTTTACCATTGTGACAATATGGGCAGTAGCCTTTGGATACTTGAAGTGAATTCTCTGGAATGCCAGCGCTGGAATGATTGCAATTGTTGCACCTCTCTTGTTCTTTTTCAGAGACTTGGGTCTAACAATAATATCTGGGTATGAGTGTTCAAAGTATGAGTGTTCGGGCTTCCCATTTGCTTTTGGACTGTTTTGATTGCCCGAGAGATTGAGATCCAAAGAGGATGAAGATGAAATGGAGTCGGTAATGGCGGGTTCACCGTCAAGCCATTGAGTTACAGAAGACTTGAACAAGTCTAAAGTACTATTTAAGGTCGACAATGGTACTCCACTTTTTATCTCATTTAGTAGCTGGTACCGCTGATTGCCCATGATCAAGATCTCTGGGGTATCGTTATCCAAATCTTTCAAATTCTGGAAGTCTGAGTCGTTTTTCTCGTTCATCTTAATGAAGATCTGAACGCTTCCGTCAACCACAATCAGAAACCCCAACTTTTCGTCTAAGTACAACAATTCGTCCCAGCTGAGTTTCTGGGTCGTCATGTTCTTGGTCAACTCGTGGAAAACGGGTCTTTCAAGGTATCCAAAAATCTTGATGGCACTGAGGAATTCATCTAAATAATTTGAATTGGTCTTCAAGTTCTTCCTTTTCTTCTTGTTGATCGAATCAACAATCTCATCTTTCTTGACATCCTTACTGATGAGCTGGGGCTCGGGATTCTTGGTGAACCTCGTTAGGTATTTGTATCTGATTAAAAATGCTGAAGTGATGGCAATGAATAGTATCGAAACCAATATGGATCGCAAGGACAAAGTCACCTGGAAGCTAGTGGAGAACAATGCGCCTAAAGACGTATACGACATGACTGGGAGGAATGCTACTGAATGGGCCTATATTAGTAGATGAATGATTAATCGATTATCACAGATTGGCTAACAATATTTGCTCGCAATTCCGGGGAAAGTGATGGGGAGCCCTGGATTGCAATGATATGTGAAACACCCAAAAGGTAGAGTTAAAAAGACAATTAACAATATTTCAACTACAAAAAGATAATATACCTAGTAGATAGGAATGGGGGTTCCAACTTTGAACTACTGGTAACTTTCTTATAATACGAATAATTGATGATTGCCCACTTCCTGAGAAGCCGGCTCGAAAGCTGCGAAAAATCACAGTGCACATGGGCGAAGTATATAATTTATACTACATAGCAGCATTAAGGATCATAAGGCAAACAGTTGAAACGGTTCAAGATTCTCTCAATCCCATCCATACCCAATTCCAAATAATGGAGCTCAGGACCATAACTGATTCTCACGTAATTGTACCAGATAACATCTTCCAAGTGAGATAAATTCTGGGGATTAATCAAAAAGAAGAAACCGGGCACAACAATGACCTTTTCATGCAAACACTCGTGGAAAAACCCAAGACAGTTGGACAACTTATGAGGTAAGTGGGACAAGTTCAACCACAAATAGAAAGTTGAGTTGGGAGTGTTTGTTTCGTTGATGTTGAAACCCATTTTCTTGAGTCTAGCCAATACATAGTCCCTCTTCATTTTGAAATGGATCTGCAAGGCCTTCATTTCGTTCCTTACCTTCAATGGCTCCAACATTTCGATGGCAGCGTACTGGAAAGGACTGTTTGAACCTCCATCCAAATATGATCCTGCTGAACTTAAAGCATTTATGTAGTCCTCAGGACCAAGAATCCAACAAGTTCTCCACCCGGGCAATCTAAAGGCTTTCGTAAGACCGTTCAAAATCAAAACTGGGTCCTTGTTGACATCCTCAATGAACTCAGCAGAACTAATTGATGACCCGGTACAGCCATCATCATAATAATAGTGGGAATAAAACTCATCCATGATCAACAAGCACTTTTCCCTGCACATCTTGTGCAACTGGTGAAGCTGGTGTTTAGTCAAGCACCTGCCCGTTGGGTTTCTGGGATTGGAGGTCAACAAAGCACTAACCCCCCGCTTCAACTCATTCTTGATCAAGTTCAAGTGGAAGTTGTAATTGTCCTGTTCGTTCAATGGCACTGGAATAGGACTAAAATTCTTGAACAACGACAACATCTCCGCGTACGCAGTATAGTCAGGTAAGAAAAACGAGAGATAGCAATCCTTGATGATGGAGGCAATTCTTGTGAGTCCGGCTCTTCCCCCTGGAACAATACACACGTTCTTCCATGTGTATTTGGACTGTTTGGTGAGACGGTAAGTCTCGTTGTAATAATGGGCCACCGCCTCTCTCAACGGTTTTATACCGGCAGTTGGAGCATACTCCTTGGACTTGTCGGGGATTGGGATGGAAGTAGGCCTCTTGAATGAGCCGGGAATGGTGTCACCGTGCTCAGGGGCACCTTGGCCCAAGTTGGCCCATTTTTTATCTTCCTCGTCGGTCTGACCAAACCCATATTCATTGGCCCTCTCAGTAACCCAAAGAACCCCCGTCGACGACTGCTGCGAGTTCATTGCCGGTTTATGAATATCTTCATTGAACTTGGGTTTTGGCAATGGCACCGGTGACGATTCTCTTCCAGCACTTAGTTTTTGGTAGAGCTTATCCTTCATGGACTCTCTGGGATTTCTGGCGGTGGGAAGAGAGATATTTTCATTGTTTTGAAGCAAATCAATTAATGAGGAAGAAGACCGTTTCAAGGCTTCAGGGAGGGTTGACTCCAATCTCTCGAACTCAGATACATCATCGTCCTCACTCATGGGGTAAGACATGGTTGATGAGTGAAAATGCGATTTGGTCGTGTGTGGCCGCCAAAATAATAAACCTGTGCGTAGCGGAAGAGGGTTGCTCCATTTTACCATTCTGGCACGAGAGGGGCCAGCCACGGGACGAGCGGCACCGAGCTAGTGGTGTCAGCGGTGCCAATGGCAATACACTCAGCTTCTCGAAGTCTCAGGTTATCCATCAACTCCTGAACCGTAAACCATTGTTTTTATCTATCATATCTGTAGCCAATGAAGCACACCCATTACCAACTACCTCTGTCCAGCAAATCGTCGTCTCGCAAATTATGCATCTGTGCGCAAAGCATCCAATCACTGTAGAAAACAAACATAAGTGGCATTTTTCGCAGTTGACTGCAAAATGTTCGGCCTCCGAAACTCGGCTCACACAATGATTCAAACCCCATGGAGCAATTTCATTGCACAACCTCAACAAGAAACAATGGGGACTGCCAAGTGCGAAATTGGCTCTTCGGTCGCTCTCCGTTCCACCCCGGTCCCGTTATCTGTTGCGATTTAGGGTTTAGGATTTAAATGTGCTGGGGATCGGTGGGGACGCCATAGGTTTTCGCGATGAGGATCATCCACATAAAAAGCCGGAATTTCCCTGGCAACTATTAAGAGCCTTTTTTCATATATATCTATACATATATATTGACGTGACCGGTAGCTGTCTTCACTCGAACACCGCTAATTTCCCTTGTTTCCACCTACTCGATCCACCAGAGTAACTAAGTCAGTGGCCACCCTTTTAAACCTTTAGATTTCCTGTAAGTTTTTGGTCTCATATATATGTTCAGGAAACTCGTATTCACAGTTACCAAAAAGGATTGCGATCAACCCCAACAACACCTTAAAGATGGCTCTGAACTCGTTCATCCAGCTCCTGAAGATATATCATTTTCACATGACTTGTCTGCCCTTGACGGAGTTCTTCTTTCTCCACAAGAATCAGGATCCGATGACTTCGGCAATGATACCCCAATGTTGTTGTCCCCCATAACTTCTATCGAGTCCTACAACCAAACCATCTCCAAAGCCCTCATTCCAGATGAATCCGATGCTCGCCGGTTGACTAGCATTAATGACCTTCCACTCGAGATTTTGATGAAGATCATAGGATACGTGTATTTTGATTCCGATAACTTCGACTCCATCTACAAGCTTTTGGAAAGTTTTACCAAGTTGGGCTTGGTGTCGAAGTTGTTCCACTTGTTGAGTGTCAAGTACCTTTACAAATATGCTGCTTTCAACAGACCGCACGCATTTCACAAGTTCTTGATAAACTTGCAAAACAACCCCAACTTGGGCAAATACGTTCAGTTTGTGGACTTTGAAACATTCACGTCCATTGGATTGGGAAGAACCGGCAAGATGAACCAGGAAATCCAAATGGTGACCTCCAGAACCATCTTCACCAGTTTGACCAAAACCCCAAATTTGATTGAGTTTTTAGCCAGTGAGAACATCCAAGACGATATGAACGTCGATGTTTTGAATTACTTGTTCAACGAGCTTCCCAATTTACAAAGCTTGGACTTTTGTGGAGCTTCGTCCAAGGCGTTCTACGAGGCATTCCGTGGCTTGACGATTGATAAACCATTGAAGAAATTGTTCAAAGTCTCCTTTCATGATTGTTCTAACTTATCAGTGGATATCTTTGAAAAGATCTTGCCACATTTAGTGAACTTAAGAAGATTGGACTTGACCCATACTTCAGTAAACTCGAGCTTATTGTTGAATTACTTGCCAAATTCTTGCAATTTAACCCACTTATCGTTATCAAGATGCTCCAAATTGACTACAAGAGATTTGATCAACTTTTTAGTGAACCACCCATCGGTAGCAAATAATCAGTTACAATGGCTCAACTTGTCCGTTGATTCCAATGTGGTTACTCCTTTAAACTCGAATTACTTGTTCTTTACCTTGAAGCACATGAATGCTTCTAACTTGCAGTACCTCAATTTGAAAGGTTTGCCCATCACAGAAAAACTCTTGACTTTGATCAACATGAAATTTCAGAACTTGAAGACCTTGTCCATTGCATTTTCCTCCATCGATTTCGAATTTTTGTTTGAATTCCTTCTCAGTACCCCATGTTTAGCCCACATCGATTTAACCGGCTGCAAATTAACCAAAGCGCAAATTTTGCAGCTCATCACCATTCCTCATTTAAGCTCACTTGAGTGTGAATCCCAAACCCTAAAGGATTTGACCAACAATGAGAGCCAGTTTATAAGAAGAGATTCTTTGGTATGGAGATTCCATGACAATAATGGTAGAAGAGCCTGGATTTATAGATTGGAATCCACTGATGACCAATACAAACAAATTCAGCAATTTGGTAAGATTTTAAATTTGAATCTAACGTATTACGATTTAAATACTGGAGAGAAAATTGTCACCAAGAACTTGAGACCAAGATTCTTGAAATATGTCGGTAAAAAAATCAATTGCTCGGTTGGTTTCCAAAACCTCCAATGCTGTAAACATAAGAAATACTTGAACAACTCCTACGATGAAGACGTGTGGCCAGGAAAGTTCTGTGAGACTGGCATCTATAACTATTACTCCTTGAACATATAATGGATCAAACTAAGAGGAATTATATTTAATGAATTTACGACTTTGTACTATACTTTTTGTGTGTATCATCTCTCATGTAAATATCACATTTTGCGGGGGATCGCATTTTCATTTTCACACCTACTATCATGAACAAGGACATCGAAAAGACCGTCACAGAAATAAGGGGGAAGTTTGACACCTCCAAATTGTCGGATTTCATTACCAATGAGAATGCAATCAGCTCAAACCCACTGGTGTCCCTTGGTATCCACATACCCAAGTGGCAAGGTCCCCTTACTATCAAACAATTTGTATTCGGACAGTCCAATCCAACGTATTTGATTATTGACGCCAACAACAACTTATCTGTGTTGAGAAGGAAGCCATTTCCAAACTCTAAGCTTGTTTCCAAGTCTGCTCATGCCATTGAAAGAGAATTCTTTATCATTAACGGTATTAACACTTTGAACGAAAGGAGTCTGAAGAAAGTCCCAGTCCCAGATACATACTTTTTGTGTGAAGACGAGTCCATTATTGGATATGTGTTTTACGTTATGGAGTACGTTGAAGGAGCACTGATCAAAAACCCCGATATGGGGGACCTTGCACCAGCCAAAAAAGACCAATTGTGGAATTCGATCATGGATACCATTACTGCGATTCACTCTTTGGACGCAGATAAGTTGATTGAACTGCTCCCAGAAAAACACTTTCCACAATTCAAGAAACCCAAGTCGGTCACTGGTTCGTCTGCTTCGTACTTTGAAAGGCAGATGAAGACGTTGGCTGGTGTATCGAAGAAACAAGGTGAAACAGTAGAACCAATTCCACACTTTGATGTCATCACTCAGTATATCTTGAAAAATGCCCCCAAAGATCCAGTCAAAAAGATGTTGATTCATGGCGATTGCAAGATCGACAACTTCTTATTTGACAAGCAGTTGAACAAAGTTATTGCAGTTTTGGACTGGGAATTGTGCACGTTTGGCCACCCCCTCTTCGACTTAGCTAACTTCTTGCAACCATTCCAAATCCCTAACGAATTGAATGCTCTTTTCTTTGCTCCTTTGGAGACCGATGTCGGAAAGGAGAACTCAGCTTCTTTGCAGTTAATTCAGGATAAATTAAAATTGTACAAACAAAAGTTGGGGTTTGTGTGGGATCCAAACGACCCATCGAACGATCCAGTAAAGAAATGGCAAGTTGGCTTCTTATTTGGACTAGTCAGGTTGTCGGTGATTTCGCAGGGAATTGCCATGAGAATCAAAAAGGGTTCTGCATCTTCTGCTAATGCTGCCGGTTTTGGTTCTTTATACCCCTACTTGGCGGAGCTTGTATTTGGGGACATTAGACCTCCAAAATTGTAGACACTCAATACACATTTGACGAATTTTTCGCAGTCGAAAAATCAACTCCGAATCTTTAAGACTCATGAACTTTGAACAGGCAAGAGAAGGCACTGGTTCAGTCAAGTGTCCGTTTCCCAACTGTGACACCAAAATCATTTCTTACACGGAGCCCTTACGTGAATCTGTTGTCCAAATTCCCAGTGCCCCTGAAATGGTGAATTTAGAAAAAACCCCTTCCTCATCCAAATTCTTTAGGATATCAGATATGTGGGACTTTGACAACATTGGCGTCTCAAGGCCCCTTGAGCAATATACTGACTTCAAGATTGACAGCCAGACCTTCGACATAGAGAGGATCTTGATATGCTCAGAGTGTGATAAAGGTCCCATTGGATTTGCTGGCCATTTCAATCACGACACCGAAAAACTGCCCAATACGCTAACGTATTTTTTGTCGTGTAACAGCATGGTCTACCTGGGTCAATGAGTTTTATAGCATTAAAAGTTGAATACGTATCAAAAAATAAACTAAAGTTTCTGCAAATTCTTCATGTCTGCAACCAAATCCAAGGCAATATGTCTGGCTATAGACATGGTGGTCACCATTGGATTAGCTCCACTAGCGGTTGGGAAAACACTGGCATCGGCAACAATGATGTTTTTACACTCGAAAAGTCTTCCCTTTTGATCAACAGCTCCCTGTTTTGGTCCTTTACCAGACATTCTACAAGAACTCATCTGGTGGGCTGAACCATACGCAGGCCCAAACGAGGAAAATCCAACCTTTTTGACCGCTTTACGCCATTCAACATAATCCTTATCGGTGATCTTTCTCTCGTGTTTTGGTTTTGTCGATTTGAACTGTGGGGTCCAAGATTGACTACTTTTGATTTCAATAACACCATCCATATACAACATATCAGCAGCAACCAAGAATCCTTCCAATAACGCATTGACATCAAACTTGTTCATAGTGTAGTCAACCAAGACCTTTTCTGGTTGTCTTGGGTCACTGTACACCTTCCCACTGCCCACATCTCTGGTAATGACCAACATGGCTGAAGTTTGGTTATATTTTAAAAGATCTGTTCTCAATTGGTCACTGTCATACCATGGCATGAAAGATGCCTCCATAAATGGGGCATGTAACACCGATTCGATTCTTGGACCGTGGTGTTTACCATCCAAGTCAGCCACTTCTGTACTCACAGCTGTCATTATTGGGTGATGAAAAGCTTCCATGTTTACTTCTTTGGGGTGAAAACCAATTGTACAAGTGACAGGATGCAATTTCAAATTGCTTCCGATATTTTTGTTTTTGAATCCTGAATCCTTCAATACGAGAGGTGTATTTAAGGTTCCGCCACTAACAATGAACTTTTTAGGACCTTTAATAGTGAACCTGAAACCAGTAGTTTTATCAAGGCAAAGAGCTGCAGTGGCTTTTCCATGTTTATGAATAATCTTAATTACTCTTACCTGGTCCAAGAATTTGCAACCTTTTTCTGCCGCGTCTCTGAGCCAACAAGCCTGACTGCCTTGCTTGATCCCATATTTGCATCCAAGATAGCAGAAACCACAGTCATGGTTTTTATGTAAGCCTGTATTCTGGCCAATGAGACTCGACTGATAGCCTAATCGTTCAGTACTATCCATGATAAGCTGATTTGAATGAGAGTGGTTGAGGTTTTCGTTACTTACGCCCATTTGTTTGAAGACATAATCCATACAAGTGTCATAATCCTCTTGGGCAAAGAAATCAACTCCAAAGTCATCGTACCACTCTTTACGTACTTTGAACGGGGTTTTAAGAGAAGCCGACCAATTAACAGTGGTACCACCACCAAAACTAGAACCTGCTAAAAGGAAAAGCTCCTGGGTCTTGGTGGAAAAAGCCCCCGAGTTCTCATACAACTTCTTAAGACCTTCAGCATCGTCAAACACAAATTCAGAAAAATCGTAGTACTTGGCCTTTTCCAACACCAAACAGTTATATCCCTCAGTCTGTAAAGTGTGGGCCACTACTCCAGCACCGGCACCACTTCCAATGATCAACGCATCGATATTGGGCAAGTACAATTCGGTGCCATCGGACTTGACCCGATCAATCATCTCGTACTTGTACGAGTTTGGGAGCTGACCTTCATATAATTCTTCGCGGAGGTCCCTTCCTGGGTATCCAATAGCCATATTATGCAAATCACCACCCAACGTCAGATACGTGGCAATCGTCAACGCATAAATGCTTCGGTATAAGTTTCTTAACACCGAAAGTGACGAGTCTCTCCATTTGCTCAAGAGCTGGGCCTTTTGGTCATTGGACATCTCGGTAATTAAAGTGGTGGATCCAGTCAACACTGGTGCCGCAAGTCTTGATGATAACAACGACATCAACATCACAAACTTTTTGCTGGAATCAATTCCACTGCCATTGACCTTCAGGCAGATTTCTTCCTTGAATCCAGGGACTTTACTGGGTATCAAATTACAGTACTCTTCTAATCTTTCCATTGGGAAGGTAGAAGGAAGCTTGTGTCTGATCTCTTCTGGGTCAATCTTACCTATTAAGGCATCTGATAAGGCAAGCAATGGCCCCAATTGATGATTTTGCACTTCGTTTTGCAGCATGTCGAACTAAAAGTGTTTTCTTAATAAATGAGAGGAAATGGGGGGATTATATATTACATTGCATAGTTTAATTTTGTCATCTATGCGGTGCATATGATTTCCTGGTACATAAAAAAAATCTGTGCATGCGAAAGGCGAGAGGCTGCATCGGCATCGCCCCTTCTTCGACACCTTTAGGTAGGGACAATGGCAGTTGTTCAGATTATGTTAGATATGCCGTGTCACTGTTGCAGGGTAAAATAGCCGCTGGTTTTAGAAAAAAAATACCCTTATTATGAAGGAGTTCAGTTTATGTTGGCTTCCTTCTCCAGGTTCTTCTTCAAATGCGGAGCGTGAAGAGTCTTCTGAAAATGGAAAAAGCATTTGCGACATGGAGATGGAAGCTGATTTCTGAGCAAAAAGAAACGGAATTACAGAACAGGTAAGCATCTGTTTGTTATCTGAGGCGATCAACATACATCGTGCATAAATATAACTTTTTATTTATTACCTTTTATTTTATGCTATACAATTAGTCAACGGGTGTGGACTCAAGATCATCGTCTTGGTCATCACTGTCTTCCCATTGTTCGACATCAACATCTTCCATGTCGACATCTTCAACCTCGTGGTTGGGCACTATCTCCAATCCTTTGTGGCCCAACCTGATCCTAGCCACTTCCTTGTCGCGGATCTGGCCCTTCAATAAGTAGACGGCTAATTTGTTTAAGATCTCCAGTTGGATTAACCGGTTCAATGGTCTGGCACCAAGATCAGAAGAGTATCCATTTTTGCACAAGTAGTCCAAAGCAGCATCATCGATGTCCAATGTTAACTGCTTGCTGTTCGCAGCAAATCTTTCTTGGATTTCCTTCAATCTGATTCTGACAATCTTAGCAATGGCCTTCTTCGACAATCTGTTAAAGATCACAGTGCTGGAGATTCTGTTCAAGAATTCGGGTCTGAAGTGGCTTCTTACAGCGGTCATTACCAACTCTTTGGTCAGCTCGTCGATCTTGGATCCCCTGGATGCATTGATATATTCAGCTCCCAAGTTGGATGTCATGATCACAATTGCATTAGAACAATTAACCAACTTACCTTGAGATGAGGTGATTCTACCATCATCCAACATCTGTAACAAAACTGTCAATACTTCTGGAGCTGCCTTTTCCACCTCATCGAACAAAATGACAGAATATGGCCGACGTAATAATGGTTCTGTTAAGATACCACCTTCTTCGTATCCCACATAACCAGGAGCTGCCCCCAACAATTTAGAGGCGGACCACTTGTCCCCTAGTTCTGAACAGTCGATTCTTAAAATGGCTCTCTCGTCTGCAAATAAGAAACCGGCAACTTTTTAGCCAACTCGGTTTTACCAGATCCTGATAATCCCAAAAACATAAATGAGGCTGGTTGGTTGGGATTGGCCAACCCGGATCTCTGTAATCTGATGGCATTAGATACTGCCTTGACAGCATCACTTTGACCTACCACGGCTGAGCTCAACTCCTTCTCCATGTTGATAAGCTTAGAGTTTTCTGCTTGAGTCAACTTTGTAACTGGAATACCCGTCAATCTTGCGGCCGTCTCAGCAACTTGTTCAGTTCCCACCACATTTCTTAAAAGACTGTCAGCACCTACACTTTGTTCCTCTTCCTGAACTTTGACTTCCAATACCTGGATTTGTTTCTCAATGTCGGGAATAGCAAAATATCTCAAGTCAGCAGCAGTGGCAGTATCATGTCTTCTTTCGGCATCTTGAGCCTTGATCTCTAATTCGTCCAACCTACGTTTGGCCGCGATCAATTGTTCATGGCCAGCACGTTCTTGTTGGAATCTTTCTCTCAATGGAGCCAATTTCTCTTCAATTTCTTCTTGCTTTCTCCGGGCAAGTTTAAGCCTGTCCTTCGAATCTTCATCGGCCTCCACATCTCTTTCCAAAGCGTTGATCTCGACTTCAACCAAATGCAATTGTCTTTCCAAATTGTCCAATTCTTCGGGTTTGGAGTCTCTTGCAACTGCCACAGTTGCAGCGGTTTCGTCAATCAAATCGACTGCCGAATCTGGTAAGCTTCTGTAAGTCAAGTATCTGGATGCTAATTGGGCAGCTGCCACCAAGGCACTGTCCAAAATACGAACACCATGATGGATTTCGTATCTTGGTTGCAAACCTCTTAATATTGCGATCGTTTCATTGACAGTAGCAGCAGGAACATCGATCTTTTGGAATCTTCTCTCAAAGGCACCGTCCTTGGAAATGTATTTTCTGTATTCAGCAAACGTGGTGGCTCCAATACAATGCAAGGCTCCTCTAGCCAACATTGGTTTCAAAAGATTGGCAGCGTCCAGCTTACCATCGCCCATCAACATATGGATTTCATCGATGAACAAAATAATCATTTCATTGGACTTTTCAATTTCGTTCAAAACGCCCTTGATTCTCTCTTCAAACTCTCCCTTGTATTTGGCACCAGCAGTCAATGCCCCTAGGTCCAAGGCAAATAATCTGGAATTGGCCAATACATTTGGGACATCTCCATCGATGATTCTTTGAGCAACACCTTCAACAATCGAAGTCTTACCAACCCCGGCTTCACCAATCAATACCGAATTGGATTTGGTTCTTCTGGCCAAAACCCGTATGACTCTTCTGATTTCTTCTTCTCTTCCGATAACCGGGTCAATCTTACCTTCTCTGGCCTTTTCAGTCAAGTCTTCACAATACTTGTTCAAGAACTCAAATGAAGAAGACGAGTCGGCTTGCCTAGAATCGATTCGTTGGTTTCCTCTTAATTCTATGGCTTGAGTCTTTATAACATCAGGTTTGATTCCACACTCTTTTAAAATATCTTTAATCGACAGGTCCTCCAATAATGCCAACAAAAGATGATCTTGGGCGATATAATTATCCTTTTGTTGAGCTTTGATTTTGGTGGCATTTTGCAACACTTGACCCGTTTGGTAACTGGGTCTTATATCATCAGGAGGAGGGTTCTGACTGGGCATTCTCACCAAGTGTTTGTTGACTGCTCTTTCGAAGTCACCCCACTCATACCGAGATTTTTGGATCAAGGTCTTCAAGTAGGGAACTGAGTTCTCATCATCAGTTGGTACCATTGCAGCCAAAAAGTGCAAGGGCGTCAACTGGGAATGAGCATTCTCTTTAGCTAATTGACTAGCATTGTTGATGATTCTTAATGCATTATCCGTGAATTGTGTTTCGTCCATTGTAATTTAGTTGGTAAAAAAAGATGTTTGTTCGACAAACTGAGAAGGATATTATATACTTATCGCTGATCGTGGGTGGTGTGGTTGTTCTAGCGATTGCCAGAACTGTCTGGAAAACTTGAGGACGTGTTAGAACCATCTAGATCTTTTTCGCGGCAACTTGTAGTGTGTCAGTTGGTTGCGGCTTCTCATAGTACCGACACAAAGTGGCTTGAGGCATGGAAGAAGCCTCTCCTTTTGAACTCCTTCATTACATCAATAATTCTTTTGCTGGCCATATAGTTTTTAACCAGAGCTCTTGGATTATCGTTTTTGGGCCAAATAAGCCAGGCAGATATTTTGGCGCGCACGACCCACCCCCACTACTCTCTTCAACAGCTTTGCTTCGAGGTACTTCTTCCATGAACATATTCTCGGGAATCTCCTCTATCTTCAACGGATTTTGTGTGTTTTTATTACTCATTTTAAAAATGTTTAATATTTGAAGATAACTGCTTAACCTTTTTGTAATTTTCACAATTTTTCAACTGTTCTACAAGTCAAGAGTAACAACCAAGATCCTTTAAGATGATTATTCAAATGGTTTTTGCTGTGTTTAACTTTCGAAAACCTGTTAATCACCTCCTGTTCCTATGAAAGAGATGTAGTTCTTTTTAGAAAAATACTTTAAAAAGTCACCACATTTATAGATTTTGCATCAAATGGTTACGCCTGCCCAAACTCAAACCCTAAGAATATGTCGTGTTCATGGCATCAGGGAGTCGTGTTGAGGAGAGAAGTTCTGAAAATAATTTCCCAGCGACGAGAAGAGAAGCCTTTATGGCCAAGTTGTATTCTTCAGGAAAAAGAACAGGGGATAAATTAGATAACTTAAGAATCGAAACCCCGTTCACTTGCCCTGCTCCCTCCCCACGCCCCCTACTTCTCTTACTAACGGGCTACAGGTGGGTGGTATTGCCATGTAACTTTAACAAATGATGAGCGATACGTATCTCTGGGATGCAGGAAGTATCGCTCTAAGTAGCGATACGTATCTGTTAACAAAAGAAGCCTTTATGGCCAAGTTGGTAAGGCACCTCACTAGTAATGAGGAGATCGTCAGTTCGAATCTGGCTGAAGGCATTTTTTTTGATTTCACCCTTATTCTTATAACTAAAGCAATGGAAAAGTTAGCTTAACTTTCTATGTGTTATTAGACCTTCTTTGAACACCAAGATTCCAATGGTGTTTTAGGCAAACTGCCCTTTTATTTCATCAACTCTCTATCTCTTATTGTGCGCGACATTTTAGCTCAGCTCAGCTCCAGTTCGATACTCACCTGGTTTTTTAAAATTTCACATAAACAGAGTATTTGTTTAGTAGGATGTCATCAGAGTCTCAGATAACAAGCGAGAAGATCATAGCAGACTCTGTGAGCCACCAAATAAAACTCGAAAAGCCTCAACAATCCATTGAAGATCTCGAAGAGCTACAGTCCCTTCAACTCACCAAACGAACAGAATACGAACAACAACTTAACAAAAACAGATTGAACTACGGCCAGTGGATACGATATGCCAAATGGGAGGTTGAATTCTGCAATGATTTCAAACGGGCCAGATCCATCTATGAAAGAGCATTACTGGTTAATGTGGAGCATGTTCCATTCTGGATCAACTATATCAAGTTCGAATTATCCAACAATAACATAAACCACGCTAGAAACATTCTTGATAGAGCGGTGGCGATTCTACCGAAGATTGATAAGTTCTGGTTCTTGTATGTGCAAACAGAAGAAACCCTTCAAAACTATAACAAAGTCAGACAATTATTTAAGAGCTGGATTACTTGGAAACCACCTGCCACGGTATGGGATGCATACGTGAACTTTGAGAAAAGGTACGATGAAACAGACAATATCAGGGAGATATTCGAGCAGTACATTTTGTATTTTCCCGAAGGAAAGACCTGGATGACCTGGATAAATTTTGAGTTGAGAGTCGGCGATATCCAGTACATACGAAATGTGCTTGAGTTGGCGGTAGATAGCATATTGAAATCTAACCCTAATGATGAGAAATTGCCAGCAATTATTGAAAAGTGGACCAGATGGGAGTTCAAACAGAAAGAGGTGGAACGGGCAAATGAGATCTTCAGATTCATCCTTGATAAATCAAAATTTCAGTTTGACTCCAACCAATACCAACTCCTATTACATGAATTCACTAATTTTGAGTCAAAGTTTGGAGATGAGAACTCTCTCTCTGTGAATGTGCAATTGAAGCGTAAGTTGAAGTACATTTCAAGTATCGAGAAAAATCCCCAGGACGTTGACTCATGGTGGTTACTTCTAGACTTATTACTGGGAGACGAGCTCAATGAGTATATGAAGAAGGCCATATCACCCGAAAATGCCCCCAAAGATACGTCTAAAACCGTCGTCTGGAGAAGGTATATCTTTTTGTGGATAAGAAATTCTTTCCATCAAGAGTTTACATTGGGAAATATCGAAGCTGCCCGTCAAGTGTGGGTGGAGTGTCTAAAAGTAATACCCAAGCAAATAATGTTTGCTAAAATATGGATCGAGTACAGTGAGTTTGAAATCAGAAACGGCGAAGATGGGATCAATAAAGCTAGGAAAGTGTTAGGAAGAGCAATTGGAATCATGAAACAGCCTAAAAAAAAGATATTTAAGCATTATATCGATTTTGAGAGAAAACTAGGCGAATGGGATAGAATAAGAAAGATCTACGAAAAGTGGTTTGAGTTGAGCTTGATAAACAATTTTCTGGCTTTGAAAGTCCTCCTTGAGTACATCGATTTTGAGAAAAGTCTACAAGAATATGACAGATGTGAAGCCATATATAAGCTTGGACTCCAGTTAATGGAGGAAGATTTGGTTGCTGACAAACTAACACCATTCGATTTTCTCTGTATTTCTTTTATTGACTTTTGCAAAGAGCAGTTTGAGTATCCAAAGGCCCGGAAGTTGTTCGAAGATTTGTTGCTTGATCACGACAATGTCAAAGTGTGGATTTCTTATGCAAACTTTGAAAGCTCAATTCCAAACGACAGGCAATTGGAAGAATTCAATACCAATACAGACGAGGAGTTTGCATTTGAGCTTGAGGAAGATCAGAAGAGCAATACTCGAAAGGTGTTTGAAAGAGCCTTATCTCACTACAAAAAACTTGAAAAGGATGAAGAACGGGTTATTATTCTCGAAGCGTGGAAAAGTTATGAGCAGACCAATGGAGATGTAGAGTCTACTAGCTCAGTTGAAAAGAAGTTTCCCGATATTGTCAAGAGAACTAAAGTTGTTGACAATATTAACCAGGAATACTTGGAATACGTGTTTCCCCAAGATAAATCCACGATTCCAAACCTTAGTAAGTTCTTACAAAATGCTCGAAACTGGGCTTCTGCAAGTAATAGTTGATCAAAAACTTTGTATATTAGCATTTAGATAGAAATGGATGAATGAATTGGAAATATGAAGCTAAACTCGGGCACCACCTCTTAAGGTTAATACCAAGTGCAACGAAGCACCGGCAGTAATTCCACTTTCTTGAATAGTGGCTCCATCATTGAGAGAGTTTCCCCCGAAAATCAATCTCTGTTGGGAGGGAGGGATTCCTTCCTTTTCTTCCATGAGCTCTTTCACGTGTATCACCTTATCTGTAGGTTCCACGTCAATAGGGATATCTCTGCCTGTCAAGGTCTTGACTTTAATCTGCATCTTTTCAAAGGAATATGTTTCTCAGGAATCTTGGTTTGGATTCATTCGCACTAAATATCTTCGCTTTAGGTCAATGTTGCCTACTCCGATTTTAAAGGATTTGGATTACGATAACGTATACGAGCCATCAGAAGACTCTTTCCTCCTTCTAGACTGCTTCGAAGATGAAAACACATTTTTGTCCCAGAAATTCGGAATTGGAAGTCCAATTATCACCGAAATAGGAACTGGCTCAGGCATCGTCACCAGCTTTTTGATGAAAAATATATTACCCAATGGTTTTTACGTGGCCACCGATGTCAACCCTCACGCATGTGTTTCCAGTATCAATACTATTCGGTTGAACAACCCTGACTCTGCCAAAATTGACGTGTGTCAAATGAGTTTAACCACAGCTATACTTCCACATACCATAGATATATTGATATTTAATCCTCCTTACGTGCCGGCAGAAGAGGTTCCTGAAATTCCTCAACAATACAGGGATAGTAGGTGGCTAGACTTGGCGTTATTAGGAGGTTCTGATGGAATGGAAGTCACATGGCAGCTACTAGATCTGTTAGATAGTATCATTAGCGAGACCGGTTTGGCGTATATTCTATTTTGTGCACGAAACAAGCCAGATTTGGTGAAATTAGAGATGGAGAAACGAATGTGGGTGGTGGATAAGATCATAGAGAGGAAGGCTGGTTGGGAGGTGTTGAGCGTATTACGATTTATGAAGAGGAAAAACTAGATAATAGAATACTCCATTTTTCCTGGCGTAGAAAATGTAGGATTACTCCCTTCGTGTAACAGAATACAACATTGTTTGAGGGATCTTACACATCTCAGAACCCTCTATTTTTATACAAATGTGCCCAGACTCTTTGAAGTACCTCCATCTCATCAGTCGCATTAAATTGAAAATCCATCGCACACACTATGTATCAAGGATCTTGGGATGACAGAAGATCAGATTCCAATCGAGCCCAGCAAGTGGGAGAAAGCTCTTACTCAGGATTACGTGACAGAGGAAGAGTATCCTCCAGGAGCGATAACCGATACGCCAATTACAGCTCATATTCATCAGAACCTCAAAGTGAGTCGTCCAAGAAGACATTCTGGTCAGGTGAACCCAGTCGATTCAAAACCGTACAAGACAAACAAATCGATACTATAATAGTGGGGCATTTGACCAGTGAACAAATCAGTGCATACCAGCAGTTTTTCCGAGTGGAAGAAATTTCAACGGTGCTACGGACTGCTCTGCAAAATCGCCAGGATTTGTTGAGTTTATTGCCATCTGGAAACATTCAAAATACTAGTTTAAGAAGAGAACCATCGCCTCCTCCCAAATATGACAGCAGTGGTAATAGAACCAATACTCGCGAGATGAGGGTACGTGAAGCATTGGAGAAGGAAAGACATTATCTCGTCGAGTTAGCAGCTGGCAGTATCAAGGATTATTTACCTCCTTTTGATTACCAGAAAGCCCAAAAAACCATGGAAAAGTTATATATTCCTCATAAGGACTACCCCGATATCAACTTTGTTGGGTTCTTATTGGGTCCCAGAGGAAATACCTTGAAAAAACTCGAATCTGAAAGTGGTGCTAAGCTAGGCATCAGAGGAATAGGGTCCACAAAGGACGGCAAATCCTCCAGTCCGAGACTCTTAGCTAATTCCAACTCACATAATTCAGATTCAGCAGAGGACGATTTGCATGTGGAGATAATGGCTGATAGCCAGCTGAAAATTGCTAAAGCTATCCAATTAGTGAATGAAATCATTGAAAAGATGATCTCGTCTCCTGTTCATCAAAATGATCTTAAGCGTGAACAATTGAGAGAGTTGGCTGTTTTGAATGGTACATTAAGAGAAACCAAACCATTTGATCCAAATAGATTCAACAAGGACCAAAGCAGGCCTAGCTTTGATATCTCCAGAATCGTCTGCAAAATCTGCGGAAATATTGGTCATTTTGCAAGAGACTGTAAGCTTAAGAGCGAAGGAAGTCAAGAACAACAAGGTTACAGACATGAAGCATCTCCAGATACAGAAAATGACCCAGAGGAATCTCTTCCTCCTTGGAAAAGGGCCAAAACGGAAACAACACCCACATCTACCCCTGTACCTACTTTACCTCCAGCTCCGTTCATCTCTACATCTTCAGCTCCAAGAGCTCCTCCTCCTGGTTACAGACCTTCACCACCTCCGCCAGTGGTGCAGAAACCTCCTCCACCGTCGGGTGTTGTACAAAAACCTCCACTACCATCGGGTGTGGATGTTGAAAAACCACCACCTCCAACTTCAATGCCTCGGAAACCACCACCACCATCCTCCGTGCCTAAGAAACCGCCACCACCGGCTACACCAGACCAACAGAAACCAAATCCACCTCCAAATGGTGAAAAACCACCACCTCCACACCAAAAATTCAAACCAGCTCCTCCTTCGAACTAAAAGTTTTATAGAGTTTATAATATACGAATTATGAATACAACTGGTTTATGGCCTAGTACAGGTGTTAGGCTGCCGATTTGGAAGGTTGGATAAAAAAATTCCGATGCCGGGAGTCGAACCCGGGTCTGCTGTGTGAAAGACAACCGTGCTAGCCGTTACACTACATCGGAGAGCTTGACTTCGAAAATGGTACCATGATATTCACCTTATTAAATGCTTTTACAGATGGGTTCTAGTAGTAACGTATTACTGTTGAATAGTTAGCTAAGCTTAATAGCGAGTCAGGAGAAATTGGCCTCTTTTTATACTAGAATCCAATCTTCTTGAATAAGGCTTTCTCATGTTTCTCTCCATCTCTTATGTTTCAGATAAAAAGATTATCCACTCAATTAAGCCCTCCTAAAACTTCCTTAAACATCACACATTACTACATCGTGTGGGTGATGATGTTAAAGTAACCACCTGTAGAAGATTTAGTCTTCAGATTTTGGGTTATGGGCCTTAAAGTGAAGTATACCTGAATGGATAATGAGAGTAATAGACTTAGGTGTTGAACACTAGATGTTTTTAAGTAATTACTTTTATGCAAGCTTAAGTCTAGATTCCCAACAAGTTGAGGGACCACTTATATCTATTAGTATCTAGACATATAGAGGCTTATTAGTGATCTTTCAGCAGTTTATTTTCAGCAGATCGAAGCTTTTTGAGGATTGTGGAGGATAGCTAGGAGACAAATATCATTATCCATTGCACAATATCTGATTCAATCTTGATCTAGCCATCTTTTATTGTCACGATAAGAGTCAACAGACCAGTGTTCAATCATCTGAGCGCATAACTGTCCAAATGCTTGCTTGTGTTTTTTCAAACTCAATGGGTGCAAAAGCAGCGAAAGTATTTATAAGTGGAGAAAAACGTGGGTATAGTGAACTGGTCAAGATACCACTAGGATGTTGCTTCATGGACGAAACCCACGTATCTAATTCAATATCATTAAACTCCAAGGTTTCGGTGGGTGTATGGGCCAGAACTTCATTCTGCAGCTTTGTGACTGTCATTGTTTGTCTCTTTCCTCTTGTGGGCTTCTCGAGCAATCTAGAAAGGTTCTTGCTCCTTTTAAAAGCATTCATCCTAAGAGAGTATTAAATAAAATGTGAGATTTGCGTTCGATATGTGTTTCGATTTGTGCATCAATTTACGCTTCAAAGTGAAAAACACGAAAAGGGCCCAAATTATCTTATATGTATTTGTTCAAATACTCTGTGCAAAGGATATTCTGAGTATGTATATATTGTACGTTATTTGTGATCGTTAACAAGTTTAATTCGTCGAGACATTTAATCTCTAATCTTTGGTGATCAAATCCAAGTTTTCATAAACGGCTCCAGCAGACTTGTATAAATCGGAAGCAGTGATTCCTTTCTGAGAGGCTTCATTGTCTTTCAACTGTTGTAACATTAATCTGACTTTTTCTCTTTCTTTGTATCCATGCAAACACTCAAAGTAATCATCGAATTGGGGAAGACATTCCTTCTTGGAAACGGTATCAGCAGACGTATAGCAGGCAGCTAACGTTTGGAACTCATAGAAACACTTTCTTGTACCTCCTGATCTGGAATATGGCTGCATTTTTAGTTAGTTAAAACTTATGTGCTAATTATTAAATGAAATAGTTCTATTGGACCGCTGAAATTTTTTGGTGAGAACTGGATAAAAACGGGTAGCGCACGATTATACTGCTCTTTGGGATCTTTTGAGAGATCTTTTTGCAGTCATCTAGTTTTTATATTTTTACATGACATTATACATAAGCTAAAAGTTCACGAATACATTCTTTGACTTGATAATACAATGGTCCAAACTGACCTTTGATCTCAATGTCTCCTGTATCATCTCCGTCATTAGATCCATAAGTAATTTTACTGATTGAAATAGTATCGTTGACGACCAAAGTTCCTTCTCCTTTGAATTCAGCATTCATATTCTTACTCATAAGCTTTCGCTTGAGTTCAGGAAGCCGAATATTACCTATAGCAAGCTTGTTTTTATTGGCACCTGAAGGTAACTTTTCTGTTGATGAAGGATCAACTGGTTTTAATGTGAATTCACTAGATTGATTCAAAATATTGTTGATAGTTTTTTGTCTCTTGTGATTCGCTTTCTTATAACGAACTTCCAACTGACCTTGAACCTGTGCAACCCTGTAACTGCCATCGATGGTGTGCCACTGTAATTGATCAGAAACCGCATCGTCCAACTTAACCTCAAAATCTCCCACATCCAATCCATTATCGTCACTTCCAATAGTGATTTTACTATTAGACTCTAAAGGTAAGATCTCCATCTTACTAGTCTTGATATTTCCCAAATTTCCAGCTCTGATTGCCTCTAACGACATGAACCTAACCGATTTCAATATCGAGCTCTTAGCATCATTTTGTTGGCTTTGAGCCTGTTGTAGTTTCAAAACCTGTTCAATCTTTAAAGTACCATTTGCTTCAGGGTCATCTTTTGTTTCAGCATCGACACTTGTGTCAGGCAACAAAAGTAAATTTGATGGCTTCAAGGAAGAAATGATCAAGCTCAAAGATCTCAAATCTACCAATCCAGACAAGTCAACAAATGACAACCCACATCTGATCAGGATCTTCTGTGAGTTGTTGGCAGAATAAGTTGAGCCAGAAGAAGCTATCGCCACTCTTTTACGAGGATGAAACAATGCGTCCAAATTTCTCTTTATGATCTCATTATTCAACATCTCTTGAGGGGTCAATTTGTTTTGGTTTTGGTTACCATCTAGTGAGTCATTATTAGTACCCCAGCTCCTAGCACCAGCTCTTTTATTCTCCAAGCTGAATTTAGTATTAGTATCATCTTTTTTCTCAAAGTCTTTGGGGTTAATAATTGCTCCATAATCATCAAAGTCTTGTTTATCTTTATTGGCAAAAAAGGGAAACATAGCATGTCTAGGTCTCAATTTATTGGTGATTTTTATATCCAATGGTAAGTTCTGTTCGAAGGAACTCTTAATACTTTCAGTTACTAAAGCTTCATGAGCGGCTGCATCATCTACAGCTATAGCTGGAACAGTACCATTGGTTGTAGTTGGAGAAACGGTTTCTATCTTTACATCGACTTTTTTGATGTCTTCAGTTCCTGGGGTTGTAGCTTGGCTTTCCGCGGTCTCTAATGGAGCCACAGGCAAATCGTCATCATCATCATCATCATCATCATCATCATCAGATGATGAGCTATCTTCAAAGTTTTCACCAGTCAAGACCTTATTTTTACGATCTCTCACTTGCTCGATTAACTTCTGTTTCCGCTTCAAGTTGATCTTCTCTCTGAAATCGGTCAACTCATTACCGACCAAGTCTTCCTCTAGGGACCAGTCGCTCAAATCTATCTGGGTTTCCAAAGGTACAGCGATTCCATCTTCAATATTGCCTTCGTTTTTTGATTTACAAAGCCTGATCCATTCCTGGTACAACTTGTGATTGACATTATTATCATAACCGAAATGTGTCTTTTCTGTTAAAATAATTGTAGTCTTTTCATCGTTACATAAAACTCTCAAAGCTTCAGACGATAACTCACCACTGTTCAAATCCACACCCGACGTGAACACTACTTTAGGTCCGGCCATCTGGGTTAACTCATAAGGAGTAGAAACCAAATCCACCTTGGAAGGATCAAATGGGAAGTGGTTTCTGTTTCCAGTATTGGTGACTATGGAATTTGCATTTTCCAACTCTTTGGAAAGGCTTGGTGACATCCATTCCAACAAGTTTGTAGCGTATCTCAACACATTTGTACCACTATAAGACAAGAACAACACTGGGATTGGAGCACTCTGGAGATGCTCATCCACCAAGTGCAATAGTTCCAAGAACCTTCCACTGATAGTTGTGGGCAACAACACGGTTCCTCCGTTGGCAAGAGTACCGTCTACTAATTGTAAAAACTTCTCGGATCTTTTTTTGTGGGATAAGTTAGAGCCCACGTCGGTCCCCGTAACTAAAGCGGTTGGTCTCACTAATTGAGAGAGTGGATTTCCTGTGGATGACGATAAGAAACTAGCGGCACTCAAAAATGAGTCTTTGGAGTGGTTCCAGCTTGGAGCATAGATGATTTTTTCCAACTTTCTTTGAAGAAGCCAAAAGCTACCTCCCAAAGTATGTCCCGAGTTATAGGGAGTGATAGCTAATCTCTCCAATGCATTTGTAGACTGATAATACTTTAAGCTGATCACTCGATCAAAATATTCGTCCACATCACTCACTTCTAAAACTGCATCCTTCAAAGGACCTATGAGTCCTACCGATCGATATAATTCCACAGTCGACACTCTTCCTAATTGACTTACCGCTGATGTGGCATACACCTTGATGTTTTTCATGAGCTCTGGAAACTTCAAACATAATAATGCATAACCCCCAATGAATTCTGGGGTTGAATGGGACAATAACACCAAATTGACCAGTTTTAAGGTATCTTGCAAATAGTCCAAATCATGGTGATCTTTTCCATTCCAAGAGATATCTGCCAAGATGTTGACATCCCCATCAATAGTCATCAACGAAGCCTTGGATGAATGGCCATCCGCCGGTGTCAATAACGTGAATGTGAACATCGTTTGCCGCAGAGACGTACTTTAGGAGCTGAAAATTTTGAGTCGCGAGAAACTGAACCATCTATTTTGCTAGAGCACTTGATTTTAAGATTTACCGTTTAAACAGTCAAACTAGACTTAATATTACTATGAGACATATATATATATATAAACAAGAACGAAACATACCGGGGTAGCTAATGATCAAAGTTGATACTTGTCCTTGTATGGTAGCTTATGAGCGTTTCTGCCTGGGTTAAACCAGGAAGCTCGTGTGTGGTGCTGATTCTAGTCAATCCGCCTCCACCTAATTCTCCGTTATTGATCATCTGCTTTCTGAGCTTATCAAGATCGATAGGCTTATGGAAACTGCTGTTCATTTCCTTAGCAAGAGTATTGCCCCTGGATCTATTGATTGTTGTTTTTCTTCTGATGGACTTGAAAGTCTTAGCAAACGGATTATGATCATTCTTTGGTTCAGAGCTTGCACTTGAGTGCACACTTTGCAATTCTTGTTCAAACTTCGCCAAAGCATCGGGATCGATTTTGTATAATTCCTTCAACAACCTGTGTCTTTCCACATCTTCCATATTAGTAGGATCATATCCTTGTGGATAATCATCGTATGCACCTTGTCTAACCTTTTCTCTGATAATATCAATATCCTTAGGTCTAAAGTTGGTCATCAACAAGTCATAGGTAAATCTAGGTAACAAGCAGATGAGCACACTAACAAAGTAAACACACCACAATGACAACGTACCCAAAGTTTGGGCACCAGCTCCATAGAATTCTTGGGAATTGGTAGTTGCACTCCAGACACCGACCCAGAAGAACACCACCAAGATAGAAAGCGAATAGATAATCAAACTTATGTAATCCCATCTATATTGCTTTAATAACACATAGATGTCACAGGAAGTCACACAGATAGCACAACATATAACACCTTGCCAGAATCGGTGATCAACGGCCAAACCTTGCGGGTTTTGGAAGGACAATCTGAAAGTCAAAATCACAAAGAAAAATGCAATCACAGATTGGTATAATCCGTCAAACATATACCACGTGAACTTGGTTTGAGTCCAATCTTTTCTCAAAATACCTGATCTGTACAATGGAGGAACAAGTAAGGAAACAGTGTCTGAAACATCTTGGTCGAACACAGCCAAAAATATAATTGGCAATGAAGTAAAAGCCAAATTGTAAAACATCAAAAATGTATACTCATAGTAGTAGGAACCATCGAAGTTATTGTAGACACCGTACCAGAAACATGTAAAGGTAAAAACCACGTTCTTATAGAAAAAACAAGGAATCATCTCAGCCAATCTCTTGTAAGACCACCTGCCGTGAACCAACAATAACCTGGTCAAGAATCTGAACTGGCCAATGGCATAGTCAGCTGACATAACTGCCTGTCGACCCTCTTCTCCGGCAATACCCACTCCAACATCGGCAGTTTGAATCATGGCTACATCATTAGCACCATCACCAATAGCCAAAGTCATAACTTGTAAATCATTCTTTACCATTTTAACGACCTGTGCCTTCTGTGCTGGGGAAACTCTGCAACAGATGACAGATTTACATTGTTTACCCAAGTATAAGAACTTCTTCTTCAAGTAAAGCTGCTTTTCTGTCAACCCGTCAATTTCATTTCCAAATACAAGAGCCAATGCAGCCCCGTCAATGATCAAAGCCAAATCATTCGTAGGAGTCGAGTGGTCATTAATGGCCGTCTTGATCAACTGATCAACACCCGCATTGGATAAATCAGTAATTCCAAGATCTTGTTGTAAATACTTGGAAACTAATTCATCAACTGGATCTGCATTGGTAGAATCATCGTCATCAGGCTTTACAACCAATAACTTCATGCTGGTGGTCAATAAGTTACAACTGAAACCAATGTTGATGGCAGTCTCGATACGATCACCAGTTAACACCCACAACTTGATACCAGCCTCTGATAACAATGAAATGGAATCAGGGACACCTTGTTGTAATCTATCTTCAATGGCGGTTCCGCCTAATAATACCAAGTTATTTTCAATTTCTTCACTCAACTCTTCAAGGATATCATCGCGATCGTCTTCAATTGAGGCCTTGGCTTCCTTGTAACGTTTTAACCATTGATTGAAAGAGTAGGAATCCACCTCTTTCTGGGCAATACACAAGGTTCTCAAACCTTCTTTGGCATATTCTTCTAAATGCAAAGCAGTTTTTGAAATCACATTGGATGAGTTACCAGATTTGCTCAATCGTTGAAAAATGACATTATCAGCACCTTTACAAAGCAATAAAATCTTCCCTTCAGGTGTTCTAACAAAGCATGACATTCTCTTTCTAGCTGAAGTAAATTGAATAGTTTCTAACAATTCATACTTTTGTTCTTCGCCATAGACTTCAACTGTCAAAAGATTTCTTTGTCTTTCTTTGAAAGTTATACCAACATCTCTAGCGACAGCCACCAAAGCAGCTTCATCCGGAGATTCAGCCTTGTAATCACGAAGACTTTCGTCAAATGCATTGACTTCAGTCATAACAGTGTGACATAACGCCAATGCCAACATGAAAGTCTCGTTAGCAGCCTTTTGAGTTTTATCAAGAGTTTCAGGAACAAGCGTGTCCTTGACGTACTGACTGGAGATAAAGGTTAAGCTTTCCTCTCTGAACTGATCGTTTTCAGAGAACTTCTCAAGGTCGTCTACCATTACAGCCTTATCAGCTGCGATTTTATTCTTCCACATTTCCAGTTGTTGGATAATATCAACACCATTTCGTCTATCCAAACCTTGTTTAGCTTCAGAGTATGCAAGCCCATAAGACACACCATTGATGGTTGATTTCTTAAATTCCATGACATTTTGAGTCAAGGTTCCAGTTTTATCACTGAAAACATACTCAATTTGTCCTAAATCGTCTGAAATGTTCCAAGATTTGGGAATACATGGGTAATCCAATTTGTCATAGTACATTTTAATATCGGAAAAAATAAAGAAAGCTTGACATGTCTTTACAATCTCTACCGAAATGTACAACGAAATAGGCACTAAGGACTGATAAACGATCAACACCACAAAGAAACAGATGACACCATTAATGGCGGCCGTGGATCCATAGGCTTGGAACTCATAAAACACTCTTGAGGTATCACTTTTGTTGTAGAAAATACCATTTACAATGGCAGAGACAAAACACATGATGAACACAAGAGCAAAATTGATGAAAACCGATAAGTTCAACTCTCTAGAGATTCTAGAGGCTTTGGTTGGGGTTATACCAGAGTTAAGCATGATCTTAGATTCTTCACCAGTGTAGACCACCAACCCAATAACCCATTTGGTGTTTCTAAGAGTTGAACCTCTCAACATCACATTGTCATTGTTAACGGGTTCTTTCTCATCGGGATGAATCAAGTTACCCTCCTTATCATAGTCTTCGTAATGAATGGTACCTTTGAAACCGTACAAGTTTGCATTTGGAGGATCACATTCAAGCCAGAACTTAGTATTGGCCAAGTCATTAGAATGCTTCAAATGGTTGGCTCCACCAGCTTCCACGCACTTTTTGACCTTCAAGTTTGTTTCCCCATCCAAGTTCTTGGTCTCAATAAAACAGTTACCTTCGATATCTGAAGTGGATACAAGAACCATGTCAGCAGGAACTTCTTCATTAGCTCTTACTCTGATAAAATCTCCCACACTCACATCTTTCCAGCATCTGTTTTTAAACTTGAAATCACCATCCTTACCATAGTTTTCCTGGATTAATGTCGGATTAATAAGAGAATGAGCAATTTCTTTAGGCTTTACCGAAAACTGGTGAGACCTTCTACCAGCACTCTGGAACGAAGCCCGGTATCCATTCTCAGCAATGGAAGTATCAGAAATGATTGTTGATACTCTTCTTAAGTCGGTGTTATAGATCTGCTGTTCCTTACGTATAAACTCTTGTTTGGTTTTCTTATTGGTGAATGTCATGATGGCACCCTTTTTGAGCACCTTCATAATTGATCTAACCACCTTGGTATTGGCTTTCTTGAACTTTCTCCATCCACTGATATCATCCTTCAATACATTGGTATTGTGAACTCCATGGAGCAAGTGTATGGGGGAGTTGTTCAAGTCATAATCACTGGAACCTCTTCTATAATCCTCAAAGGCATCTCTTATGGCAGTGATACACACAATGACAATTAATGGCACAGCCGCCAACCCGGGGTTCGGCACACCAAAGATCTGGAAAATACCCAAAATCACCAAAAGCAAGAAATATGAGTTGGCGGCATTTCGAAATTGGAACAACAAGTTCTTGGGTAAGAAACTCAATACGGTGTATTTGGTAGTTCTAATCTTATTTCTGGCGTAGGTTAACACAGGTTTGCCAAAAGCATCTTTCATTTCACTAGGAAGTTCCTGGTTGACAAACACATATCTAGGGGTCTTGAAGTATATCTCCTTCATGTACTGAGGCATAGCACTCAATCCTTTTCTGTAGAAATATCGTTGTACTTTCAGCTTGAAATTTGGAGGGTTGGTAGTCACTATCCGTTGAACACTGGAAGGCCCTTGCTTTTCAACCGTTTCACTATCTGAGCTGGCGCTCTGTTTGTCGGAACCGATCTTTTCATCACCCACAGCCGGTAGTTTCTCCTCGTCATTAACCTCAGGTCTATCTGAAGAGTAGACGGAGGAAGACTGGTGAATCTCGTCCGAAGACATGGTGTTTATTTCTAAAATTCAACAGGCTGACCTCTTACAAAGATAGAATAGGAATAGCTATAAAACAAGCTATCTAACAACTAATGTGATGAGTGAAGCGAGATTCAGGGTCAGTGAGAAGGATGTTATTGCAGTTTTTCTCTGCCCTGTGCGGGTGTAATCTCAAAGTTCGGGCGGCATGGACGGAACAATCAGTCTGCCGTAGATGAGCACCAGAGAATGAGAGAGCCATTAAACTACAGGTGGCTGATACCGGAGAAATAGGCTATACATGCAACCACTATCAATATCCAATAATGACATTAACAGGTGTATAGACGGGTTTAGCAAACATAAAGGCGATTTTGGGCCGGTAATAACGCCGCGTGCGAGACGTCCGTGGCAAGCAGCCGGCTGACGGCCGGACATTACCTCATCTCAGGACTGGGGGTGATGCACGCCCGCGCATGGAGATCGGATTGCGCACGCTCAGGTCGGCCTTTCGTCGAACTTTCGCAATGGTGAAAAATTTTAGAACTATACACCAAATTCAACTATGTCTATCGAAGAAATCCCACAAGGCGCCGACATCCAAGTCATCTCTAAGAACGAAAAGAAGGCTAGAGATGCCATCAAGAAATTCAACTTGAAGCAAATCAAAGGTATTTCTAGAGTCACCTTCAAGCAAAGAGGTAACCTCATTTATGCCATTGACACCCCAGAAGTCTACAAGTCTGTTTCTGGAACTTATATTGTCTTTGGTGAAGCCAAGGTTGATGACATCAACCAAAGGTTCGCCGACCAAGCCGCTGCTGGTGAAGATGACCACGAAGGTCACGACCACTCTCACGAAGGCCATGATCACTCTCACGAAGACAAGTCTCCAGAATCCATTACTGCTGACTTGGAAAAGGCCAGCTTAGGAGGAGCTACCGTTGAAGAAGAAGATGATGACGAAGAAGTCGATGACACTGGTTTGGATCCTAAAGATATTGAAATCATCATTGAACAAACCAAGGTTTCTAGAGCTAAGGCTGTCAAGGCTTTGAGAAAGCACGACGGTGACATGGTGAACGCTATTATGGAATTCGCTTAGATAGTAATATACACGTTATCATTAATGTTATGCCCCTAGGCGTGTTATCGCGACACCAACTTAGGTGTGGGGCTGGGACGATTCTGCCTCGGGGCCTTCATTGACGGGGGAAATTTCAGGTTCTTGATCCTTCTTCACGGGAGAAATGTCAGCTTGTTGATCCTCCTTAACGGGGGATATGGATTCCTTTGGCTCTGTTTGAGGGATAGATGCTTGTGGCGATACTGGCGTTGCCAATGGTTTTGATTCTGGTCCTGGATTTGTAGAAACCGGGTTCTCCGTACCATCTCCATTCAAAAACTTGCAATAGGGACATACGAATGTGACGGTGGCCGGGTCCTTGGTGCTGGGAGGAGCCAACCCGCAGTGGTTGAAGCATTTTTTGCAGATTAACGCATAACGATTCTCGATAGATTCGTCCTCAGATCCAACGAGAATATCAAGAATCCGGTCTTGAATAGTCCGCTTACTGGGTCCGGGTGGCGCCTGCTGAAATGTGGGATTCGTGTTTCCCAGTTCCTGATGTTTCGTAGGTGGAAGTTTACCGGTAGCAGCTTTAGCAGCAGTGTTAGCTGGAACAGCACTCTTTACTTCAGGGGTACTATTCTTCTTGGGTGAGTCGTACTTTGTCAACAACTGGTTGGTGGTGTTGTAATTGGTCAACTTCTTTAATTCGTCAATCTTGGCCTTCTGCTTTCTTTTCAACTTCCGGGCCTTATTGCTTCTGGAACTGATCATTAACGTGATAAGCTTCCTCAATATGTATGCAAGTAAAAATCCCACACCGGGTATACCGCCAATCACCAAGAGCTGGGATCTCAGTTGATTGGTTAGAAACCACTTGAGATAGTTGACATGCCCCGAATTGGCTGGCATTTTGACTATTAAAACACTCATCACCAACACATAAAAGATCGAGAAGTAGTAGGCAATGCTGTAGACGATGCGTTTTTTCAAATCATTCAACTTGAGCATCTCCTGGTGGTTCTTGTTGATGGCGACGTTGATGTCACTCAACTCCTTCTCAAATCCTTCAATGTCAAGCTTACCGCTTGAAAAGAGCTTGAACACACCCATACTTAGCAACTCTATTGTGGCCAAGTTTCGCGATTCATTGTAAAACGCAATGAGATAAAAGGTACGTGCACCGTGAAAATCCGTAGAAGAGTAAGTTGGAAGTGCACGCCCAAGATTAGCCGACCCTAGTTTGGAAAAATATTGAGCACAGATTCCCTGCGTGTGTACACCAACCAAGATAAATTATCAAGAGTGGTGTTCATTTAAAATGGGATTAACTGGAGTACCTTCGGAGGAATTCAAGAGTTCCACACTGAGTGGACAGCCTTAGATTTGCAAGGGCCAAAAAAGTATAACGTGGTTCCGTGGTCTAGCCGGTTATGACGTCTGCTTAACACGCATAAGGTCCCCAGTTCGATCCTGGGCGGAATCATTTTTTTGATGTTCAACTTGTTAAGCTGAAGGGTTCTGTGTCCTAATTGCTCTTTGTGCACTTAACTTTAAATTCGTGGTGGGATCACTATTTCAAGTTGTTGATTTGTTGATATGTTCATCCAGATCAACTTTGAAGTTGGATAGAACTATCTCTTTCTTATCGATTTTAAATAAGAGGTGAAAATCTAAAATTCGTTATTTTTGCAACTAACTCCTTAAATGGAAGGACCATATTAAAGACTGTTAAAAAACAAGACAAAATGAAGTATGGTTCACAAAAGTTCACTATGGCATACGGATATATTGTGCTTTCATAAGTAAATATAAATTTCACTTTTCTTCCACCTTATCGTTGACCAGATAAAAGTGAACGCTCTTCAGAGTTTCACATGGGTGAGTCTTGGAATAGTTAAAACTCTCCAAAACCACCTTTTTCACGGCTTCAAAGCTCTCTTCAGAAACCTGGTAGTGGAATGCAATACGGTTGCCCAGCAACTTAATTCCGTGTTTTTTCAGCTGCTCAGCCAAATAGTTGACATCCATCTTATTCTTCACCAAGTCGAGAAACACAAAGTTGCTGTCCACGGGGTGAGACAAAGCAATACCATGATCGTCACATAACTTTCCTAATTCCTGAGCTCTCTCATGGGTTTTCTTCAACTTCCCCCAATTCTCATCAATTGCAACGATAGCCATTTCAGCCAAAAGTCCACTTTGACGAATCCCCCCTCCGTTCTGCTTTTTGAAGTGATTAGCCTTATTGATGAACTTGCGGTCTGAAACCAAAATTGAGCCAATTGGAGCTCCAAGAGTCTTGGATAAGCACAACGAAACTGAATCAAAATATTTACAGTACTCGTCAATAGGAATACCAGTTTCGACAGAAGCGTTCCATAAACGAGCTCCATCTAAGTGCAATCTAACGTCGTTCGCCTTGCAAAAGGCACTGATTTTCTTGATTTCATCAAGTGGGAAAATCATCCCGTGTAAAGTGTTTTCCAAAGAAATCAACTTGGTGGGAGCACCGTGGATTTCACCATCATCAGGGACAAACTTAGGCAAAATATCGACCTCCAAAGTCAAATAACGACCGTTTTTGGGCTCAATTGTAGTTGCCATCAACTGACTCAAAGTGGCTATTCCACCAGCCTCATGGACATAAATATGGCTTCTGGCATCACAGATCACGCTGTATGGTGGTTGGAGTAGGTTTGTACGAATGGCAATCTGATTGGATAATGTTCCACTAACACAATACAAACCAGCTTCTTTGCCGGCAATTTTAGCAACTTTGTTCTCTAATTTGATGGTTGAATCGTCCTCGTTGTAGACGGCATCACCTAAAGAAGTATGCAAAATGGCATTGGCCATTGACACCGTGGGGGTGGTGAAGGTATCACTACGGAACTCATTGTGAGCTGGACTTTGCTGGTTAAACACAGAAACTTCAGATGGTTGAGTCATTTGATGAAAGTATTAGGGATGTGAAAGAAAAAATGAATCTAGAGCATTTTGATGCCTTATGGGTTCGGAATCAGAATGCGAATGAGTCAGAAAAGTGGGTCACAGTTATGAAATTGGGTTATAAGGCTACGGAAGCTGTTCGTTCATAGGTGATCTACAAATAGAAACCTTCTGGGTTGTACGGTAATTTTTTGGTGAAAAAATGGGAATCAGGTTGTTGCCTCAGAGTACTTTAAGGTGAGGTCCTAATACCACTCAATTGACCCTAATTACACACAGAGAATCAGAAATCCCACTGGAAGAGTACTCATGGTACAGTTGCTACCTCTTCATTACTCCTTTCTGCGAAAACCTATTCTACACGTAGTATATTTACGCTCTTGGTCGCAATTCGCTAGTCGGGAGTGTGCGGCGGCAAGCTCACACCAAAGGTTTGATTGCGAACTATTTGCAGTTGCCCCTATTTCTTCCTTTTAAACACCATATCTCTAAGATGGACCCTGACCAGGACCATATACTTACCAAGCCTGGTTGTATCACGTATACCCATCCATTGTTGAAAAGAACAGCGACAAATAGCCATGCGTCCACCGAAAATGTCCTTCATAATTCTCATACCTCCACAAATGGCCGTAAAGATGATAATATGGAAATAGATGAGTTTCTTCCGGCGTTGAAACACAACTTATTGGACTGTTTTGATCCCAATAACAAACTCCGTGTTAACAACCAAGTTTCAACGTCTTTCAGTATGTTTGATCGGTTGCCCACTCATCTTATCGAAGAGATCTTCCAATACGTGAACCAATTTGATCTACTCAACTTGCTGTTGGTATGTAGCCAGTTCTATGGCCCAGCAATAGGTAGGCTTTACAAAAGAATAACGGTGGTTTTAAATGGAGAGTTTCCGGTCCGGTATAAAAATAAGAGCAACTTATTCATTCAAGAAAATGGTATCAAGTATATGGATTCGGCCCTCATTTTCAAACCCCAAAACTTGATGTTGCTACTCGATACCCTCAAGAGAAACAAGACGTTGGTGTCCAAGGTGAATTTCTTTGTGTTTGACAAATGCAACTCCTTGAAAGTGGATAATATTCCTGTGGGGTTTGTACAAAATCAAATCATGGACTTCTTTGGAGCCAACTCATCTGATATCCATTTCTTGCACATTACCTTCATCGAATTCTTTCATTGTATCGACAAGTTAACAGAGTTTCTCCGAAATAATAACGTTCGGAATAAGGTGTTTAAGCTTTTTGTCACCAAACTAAACGAACTTTACATTCCTTGTGTGCCCCAAAACCTAACGAACCTTTTTTTGATGCTTGATGAATCGGAATTGGCAGACATAGACGAGATAGACTTGTCAAGTGCTCCCTACAACCTTTTTTATTCTCTTTTCACCCTTGCTTGCAGCACCAATAACCAGTTGGGGCTCGAAGTGCTATCTAAAATCAAGCTCTTGGACCCAGAACTCAAACTCAACCTTAAAGGCCTCACACTTTTCCACTGCCACAAAGAATCGATCATGGGAGATGAAGAAGGAAATAATTCCGATCCCGTAAGCTTTAACTCAAATATCCTCCTGCGCCCTGAGTTAATGAACTTTTTCGACGGCATAGACAAGCGACTTCGGTTTGATATCCTCGACAGCAAGATAAATGTCGCCTCGTTGACAACCCTACATCTAAAGATCGATTGTAATGAACACCGTTATAATAGTTGCAACTGCTTTTCTCAGTTCTTTATGGACTTCACCAAATACTCAGAGGAGCACGATGGTCTTCCCAATTTGACCAACTTTGAAGTGGAACTTTTCCCCAACCTCGAGTGGCTCCGCCCACATCAGATTCTTGAAAATAATCTTACTCCTTTGAGTACGTTTGTCACGTCACTTTCGAGTCTTTCTCGTCTTACAATTGATCTTTCAACTCCAGGATTTAAGATGTTCGATAACTCTATGGGGATGACGTCTTTCATTCTCAATCGACTCAATGAGAGGCTTATGGAAGCGTTCTTCCTTAGGTTTTTCACCACCGGTCTGACTAGAACCCGGTTAAACCTCAAGACCCTCCATCTTCCAGACTTTCTTACGTCCTTCATATACTACAAACCCGACTTTTACAAGTCCCTCTTGCACACCTGCAAATGTTGGGGTTGTCAACTTTTGTTGAATAAGCTCAAGGATCTTTTCCACCCGCTAATTGAAGATGATGATGATGACGATGACGACGAGGAAGATGATGAAGCTCGATCAGAGGAAATGGATATTCAATCCACCTACTACATTCTCATTGGTTTCATTTTGGGTAAGCTTCAGGCCGACAGAGAAGTATGTGTACCTATCAAGCAAAACGCCTTCAACTACCGCAACTATCCTATCTACAAAGGAGCTCCTCATACGCTCCATAGCCATTTTCACACCTCTAATCTGGGGAGCAAGTGCAAATGTGGGATTAGCAACGGCGTAGCTGACATAAACGAAGACCCAAATGGCTTGGAAGCACTCAGCATAGATAATTTGGTGACCACATACGTGGTACATCAACTCAAGCCCATTGTGGAGTTTCTTCCGCTGTTTTTCGTTCAACTTGATAGCCTTATGATCCACGGCATCTACTACGAGAAGCAAGGCAGCGGAATGGTGCCGATTTTCGATGAGCAGGAATATCCCTGCGAGTTTCTAGCTGAGAAAGACCTCGAAATCAGGCTGGGTTCTCATCCAGATTTACCGTTTGGGAAATTTCGTAAGTAATAGGATAGATAGACGAGTGAGAGTCGGTCGCATTTTATGTAGTTCGCACATCGCGGCAGCCTGACCCTTTTTTTCTAATCGATCAACACCAAGCTGAGGCAGCCAACATAAAGGGCAACTGTATATAACTGACGTTTCTGTAACTATCCTCCAATAATGGATCTCAATCCATTATCACAATTAGATCCCAATAGCTTGGAGTTTGATTTGAATGAAAATTTCTTCCAAAATGATCTTTTCGATAACCCGCCCATTGACAGCTTAAACATGGACAAACCACCTCAAATGGTACCCATGGCCATTCACCAACAACTGCAACAACGGCGACAAAGCTCAGCTCCCAAGAAACAACAGCCCCATGTCGGGGCCGACAAAACTCCCGTTGACAGCCATCAAGTACTTGTGGCGTTTCTCTATGTTTATCTCACTGAGAACGACTTGCACGAGTCCGCCAAACAATTACTTTCAGAAACAAACACAGGCCACGGACAGTTAATTTCGATCAAGAATGAGTTCAGTAAAATGAGTGCAGCTAACGGTGGCCCATCTTCCGAGTCAGAGTCGTTTTTACTCGAGTGGTGGAATATGCTTTGGAGCTCTCAGCTGAGTTTGCACCCAGGATTAAACCAGCTACTTCACACGCCGGCAGTCCTAACTAATAACAACGGCGACTCTAGTGCTCCTACCACGGCTGCTGCTGGGGTTCCCAAGCAGGGACAAATGGCTAATGCTGGGATGATTCAGTATCAGCAACAGCTTCGAATGCAACAAATGAGACTCCAAAGCCAGCAACAACAGCTCCTGACTCAGGCAAACCCACAACTCTATCTCCAGAGTCCAGTACTTGTGAATGGTCAAAACCGTCAAAGGCTCAATGATCTTCAGAAGAGGCAGTTTATGATGATGAAGCAGAACCAACAACAAGCCCAGGCGCAAGCACAGCAAATGCAACCTCAGCGACGTCCTTCACAACCCATGAACCCCCAGCAGGCCCAACAGGCCCAACAGGAAACGATGATACAACGGCAGCAGATGCTTATGAGACAGCAACAACTACTGCAACAACAGCATCAACAGCAGCAGCAACACCAATTACAACAACAACAACAGCAGCAACACCCACAACAACATCCACAACAACATCCTCAACAACATGCTCAACAACATGCTCAACAACATGCTCAACAACATCCACAACAACACCCTCAACAACATCCACAACAACATCCACAACAACATCCACAACAACATCCACAACAACATCCACAACAACACCCTCAACAACACCTTCAACAACATCCTCAACAACATCCACAACAACGTCCACAGCAAGGAGTTCCTGCTCGTGTTCAACAAGGAATGCCAATGTCTCAACCTATGCCAGGACAAATGAACCAAATACCAGCACAGCAGATACAAAGGCGACCCCCGCCTGGTCAACCACCAGTGCAAACTCCAGGCCAAGGACCAATGATGTCTCAAGGTCAAGGACCTCCGATGGGAAACCAGCAGATGCACCAGATGGTGCAACAAGGTGGAGGTCAAGTACCTCAGCAGCGTATGATGATGGGCCAATCCAGTGATGATATGAAGAACAGTCTTATGGCAGACTCGTTTTTAGAGTCTGACTGGTTCAGCAGTATGGGAGCTGGCCCTGGGTTTTAGCTAACAGATTTTCTATGGTAATGAAGGTCAATTCGTTTACTTTTAGTACCAGTAATTTCACAAGATGTGGAATAATTCTTTCTTTCTGTACATTATTGTATCTTATAGAGCTTTCGACGTATGCATAATTAATTGTATTGGTTTAGGTTACCTCGCTTACGTAGAATGGCTGCGAAACCACCATGTGATTTGATGCTCGCTCCATAACAAAAAACAAATCTCACTGTCACTTTACAACAGAAAAGGTGAAAGCTTTTCACAACGACTTTCACGTCTTATACGGTTTGTATTCGGATCCTGATTCCACCGCAGGTTGTCCTGCAACATACCTACTGCCAATTGAACAACTGAATCCGGTTACACCATGAACTTTGATCGGATTTCTCACTTGGCATCGTATTTCCACGGGGATCAACATATCCCCAAACCTCCACCAACGGACAGGTTCGGGAGCTTTGATGCCCTAATACCATCCAATGCCATGAGTGATTGGGGGATCGAAGAAACCTTGAGCAATCCCAGCACAAACACTCCTTTTCTCCATTTTCAAAAACCCCTCGATGATTTGGTGTCTTATCCACAAAGCCATGATTTCAACTATTACTATAACCAGACTGACATTTCTCTACCGCCTACTACACAGAATTTATCCAAATATATCAAAAAGTATCTTCATTTGCGGTTGAATGGGGAGTTTTGGGATAAATTCAAGTACAATCTAATTGTATCAAACCTTCTTGATGACTCTATGATATTGTCAAAAAATGAACAGGCGTTGAACAGTCTATCAGAGAATTCACATAAGTTTGTCATGAGGAATTCAGTGTTCTATCGGATACTTAATAGTGATGGTTCTCAGTTGGTCATAACCAAGGACTACAACCTTCAGTTTCCTAATAATTATTACTACAAGAATCACGTATTATCAGTTGTATATTTGGTGATATACTTATTGAAACAAAAATTCGACCAGAAATTGGACTTGAACACTCAGATGAATATGTTCAAGGTGCTTTTGATCATAGCTACGAAATTCATCAAGTTTAAGAGAGTTTACACCATCATTCAAATGAACAAAATACTCAACAAATTAAATGAGTTTTTGATAAATAACTTTAAGATTAACAAGAAAATAATCCTTAATTTGGTGAACTTGAAGAATTTGAAACTCTTCCATGGAGCTCAATTAGCAGAGTTTTTCTCTCAGTTGAATGGTACCCTCGACTTTCTCATATTCAATGTGAAGTTCTCCATCATCAAGTTATTACCAAACTTAAATGGCCCTATGTTTGAAAGATACTGCACAATCAATAACATCAATCTTGATTTTGATGAAGATGAAGAAGATCCTAATGACCCAAATAATGACATCAATAAGATTGTTGCCAAGATCAACAAGTTCAACGAATACCGAAAGTTCTTGATATGTCAGTTGCTAACGATAGATGAGAGACCAGAAAAGAATTTCTTCATTTCCAAAATCATAGACAAGTTCGGCTTGAATGATTTGGAGTTTGAAATGAATGAGTTGACCAATGTGTCCAATTTTGAAAAATTGCTTATATTAGAAGAGTTCTTCACTGATCACAACAAGATCCTAGAGAACTTTCAGTTATTATTCGAAAAATTCGAAAAAATCAATAACTTGAACCTAAGTTTGAACTTGAACGAAAATGAAGACATATTGAAGTTGACTTCAAGACATCAAAACCAATCAAGCAATGCGAATCTCAATCAATTGATATTGAAGCTTTCGAACTTGACGATAAACATGAGGTTTTTTCAAAAGTATAACCAGTCAACAATCGAGAACAACAACGAACTCAGCGAGAAAATTACCATTTTGAGCCAATTCAGCGATGATTTGAATGCCATTAACGAACTTTATCGATTGAATCTTCAGGAATTCAAGCACCTGGCAAATACTTTTGAAAATGATGAGCTTATATCCAATTCGTCTAACTCCAATCGGAACTCAAGGAATAGTGGTGAATTTAATTTGAAGTCTTTTCACACCAGGCACAAGAAGGCTTTCTCAGGATCTTCGAACAAATCACCGCAACTTCCACTTAGGTCTCCGAATCCCGATGATGACAGTTCTAAAAAGTTGTCATCGGGCTTGAAGTTAGGATTGTTGACTGTATTCGAAGACGAGAACAAAAATTCCCATGACAAACTCAGAAAGTCATTGAAGATGCTTGATGACAACAGTGACTTCAACCAAATTACACTCGACTCTTTATCAAGAAGAAAGGCTGGTCGTTTTTCGATAAACTCATTGAACTCAAATGTCAGTGGTTTATCTGAAATCCTCACTTCAACACAAGGAACCTCTTTTGACGAAGATGATAATTCCTTGAGTAAAGATGACTTGAAGTTGAAGTTGGAAGAAAGCTTGAACAAAATCTACAACTTGGAAAATCAGGTCCGGAACCAAGAATACCAAGGTTCGATAGATGTTGACGCCAGAAGCAACACTTCCCATGAGGATAGAGTAAACGAGGATATCAATATGAATGAAACCACTATCAGTCGTTCATTCTTGGATACCTTAGAGACAACCTTAAATAGATAATTTTAATGAATGATAACTTGTATTCTTTGCCTATACAATCATATATGTTAATTCATAGGAATTGCAAAACCCGCTAATACTTATTCTGTAGAAGCATTGGAATTTTGGGGCTCGGGAGTAGCACTCTTGTCATCAGAATCACCTCCCAACAACAAATAGGCAACATCTTTCTTCTTATCTTTAGTTTCATCCTTATGAGTGGTGCTCTTGCCTTCCATAACCACTTGTTGCACTTGTTCTTTTTGCTTGGCTCTATCTCTCATTCTCTCTTCAATAGTACCCCTTGCCAATAACCGATACACAGTAACTTGTTTTGTTTGTCCCAATCTGTGTGCTCTATCCATTGCCTGAGAGTCAATAGTAGGATTCCAATCCGAATCATAGAAGATAACCGTATCAGCTGCGGTCAAGTTGATTCCCAAACCACCTGCTCTAGTACTAAGAAGGAAAACAAAGATTTCAGGTTTATTTTGCCAATCGTGTACAAGGTCTCTTCTATCATCCAACTTAGAAGAACCATCCAATCTAATGTAAGTGTGTTGTCTATAGGTCAAGTATTCTTCCATAAGATCCATCATTTTCGTCATCTGGAAGTAAATTAACACTCTATGATCATTCTGCTTCAATTCTACCAATAATTGGTCCAATCTTGCCAATTTACCTGATTCAGTTATAAACCGGGTCATTGAAGGCATTCTGATATTAGAATAATCAATCAACTTGTTCAACGGAGCTGGCAACATATTGGATTTTGGATATTGGGTAACTGGCACTTTCTTTTGCATCAAGTCATACTCAGTGTTCAATGACAACGGGTACAAGCCAGAACGAATACTAGAATCGAAAAGGGTATCATTTACATGAAAGTTGAAGCTGTTACTATTACAGTTGAAAGTAATAGGAGGAGCTGTGGCTATTGGTTCAGCAGCTGGTTTCAAGGAACTGACTTTCATGTCTTCATAAACCTTGGTTAACACTGAATACAATTCCTTCATATGCTCTGAGTTGCTGACCAATGAGTAATTGTTTTCATAGTCCGAGATCAACAACTTCTTGTTCTCCGGAACATATTCTCCATCATAGAGGTAGTTGAGTCTATTGATTTTCGAATAGTTGATATCGGTGTACTGTTTGTGAGCAATAGCTCTGGTCAAGATGTGTTGGTGCATCAACTTGTTAGTTTCTGACTTTGTAGTATCAACAAACCTGAGCCAGCTATGATCTTCTTCAGCTTGATTAGCCGGATCGTAAATATTAAACATGCCGCTTATTTTCCGCTTGATTCCAAAGTCACTATTATAACCAGGTGATAAAAGTTCATCATAGACCAACCTGGGCAAATCAAAGTTGATCAAGTTTTTGGTGGTGTACAGAAGCTCAAGATCATTAGATTCTCTCATGAAGGATTGTGTGTCACTGAAGGTAGAAAATGCAAAACTGGACTTCACGTCAGCTCTTTCAAATAAATCTGGATGGTTACACACTTTTCTGAACTGCATAACCAAGTTGATTAATGTTTGTGCCGAATCATCATCACTTTTGTTGTTGTTAGCGGTATCCAATAAGTCCATAATGGAGATTTGAGATCTCAACATCTGGTAGTACTTCTTTTGACGGTTGGTCAAATCACAGAATAAATCGATTTCAACCTTATCACCCAATTCACTTTGGACATTCTTCTTGATACGTCTTAACATGAAGGGTTTCAAGATTACATGCAATCTCTTCAATTGTTGCTCGTTCAACTGGGTGTTGGACTGGGCATGACTTTCAATATCCTTGGAAAACCAGTCACTGAACTCGTCATGAGAGTCAAACAATGAAGGCATGATGAAATGCAATAAAGCCCACAATTCTTGCATAGAGTTCTGGATGGGTGTCCCCGTCAACAACAATCTGTTTCTACAGTTGAAACCCAACAAAGATTTCCATCTGGAACTCTGCGAGGACTTGATGGCTTGCGCTTCATCCAAAATCATGTATTGCCATTTCATCTTTTGGAAATAAGCAGCATCAGCAACTACCAACTGATAACTTGTTACTAGAACATGGAATGGTGAATCTTTGGTGTACCTCACGTTCTTTCTGTCCCAAAATTTCCTCAAGACTTTTCTGTCTTTGGAATTTCCCCAATAAGGCAACACTTTGAATTCAGGCACAAACTTTGTAATTTCTTGCTGCCAATTGTGCAACGTAGAAGCTGGAGTCACAACCAAGAAGGGCCCCCACACCCCGTGAGTCTCTGCCAAGTATGACAAGACAGAAATCGATTGGACGGTTTTACCCAAACCCATTTCGTCGGCCAAAATCCCATTAATACCTTGTTCATACAAATTGGCCAACCAATTTAGACCCTTGAGTTGGTATTCTTTCAATGTACACTTCAAAAGTGAAGGCTGGGAAATGTTGATGTCTCCCATTAATGTTGGGTTTTGGAAATTCATTTCTTCGCCATTTGTGTCTGGATTCTTCAACGGTTCACCATCAAATTCATTAGCCTTATTCTGTGCGGTTTCCAATGCCAACTGGGCATTGGCAGCAGCAGCCTTATGTAAAGTCTCTTCATCTTCATTGTCGAAATCAATTTTGTTGAAATCGGTTGCTTCGCTGCTAACTCCTGAATATTTATCATAGTTGTTTTCAGAAGGAGCTTGAGGCAAGTTGGGATCGGTGTCGTTACCTTCATACTCACTGGTCTTGATTTTCTTACCAATGAAATGAGAGTACAACTCAGTTTGAGTGATTAAGAAATTCAACTTTCTCGATTGTCTCTTTGCTTCTCTATCTTCTTCTTCTTTCTTAGCCTTATCCATCAATTCCTTTTCATGCTTACGGCGTAATTCCCGCTCAACTCTTTCATTCCTCTTCCAGAAATTGAACATTTCTCTCATGGCTCTTCTGGCCTTCGAACTCAAATCCTTCTGATTCTTGTTGTTCTTCAACTGCCACCTTTTAGCTTCTCTTGCAGCCAATATACTGGTTTTCCTTAAGTTGATTAACCGAGCTTGTGTGGCTTGTTGCATCAACCGACTGACCTTCGGACCATCTTTTCTTGACAAGTCTTTCCATATGGAAATAAATACATTTTCGTACTGCTTGGCCACAAATTTCTCTTCTTTGGTAGAGCCTTTCAACTTGTCATCATCATCATTGGAAGCCCTTTTAATTTCTTCAATCAGACCATCGTCACCATAAGCAGATTTGGAAACCACTCTCCGTTTTCGTTTTTTGGGTTCATCAGCACTTACACCACCAATTTCATTATTGGCAGCATCTCCGGCAGGAGCTCTTTTGAGTGGCCTCTTTGGCACAGGTTTTTTCGTCACCTTCGTAGAACTTCTGGTGGCCCCAAGCTTGACACGAGGCTCGCCATAAGCTTCGTACAATTCCTGTTTGTTATCAAGATACGTTTTATTCAACACTAGAATGTTGTGTTCGTCGTTGGCCAACCGGCTCCAGCGATTTTTCAACTCGGCATCAACCATACTAAGGTTGTTCAACTGGCCCAATTGGCGATCAATCTCGACCATTTTCAGTAACTTGGACTCAAGCTTAGCGAGATGAACGGGATCCACCGGTCCCAACTCCAGCTTTGGCTCTGAATAAAAAGATGGAGGTAATAATTGTCCAAGTATGTGGGATGTAGTATCATCAGAAATGCCGTAGGATGAAGATGATTGTTGGTTTTCCCCGGGTACAAAGCCATTTGTGCCTTCCGTGGCACCTGAAACTACCTGGTGCCAGTTTCCGTTCGACGTGTCCCGCAGGATGTGGTTGTCAGATGTTGTAGACGTCGATGCCAGTGTGGGATGGACGGTTGACGATGACATCAACAACCCATCATAACCATCCACTCCAGGATTGGGATTGCCATCTGAATCATTAGATAGCATAGACGAGATGTTCATGGTATTTTTAAAATAAGCTCAAATGTAATTAATTTTTCAACACACTCGCCTCTCCTTGAATGTTGACCACCAATTCGAGGAATCGGTTGATCACAAGATGGGAAAATGGCCATAAATCGTAGGGCCCGCGGGGGAGCTGGGATGGACACAGACGATGGAGAGGATGACTGACGGTGGCACCGGCTACATTTCTACGTGGTTTTAATGACGATACAGCGTCTACAAACGGATATTGATGTATTATTCCGTGTGAGAGCGGCCGTTGAAGAGGTGGTTAAGAAAAAATCGGGTGGTGGAACCACGCGTTTATGGCGGCGGAAGTGCCGATATACGATTGAACTAGTCACGGGTGTATGGTCCGAGTGTATGGGGCCATTCAAAAAACAAACTGTAGTGCCGGGCACTCGGCAAACGCAAAGGGGTTTTTCATCGATTATGCTTAGCACGCATTTTTCACTGAAAGCCGTTGCAGTTTTTTTTTTGTAGATTTTGCGGAACGTCCAATTGATTTCGCAGCTTGATGACACGACAACTAATGGTTTGCTTTTAGAAGACCAGCCTTCATCAAAACAGCTGGATAATATGGTGGATCCATCGGCACTAGTCCAATGAACCGTGTTCTGCCATTTGTTTCAAGAAGAGATGTATATTTCTATGTATTTGTCATCTAATACGCACTGAAGTGAGAGGCAGGCAATGTTGGAAGTTGAATTTTTTTGCCTTTGTCCAAGAAACTGCTGGATGTGCGTGTAGGATTGTTACCGCTTATTGTAGATTTCTCGTGTGTTAGTAGCTGTGCTTCAATTGCGTTGATATTGCTTGACTTTGATGTCCTCATCAGCAGAATCTCCTTGGATATTTTTAGGAGTTTACAGACATGAAACACTGACTCAAGTTATAAAGTCTGGATGGATTTAGATATACTAGGGTGCATTACGAGGGTGAGATAACCAACCAACCCAACATAGACATAAAAGTCACAGTTGTAATGATAGTCAGAGAAAGCTCTCTTAGGCCCACAAGAGAAAAACTAGTGGAAAACTTGATTCAATTTAAGTTTTGTGTGGTAGCCAAGGCCAAGAATAGACCTTCCAAAAGCCAACTCCCAAACCTCCACCTTCACTAAAGTAGATCTAACGTTATATAAATAGCCTTTGGGCGCGGACACGCCCCATAATTATCGCGGTTTTTGATGTGCCACTGATTTTCGCAGCTTTATGACAATGAGACCTAACGTTTTGGTTATAGGACTAGGTGGTATCGGGACGGTTGCAGCCCTCTCAATGGAGCTCAACGATAAAGCTGACGTGTCAGTAATTGTGCGTAACCAAGATGAAGAATTCTTGCAAAAGGGGTTTTTGTTTGATTCGGTATCTTTTGGCAAAACTTCCTACAAGCCAAGGGTGGCATACAAGTGTGTCGATGAGGTTGGCGATGTGTTCTTCGACTACGTGGTGGTGTGCACGAAGAACTTACCAGACTCAAAGTTGCCGTGTGAACGCCTCATTGCTCCTGCTATCAAACCGGGTACTTGTATCGTATTAATTCAGAACGGATTGGATATAGAAGTTCCAGTTCTCAACAAGTTTCCCAACAATTTGGTGATCAGTGGCATTTCGTTGACCGGGGCCTGGAGATACGGCAATAACGTGAAACATATTGCGCCCGACGAGGTTCTGTTTGGGATATTCAAGGCCAATTCGATTCCTAGGCATGAAGCGCAGCCCATCTTTGATCGGTTCGTGGATGCTTACAAACGAGACGATGCCATAATCACCATCGACGACAATGTCGAGTTGCTGAGATGGTACAAATTGTGTTACAATGCCGTGTTCAATACGACATGCACGGTGTTGAATGTGGATGTCACTAGGTGTCACATTGCCGTTGGCAATAATTCGATCTTCCGCAAACTCTGTTATGAAGTGGTTGATATTGCCAAGAGTGCTGGATACGTGCTTGAGCCGGAACGGGTCGAGTATATTCTTCACAAGAGTGACGGTAGGTTTTACCGACCATCGATGCAAATTGATAGAGATAAAAACCAGTTGTTGGAGTTGGAGGTGATTATGGGAAACCCTCTTCGGATTGCTGAAAGAAATGGTATTTCTGCACCCAATTTGATGATGATCTATAATATGCTTAAGATAATCCAGTTTGACATTAGAGAGAAGCAGGGAGAGTTCAAAATCAATCCTGATGATTTTAGAGACGTGTCTGGAGAGGATGCTCCAAAGGTGTTCAAGCGGATTCACGGTAATTAAAGGTAGTCTTAGATAAAGAATTGACCGGAGGAACCCATAGACACATTATAGAATAATAGATACCAGGTGGTTGACACGATTTTTCAGATCATATATAATGAAATATATATTATACTTGCCAGAGGTTAAGCCGATTACTAAGATTCTCAGTATATTTCAGCACCTCAAACTACCGCACCCAAAGCCTTTTGCAAATAATTTTCTTTATTACTCACATTACTCAGACAATATGGAACATCCAGCATATTCATTAGCAGGCTTATGTGCCATTGGAGGCTTTATGGGATATTCCAGAAAGGGATCGGTTCCCTCGTTGGTGGCAGGTACTGCCTTCACCATCTTATACGGGACTGCTGGGTACCTCTTGAAGCAGAATGCCGATTGGGGATTGGAAATCGCCTTAGGATCCAGTTCCGTCTTATTATTGGCTGGGATTAGCAGGTCTATTAGCTCGGGGTTCAAGAAGCCTGTGCCATTGTTGTTGTTGGGATTGGGAGCTTTATCCTCTGCCTATTACTTAAAGAAGTATGATCAGTTCTATCCTTTGTTTCTGTAAAAACATAAATATATGTCCATTTTTTTAGGTGTAGTAGAGACGAATTGTCAATTGAGCAGCAGGGGTAAGCTGTAAGCTACAGAGATTCTAAAAGCACTTTACTGTTCAGTTAGACATTGCGGCAGTTAATTGTTTGTGCGGCCGACCCGAACGGCCGAGTTCGCGGTGACAATCGTACGTTTTTTCTGCGGACATTTACCCCATCTCCGCTCTATTCATTCTTTGCGCTACAAGCTTTTCACTCATATAATGCTTTCATTCAAATATATAATATACAATCATTCCGTATCCGTAACCAGTCCCAAGTCCATGTATGCAGTGTTATAGCTATGTGCTTAGTTCAAATCCACAATAGGGACAGAAACATGCTCTGTTTCCTCAGTTTCTTCTGGTACTGGTGCTAACAATGGGGATGTGGTAGGTGATACATTAGGAATCACAAAAGGTTCGCTTACTTCAGAACCTAATGGTAAAAAGAAGTCGGGCATAGTCTGGAAGGTTTTTTTAAAGTCTGACATTGTTGTAAAGGAATAAATAATTGATGAAAAAACTGGGGCATTAGGGGTTTTTATATGTCAAGGGCCATCGGATCACTAGGAACTAATTGTCCGAATATACAGTTCACACCAAATGTCGCTCACCTCTACTATATGAATGTCGCAAACTCACAACCCAAAATTTGCCTGAGGTACGTACAAATTCGCTATCAGGAAAGATAAAGGTGCCTCTTTAAATTTTGACAATTCGTAGACAAATTTTGTAAAAGTCACACTATAAACACAGATGTAAAGGTTGTATTTCTCTCGCCAAATTTCTTGAATTCATATCATTTTCGCGAATATGGGTTGTGGGTTTGCGACATCCAGGTAGTAGAGGTGAGGATTACATTTGGTGGTTAACTGCTCTTAGATATGGGGTAACTCCGAAGTTCCGCACGCATGACTGATAATCTGACTCAGCTGGGCGGTGGCTCGGGCCGAGAGGGGGCAAATGATGGCGCGAGGGCGCGCACGCCTCGCACTGGACTTCAAATGCCGGCCTGGCCGAAAGGATCACCACCCGGCCTGGTGCTCGGCAAAAAGGAATAAATGCTTTTAAACAGTAATTTCTTAACCTATGTAATATACTTTTTTTGATCTTGGAACTCAAACACCAACCCCGTCAACAATGGTATTGGAAAAGTGTTCGGTTTCGGTTTTGACTTGTAATTTAGCCACCAATTTCCCACCAGTCAAGGCCAATCTGACCAAAATCCCAACTTTTCCTCCCCAAACGTCTCTACCAAATAATTTCAAAATGTGGGAGTTGGAATCGCTGGGAACGTAATCGGTACCATCCAAAGGCAACATGTTCAAGTCGTCCTTCAACTTGGTAATGGCATTTTCCAAGGTCTTGATACCTTTCAAGTGAACCACCGTAGAGTCCTCAAGTGGCAACTGATCAAATACCGAATCAAAATTGGAGTTGTAGAGAGGTTGGATGAAATCTCCAGGTAAGATCTCTAAGTCTCCGATCTGATACTCGTCAGTCCAACCTTCATCACTTTCGTCGATGTTTCCTTCGTCGTCAATGATTTCTCTATTTGTGTAGCTTAACGTGTTACCAAACACTGACACCAACTCATCTTCTGCTAAAGAAGGACTTGTGAAGCTTACATATATGGTACCAGTTTCGTTTGGTCTCAATTCATCCACCGATAAAATGAATTCTTCAACGTATGCTGGGTTATCAGATTGGGCTATCACAGACACATCCTGAGCAATTAAATGGTTGACTGTGTTGGTGATGTTGTATTGTAAAACCACCTTACTGGTTTCAAGGAAGAAATGTTTATGGCACGTAACGACAAATTCGTTCTCCTTCTCCGTTAAGTAAATTGGCTGGATTGACGATTTGGTCAACTTACCATAGTCCTTAAATTCAGCTACTTGACTTATCTCTTGTTCGAATTCTTGTTGCTTCAACAAATCGTTGGACTGATCGGCGTTCAGGTCATCCTTAGCACCTTCTGTAGAAGTTGGTTCAACTTCCATCTCATCGTTCTTGTCTAATCTGTTCAACTTGTTTTCGTATTCCAAAGAGGTCAACTCTTCATTAGAAATGGCAGGAATTTCATTGATATCAAACTGGTCGGCAAAGTTCGACTCATTGTTCAAGTAGTGGATCAATTTATTTTCCAAAACCGCCAAGTCGTACTTGGATTCATTAACAATCAAGTTCTTTTCATTGTTGGCAATGAACTTCAAGGACAAAGCGGCTCTATCTCTTACTTCATCGTCAACATCGTTCAAACATCTGCTTAACAAGATTTGAATGTTCTGACTGACTTTTCCACCACAGATAACAGCAAATTTGGACAAGGCAATCACAGCAGATGATCTGATGATGGAGTTGTCTAACACCAATCTGTTGTAGATGTGTCTGATGTAATAAGAGGGGTTAGAAGCGTTAGGACCTTCATCTCCTAACAAGTGCAATATGCGAACAGACAATTCGGTGTATTCACAGTCTTCGATAAATTCACATAAACTCATTAATATGGCTTGCTTACCATCCTTATCTTTTAAGAATTTGATCAAGTCAAACAAGGTATCCACAATTGAAGATTTTAATTCCAACGATCCTTCGTCCTTTAACAAATCAGTCAAGAATGATACCAATTTTTTGTGCTTAGACTGGAATTTGAGAGCCAAGTTTTCGATGGCTTCAATAATGACAATCTTAAAGTCTTCAGTGATGTCATCCATCAAGGAAGTCATCTTATTAATTAATCTGTCAACACTTTCACTTCCAACCTCGACAGTACTATCGGACTCAACAGTACCAGCACCAATGGTTCTTAACAAAGTGGTGATAGCCAAAGTCGAAATGGATCTGTTGGAATCGTTGATCAAGTTCTCTAACTCCTGGTTGACAGTAATGATTTCTTTTGGATGCTTAACGGAGATCTTGTTGATTAATCTAATAGCAGCAAATCTGGTGGCAGTTCTTGGTACCGACAATAACTTCTGTAAAGTGTTAACCACGTTGGCAAAGTCTGCTTTGCTAATTAAATGCTGCAAACTGATGATAGTCTTACATGCTTCTAATTCGACAGAATCGGATTTATGTTTGAGAAAGTTGATCAAAATTGGTAATAAATGTTGGATCAACGAATCGTCATCCAACAAGACTTTATTGATGAATCTGATCAACTGAATCACTGCCAATGAATTTCTCAACGAAGATCCGTCGCTCAAAGAGGTGATCAACTTCATCAAAGACATTTTATCGTGGTTTCTCAACTCGTACAACAAACTCAAAGCATGGTATTGGTACATGTAAGAAGTAGTTGGCAAACTGGTGGTGGCACCTCCATAGTATTCATGTAATTGGAATTGGTCAGGAGGAAACTGCTTGAATGATTGGATGGTTTCCAAAGTCTCGTTGTTGAATCTTTTCACCACATCTTTAGCAATGGGCAATAGGTTGTAAGAAGAAGTCAACGCAGCTGAAGAAACAATGGGATTCTTATCGACAATGGCGTTCTTGAACAATCTTTCACTTGCAGAGACAGTGGTTGGGTCCAAAACTTTGGATAAAGTTCTGATGGCGTTGGGCTTGTAAATCAAATCACCACTTTGGATATCCTTCATGATGGACGAAGTAACCATCAAAATATCTTGGGAAGTGGAAGATAATTCTTTGATGGCCAAGTACACCAATTGTCTCAAGGACGCATCCTTGTGCTGGAACAACTTGGAGATGGAGAAGAACAAGGTGGTTGATTCTTGGGATGGGAATACCTCACCAGTATAGATTAATCTCAATAACCGGGCCAACAATTGTCTGCACTTTCTGGCGTTTACCGGTGTCGCATTGAACTGCTGCAAACATTCCTGGAATATGGCCATCTTATCAGCAGCACCCGCATGGGAGTACGGATCACCTTTCTTATATGATGAAGTTGACATGATGGTTGTTGTTTTTGAAACTTTTCTCCTTTTGACGTGTTTGATTTCGTTGAAAAAAGTGCGCCGGTGGATACACGCATGCAACACCTTCATAGGTTTTCGCGAACAAAATTTTCAGAGGTGCTAAGCTTGCAGTAATGTTCAGAGTGAATTCATTAGTAAAGAGCTTGGTGGTATCTCTGAGGGCCACGAGCATACGGTCAAATTTATTATTCACAGGATTCAGGTCTTCCATCCCCGTTTCTACGTCGGTTTTCAGTACCCCCAGTGTGTTTGGATCTTTGAATCCGATCAGAACCTTTAAGGTTAGAACCTCAGTGAAAAAGTTCTGTAAGGACTGTTATATGGTGAGAAGGAAGGGAAGAGTGTACGTGTATTGCAAAAGTAATGGAAAACATAAACAGAGACAGGGATAATCTATGTTTGAATATTTATATTGCAGTTTGTAAATAGTATGTAACGATGAGAATGCAAATAGAACTTTCATTAATGAGATACTCCATTAGAAGCATGTTGTTTGTGGGGCTGTGACAGAGCCGCCTGAGCCTGTGCTGCTAACTTGACGGCACGAGTAGTGGGAGTTTGCAGGTTGCGGAAGTTCATATATTGGTTACGGGAAGGAATCCTTTGCATTTGAGGTTTTTGCATTTGTTTCGGAGACCGGGAATATGGGAGTTGCTGTTGTTGAGGTTTAATGGATGATGTCAGGAGAAGAGCTTCTTGCCAAATCTTGTTCAAAGTGCCATTGACCTCTTTTTCCTTTTCTTGATAATGAGGTGCAAACTCCTGGAATGTGTTCCCATTTTTGTTCAAGCCGGGCGGAGACTCTTTGCTCTTTTCGATACGAATGGTATTATTCTTGACTCGATTGAGGCTTTCTCCAACCGGATTCAAGTATCTTCTGACATTCAAATACTCTCGGTTCAATCTCTCAAACTCGACTCTAGACTGAATGGGATTCTGCTGTCCGTTCTGGTACATTGAAAACAACCCATTGATGTTTGTTGTTGAGACAGAATTTTCTTTCAGACCAATCCCGGGTGTATGTGGAGCTTCATTGAAACCAGGAGTCAAAGGGATTCCTGGTGTGGCTACCGGGGTGGTCATCAGGTTCAAATTAGCACTACTCTGGTAATTATGACTGAACATGAGGTTATTTAATGATAAGCTTGATAAGTTTGCAAGCTGATTGCTGTCCAAACTGACATCCATGAGTGAATTTTCTCTCTGCAACCACAATCTTTGTTGAGTTCTATTATCGTTTGAGTCATTAAGACCCAGCTTAGTCGATAAAAAGTTGGAGAAGTTGTTTGCTCCATTCAAGTCCATCTGTTGAGCTCCTGATGTCAACTTGTTTGCATCTTGAGGGTTTTGGGGTTGTTTGTTTTGCTGTTGTTGCAGTAACTGCTTTCTAGTGTTCACGTACTGACTGTTAGTCCTCTGTAGATTATTGAAAATAGTTTGGTTGGGTTGGTACGAGTTCTCTTTGATAACGTTCTTGCTAACGGTGACAGGCTCGGCAACTGTTTGATTCAAGTCGATGGGATGAGCCTTAAACGAAAGAGAACCGGAATCATTACTGGATTCCGGCAACGACTCGTAATGCTGGCCCAATCCACCTGTTGGATCAATTTTTCTCACCAATCCTGTGGACTGTGACAAGAATAGAGAACCTCCGTACAAATTACTTGAAGGTGTCATATGGTCCAATTGAGGATCGGTATCGACCTCTGACTGGTTTGTAGGAGAACGTAATGGTATGCTTTGAAGGGGTTGGGGCTCGACTTCGGGGTCTTCGGCAGACTGGCGGGTGGTGATAATATCAGCAGATTCTACTGTCAGTTTTGGTACTATAGGCTCGGGGGTATCATCTTTAGACTGTGATATCGTATTTTCCACAAATTGGGGTTGGTCAAGCGCCTGAAGAAACACCTGTTGGAGAGGAAGAGCTTGAAACGACTCTTGGGTGGAGTTATCCACCATATTGGTGGTAGTTTGTTTGTTTGTTTCGTAAGGGACGTGTTCTTCTGGGTAGTTTTTATCATTATCGTTTTCATCATTTTCATCGCCTGAATTGTCCAAGTCTTCGTAGTCTTCATTGTCATCATTCAACCTCAATATGGCCTTGCCCTGTCGGGCACTTAACTTCAATCCTCCGGTGTGCTGAAGCATTCCAAAGTTCTTTAAGGAAGCGTTGGATTTACTGGACTTCAACGACTGGTTGGACAAGGTTTTGGTGAGGGGCTGGAGATTTGTGAGCTTTGTGAAGGAACGGTTGTTACGTTTGACACGGATGACGCCGTCGGTCGATTTAGACCGATTCAAACTGGGTCTAGCAAGTGCATTGATTTTATTGTAGGAAGCGGTCCGCGAGTGTTTGGGCTTGCCGGACTTTTTAGGTCGATTGTCGAAGTCTGTTTGACCTGTCATATCGGATACCAAAGGCTGGACCACATCTCCGGGCCCCGTGCTATCACTGACGGGTTCTTCTATTGGAGCCATAACACAAATGACTTTTCAGATTTGAATTTCTGGAGTAGTGCGCATCTTTCAAAGTCTACGAGATACACAAGTATATGTGGGATTAAGCGTCAGGTACACGGAAATTTGTCCGTTGACCTTCTAAATACACATTGTCTAAAATACGTTCAAGCTCATGGGATTTCTGGAGCTCAAGGTATTTTTTGAACAATTTAAGGGCAAATTTGGCGTCTTCAATGGAGTCGTGGTTTCCCACCTGGACTTTCTTTCCGAGAACCGCATATGACAAGAACTTAAGTGAAAGTCTTCGGCGAAACTCAGAGAGGAAGTAGAGCTCCGAAGTGTCTCTAATCTGGTTCTTGGGAACATGTATGTTGATTGTACGGAAGTCATTCTGTAATCCATGACCAACAAACACACACGAAAGGTTGAGTAACAACCATAATCTTCTGTAGCTGGTTTGAAGTGTCACCAAGTTTTTGGTGGAGTTGATGGGGTCCAAGTCGCCCGGTTCAATTCCTGAGAAGGACGTGATATAATCCTTGATTGGTTGGGTATGAATGATGTAGTCATCGATGAAAGGAATCTCATCTTGATCAATGACGGAGATTCTAGCCAAACTCATCTTCTTAGGCTGAATTAGATTCTTGAACCCATTTGAGCTGATTTCCACCTTCTCATCCTCAAGAATTACAAACTCGGCGTCAATGGCTATCAAGCTGCCTGGTTGGGGTGCATTACTCTTGGTTAAAAGCTTGTACTGCTTGATGTAGTCTTCGCGAATGGTCAAGGCAAAGTGATCTCTGTACAAAATTGAGTCATCAATATGGGGGTAATCCTGCTCACTCACGGTATATAGAGAGTCACATTGTATATCCTGGTACACGATGACCAATGGTTTTTTGTTGTTCTGTTGGAAATTAAGCACTTCTTCCTCTTCGATTTCTCTCACCAAGAAATCATTAAATAGGTACCATTTATCTCCGATATTCACAAACGAGATCAAGTTGTGGTTACCAATGGAGGTCTCTGGACCATTGTTAATTTCAGCAACATAACCCAAAAGTTTATAGGTACCAGAGTTGTTGGGAGATTTAGAGAACGTGAAGAAGTTCTGGTTCTTAGTGGTGTAGATGTGCTGACTGAGCCAACCTGGGCTCAATTGGCGGAAATCTCGATTATTGAGGTTGACATTTATCGACAAGACCTTTGGAAGTTCGACTATGTTGGTCATTGTATAGTTTAAGTATTCCACAATGGACAAATCGGTATTATGCATGGGGAACAAGTTGATATTAGGAAACACACTTACTTGGTCTCCGACCAAGCATTTGATGAGAATTAACGAACCGAAATCTTTCCAGAAAGAGCTTTGACGGTGGAAATCATCAAGTAGCTTAGCCAAAAAGAAGGAATTGAATTTCAAGATCTTATTTTTCAAGGATTGGGAGTTGACAGACTTGAGATCATCGCAATTCAACAAATCAGGGGGTGCCAAAGTGTTGAGAAACTCAGAAAAGTTGGAAATTTTGACATTTTTACCCTTGGACTTATTGAGCATATCGAAAAGGTATCCCAACTCGTTCAAAAGAGAGGATCCCTTGAAATTTTTGTTTTCTATTATTGTCACAGCATCATTAGGAAGCCACTCATTAAAGAGATTCTTCAACACCAAATTCTGAAAGTTAGGTTGATACTTATACACTTGAAGAATTGAGTTCAAATATGAGTTGTCGAGGTTATTTTCCAAGCCACTGTAAGAAGTTTTATTGAAAAGTTCAAAGTTGAAATCCTCAATACCAAATTTGGAATATTTGATTAACAATTTGGCATAGCAATTGGGGATTTTGGTGAACACCGAATCATCAAATTTGGATGTACTATCACTTATGAATGGGATCTTACTGGAATCACTGGATTTCTTCAAAGGGTAATACTTGTTGAAGTTGGAATCAAACTTATTTTCCATGAACTTCAAATATGGTACATCTGGGTCATACGTAAGAGGGAGCTTGCTGAGCTCTTTGGTAAAGATCAAGTTGGAACCATAGTTAGATAGCAATAAATCTTTATAATAAGGCATTCCCACTATGTTCAAAGGAATATCATGTTTATCTATAGGAATATTCCTTGATGGATCCTCTATGTTAGAGGACCCTTCCAATTCCATAGGAAAGTTGACAAATCGTTTACTGTCGTTGAAACTCCATAATATCAAGTTGTTGAAACTGTCGTTGAAACTAATAAACTCTCCGTTGTTACTCATTTTCAAGTTGGAGATATAGTTGGAACTATTTATCAAATCCACTTGGTACAATTGGAATTTCAGCTGGTCAAAGATGTCCAAAAACTGCAAATTTCCCGATTTTGACCCAATGAGCACCAAATTGGGAAGCTTGGGGTGGAACTTGACAAAGGAAGGGCCAAAGGGGAACGGGATTGGTGCCAATAGTTTCATCATTCGTAAGTCGTACAAGTTAACCAATGGATCCACAAAGAACGAATTGTGTCTAAGAGAGTAGCCCGACGTGACGAGATAGTTCCCATTGATGTCCATGTCACTCAAGCCGTTGTTATGGCCTAGGAATTCCTTGATCACCTTCTTGGTTTGTGGGTCAAACAAGTTGACAGAACCATCCATTTTTCCCAACGTCAAGAACTTCGACAGATGGTTGATGAATGACAAGTTTTCGTTGAAGCCAAGGTCCTCATACACCTTGGGGTCGAGGAGATTGATCTTGAAAAGTCCGTGGGTCTTGTTCACTATCAATTCATTGTTAAGATCATTTAATGCCATGCAGTTGAACCCCGAGTAATGAGGATTCAAATGGGAGTTGATACTGCCGAGAGGAACCCCTCGTTTGTTGTTTATGTTAATATTGTTCAAGGAAAGTGAATACACTTTATTGGAGCCGGTGGCGATGTGGGAAACGGCTTCTGATCCAAGACTCGACTTGAACTTGGTGTAAGGATAGAGGGAGATTTGATCCCCGAATCCATTGGACACAGGAGTGTACCCCCCAACGTAGCCGTCATTGTCACCGGCCCAGAGCAAGTTGCTGTGGGAGTCGAATTCAACGGAGCTGATGGGGGTGTTTAAGGTGACTCTAAGGATCTCACTCCAGCCCTCCATGGTTTGTTGTGGTGGTTTTGTGGATTCGCACTTTCGTGAGAAGAGATGTGCGGGAAGAGGCCCTAACTTACTGCCCTAGTTTACCGCCGTGTCGCGCGAGCTATCGCTTCCCTCCAGCGGTTTACCAAAAACTTGCTGGATGTGAGAAAATGAAAAATCAATGTTGGAGGGAACTATTGACGAAACAAATGAACTCCTCCACAAACTAACAAAGGAGGTATTCCCAATGGTGTTCGAGTCATTCGAAACGCTACACAACCGACTTAGCCGTCTTGAATCTCGTTTTAACGAACTCGACGAGAAGTCTTCATCTCATCCCAAACCACAGGTGGAGCTGCTGCCGGAACCTCCGATGAAAACCCCAGAAAAGTCTCCCGAACCACCCAAAATACCTGTCATAAACGTTGAACCACAAACGAATACCCAGAACGGTATACTTGAGTTTGTAGACGGAGAAATTTCTGTGGTTGACGGACAGCCGGTTAGCATCGAGGTGCAACAATGGCCAGGGCAGTATATATCACCCGGAGAAACAGTGATGGATTTGACAAGAAAACTTCAGTTTTGCCTCGTGAACGGAAATGTGTATGTACAACAACGGCTCGATACGAACGGAAACATTTGTTTCTATCGAGATTTTGGCCATCGGCTTCTGGATGAGCATGTCTATAAAAGCCTTTTGAATGGAGGTTTCCAGGCCAAGTACATCAAATACAATGAAGATGCAAACAAAATCACCGACTCGATGACGGATCAGCTTGCGAAGCGTGGGTACACTAAGTTACTCTTAAATTTATCTGCTGGATATCGCATCGATGATCTCGAAGATATCTTCAAGTTTTTCAACGTGGAGGACGAGCAATACGAGCTGGCATGTGCAATGTACCACACCTTATCATTTCAACAAGTGAAGTGGCCCGAAGTACGGTTCACGGAGGAAGGAATGCAGTCTCTTATGGTGGATCTTTTCAATCTCAAGTTCTCTCAGTATGTGCAAGACGACCAGATCTACGACTTTGTGACGCCACACGTGATTCAGAAGTATTTGATGGAACCGTCGCCTGATATCAGTGCCATTCGTTTAAGCTCATATATCCCGATTCCGAAGCCCTCACACCCCACCGTGTACGACTGGGACCAGATTTTGATGAAAGTGTACTTGCGCAGCAAATATCCTAAACGGGCCAAGGAGTTCTTCATTAAGTATATGGACCAAATGGCCATTCGGAACCGTGAAATGTCTCGTCCGGGAGAGAATTTCGAGAACTTTTACCGGGTGGTGCTTATGCTCCAGACCAATTTGGACGAGCTAATGAAAACTAGTTCTGAAGTCATAGTTCTCCTTCTGAAGCTTTGGAGTTGTTTCCAGTTCGAGATTCAGTACTGGACGGTTTTTGATGACCAGTTCAAGGAGTTCAGCAAGTTTAAAGATATTTGTGACCTGACGCTCTACTCGTCACCGCTCGTGATGTGGGGCTACCATCTCCCAGACGAATGGGTTGACTTTTTAGAGGAACTAGTGAGTGTGGTGGAGAACCTGAAAGATGCGTTGAAGGTAGGATTTTTATCCGATTTACAGGCCTTTGTTGGGTGGAAGGACCCGGTGGAGGTGGAAGAGCTCGGACCTGATGATACCACTGCCATCAGACGTGAGCTCATGGATGACCAAGTTTTGCAGCCATTCTACAAACGATACAGTTGGCAAAACTCCAAGTACTGGGATAAGTACTGTACTGATAGTCTTTTCTATTTGGTGTACCTGAGTGCAGACCATGTCGAAGGGCTGCTTCTGCCGGCCATCACCCGGTACTACTTCAGGCACCTCCGGCATGAGTTACTTGAGTATTTGAATCTCTTTCCGGCAGTGGTGACGTTTGTGGTGATGGAACTCAAAGACGATAATCCACACTGGGACGTGGAGTATTTGAAACTGGAGATCTTGGTGTTGGCAGCTTACTTGCTTGCGGGCAGCGGAAGTACCACCAAGTTGTTTACACGGATGTGTACCTATTTTAATACCTTCAATTATCCGGGGTACATTGCGGGTCGGGTGAATGTGGAGGAAGAAATGGTACAGATGCTTGGGGACTACGCAGTAGAAGCGGCGGACGAGTTGGTGCGGTACGCAGACCAAATGTGCATGGAGAAGCAGGGGGTGGTGGACGTGCGGATCCGGGTGAGAACAGTACCGTTCCGGCTGCAATAGATATAACTACTAGTCACTATTGTTTATTGCGGGTCCACACGGGTCACCGCACGGGTACGCGCAACCTTTTGCAGCAATCAAACAACTGTCATCCACGAGTTTTGCCCCTTACACCCACATCGGAACCACCAACGTCAAACATACGCTAATGTATGACCACGGCGGCTCGTGTAAGACCTTCGCATACCGCGTTGCCACTAACAACAAAGCCTCAAGCTCAAACGTCATTTATTTGTCATTTCACGACGCTCCACAAAAAACAAATTAAATTGAGATCCTTATCAATAAACAAATATATAAGGTACAAAACCCCAGTTGTTTTTTTTTTGTTTAGGCTCCCAGTGTTTTTAATATTTTTTTTCTGAAAACACACCCAATTCAACCACTTCCCAATGTTCAAACTAGGCTTCTTGTCGTCGATATTCACTCCTTCCAATAAATCTGGACACCCTGTTATCGACCTGGGTGATATCCCCAAGACGTTTTCCGTGGCCTCGAGAACTGACCCCAGAAAACACCTCAAGATCTCAATGGAAAACACCTTCGATGAAGACTTTGTCAACATCAACATGAGAGAGATGTCGTACGCCGAGGCTGCTCATGTGGGATTGTCGAAGCCCAGTACCTCCAGGGGTACCGGCACGGGATCTGCGGCCACTGGTACCAGGGGTGATGTGGTGTCCGCTCGTTCCCGGACCTTGAAGCGGGATGAACTTGATGACGATGGGGATGACTTGCCGGAGAAGTTGAAGTCGAGTATCCATTATAAAAAACATAAACAGTATAAGAAGAACGAGAAGAAGAGAAAAATGAAGACCAAGAGGAGATACTAGATATGAATATACAAATACACTGGACCCCACCTGGAGGCCGCCATGGCTTAGCCTCCCCTGAGTAGAACACGGTCAACCTAGTTGTCCAACACAAGTCATTCCCGGAGTATTGCCTACTGTAATCTTGTTTTGCTGATCCGTGTTATGATAAGGAGCATTGTGGAACATGCCTCGAGATAAGCCATGTGCAGGACGGCCGTTTTGTGCCGGCGTGCAAAGTCGCGGAAAAATTGTGCGATGAGAGATGAGGTAGACATGAAGAGACAACTGGAAGAGTCCGACAGGGCCGTAAAGAGAGAGAAGAAGGAAAAGAAGGAAAAGAAGGAGAAGAGTGAAAAGAAAGAAAAGAAAGATAAGAGCCACAAAAAGGACAAAAAGGATAAGAAGGACAAGAGCCACAAAAAGGACAAAAAAGACAAGAAGCATAAGCAAGAAAACGCTGAAGAAGCATCTGTATCCATTGGTAGTATCCCTATCACGGCACCATCAGCCAAAGCTGATGTTGACAAGTTCCTTGAAGAAAACCAGGTTCATATCGAGAGCTCTTCGTCTTCTATTACCCCTGTTTTGTCGTTTGACCAAATGGACTTACATCCCGAATTGAGCAAATTGAAACAATTCCCCAAACCTACCCCAATCCAGTCGGTTTCATGGCCATATTTGTTCAACCACCACGATGTTATCGGGGTGGCTGAAACTGGGTCCGGAAAGACGTTGGCGTTTGGTGTGCCCAGTTTACAGAAGCTTTTGTTGGAGCCCACTTCCGATTTAAAGGTTTTATGTGTGTCGCCCACCAGAGAATTGGCTATGCAAATTTATGATAGCTTGGTCAAGTTGACCAAGAAGGTCAAGATCTCATGTATTTACGGGGGAGTCTCAAAACAAGACCAGATAGACAACTTGCACAACACCAACATCATTATTGCGACTCCAGGAAGATTATTGGACTTGATTAACGACAACTATATCAATTTGTCCACTGTCAACTACCTTGTTTTGGACGAAGCCGACAGAATGTTGGACCAAGGATTCGAAAAGGATATTAAGACCATCATCTCGACCTTGCCTTCTGAAAGACAAACATTAATGTTCACTGCCACTTGGCCTGTAGAAGTGCAGAATTTGGCATCAAGTTTCTTGAAAAACCCGGTAAAAATCACCTTGGGAAACATCAGCAACGAGTTGAATGCTAATAAAAGAATCACCCAGATCGTTGAAGTAATTAACCCTTATGACAAGGAAAGAAAGTTACTGGATTTGTTGAGAAAGTACTCAAGAGACCATGACAAGATCTTGATTTTCGCCTTATACAAGAAGGAAGCTGCCAGAGTCGAGAACCAGTTGAAACGAAGCTATAGAATAAGTGCCATCCACGGAGACTTGAACCAATCTCAAAGAACCCAGGCTTTACAAGACTTTAAGACTGGTAAGTCGCAGATTCTTTTGGCTACAGATGTGGCTGCTCGTGGATTGGATATCCCCAACGTGACTTTGGTGATAAACTTGACGTTCCCATTGACGATTGAAGATTATGTTCATAGAATTGGAAGAACCGGAAGAGCAGGAAAAACCGGTATTTCTCATACTTTGTTCACCGAGCACGAGAAGCATTTGAGTGGTGCCTTGTGTAATATTTTGAGAGGTGCTGACCAGGAAGTCCCTGAAGATTTGTTGAAGTTTGGGGGACACACAAAGAAAAAGGCCCATTCTGCTTATGGGGCTTTCTTTAAGGATGTGGACTTGACGAAGCAGGCCAAGAAGATTAAGTTTGATTAGACAATGTACGCTGAGAGAAAAGTAGACAAGCAATCGTAGACTCAACTGCAGGGAAAAATTCAAACTGCTCACATTCCAAATATAAACCAAAGTTGTAAAATAAAACCCCTGGGCGACCAGGTATCGTGTGCTGATCACCCCATTGCTCTACCGTATTCCCTTTAAAGTTCTGTAGGCTTCTGCTGCTACGTGGAGGTTTTGTCGCGCGGTGTGCAGGCGCGCGCAGTTTCAAATCACCAGATGATTTAAATTCATCACTAGCGAGCACATTGATCTGATACATCACTATTTAACCAGCAATAAAGTCTTTGTCTACCTTAGAATCACGTTAAATATGAATACCAGGTGGTGTATTATAGCATACTTGCTTACGTGCGTCTTGGGGTTCACACCGTTCTACTCGTCGGACTTCTGTTCCCAGACCATTACTAATGATTGTAATACGACTTTTTCATATATCGACCAAATCAACGAAGACGTTTACCCCATCGTCAAAAGCTTGGCGGGGACGTCCTACTTCCGCTACTTCAAGATCAACTTTGACAAGCAGTGCAAGTTCTGGAACGAAGAGCACTTCTGTCTGACTGAAAACTGTGCGGTTGAAATTTTGCCTCCAGGACAACATAACTGGGACGAAATTGTTTTGGACGATGCCAAGCCGGGCTACGACCACTTGGCCAAGTCCGGCGACTCCTGCGAAGACTTGGACTACTGCGAGTTGGACGACGACAGCAGTTGTGATTATATCAACTTGGTTGACAATCCAGAGCGATTTACCGGGTATGGAGGCAAACAGGCTCATAATATTTGGCAGTCGATCTACGAGGAAAACTGCTTCAAGGATGATGCTGATAAAGAATGTTCAACCAAGAAGTTGTTTTTCCGTGTGCTCAGTGGGATGCATGCGTCGATCTCAACCCATTTGTCTAACGAATACGTTGACCCATTTGAGGAAGAGATGGAGTTCAGTCCCAACTTGAAGATATTCATGGAGCGCGTGGGTCAGTTCAACGATAGAATCTCGAACTTGTACTTTAACTACGGGTTGGTGAGTCAGGCGTTGGTCAAGTTGTTCAAAGACTATCCGGTGATTGAGTATTTGAAGCAGTCAGAGGAGTTGATTGAAAACGATGACGACTACTTGACATTATTCGGCGGCTTGGTGGAGATGTTGGAGAAGGAACAGATTTTCCAGTCAGCCTTGATCATTGAACCCGAATTGAAAAACGAGGTCAGAGCCAAGTTTAGAAACATCAGCTCGATCATGGATTGTGTAGGCTGCGACCGGTGCAGAATGTGGGGAAAGCTTCAGACCATCGGGTACGGTACTGCGTTCAAGATATTGTTTGAAGACACCAACAACAGCAACTTGCGGTTCAGGAAAATTGAGATTGTATCGTTGATGAACACTTTCGACAGATTGTGCAAGTCTATAGAAGCCGTCAAGAACTTCAAGTCAATGTACTTGGAGCACCTTCAAGATGTAGAAAAGGGACTTGTACAACCAGGAGATTTCGACAAGAAGACGGAAAATAATGGTTTCAACTTCCCGTTCCTGGAGAATTCCAACGCTCTTAAGGAGAAAATTTCCCAGAAACAACTTCAACAGGAAGAAGAACCACTCAAACCCTCCAGAATCCAGCGGATCAAGAATGAATGGAAACAAGCATATAACGAGGTATTTGGTGCTCTCGTGTTTGTGTTAAGGTCATATAAGCATTTCCCGTTCATTATGGCCAGGAAGTTATTGATCAAGTTGAACTACTGGTGGGGATCTTTTGTGGGCTTGGACACCCACGAATTCTATGACGAGATACAGTTGGAACAAAACTACATGAATATATTTCAAGAATAGTGTACATAGATAGCATATATATATACCAGGTACAAACATAGATGAACCAAACAATTCCATTATTTTATTAATATACATACGGAAGATCCTACAGACCAGGCTAAAGACATTACAACAACAAAGCAGCCAAACCAGCGAAACCAGCAGCACCAACAACAACCTTGTTGGCACCACCTTCATAGTCAGCAACAGCAGCCACAGAGGAGTTGGAAGCAGAGTAGGTAGACAACAAAGTTGATTGAGCAGTAACAGTAGCTTCAACACCGGTAGACGCAGTGACAGTTGGAGTAGTGGTGATATCGACGTATTCAACTGCTTCAGAAGAGCTTGGGTAAACTTCAGCAGCAACAGCAGCTGGAGTAGAAGAGGTCTCAGTCAATGGGCACACAGTGGTGTAGACAGTTTCAACACCGTCGACGGTGGTGGTGACCACAGAGGTGGTGACGGCTTTAGCAGCAACGGCAGAAGAAACCGGAGCAGCAGAAGAAGTAGTAGCAGCAGCAGCACAGCTTGGGTGACCAGAACACGAGGTGATGGTAGCAAGAGTGGTGTTTTCTTCTGTGACGGTGACGACATCAGAAGCAGCAAGGGCGGTGGCCACCAAGGCAAGAACGGACAAGAATTTGGATTGCATTATGAATTTTTTTAAAGGAGCGACGGTAACTTGAAGGAGTTGATGAAAAGCGTCTAGAAATGGATAAACTCGAGGACCTTTATAGTTTTTTGGGGTTCGACGCGATCAAGACGACGCGCCTAAGGTACAAGCGACCGCGTTCGCATACCAGGCGATGGGTTCTTTGTTCCTGAAGGGGTGAGATCTAGAAGTAAGCTCGAGGTTATAGTTTTGTCGCGATGTTTACCAAACATCATTTCGCGAAAAGCGCGTAATTGGGGCATCGCTCACACAAGGCTGATTTTTGCACACGAACATTCTATAGGTCCATAGCCCCAACCAAGGCGTTAGTGCAAATGTGCGAGGCGCCGTCAAACATGCTCTTGTTTTGAGGAGGAATGAAGATGGCCATAAAGTACGTGTATTAATCTACCCCTAATTCAACATTAAGTTCATTTCCCAGTCAGTAATCACACCCACCCAATCATCCTTGGCCAAGTGCAACCGCTTACGCCGCCACACCTCTAACATGATCTGTCGAGCCCCCCAGTAGCTTCCCAAGTACTGGGCAATATCGGCTCCCCATTTCTTATAACCGACTTGCACATCTGGAGTTACTGCCTCACACCCGGCAATAAAGCCCTGCCAGAACAACGGAATGATTCCAACATTCTCCTTACTGATGAGCCGTTGAATCGAGTTCAAGTGCTCCAACGTGACCTTCACTTTATCCTGAAGGGTGCTGGGATGTTGATCTTTGATGAGCCGGTTAAAGTAAATGGTTAACGCATAGTAGAACGACATGATGTGATGAAACGTCACCTGGTGCATCGATGAATAGAACTTCTTCTCGTCGTCTACTACGGCGTACAACTTCCAGTCAAGCTGCCAATGGTCCAAGAGGAGCCCGAGCTGGGCCACTGCCTGAACGTATGCCTGGTCCTCCTGCTCCGCCACATGCTTGTTGTAGAGCTTATGACGCAATAAACGCACCGTTTCAGCAAATAAAGTGATTAAAGAGTTGGGCAACCCGTAGAGGGCGTCGGTTGCAAAGTTCTCGTTATGGTGCTTGGTATTGATCAACTTCTTGTTGATGAACAATGGGGTGGTATTATGACGGCCACTTGAAGGGTTTTTGTCCTCAGTATTCTTCTTATCCAGCTTGACAAAATTCTCACCGTTGACATCGTATCCGTTCTCATCAATAAGCCGGTAGTCGTGCTTGATGTTGTCGATGCTCAAACAGGTTGAATCCTGAATAATCTTTAACGACAGATAAATCCGGTGTAACACCCGAGCTTTGGGCGAGAGCTTCTTCTTATGTTGCATCTTCGTGCTGATTACACGCCCACACCACCGAATGTAGAAATTGGTGTCTTGCATGGTCCCCCATACGAGATCCACTGAGATCATCGACATCACCGCACAGAGAACATCCTTATACTTTTCATTTTTGAGACAACTTTCGATATCTTGCTGGGACATATCACTCGAGGATCCCAATAACTTCCTCACAAATAAACTGGCCTGGTTCCGGAGGCGGATACCCAAGTTCAAGTAGAACTTCATTGAGTCGCTGTTTTTGGGGAACTTGGATTGTAAGTTAAATGCCGACACCGCAAGCAACGCATTGAGCAACGCATTCTTGGCAGTAGAGGTCTTGCCTAGCGCCCCCAACTCACCGATGGCCATCAACGCCCGCGGGAAGTAGATGGTTTTCCAAGGACTTTCCGTAAGTGGGAGCACCGTCATAAGGTCCGCGACATGGTTTACGTAGTGATTCAACAAGTATCGGGTCAACGGTTGAATCTGGAGGGCCGACGTTGGCATCCCCACAGAAGTGGCCGACGGTGTCAAGAGATGAAATCCCAACTTGGGCTGGAGGGGGCTTTGCACGATGTTCATGATGGACGAGGGCATGGTGGTCACGTGAGGATTCTGACCTTCAACCAAATCGGTCAGCAGTTCATGGAGCTTATTAGGTTTGGAGGAGGCGTGGAGGTGGATCTCGAGATTTTCGTTCAACTTGTATGGGTTGTCATAGAAATAGTTGTTGTAGTTGGAATAGTACAAATGCTGGTTGGTGGGATCGATGAGAATATCTGAATGCGAGAGTAGATCGAGATGGAGGTCCAGCGTGGCAACAGGCCCAGCAGACAGAGCAGCATGCGGGCTGGCGACGGACCCAGGAGTCGACACGGTGGACGTGGGTTTGGCTTGGGTCTGGTTCTTATGGAAAAGAAGGTTAAGGAAGTCACTAGGGTTGGTGATGGTATTGGAAGGAGCAGCATGTGGCGTGTGAGGCCCCATAGGAGGCGGTGTTCCATGTGAGCCGGTGATACCGTTGCCGTTTCCAGAGGCCACCGGAGTGTGGCTTCCTGTGTTCAATACTTGGGGAGAAATGTTATTCGAGGTCATGAAGTCAAGCAAGTGGGAGTCTCCATTCAAGGCAGCTGCCGTCAACAACGCGTCATCACGCAACTCATTAGACAACCATAAATGTTCGTTGCTGATGGTGGGGGCCAGGTTCTCGGAGGTTGGGAGTTTGGGGCTTTTGTTCTGAAACACCCCGAATGGGCCGAGGATCTTGGTTTTGCCCAACTTCTCGACATGCTCATCGGCCTGGGAGTTGTCAAGAATCATGAGATCCTGGTCGATATCCTCGTATGTATCATATGGTTTGTTGGAGGTTCCCTTTTCCCATTTGACAAATCCCACTAATCGTCTTCTGAATCCTTCATTACTGCCTATATCTTGCTGGGAACGGTTTTCGTTTTTGAATGCCAACGAGCTGACAACCAAGTCACCGGACTGGGTGAATTTTGGGAGTGATAACCAGCAAAGAGTGACCCCGTAGCCAGGACATTTGACATCACTCTTGTTACAGTTATTGCAAGAAGGCTTGGCGAGATCACATTTTATTCGTCTTTGGCGGCACTTGTCGCAGCCGAAAAAAGTCTTGACAACGGCCCTTCTCTTCTTCTTAACGGCAGATCCGTCTGCGAGTACGACGGGCGAGGAGGACTTTACAGGTTTTCTTCCCCCAAGTTTAGCATCCACCATCTTAGTAAATAAAAGATGCGAATTTTAGTGCGGAAGAGATGAGATGGGAAAACGTAAGCGAGGGACTGGATTTAAGGTTTTTAACTCTAGGAGGAGTGGTGTAATCACAGAGAGTGAATGTAGAGTTAGAATCACAGTACTAATACTATGATCGGCCTATATTCGAATAAAATAAAAAAATACAAATATTTGTCTAAAGCATTCTTGTACCTGCGTTGGCGAAGTCAAACATGAATTCTTTAAAAACTCAAGAAAGCTCACCTTCAAACCGAAGTCACCACCCCCTATGGCAGTGTACTAGCCACATATTCCTGTTTCTAGTATGGAAATGGTAGGATGGAATGAACAAGAGCAAATCGGGTTTAGATACTTTGCTTGACGTGTCATTACCTGCGGTCACAGCTGGTGCGGCTGCAAAATAAGCATGGCTTTTTACTAAACAGACAATGCGAGCACAACCAAAACACAAATAGATTCCTGGGCAAGAATGGGCACCTTTTGTGAAATTTGCAAGTCTAGCGAAGATGAATTTTGTGATAGTTGCTGTCAAAAGTAGTACTATAAAGAATGGAGATGCCCATCCCTCTATCGAGCCAACACAATCATTCATAATTGTAGTTGAACATGTTTCTATCACCAGCCAAATGTCTAGTGGTGGTACTATCTCCTCCACTTGGTGGTAGCGGTGGTGTTAGGTGGTGATGGCCGTGGCGGCGGCTAGGAAGCGGTTAGCGGTACCGAGAGACACGACCAAATCGCGCTAACCGCACTCTAACCGCTACTACGCGCACCATCGCTCACACTATCTCTCGCACCTCTTATAGCATCGCACACCGCTCCATGGAAATAGCAACTCTCTAATGACTTTGGCTAAACATTGGGTATACAAGCCCCACGAAGACATAGTATTGTCCCACATCAAGGGATTGTGCGCCAGCAACCCAGCTGTGGCTCTCATCCCATCTGAAAAGGTTGTGTTCAATCCCCATTCTGATACCTCCCGCAAAGTGTGCTTGATTAGTGGTGGAGGAGCAGGCCATGAACCTCTTCATGCTGGGTTTGTCGGCACCAATTTATTGGATGCAGCCGTATCAGGTGCTGTGTTTGCGTCACCATCCACAAAACAAATCATGGCCGCCATTAAGACCAAATCAGACAAATCACAAGGTACACTTATCATCGTCAAAAACTATACAGGTGATATTCTCCACTTTGGACTCGTGGTGGAACGGGCTAAGAGTGAGGGTTACAACGTGGAGATGTTGGCGGTGGCGGACGACGTGGCGGTGGGTCGCAAGCAGAACGCCATGGTGGGAAGAAGAGGTTTGGCTGGAACTGCTCTTGTGCACAAGGTGTTGGGAGCTGCCACTGCCACCACCACCTTGACGCTTGCTCAGGTGGTTGCATTGGGCCGTGCTGTCAACGGGGCGATGGTAACGGTGGGCGCATCATTGGACCGTACGTCTGTACCGGGCAAGACACATGATGAAATCGAGTTCAACGGGCCCAACGAGGCCGAGTTGGGCTTGGGCATTCACAACGAGCCCGGCACTAAAATGTCGCCTATTCCTGCCATAGACGACTTGGTCCGCGACATGTATGCCATGCTCGTTTCACCAGACGATGAAGATCGTCACTACATCGACTTTGACCTTAAAAACGACGATACGGTCTTGCTCATCAACAATATTGGTGGAACCTCATCGTTGGAGTTGTACGCCATTGTTCAGCACGCCATTTCCGGGCTCCCATTGCTGCACCAGCCACAGCGTGTGTTGGTGAGCGACTTTGTTACTTCGCTCAATGCCCCTGGCTTTTCTATCACTTTATTGAACTTGTCGAGTGTTGAGAAGAACAGCGGGTTTAGCAAGGCCGAAATTTTGGCGTTTTTGGACGCTCCTACTGATGCTCCAGGGTGGAAACCAAAGTCTTATTCCCTGTGGGATAGTCCCAGTGTGGAGATCGAGTCGCCTATGAAGGAAGTTGCACCTGTGTCGTCGGATCTCAAAATCAATGGGTCACAGTTTTTGCAGCAATTGCAAAATGCGATGTACACCTTGAAGAAAGCCGAGCCTAAAATCACACATTACGATACTCTCGTTGGCGATGGTGACTGTGGTGATACTCTCGTGATGGGAGCAGACGGGATCTTAGCGGCTGCAAAAACCCCTGAGTTCCAAGCGGCTCTGGCTGACCCAGTAGCGGTTTTATCTAGAATCACTGAAATCGTCGAGGAGAACATGGGTGGAACCTCGGGTGGAATTTACTCGATTTACCTCACTGCATTGGTCCACCAATTGCAGAGTTTACCCGATGTCAGCGTCGAATCCGTTGGTAAAGCTTTGTACAAAGCCCTATACGACGGGTTATTCAAGTACACGAACGCCCGTGTCGGTGGTCGTACATTGGTGGATACTCTCCAGCCTTTTGTTGACACATTAAGCGAAACCCACAACGTTCTGAAAGCTCTTGAAGCTGCTAGAGCTGGCTGTGAAAAGACTAAGGAGTTACAAGCCAAGTTCGGCAGAGCCAGCTATGTTGACGAGCTGGAATTCAAGGCCGATGGTGGTGTCCCAGATCCGGGTGCCGTGGGGCTTTTAGCCATTATGGAAGGGTTTTTGGCGTAATGAGAGCCATTACTTTTTCGTACCGTTATAGTTCATTAAAAGTTCGCGATGTTATATAAGTATATTTGGCTGCAAAATATGTATTCTTGTATCTGGCTGCCGAAAAGGACTTACTCGACACTTATGGAGCTATTAAACAGCCCGCACTTCTCCTCTCCAGTCATGGGCCAAAAGCTTAGTTGGATCTTCGTTTTACATTGGAGGCTGGGATCAGGAACTGTTGGACTTACACCGAACCACTCATATAGCCCTCTCTATGAATGTTAGCACTTATCAAACCAATAGGTACGTATTACACCAGGGGTGGTTCAGATATGGGAACATAAATACCTAATAATATATAAATATGAAGGTACAAATATTAATATGTCACAAGATCTATATCAACGTCAGACTCGTCAGTTATATTGTTCTTGTGTTTATTCCAAATCTTGTCGATGATCCGGATAGAAAAAGTGGCTGATCCCGCTTCACTTATACGGAAAAACTGCTTCACAATGTTCATTTGGTCCTCGTCATAACAATTCAAACCACAGATAAACATCGGCCACTGGATCATGAGTGGTCTCCATCTGGTGAAGTTAGGCATTGGAATATCACTGAGGATCTTCATGAGTCCCACCAATTGGTCAGTGACAGGTTTAACTTGATCATCATCGTAGCTGAGTCCAAACCCTTTAGTAAGCACACTTAATATGCCTCCTAGACAGTATGCGTGATGGGAGATATCCATCCAGTTTATCACAATAGTTTTACCGTTTACTTGTTGTACATCCAACAAACAGCCATTGGGGACAGACCCCCCAAAAAAGTCATCTGGGCTCAAGTAGAATTTTTTGTTAACAAACAGGATCTTGGTCAGCTGGTAGAACTCGGACAACATCCGAATGGTGTTCAAGGGAAACTTTGGAGTGGCCACAGCACCATTAGAAGAGACAGTAGGGTTTGTGGTGACGGCTGAGTCTCGAGCTACGTTCATGAACTTAATCAACTCTTTGATAGAAGGAAGTAAGCTATGAGCAAACCCAAACATATAATTGAACCCAGAATCCGACAAAAGCCCAATTTCCCTCAAAATTGTCAAATCATCATTATCATCAAGTTTCATGATCGAGTCCAATTCGGCATCTGTTTGTAAAGTTCCACCTTTGGCAGAGCTCAACCCCGCCAAAAGCTCAAAAGAAATGAACCAAGTCTTGCAGAAGATCAACAATTTGCTTTCTTTTAGGTCTGAGTGCATGGAGTACTTCAACAACAAGTCCTTTGCACCTTTCAAGTGAGGCCGCCAATTCTGCTTGGTATTGGAGGCGTTGGCAGATGTCAAAAGAAGAACGGTGATCAACACCAGTTCGATATTAGATGTGTGCTGCCTGCGGTGTTGCAAACCGGACTTCTTGTCAGATGCCAGAGGATCTTCATTCAACGCGGGGCCGAGGAGTTTGAGACATTTCAGAAGATAACTGCAGTAGGCTTCTTCGTGGTTAGCCAAGCCAGTGCTATTATATGCCTCCTTAGCTCCCTGAGCTAAAATGGCCGCCAAAAGAAATGGTTCTTTCGAGGCACAGAACAAAACCACATCCCGAGATGGATTGTAATACCCTCCCACAGACTCTTGGTACGGATTGAACGGGAGGATGAGGGTTGCAAAGTTGGTATAAAACTGCTCAAGATAATACCGTTCGTGGGGATACTTTACCTTGATATAGTCGTAGGGTAAGTTGCGTGGAATAGTGTTCTGCTCAAGGTGACTGTTGTTCAGGTAGATCAGCCGCATGATCGGAATCGATGGTGGAGAAATATGGTTCATTATACTTGAACTACTTTCCAGTGACATCATATCGAAATCATCACCAATCTCAAAGTTTGACTCCACCATGATACTTCCCACAAGGTTGTTCAAGTCGGATGCCAAGAGATTCAAGTCTTCTTTGTTGAAATAGTTGTCAAATAGCATATCTGATTTCACCGGTATTTCTGGTTCGGGCGCATTCAGGTGATCAGGACCACTAGTCAGACCCAGGACCGAGGCCTTGGATGCGGGCAGTGGATGCGACATGTCGTGGTCGGCAGATCGGTGTTGCGGCGGCGGATGAGGCGACAACGGAAGATGTTGATGGTGATGCTGATGCTGAGGAGGGGGTGGAACGGGGGAGCCCAAGTCGGCATGGTACTTGACGGCCGGATGGTATGCAGCCAAATGTGGTAGGGCGTAGCCGTAGGGAGGCTGGTACAGGCCTGGCGACGGACCACCTGGGGGTGGTCCGTGAGGGAGGTGGGCGTGCTGACCTAACGTCTGGAGCAGGGTCATCTGTGAGAGTGGCGGTGGTACCTGCGGCACAAACAGAGCCTGGATTTGAGTGGCTACTGGCAGCACCGGTGGCATATGTATCGACGGCCGATGTGGTCCTGAAATGTGCTGTTGTGATGGGTGTTGTTGTTGTGAAGCTTGTGATAGTGATGTCGATAGCAGCAGGACGGTGGTATCAGCCCTAATACTGGCAGCGTGGGCAAGCAGCATCACGTGTTGATGGTACAGAAGCAGCGGCACCAGCGGCACCAGCGGGAGGGGAGTATTTGACTTTGTTTCAGCAAGCTGTCGTTTCTGGTGGTTGATGTGATGATTTGGTTCTTTTTTCAGCACCTTCGATAACTGGGGGTTCTCTGCCAAAAATTTCTTCAGCACTCGAAGCACCTTCTCCCCGATTTCGGGATAAACACATACCTTATCGAGGCGGGTACATTTTGAACACAGCGGTTTGGTTTCATCACATTTAATTTTACGGCGCTTGCACTCTCGACATCCGAGCTTTGAATACATTTTTTTCTTTTGTCCTTCAGACATGGAGATACCTCCATGACTGCTAGTGCTACTTGTATCTTCGACTTCAGCACTGCTCATTTCTTTATGGGGTTGATTTGTATGGCTATCGAAGTAACAAGTTTTATTATCGCGACTAGTTCGCTGGAGTTGCGACCCACAGTTGAGTGCGGGCGTGTTGATAACGGATTGCGAAAATAAGCTTTTGAGTCGTTTCAGATATGATGGCTAACTATGTAGGTTGTATTGCTATATTTAGATATGGAACGAACGTATTAGAGATTCATGACAACTTGGTCAATAAGTGCATGCGCAAGGACCACAAATAGCATCCTTACCAGCACCATTTGCCACAGAACCAATTGATGCTAAACGGATCAGCCGTGCCAAATAAACTTTACAATCAGTTAAGGTTAAAGATAGTAAATAAGGATCTCGTATCACCTCTCGCCTGTTTATGTGGGGTTTATTGGTGGAGTATTAGGTTTATCTCCCTAGTGTACAGTACTATACATCAGTCGTCAATTTCCTCAATATTCAGCGTCTTGAACCGTTTTCGTTTTGGCTCGGGTTCGTCTTGGTTTACCGGGGTATTGGCCGACGAATTGCTGTGGAGGAAGTCGTTGACATCAAAGTCCAAGTCGATTCGAGGCGACATCTGCGTCAACGGAGAACCACTTGAAAAAGAAGAGCTGGTATTGGCCCGGGAGGCCAGCTGTTGCTGCGCTTGACGTTGGGCATTAAGTTGTTGCAGAAGAAGCTGTTGCAGGTTAGAGAGTTTTTGTACCCAATCTTGCACCTGTTGGATCGACTGGCCATTTTTATAAAGATTGTGTTCCAAGCCATTAATCACATCATCTCCAACCGCGGGAGGGTCGATGTTGACGTCGTCAGGGATGTATGGCGTATTACTGGCATGGACATCACTAGGGGTGGTTCTGTTTGACCTATATGCCTGGTTCATCAACATCAACCGTGGTTTCTGAGGTTGCAGCTGTTTGTCGGTCAAGTCATCCAAGTTGAAATCTTCGTTCAAGGTATCCAAGTCCAACCCATTAACAGGATTGGGCTCATCATAATTTACCTCCAAGATCCTACCGGTGTTATTGTTACCGTAGATGGTGGCTAAAAACTTCAAGATCTTATCGAGGGTCTGCGATTGCTTAGCATGGCGCTCGCGGGCCATATATGTCTCCAGCCACAACGTCTTATTATCCTTACGGATTCGTCTCAAGTCTTCAGAAAGGGCCAATTGGTTCAACTTGATATTATCCATCTCGTTCAAAATCAATTTCATGGTGGGGTTCTTCTCGGCCATTTCTAACTCGTTGGCCATCGATTTGTTCCGCACTATATTGTCCAACAAGTCTTCTCTACCGCTGATGAAATTGGGGTTCAGAAACTTCCAGTTCTCATCACCGTTCTTGTCATCTTTCAAGGTACCACTGCTAATATCCTGGACCTTGTGCCAGCCGTACATGTTGAGCTGTCGTACAAAACTGGCAAAGTTGTTGTGCTTAAAATACTTGGGTAAAATATCCTTCATGAACTTCTCCCGATGGAACACCTGGAACGACTCACCGTCATCATCCCACCGGATATAGTCATGGTTGGCGGGATCGTTAACCATGGACCAGATCTTCATCACAAACGCAGGCCGCGTTTTGGGAGTACTGATTTCTCTCTTGCGCTTGTTAGCGGCTGATGTAGGTCCAGCCGCTGCCACCGCGGGCACCCCGTCGTTGCGGCTGGCCAGGTCAGCACCTGCCTCCAAGCTTAGTGGCTGGAACCCCAACCCGTTGGGAATCACCAGGTCTGAGAGCGGCTGCAATGGGGGTAGGTTTGAGTAGAGTTTGGGCTGTTGTACGAGCTGGTTTTCAAACGGGAATTCCTGGTCGTGCTGCCGGTTGTAGTTATTGATTTCATCAATGGGGTCGTCGAGCGACGATAGGATGGGGGTCAAACCTGAGGCACCATCGGGTTGATGGGTGTCTAGTGACATATCGAATGGGTAGTCGTCTCTGGTGATGACCTGGATATCTTCGTGGTCGTCGCCATTAGAGGGTGTTTTGGCGGAGTGGGTGGAACCTACGGCGGAATTGCGGGTTCTGGCGGTGGGGTCTTTCAATATGCCAATGATGTCGTTATTATCAGGGTACGACATGATATTTGCAATCAGATGGCTAGATTGTCAGGTGACGGTTGCTACTGGCAAACAGGATAGGGGCTAGCAGGGATGTAGCGAAGCTAGCACGCGTGTGGAATGGGTGGGTGTGTGGTGACGATACGTGTCAATTGAGGAGGAATAACAGGTAGCTCAGTGGCTTGATTTTGCGGCTGCTAGTATATGAAGCAGAGGAATGGAGAGCACCTGAGTAAATCTTCTAGAAAATTCCATGACTGAGAAAAAAAACAATATGGGCGTGGCGAAACCGCTGGCACTCACGTGCGGCAGACGGATGCTTGGGGAAGCGCATCACGTGATCAAGACTCCCTCCCCAGTATCTACCATAAACTCTACAAAACTAGTCCTACCACAAGCTCTCAGATTAGAATATTTCATTAGCACTCGTATCTATTTACAGCATCGTCACATCAAACATCTGCAACTATATTCCAAGAAGCCGGTAGTCGATATTGGCAAATATGTCGTCAAGCTTAATGCCATTGATAATTCCGTGCGTCTCACAGTTGGAACATTTGCAGTCATTATCAGGGCACCGGCACTCGACTGGTGACAGGTCAGTCGGCAGACTGGCTCTCGCGACAGCCAGCAGTTGTGCTTGCACCGGCTGGTAATTGTATGTCATGAGGTTGAAGTCTGAGACAGCAAGAGCTGGCACAGAAGAATCGGCTGTAGAAGCCGGAGTCAGCACGAAAGAAGTCCCTAGCCCCATCTCTCGTATTGCTGTGTCCAACTCCAGGCGGATATCAAAATCATAGTTCTCGCCGTGATGTACCGCACATGACTCACACTGACAATCGTCTCCACAGAAGCACGGTGCCACCGCGCTCTGACTGGCCCGCACGCTGCGTCGAAGCTGGTCTCGCAAAGATTCCTGCTTTGCTTCGTGGTTGTTGTCAATAAACTTGAACTTCTTTTTGTTCTTGTTCAAGTATTTCTTCAAGATCTTACTTTTATTATTGGTATGATTGCATCCACAAGAACGGTTTCGTACAAGACCGTTCGAGCAACAGGAGGTGGCGACGATGAAGCTGTCACTATTCACTTCGTGCTGGGTGACTTTGATCTGAGACTCTTCTGTATATGGACCGATGATATCTCTGGTGGTGATATCAATAATGTACTCGATCGATGACTGGATGATGCGGATGGCTTTACCTTCGGGCTCAACATGTTTGGCAAATATGGCGATTCGGTAATTTGGATTATTGCTGATCGTAGGTCTTCCTTTGGATCGAACCTGTAGAAGTGGCCGTTCGGAGTGTTTGCATAGACTCGACCGGTGACCTCGTATACACTCGATACACGAGTACTTGAACTCTTCTTTCACAATCATATTATGTGCCACAAACACTTCTAGGAATATGTGTCGTTGTACTGTGGCAGTTATGTGCTTGTAGATGTGAGATGGTTTTGACCAGTGCGTCGCGGCGAGCAAATAAAATGTCTTAAACAGGAAACTGGCAACCGGTTGGAGTGTGCGAATAAGTTCGGGTGCACTTAAGTGAGGATTAACCTGGGTTTGCAGATGCTAAGACCCAGACGATACAATGACAACGGTTTTTTCTGGAGCCGATTTGGTGGGGTTGGGATTGATTTTGATTTGGCTGCAATAACCGGTAAATATGAATGCAGAGAAAGACTCATACAAGCTATTGAATCAGAGAAAGAAAAATCGTCGTAGATGGGCCTAAGTCTACCCTACAGTCTAACCTAGAATCTTTTCCGATTAGCCGTTTATGGGTTCGTGGCAACTAGATGGTGAGACCGCATCCATTATAGCTCATCCAATAATTGTCCTAATATGTTCAAAGCTTTGAATATGCCTCATACATCGTATTTCTACCTGCAACATCACTTCATTTCCTAACACCACCATTTGTTCTCCACCGGTGTTCACCCCAGCCAGTTTGACAATTACTGGTGTACGCACGTCGCGCTCGCATGAAAAAAAATCTCGAAGACGTTCCCATCCTTTTTAATTAATGGATGATAAGAGCATTGAAAATGTCTACCAATAACAATATCGAATGGTCTGCTTCCAAGGTCAGAACTACGTTCTTGGACTTCTTCAAAGACAAAAAGCACACGTTTGTGCCCTCGTCGTCTGTGGTTCCCCATAATGACCCTACGCTTTTATTTGCCAACGCTGGGATGAACCAATACAAACCTATTTTCTTGGGTACCGTTGACCCCTCGTCTGATTTCGCTAATTTGAAGAGAGCCGCCAACTCCCAGAAATGTATCAGAGCCGGTGGCAAGCACAATGACTTGGAGGATGTGGGAAGAGACTCTTATCACCATACTTTTTTTGAGATGTTGGGAAACTGGTCTTTTGGGGATTACTTCAAAAAGGAGGCCATTGGATTCAGTTGGAACTTGTTGGTCGGAACCTATGGCTTGGATAAGGACCGCTTATATGTATCATACTTTGGTGGTGATGAAAAGCAAGGGTTGGACCCAGATTTAGATGCTAAGCAGCATTGGTTGAACATTGGGGTTGCTGAAGACCACATTTTACCGGGTGACGCCAAGGATAACTTCTGGGAAATGGGTGACCAAGGCCCTTGTGGCCCGTGTTCCGAGATCCACTACGACAGAATCGGTGGCAGAAATGCTGCTCATTTGGTCAACATGGATGATCCAAACGTATTGGAAATCTGGAATATTGTGTTTATTCAGTATAATAGAGAACCTGACAGTACCTTGAGATCATTGCCCGCCAAACACATTGATACAGGTATGGGGTTCGAGAGATTGGTTTCGATTTTGCAAGACAAGTCATCTAACTATGATACTGACGTGTTTACGCCCATCTTTGACAAGATTAGAGAAATCACCGGGGTCAGACCCTATACCGGTAAATTTGGTACCGAAGACAAGGACGGAATTGACACCGCCTACCGGGTGATTGCTGATCACGTGAGAACGTTGACTTTTGCCATCACCGATGGAGGAGTGCCCAATAATGAAGGTAGAGGGTACGTGTTGAGAAGAATCTTGAGAAGAGGTTCCAGGTACGTGAGGAAGTACATGAACTACCCTATTGGGACGTTCTTCCAGCAATTGGCTCCTGTTGTCATTGAACAGAACAAGGAGATTTTCCCTGAAATTGCCCATAAACTGCAAGACTTGATGGAGATCTTGAATGAAGAAGAATTGAGTTTCGCCAAAACTTTGGACAGAGGTGAAAAGTTGTTTGAACAATACTCTATCATTGCTTCTAAGACCCCTGAACAGACATTGAGTGGAAAGGATGTCTGGAGATTATACGATACCTATGGATTCCCAGTTGATTTAACCAGATTAATGGCTGAAGAAGCTGGATTGAGTATCGATGAAGTTGGGTTTGAAAAGGCCAAGGAAGAGTCCAGAGAAGCATCCAAAGGGCGTAACAGCAAAAGCGGTGCTCTGTTGGTAAAATTGGATGTCCATGCACTTTCGGAGTTGGATTCCAATGACTCTATTCCTAAAACTGACGACTCCTACAAGTACGGTTTAGACAATATTAAAGCCAAGGTGGTGGCTATCTACGATGGTGCCGGGTTTGTTGAAGTTGTTTCTGATACGACTTCCAAGCAATATGGTATTCTTTTGGACAGAACTCCATTCTATGCTGAACAAGGTGGTCAGGAATACGATACAGGTAAGTTTGTTATAGACGGCCAGGCAGAGTTCAATGTTGAGAATGTCCAGGTTTACGCTGGTTATGTGTTGCACACGGGTAATTTGGTGGAAGGAAGCATCAAGGTTGGAGATGAAGTGATTGCTGGATACGACGAGTTGAGAAGATGGCCAATTAGAAACAACCATACCGGTACACACGTATTGAACTATGCTTTGAGGGAAGTATTGGGTAACTCAGTTGACCAGAAGGGTTCCTTGGTTGCACCTGAAAAGTTGAGATTCGACTTTAGTCATAAACAGGCTTTGAAACCAGAAGAAGTCTCCAAGGTCGAAGATATCTCTAATGAGTACATCAAGGCCAACAAACAAGTTTACGCCAAGGAGGTGTCTTTGGCCGATGCTAAGCAAATCTATGGCTTGAGAGCTGTGTTTGGTGAAACTTACCCAGACCCTGTGAGAGTGGTTTCGATTGGAAAGTCAGTCGACGACTTGTTATCCAACCCCGACAACAAAGACTGGTACCATTTTTCGGTTGAGTTCTGTGGTGGTACCCATGTCACCAAAACAGGAGATATTAAGGACTTGGTGATTATCGAAGAAAGTGGTATTGCTAAGGGTATTAGAAGAATTGTTGCGGTGACTGGCACCGAGGCTCACCGGGTCCAACAAATTGCCCACGACAACGAAAAGGAATTACATGAGATCAACTCGTTACCATTTGGACCTGCTAAGGAGTCTAGAGCCAAGGACTTTGGTGTCAATTTGAAGAAGTTATCCATTTCTGTCACCGAAAAGCAGAAGTTGAATGAGAAATTCAACAAGTTGGACAAGGCCATCAAAGATAACTTGAAGGCGATCCAAAAGGAAGAAACCAAGAAAGTGATGGATGTTGTGAATGAGTGGTTGCAAGACAAAGAAGCCAAGAACTTTTTGGTCAGCCATGTCCCCATTAACTCCAATGCAAAAGCTATTGCCGAAGGTCTTAATTTGATCAAGAAACTGCATCCTGAAAAATCCATTTACTTGTTCACCGGCAAGGACAAAGTTGCCCATGGATGTTACATTTCCAACGACGCTCTTGAAAAGGGAATTAATGTCACTGATTTGGGAGTGGCTGTTTCTTCCAATATCGGAGGTAAGGCTGGTGGAAAGGGTAACACCATCCAAGGTATGGGTGACAATGTTGGCGGAGTTGACAAGGCCATCGAGGAGTTGACTGCATTGCTTAGTTCCAAGTTGTAGTGCATAGAGTAATAGTATTTTATTTAAGAGACTGTAGTATTATTTCTGAGGACTGGTGGTGGTCATTGTCTCTTCTTCCTCAACTGAGATCTCTCTAGCCTCACCACCCAAATTCCCCACTACATCGGCCACAATCACCCTTAACGCCTCCACACTCACGTGCTTGTCACCTATAACGCTGATGGTATTAACTCCCCAGGCAAAGTGTGGATAACTGCCTAATTTCACGGAGCCAGCTCCATAAGTAGCATTGCTCAGCAGCTGTAGATCTGCCAAAAAAGGGGCCAATTCACTCTCTTTTGTTGTGGTCTTCACGTAGAACCGTTTCAACCTCAGGTCTACATCCACCCGCCTTTTAAGCGAGTCCTTCAACCCCAACAAAAGCTTCTCGAACAACTGCGGCACTCCTGGCAAAATATATACCTGGCTATTAATACCTACCACTGGAACCCAAAGCGAGTCATCCGTATAAATCTTGTCCACCAGCACCGTGTCACTGGCGACGGGAAACGTGGCCATGCGGTAAAACGCCGCGAGCCGGCGGTCTGTCAATGTCGTTAGATACTCTGTTCGAAGTGAGTGCATTCTGTCCACAGTTTGCTGATCACGTTTACACTCGACGCCAAAGGCATGAGCAATCGACTCATAGGTTATATCGTCATGAGTGGGTCCAATGCCGCCACTGGTGACTATGAAATCACAGTCATCGTGGATCAATGTGTTAAGGGAGTTGGTGATATCGTCACAGTCGTCCCCACAGACAATGGTCTTTTTCACGGGAATTGAAAGCTCATTGAAGCAAAACTTGGCAAAAACATGCAGATTTGTGTCGAGTATCTTACCATTTAATACTTCATCACCTATAATTAAGCACCCAGCCTTTCTGATAGGATTTACCATTGCAAGTGTTCTTGCAAGCATATATTAAGGTCGCGCGCAAAACCCGCACAGTTATGGCCTGGCAGCAGCGGAAACCGGTCGCGGCGCCGAACCGAGCGCACCGCCAAGACTACGTGCACACACCGCACGTGCTAGTGCCACCGCGCAAGATGTTCAAGCGAACAAACGGAAAATGCTTACAAACGACATCATCCCTTTAACCTTTGAGGCTTTTCCTTTTGTCAACTTCCCTTATAACCCAAGTTTCCCTCCACTTCCCTTCTTCGTGACACACCTGTGACACCCTCATGCGAGATAGCCCGCCCAAGAAAGACCCTCTACCGAAAAGTTCTGCCCCCCTTTCCCATCCTGGCACTGCCAGCGAATCATCCACTAATGACGATTTAGAACCAGATGAGCGTAGCTCTGCGCTATACCCTTCACGATACACCCACAGTTCTGCTATTAAGATAGAACGCAAGAACCACCTAACTATAACCCCTAATTCCATTAACTATTCGGGTACCAATGCTCACACCAGAAAAACCACCAAGAAAAGAGATGCTCTGCCCAACTTGAACCTGGACATCGGCTTTCATATGGCCAACTTGTTGACTGCCACGTCCTCCAACAGCCCCACCTCTCGCCTGGTGGTGGCAGGTGTTGCTGGTGCTGTTCTGGGAGAATATAGCTCTTCTGTCGACAGTGACATGTCTCCTGTTTTCACCAGCCTCGAGTACAAGGACAGTGACCTGCTCCTGTCGCTCGGATCGTTCTCAAGCCTGCCCAAAGCCACCAGTTTTCAGTACGAGACTGAAGGCATTATTGGCAACTTGGACCCGATTTCAGAGTCGCTGGAAAATTCTCCCACTCCTGACGAGGCCATCAAGGTCACAGTGCAGAAGTTATCACAGGTGACATTGGCGTCTTCTTCGTCGTCTGATGTTCTGCCTCCTTTGACCCCCGTCAGCCGCAGAGGCTCCTACCCCGTGGATATTGATGCAATAATCACCCGTTTGATAAAAATCGGCAACGATAAACCTGCCAAAAAGTCCAAATTGAGCAGGGATAAGTTGCCATTTACCTCCGAGGAAATCAAGTATATTTTGAACAAGTCCAGGTCCATCTTTTTGGACCAACCGACATTATTACGGTTGGCTCCTCCTGTGAAAGTGTTGGGAGACTTGCATGGCCAATATACTGATCTTATTCGGATTTTCAACAAATGTGGATATCCTCCTCACAGCAACTACTTGTTCTTGGGGGACTACGTTGATCGAGGTCACAAGTCCTTGGAAACCATCTTGTTGTTGTTGTGCTATAAGATCAAGTATCCTGAGAATTTTTTCATGTTGAGAGGTAATCACGAAAGTGCCAACATCACCAAAATCTACGGGTTTTATGATGAGTGTAAGAGACGGTTGCCCAGCTTGACTGGAAATCATAAGATGTGGAAGATGTTTGTAGATGTTTTCAACAGTTTACCCATTGCTGCCACCATCAACGATAAAATCTTTTGTATCCATGGAGGCTTATCGCCCGATTTACACAATTTGAAGCAGATTGAAGACATTAAACGTCCTACAGATGTCCCTGATAAAGGATTATTGGCTGACTTATTGTGGTCAGATCCTGATCCTTCTGTTAAGAATTTCTCATTGAAAAATTGGCCCAAGAATGACAGAGGAGTATCGTATTGTTTCGGAAGAAAACATGTCGACCACTTCTGTGCCACCTTTGGATTTGAATTGATTGTGCGTGGTCATATGGTTGTTGAAGACGGCTACGAGTTTTTTGATAAACGGAAGTTGGTGACGATATTTTCGGCCCCCAACTATTGTGGTGAATTCAACAACTACGGGGCTGTGATGAGTGTGGACAGATCACTCTGTTGCTCATTTGATCTCTTGAAACCCCTTTAGCTTAATGTGCTATTATAGTTATAGTTAGATGTGTCTTGTTTATGACAATGACGATTAACTTATGTATGTTTGTTTTAGAATACAAATATGTTTTGTAATATCTGCGCGAAAATTCGCATCATCGCTGTAAGTGTTTGAATAAGACTACCAGTGTTTGTACATTAGATTGCATATCATTTTCGCATCCAAAGATGAGCTACAACAGACCCGATAATGACAGGTATGCAGTATACCAACAGAATATCGAACAACAGCTCGCTTCTCAGGGTAGAAAAGCTGCTCACAGAAGAATTGTCGACCATGGAAATAATATGGGAAGATGGTATTTACTTCGATCCATTGGACTCGACGCCCAGAGTATCGGGACCATTCGTCCCGAGTCATCGTATTTGATTGATCTCTTACCCTCACCGGCCTACTCGAACTACAACTCCAATAAAAACAACTTATCAGTGTTTGACACCCAGACCAAGTTTGTACATTTATCTTCCAATAAAGAAAAGCATACGATATCGGCAGTGAAATGGACACCTGAAGGCCGGCGGTTATTGGTGGCGGCCCACAGCGGAGAGTTTACTTTATGGAATGGGATGACGTTCAACTTCGAAACCATCACCCAGGCCCATGACTCAGCTATATTGGCCCTTAAGTACAGTCACAACGACGAATGGTTACTTAGTGGAGACCAAGACGGAACCGTTAAGTACTGGCAAACGAATTTCAATAACGTGAACATTCTCAATTGCCATACCGATGGGATCCGAGATATCTCGTTTTCTCCTAATGATACCAAGTTTTTAACTTGTTCAGATGACTCGACCATGAAGATCTGGAACTTCAACAACGGTAAAGAAGAAGCCCATTTGACCGGTCACCACTGGGATGTCAAGAGTAGTGACTGGCACCCGAATCTCGGGTTGGTGGTGAGTGGTTCCAAGGACAATTTGATTAAATTGTGGGATCCTAGATCGGGAACGTGCATTTCAACCCTCCATGGATTCAAGCACACCGTCACCAAGACGCGATTTCAACCCAATGGAATGCAACGGTTATTAGCATCGGTGTCACGAGACCGGTCCTGTAGAATATTTGACTTGAGGACGATGAAGGACTTGATTGTATTGAGAAACCACGAAAGTGACTTGTCGTGTGTCGAATGGCACCCATTACACCCTTCGATGTTTACGGTGGGTGCCTACGATGGGTCTATTAGTCACTACTTGTTGGACTCGTACATTCCAGATGATGATAAGGAACAAATTAATACGATTTCTCCTAGTCACACGATTCCATACGCACACGAAAAGTCGATTCATGCGTTGGAGTACCATCCGTTGGGACACTTGTTGTGTTCGGCGGGGGCTGACAGATCTGCACGGTTTTGGTCTCGGTCTCGGCCTAACGATCCTATGGCGTTCCAAGATGCCTTGTACACCAATGATAAAAACGGTGCCTGGTACTATCAGGCAAACAATAATGTGAATGCAGTGATAGCTCCACCAAGCAATGGAGTGGGGGCTGCTACAAGTGCGGCACAAGTGCCTGGATTGCTGAGCATTCCAGGGTTGAACTTCTCGCACTAGGATGATCTGGAGTAGGAAAGAACATAGTATGATTAATATTCTACCTAATATTTTAGCACAGGAAAGTGACTCAAGGCTTTCAGGTCAATCACTTGACACTAGAGCACCGCACTATATTCGCATACTATCAAAATTCCATAAGTCTATACGCCTTTACTTATTTCCTTATATTCCCAATATATATAGTACCGTCCAATGTCTATAAAACCCTTAAAGCTCAGTAGTTGCAAATCCTGTCATTAATTGTGTCTTTGTTCGTCTCAAATTCTGCGTGTCTATAATAGTCTGCAACCTTATCATAATAAAGCCGTGCATCGTATTTCAGGTAGGCCGCAAAATACTCACTCATAACGTTTCCCACCTCACTCTTGTGAAACGTCCGTTCATGGTAATCAGCACCGCCGTTCTCCACCACCACGTAGCTGGCCAAAATTTCACGGTACGACTGCAACTCTTCTTCATCGATGGGCTGGTACGCCCGTCTGTAGTTACCAAGTCGTTTGGTAAAGTCGTTGATCGACTGCTGGTATTCCTGGTTCTTGTAATCGTCATTCTTCGTTTTAGCATTAATATTATAGTGGATTAGCAATGGATCCGTGCACTGAATGTCGAGCACTACCAAGCTGTCCAACACCAACCCTTCGTTGGCTACTCGCTCGTGGACCAACTTCACCAAGTTGGATCGCCGTTCGCGGGTGGTATTGGTGGCATCAAGAATACCCACATTGATGGTTTCCAGTTCCAACTCGTCTATCAACGAGTCCATCGAGTTCATGGCGATGATCTCTCGTTTGAAGATGAAAAGCTTGTTGTTGGGATCAAAGAACTCATAATTATGATAGGTATCCGTGGTCTTGAGGGTATCTCTTCTAACTTGTCCACAGTTGAAGACCTTGGTTTTGAGATGTGGATGAGAGTTGAGGTGTGTGGCAAGCAGCTGGGAAATAGTGCTCTTGCCAGTGGCGGGCAAGCCGACAAGGATTATGATGTTTTTGCTTGAAGTATCATTAAGGTGTGAAAAGGACGAAGCTGGTGTCATGGCCATCGAGGTGGCAGGAGTTCGCGTGTAGGAGGATGTTGTCAGGGTCTGAGCAGTGGAGGTGCCGGCAGCATCGAAGAGAGACGCCATCGACGTCGAACTATTAGAAGCTGAGGTCATATGAATAGTTGTTTGGGTGAAAAATAACTTGCGAGAAGTTGAGATTTAAAGTGCTATGCTCGATTATTGGCGCATGGGCGGTAATTTTCCGAGATCCACGCGGGCTAGCGGAGATGCGCTTTGCCGGACTGGACCAAGGGAAGTGAGTCAGGTCGCTGAGTCATGGCACCGGACCAGCGGTGTTATTCTTATCTATCACAGGGGATAGATCCCACGGGTCTATATCGAATGTGTAGCTTGTAATATCGCTTCTACGGGGTGTATTTGCACTTGTATTAGTTATTAGGCGAGGACCCTTAAGTGCATTGCATCACGCAAGTTTTTCCGAGTGAAGGTCTTCCTCCAACACGTTGTCAACTGATGGTCGGTGACCCATGAACATGGTGCGTCTCATTGATGTAGTGCCCACCCGTTGAGAATAACCCATGGGTTGTACAGTATCTTCGGTATGAATACCGCACCTCCTTAACCTAGATGTCGCATTAGTAGATAGCGCACCCTAAACAATCGACGTCCTCTACTCAAGTAAAATGTCGCACCGTGCCAAAATTTAATTTCCCTACCAGGTGGACCCGTATGGCACCAAGCTAATTTATATCGCAGCCCTATTTTTCTCTACTCTACTTCCACCAAATATTCAAACTCAGATATAATCAAGAATAGAACGCCATACTAGTAGAAGGTGATTGAGAGTTTTTGTGTAGCTCTAAACAGATATGGCTGGATGATAAAGAGTGATTTTTGCAGCTCTTCAAACTCCCATCCGATTTAGAGCATTGCTGAATGTGGATTAGATGCGACATCCATTTTTGAGAGGTGGGCCATCCACCCTGAAGACAGTGTATTAGCAATATCTACTCCCCGCTCGCCCCAAGGCGCCACATACATCACACGTAACCGGGTCAAGACAGGAGGGCGGTGTTCACGTGACCTAACATCAATGTGTGTGTGGCGTTCACGTGACCAACCACACCCACCTGGTGTTCGCGCCAAATTGCTCATCTAATCACTCACAATCACCACCATGGTAGCGTTCTTCTATCACGACAATAAGGACACCCCCGAAAACTTCACCGACGAACACAGCTCCGGCACGCCCGTGACGGTAGAACGGCTCAAACAGCTTGGGGTTCTCTATTACTACGTCACATCCAACGAACAGCTCAACTCCATCGCCAAAGCAAGAAACTACAAGAACAGAGACGAAATCACCCTTAATTTGGATTCCTTCAACGGCGACTTGGGTGCCTTCAACGCCAAAATGGCCCAGTTCTATAAGGAGCATTACCACGAAGATGAGGAAATCAGATACATTGTGGATGGAGAAGGTTATTTTGATGTCAGAGACGTAGGCGACCAGTGGATCCGGGCCAAGCTTAACGCCGGCGACATGTTGATCTTACCAGCTGGAATCTACCACCGGTTCACGTTATCCAGCGCCCAGAAGAACATCAAGGCGGTGCGGTTATTCAAAGATGAACCCAAGTGGGAGGCCATTAACAGAGATACCGATAAAGTCACGGAAGCCCGGTCTGATTACGTTCGTGGTATCGCCGTATGACCGTGTATTAAGGTATTTATATTTATAATGTATGTTTCTTCATTGGCGAATGATCTTGATATGGTTGTTCTTGATCCAACTCTCTAGGCTGGTACGAGCACTTGCCACCAGTTTTTCATGGCTTTCCCGCTGTTGTTGTAAGCTTTTGATGTCGGCATCCAAGAGCTTTATTACTTCGTCGACAGTTTTCTCTACCAATACCCCCCCAATCATTTTGAAACACTTACGCCCGGCGCGGTGGTCTGGACTGATGCTGGTGAGAGTTTTGTCCACAATCACGTATTCCTGGAGCTGAGCCTGGATAGTGCCGAGCTGCTCTTGCATGTCGGCGATGTCGGCCTGAAGCTTGTTGTACTGCTGTTGCAACGCGGCTGACTTTTGTTCGTCGGTGCCGGACCTTGGTTCGTTTTCCATGGTGTTGCTGAACTTTTTTTCCAGCTGTTGATATGCGCACTCTGACCATATAAACTGGGGTCCGCTGCAGAACAGAAAATAAACGGTATAAAATGACCTATGGAGGGTGGGTCTTGTCACCCAATGATTTTGAGTCATTTATTTATGTGTTTGCTTAGTTTGGGGGCTTGTTGGCTCTCCCTCCCCATTCTGCAAATGGATGCAAAAAACTTCACGGTTGCAGCCGTTGGCAGTATGGTGAAGGTCAAGACCGTCGATGAAGCATTTAAAAGAATTCAACTAGGAGTTGATCCCCAGCATAGTACTGTATATATTGTTGGTAAACACGATCAACTTCTTTTCCGCTACGATGGAATGCTCCCACCAACTTCTGCTCCTGTTCCTGCTGATGACAGCCCAAAGCTTGGTGATGTTGCAAAACGAGGAAAGATTACTGGATTTCTCGATAAGGCCATCACCCAGCTAGATTCAATTGAAGATTCTGCCAAGGAAAAGCTCAACAGTGTCTTGCCCGGTAAACCCAAATTGAAACCAACAGTTTCGCCAGTATTAGTTGAAAAAGCCGTATGGGTGCTCCAAAAGGCACAGGTTTTGCAATCAAAAGTGACCCCCGATCTTATGCCAGTGTCTCCTTGTATTGACTCGACTCAGGGAGATGGAGGGTCTATTTCCTTCAGCCATGGTTCAGCTTTTTCTTCACAAGGAAAAATTGAACGGAACTTTGAGGCTGGGTGGATGGTGTTTGCAAAGTACAAAGATAAACAGGATGAAACCGTTTCTTGGACGTACTCCTACTCGGTTCAGGGGACGGTTCCAGCTGGATACAAGGGCCAGTTGTTCATCAAAGATCCCAAGTTTACCGAAATTTTATTCAAACAGAAGTTCTTTCAGGTACTGGAAGTAGCTGAAAACATTCAACAATCACAGTTTTCCACTCGAGTGTTGGACTACAACTCATTGTTCGAGTACCACTTCTTGACCAGCGACAAATCAGTGTTGACATGTGACAGGGTGCTCGAGATACATAGTTTCTAGTTTATGTATTCAGTATAAAATTTTTATTGGTCTTTCTTACCTACATCTACCTTGCTTACGTATAAGAAGTTCACCACGAAAAAGAACCATGCGATAACCACCAACACGGCACTGACAACATAGAACCAGGCGTTGGTAATATCCCACGATCTCTTATACTCATCGTTGGCCAAGTGTCTGATAGCCACCACTTGTTTCTCCAATAAGTAGGTGAGACCAGGTCTCTTGTAGTCCAATTCAAACGTGAACATTCCATGCTGGTCGGGAATGGTAAAGTTGACAGAGTACACGTAGGTGTCCAACACTTTGCTTCCTTCAACCGACGAGGCTTCACCCAAAGGTTGTAAGTTTAATCTTTGGTATGGGTCCAACATCTTAAAGCTCAATTGTAAAGTCTCCTCGTCATTTTCCACCACAAACGGCTTCCATTGGCCATCTACCAATTCACTAACTCCAATGGTATAGACCACTTGATCTTTGATTCTGTACAAGGTGGAGTCGAGGTTTTGAGGCTCGTCAGCCTTATGGTGTTGAACAAACTGCAACTTAAGTGCATTCCTCTGACCAATGGCCCATAAGAGCAACTCTTGCTTCAAGAGCTCGATCGATCCAACCCAAGTGATACGAGTACCACTCAATGCCTGGAGGGATACTGCCAAATGACTCTGTTGGCCGAATCCCCACGAGTTCTCGTTATCAACAGGGTTGATGTTGTCATTGGAAGAGAAACTAGTTTTGCTGGCAGTCAAGATCGGAACCAAGTTCTCGTTGTTGCTGAGAATCGCTGACTGGCCATCGTACTCGGTGTCAATGGTAGATAATATTCTGGCACAGCCGATATTGTCCTTGGTCAACTTCACCTTGTCAGAAGCTTCAAAGTGGTCGATCAACTTATAGCCCTTTGGCGATGGATAAATGCCTGCTTCGTTGAGAAATTCTCTAATTACATCAGGGTAATTGTAGTTGGAGTCTCCCACAAACACGAGATTGGCAGTCTTAGCAATATCAACCAAGTTCTGTTTATTCAATTGTTCCTTCCTGTTTATCTTCTTGGAAGAGGTGGGCAAGAACACGATGTTGTCAAAGATAGCATATCCACTTACAAACATCAACAAATCGGAATCTTGGTACCCTCTGAGCAATATTTCGTGGCCCAACAGCTTGAAGGTTTCAACCACACGTTTCAACTCGATTGGAGGCTCGGCCAAGTCAATCTTAACGGAATCATACACAACCAACGATCTTTCTGCTACCGCAAGAAACACGAGCGACAATAACGCCACGAGTCTGGTGATAAACATAATAGATTCAACTTTTCACCAAGTGTCTTTTTCTGTCGTTGTCAAACCTGTGCGCGTTTCTTTACTGAGTATGAAAAATTTGTATTAGGCTATAATGATCAAAGTAAAGGTAGAGTTTTTAGGTGGCTTGGACATCATCAGCAACCATGAGAGACAACACAAGTTGACGCTCCCACTTGAAGAAGGCGATGCCACCATGAAAGACGTCATCACTTACATCTGTAAAGATATCATCACAGACCAGAAGGATGTGCCTGTATTCATCGAGGATGACACCGTGAGACCAGGGATCTTGGTGCTTATCAACGACACCGACTGGGAGTTGGAGGACAAGGAGGAGTATGTTGTTGAATCGGGCGATTTGTTCACCTTCACCAGTACCTTACATGGAGGTTAATTTCTATAAGGGTACGATTTTGCAACCCAAAAGACCTCTTCCATTCCAACTGTTAGAAGGCACCAACTGCAACTCCACCACCGACTCGGCTCGCAATACCCGTACGTCTACAGGTGTGTCAATGCTGGTTTGTACTCGTGCCACAACGGATGCCAACTTGTTGTGGTTTCCTGCGTGAATATCTCCACCAAAAACAACGATACGATCGCGTTTCTGAAGCCCAGCCCTGTCGGCTGGACTGTTTTCGAGCACGTCTTCTATCACCGCAAATGGAACCAGAGACTGTATCGTCGACGTCTTTTGTTCTATCGCAGATGAATCTACTGCTTTAAACTGGTCTTGTAGTTTCGATTCAATCATTGCCAATACACGTTTGTGGTCATTTCGTAAACGGATAATTCGAACACGTACAAGTCGAATGCCTACCACGTCGATATCATCACGCGGAAACCCATCAGGCGTCACTAAGGGAGTGCTCATTTCGGCGGCGAAATTGGTGGCCAATATATCGAAGAGAGCCGACAACTGATTTTCAAGCTCTTTTTTGATCAACAGCAATTGCTGGTAATTGAGGTCATCGTGCACTTTGTAGGTGGTGAACTTGTCTGAGTCCAAGTTCAAGGAGCTCATAAGACCTTCAAACGAGTCTTTTTCGAGTGTCATTGCAGAGAGTTGTACAAGAAAATTCGCGGTACATTGATTTGGGTAGATATGGTACACCACCAAATGGGTATTTACAAAATCTGCTGAAGCGATCGTGTTCATACACACGAGAAGTTATATTGTAACTTAAGTATTTTACAAGTATAAGGGCAGTGTACCTAAAGTCCGTGTACTTTTTTTAATATATTCTATTTACCTTAATGGCTGCGAATCGTCCAGGGTAGAAATGGCAAATGAGTAGTTGGACACAACCTCCATCTCGTCCAGATCCTCCCCTTCGCTGATTTCATTCCACGAAGCGACGGTCAAAAGCACAAAGCCTATGATGACCAAAACGTCACCCACCAACTGAGAAGTGCTCAAGACGTTATCAAATAACCACCATTCCACCACACCAATCAAGAAGATCGTCAAAAGAGAACTGACAGATGATAGCACTGGATTTGTCAAGGAGATCAAAGACAAAAACAGAGCGCTGAATGAAAGGTTAGATACAATTGAGCCGGCAATGTAACCCCAGATCACTCCTGCTCCATCATAGTTGACCAAGTTGAACTTATGGATTCCCAAGATATCCACCAATATACACCCCACCAAAAGGATGACAGCCGTATACAATCCCAACAACGACATAACAAAGTTGGCAAAAACCATTTGTCTTTTCGGGGTGATCAACTTGGATAAGTGAGGAGGAATACACAAGAATTTCTTATAGAATACCTCATATAATCCATAAAGCACCGCACCAATGGAGATGGCTAAGTTTCCCCAAAACCTATATGGATAAGGGGTGTCAGCCCCGTCACTCGAATCAGAGTACAGTACAATAAACACACCGACAATGGCAATAAGGACAGAGTTTGCCTTGAGCCACGAAAATCGTTCATTCAACAACGGGATAGCGAAGATGTAGGCAGTGAATGCCGAACAATTGTAGATGGCTGTGACATCTGCTGCGTAGGTGAGGGCCATAGATCCGTACCAGGTGAAACCGGCAACAGTAAGTAACAATACCAACACAAAGGTCTTCCAGAGAATGTATTGGATGGATGGGGTCTGTACAAACGAAACAACACAGGCAGTGATGGAAGGCGTCAGCAGGATGTGTGGGTGCTGGTCGATGAGCTGATTGATTCCGTGGATGCGGTCATCGTCATTAACGTGATATTCATAGATAATGATGGACGTGTGATAAATGTTGTGGAACTGCTTGACTATGGCCTTCTTGAAGTAAAGCCAATAGTTTATCGTTGGTGGAGGTGGACTAGCACTGTTGGGGTTGATGGGAGCAGGTGCCACCACCGTAGGAAGCAATTCGGTGGTGGAAGATAACGGCTGGTACCCTGGCTTTGAGGGATCTATAGCACGCCTGGCCCTAGAAATCACGCGGTATACCGCCACCGACAACACCTGTAGTGGCCACAAAGTCCACCAAGATCCATGGGTGACTATTAATAGTATAATTGGCTCTTTAAACCCCCGAGTATAAGCCTGGGAAGTGAACTCAGTTTGCAACACAAACATTGTCAACGACAACACAAACAACACGGAGATAAAGACGATCTTCGTTTTGGAGTGGCCATCAGTCTGGTGTTGGTCCACTGTGACAGACATGGTTGTTATGAGAAGAAAGTCGATGAAGCTTTTTGAGTGCGAAGTGGAATTGGGCTCTGGCGGGGGCTCATACGGTCGGCGGCTTCAGATACCGCGCTGCTCGTGTCACCAAATGGACCGTACAAGTTTAATCACTATCACTCAGGAAGTCACTTGATTCAGGCTCGTCAAGAGTCTGGACATGGTAGACCCGGTCGGGAATCATGCCACGCGCTACCAAGCGCCGCCGCAGCTCGAGCCGAGGCATCACCACCCCCACCACTCGATCCAGGCGCTCGAGCTCATCAACAAACTCATCGATATGTATTATTCCATAGTTCACCGGCACACCATCCACCATCTCTGGCGACGATAAAAGTACCCGTACCTTGGTGTAGTTGGAACGGTACGTATCCAACACCTGATATACTTCTGTGGGTGGTTGGGTCAATCGTATGTATATCAACGTGAGGATAGTGAGGTATTTGAACTCAGGTTGTTTCAAGTATAGCCCCACCACGGCGGCACTGGGTCCAATCTCAAGGAGACGGAGGAGACAGCAGAGGAACGGACTAGGTCGATTGCTCGAGTCCAACCCGCCCACATACTTGACATTATCCACAATCACCTGAAGAATGGTCTGCTCATTGGTCAAGTAGAGATGCTGTTTGTAGAAGAGCGAGTCCTTGATACGGTTTCGCACAATAGTTTCAAGTATATGAGCATATCCCGAAACTCTACGCTTGTCATTGTAGGCGGGTTGCATTTCTCGTGTATGTATTTGTGGTATTGGAGTTACCTAGTTAAAATTCCAGCTATATAAAAAGTGTCGCACATCGCGACTCATCTACTCTTCGTCCTTGAAGGAGATTTTGTCTAAACTGGCCAGTAAGGCCAGTAACCGCTTGGCAGAAGCTTCAAACCACTCACGTTGGGCTTCCACAAACACTTTCAACAAATTGACGCTCTTGGAGGGTTGGATCAATTGCTTCATCTCAATCACAGCGTTCTCAGTAGCACTCACCAATTCGTCTTCCTTCTTGATCAACTCATCATCCTCCTCTTCCTCTTCACTTCCAGCACTCTTGGCACGAATCAAGTCGAACTCCTGGCGGGCTGCATACACCGACTTACGCAATTCAGTCACCTTAATGAATTCCTCGTTCAATATCTCCACCAATTTATGGTTTAAGCTGGCCATGATCTTTTGATCCATAACCAACCGACCATTAGCAAGCTCCAAGTACGCCTCGCTGATTTGCAAAAGGGCAAAGTTCAAAGGACTATCACCTGTTTTCAATTCTTCCTGGTACTTTCCACAGATCTTGGACAATTGCCCATATAACGTCTTTGGCACATCGATTACCTGGACGTTAGCAGAATCTTCTTCGACTGGCTCCTTCTTTTCTTCCTTGCCCAACAACAAGTTTTCCAATTCCTGGGGCGACGATACATTCTTCAACTGATTGAACTTGCCGGTGAACACGTTATCTCTCAACTTAACCAACGAATTGTTGGCAGGGGGGTAGTCGTAACTGACCTTACCATAAGTATCAGTGGTAAACTGGATCAAGTCGGTGTAGAGCTTTAATAACAAGTCACAGCTGGCCTCCAACTGTAAGTAGTCTTCAGGTAACTCAGACACCTCGACGTTGGGGTTGGCGATGGCAAATTGTTGGATTTGGTGTAACTGATTGTGGAGGTACTCTTGGGTCTTGTGAGTGAAAGGTTGGATGGTTTTACTAAGGCCTTGATAGGTTTTCTCAGTAGACTTGGTGATCTTCTCAAAGTCGTAACTGGAGATGGTGTCCTGGATGGACTTCAAGGATGGGAAATTGAAAGACATTGGATGTTTAATAGGAAGAAGTAGTGTTAAATAGGTGTTTTTTGTCGCGCTTCAGGGAGAGAGTGAGCAGATTTGATTTGAGAGACGAGATTTGGGAAGCGAGTGAACACAAACAGTGGGTTTTGGGCGACTAGTAAGGTTGTGCAACATATAACTAGGAGTTTACTGAATGTTTCTGTATTTTTCTGTATTGGATCTATTGATCTGATTTATACTACTACTCATCGTTGACCATCTGCTTACCATTGTAGACCCTCAGGAGATCTCCCGGACCCCATCTTTGTCCACCACCTTGACGTAGCAGCCCTTGAAGTCCATGGGCATTCTGGTTTCCAACTCGCGTATACACATATCCAACAATTTTAACCCATCATCCAATGTCATATTGGTTCTGTAGTGTTTATCCAACAACGACATGCAATAGAATGCAGCGTAACCATGGGCAGCATAAGGCAATACCGCTTGTGTACCCAAGTAATCGATATAGTTTAACGTTGGTTCATTGGACTTGGTGTCGAATCCTCCAAGCAACACATTCACCTGATATGGTTTCCTGGATCTGATGGAAGTAGCCAATTGAGACCTGACAAAAGAGGCGGTGGCCTTGGGCGACAACTCAATGTCGTTTTCCCGCATCGAGTATAGCTGAATGTTGGCTTGCATGTACTCAGCAAACTGGACCGTATCTCCAGACTCACCTGTGAACGCCACTAAATTATGCGCATTTAACACACGGGTCTTATCGTCATTGTCTTTCAACACGGATATGCCTCGTGTTATGGCCTTAGATGTCGCAATGATCGTGGAGTCTGTCAATCTGATTCCGAGAACGATATCCATTGTGTATTTGCCACTATGTGAGTGAGTGAGAATTGAACTTTTCCAGTTCGCGGGTTTGGGTCGCACTTGTGTGTACTATAAATATGAAGTATAAATATGAAGTATGAATATGAACTATGGTAAAAGTTGGAATAAAGCAAGGATTGAAGAAAAGATCGAGGTGGGTCAAACATGCAAAGCTGGCAAATTCCAACATTATTCAATTGCTCAGGCAACGTTCCAACACTATTCAATTGGAGCTGGTTCAGAGCTAAACTCAAGGTGTTAGTAGCTTGATTACTTTCCTAACACCTCCTTCACCTTCTTCTCCACCAACCGTGCCACCATTCGGCTCAACGCACTGTCTTCGTTGGTTATCTGGTGGTTCAAACTGGCTTCGATTTGGGCTTGTACAAGCTTACCCGTCAAATCAACCTCAATATTCACTGTATCACCCACACTCTTGTTAGACATAATCACCTTTTCCTGGGTATAGCTAACCATCATGATTGAGAACTCGGCAGTGGAATATTTGACGTTTGTCACTGTCAACGAGGTGCCATCAACAGATATAAACCCCTTTTCCACAATGTATCCAATGTACTGGGCATCTCTCAACTGAAACGTAAAGATAATGGCGTTTCCATCGGGCTTTTTATTGGTTACCATGGCAATGGTATCTACATGCCCCTGTACAACATGCCCTCCCATCCTGACATCACTGGTGACGGCTCTTTCCAAGTTGACAGGTGATCCGGCTCGTAAATCACCAAGATTGGTCCGACGCAACGTCTCGGGGGCCACGCCCACCTTAAAGTAAGTCTTAGCATCGTCAAACTCAGTCACTGTGAGACATACCCCATTGGTGCTAATAGAGTCCCCAAGGTGAACATCTCGCAAGATCTCACTACACTCTCCTATGGTAATGGACACGCCGCTTCCCCCCGAACTGCTCGTGTCATGTTCCAAGTACTCTAATATTGTCCCTATAGTTTCCACGAGGCCGGTGAACATTGGTGTGATGTGTAGTATAAAAGATAAAGGTGACTAATCAGTTGTAATACTTCAACTTCAATTACGCAGTTCGCACAAACTGAATTTCCTCGAACAAAGATAAATTTTTTTCTACTCAAAGTTATGCCATTCAGGTTTCCCGTTAAGTTTGAAATCCCCAAGCATTGCTACGTCAACGCTCGGGTTCTCAAGGACCAGTTCAAGAGAATCCAATACGCCGAGCATGAAGTTACTCGGAATGCCTTGAAACACATTGCCAGAAACACTGAGTTAGCAGGTTCGGTGAGGTTGGAAGCACAATTACAGTTGGCCGCCATGCCCAAATACACGTCACCTACACAGATCAGAGACCGGTGTGTGGCATCTGGAAACGGCAAGTGGGTTATTAAGGACTTCAAGCTCAATAGAGTATGTATCATTATCTTTCCATCTATTTTTGGCACTCCCATGCTTATACTAACATTTTATTAGACTGCTTTTAGAGAAAGAGCTAGGGCCGGAATCATCCCCGGTGTCACCAAGGCCTCTTGGTAATGTCATTGTAAATATTGTATACTAAATCATATTCTTCATTTGTTTAACTTGTTCGCACCTGATTTGATGGAAGTTTTTTCATCGCCATGTTCTTGAGCACCAGAGTACCAAGAATTCCCCGACTCACGAGTGCTGTGAGGCTTATAAGGCCACTTTCGTTGAAACCTGACTTCTCCAAGTACAAGCTCAAGGAAGGGCCTCCGGGAAATATCGTGGGTACCGTCAACGATGCATACACACCTCCACAGGCCAATTTCCACGAAGGTGGACACCACTGGGCATACGAAAAAATTGTCAGTACCGCCATGATCCCGTTGACGGCGGCTCCATTTATACTTGGACCCGACCTCCCGATCGTCGATACCGTATGGGCCGTGACCTGCTTGGTCCACTGTCATATGGGGTTCAAGTCTTGCATTATCGACTATATCCCCAAGCGAGTGTATGGAGTGTGGCACACTTATGCCAGTCGGCTTTTGCTGTTGGGAACTGGTGTGGGGTTGTATGGGATCTATCTTCTAGAAACCACCCAAAACGGAGTGTTTACCATTCTTGCATCCATCTGGGGAGCATAAAACCCTTTTGTATATATTTAATATCACTTTTCCGGTTGTTCATCGCCCGCACTGATATCCATTGTTTCGTAGCTGTCATCACCGTCTATGCTTTGGCTGCTCATATCCATGTCATCTCCTTCGGGAGACTTCTTAGTTCTCTTGGGGGATTCGTCAGATTCATGCCCTTCAATCTCACGTTTGTGGTCATTGGCCCACGGAATCCGTATCAAGGGAATTGTATCATCCTTGGGGTCACCATGGTCATCAGGGGCGCCATCAGCAAAGGTGGGGGCTGGGAAATCATCTACGCTGGAGCTAACAAATACGATTCTGGCCAAAGCGTGTAGGTATTTCAGCACATTCTCGACGGATCCGAGATCGTATCCTTCATGCTTCGGGTCATAGAGTACCTCGGCCATGCGCAACACACTGAACGGCGGCGACGTCTCGAAGTTCACTTGCAAATGCTGGATGATCATTCTCCCCTTTTCTCGTAGATTCTGGTCTTGAACCGGTAATGAGTCTATGATGTTTTGAATCCGCGTCGTCACGTGCGGGAGCACCAACGCCCGCCAGCTCACATGCTGCTCGGCGTTATACTGCTTGGACTTTATGATTTCTTTCAAAGGTGTTGAAAGTGTCAGTTCCATTGCGGGTACTTGAAACGACGCCATGCCAAAGGGGGTTGAACAGAGTGTTTGCTTGGCTATTGAATGAAGAATTGACGATCAAGGTTATCTCAGTTGGGTGCCGTTCTAGACTGGTTATGAAGGACCAATAAAACAACTGAAGGTATATCAAATGATAAATACGACGAGTATTTGGGGCTCTCCAGATTAAGCTATCTTGAGGCTGGGGATTACGCTGGCCCGCGTAACTATTATCCTCCACCCGCGCATGGTTTGAGAAATTTTTCAAAGCTTGTCTAACGTTAGTATGTCTTCTATATTCAGACTCGGAGCCAGGACCGTTGGCGGGTCTGTTTTCAGAACCTTCACACAATCGTCATACCGTGCAGCTGCACCTTTGGCTGTGCGGTTCAAGCTGTCGCCCGCAGCCACCACCCCTTCCTTAACGGCCCAAATCTTCCCCATGGACAAAGATACCATCACCGAAAAGGATGTGGACGAGTGGATTCAGTCGCTTCAGAGATTGAAGAACGGCCACACCCCCGATAATGCAACGGAGATCTATATCGACGAGTTAACCCGTCCGGAAGAGTACTTGAAACAACAATTTGAGGCTAGTGAACAACAACTACAAGAACAACAGACATTTGAAACCGCTCGGATTCCTCTTGCCAGTATTCCTGTTGTCGACAATGTGGTTAACTTGATCATGAGAAACGGGAAAAAGTCCCAGGCCAGAAAAATCGTTGCTAGAGCATTGTATCTTATTTACTTGAAGATGAGAGTAGATCCGGTGATAGTGTTGGAAGAAACCTTGGAAAAACTAGGTCCCTTGACAAATACCAAAGTGGTCAAGACGGGACATGCCAAAAACATCATCAGACCATATCCGTTGAACGAGAGACAAAGACGCAGATATGCCATTCTTTGGATTTTGGATGGGGCTGCTAAGAAGAAGTCCTCTGACTACTCGGTGAGGTTGGCCGAAGAAATCATGTCGGCACACGCAGGTAAGTCTTCTGGATATGAAAAGAAGGCCCTGATGCATAAGGTGTCGATCGCCCAAAGAGCATATATAAACATTTAATGGCGCTTGTACTTGTATATATTAACAGTAACAAATTTTCATTTGTACTCTTGGCTGCGAATTGTGGTTTTTGCAAACTTTCTAATAGTTTAGAAGCTCATGGATAACCTCCAATACTACTTTAAGAGAGCCAGAGGCAAGGTCGAATACTTGAGGGCTGATTATACACAAAAGTATTATAGCAACAGTCGTGATCCCAGAGTCATCCACACTAAGTTGAATGATAGTCTCGTCTCCTTGAGACCTTGTCCAGAAGACAAATACTTGATAAAGCCAGGAGAGTTTCTTACTTTGGGCCCTAAACAGCCTGGTCCGGAGACCCTGGACCATGTCACCCACAAGCAGCAGGTATTGGAACTTGAAGAAAGCCAACCGCTTGAATCATCTCATGATTTAATTTCATTTACCCAAATGTGTACTTGTGAATGCCATTTGCAGACTTCAGCAGAAACAAGCCTCATAGAAAACTCCCCAAAACAAGGGAAAAGACACGGGTGGTTGAAAACCTTAAGTGGTATCAGCTTCAAGAGAATGACTGAAATACCCATAGCGTTGTCCCCCCTTTCAGAGGAGTCGTCGACCGAAATAATTATGATCAATAACGATCAGGGGGACTCTGGCATGCCACAAACCTCACTCAACCCAACTCAAGTCCAAGGAGATGCAAATGCTGTTAGTTGCAAAAAAAACAGTCTCTATGGAGAGATTTTGAGAAGATACTCGTTTGCGGAAGGAACTCGACTCTCTTCAATCTCGTCGTTGGAACACAGGGACGCTTGTGCGTCGGGTCTGGAGAATCAGGTGTTTCCAGCCTGGAAACATGTCATTAACGACGTATCGCTTTCTGCTGCCCGCATATCAACAGGAAGTACGCCAACTGCTAGTCGCAACACACCTAACCTTACGGCCGATTTCACGAAAGCATTGGTCAGCGACGGATTCAGAGATGCTTTTGAGACTGCTAAAATGCAGCTCAAACCTGACTATTCGTATGATTTTATATATTTGTATGGCGAGAGTCTGGAGGAGAGTGAAGAAAAAGAGTGAAGCTTGAAGTGTAAGTATATACGGGTGTAAAGGATTGTAGTATACTGGCATCTGTGAGTATCTTGAGTGATCAGAGCTCTGAGTTTATTCTTTTGTATGTCTACTTTTTTTGCAGCAATGAGCATGCGAGAAAATCCACTACAACCCTACGAGCCACATCATCAACTAGATGTCCATGAGCTTCAAGTATTCGAAGAGCTTGCTATCACTAGTGTGCCCACTTTGCTGGTAAGGATTGTCTTCTTCCATAGTATAATTAAAGCTCTTTTCACTTTATAAGCAAGTCTAGAAACCATTCCTTATTTGGCCATCTCCATACTATGATCTGTACAGGGAAACTTCCCCTTAGTAGTGGATTATTTCATCCCACATATCATCTTGCTCTATCTCCAATATTTCCTCTTATCAAACCATCCCCAGGTTAGTTGCAACTTAACATCCTGCATATAGACCCGCACCTAATTGCACCTTTTACTATTGGCCAAAATGCCAAACATATGAGCGAGAAAAAATCAAAAGTTTTTTTCACCTTTTAAAACAAACTCGACCTTTTCTAAAGTATCATGATTCGTGGATCTACCTTCAAATCTGGGATGAAGAGCGTTGCCGCCGCCAAGCGTGCCATCGCTACCGCCACCACTCCCACCAAGTATGCCACTCTTTCCAATGGAGTTACCATCGCTACCGAAACCAACCCTCACGCCAAAGTGTCCACCATTGGTTTATGGTTTGGTGCCGGATCCAGAAGCGAACATTCCTACAGTAACGGTATCTCGGCCTTGACCGTGTCCACCCTCGCCTCCACCCTCGAAGATGGGGTGCTTTTGACTTCTCAAAGCACCAAGGAAACCAATGCCATTATTGCCCAAACCACTAATGATAACGTGCTCGAAGCTGCTAAACTCATCAGTAAAATTGGTTCTAACCCTTCAGAATATTTGGAAAAAGCTGACTTGGCTTTATCTAAGTCTCAATTGATCGCCCAGGCTGCCCAGTTGGAAGCAACTCCAGATAAAATGGTGTTGGAACACTTGAATGCTTCTGCTTTCCAAGGTTATTCTTTGGCGTTGCCAACCTTGGGTACTTCCGAGTCCATCTCTGGTTTACAACTCCAGGATTCTGAGCGGTTGTTGGAAAGACACTTGGTGGGTTCCAACGTGGTGGTTGCCGCTTCTGGTAACTTTGACCACAACCAATTGGTTGAAGCAGTTGAAGCTGCTTTGTCCATCAAACAAGGTCACAAGCCCGCCGTCAAGCCTGCTTCATTCTTGGGTTCTGAAGTCAAAATGAGAGACGACACCATGCCAAAGGCCTATGTGGCATTGGCTGCTCAAGGTGAAGGAGTGTCATCTCCTGCCTACTATGTGGCTCAAGTGGCCTCCAAGATCTTTAACGACTTTGACCACCACTCGGCCTTTGCCAAATTCCAGTCACCCAAGTTGGCTTCTCAAGTGCAAGAATACCACATTGTGGACAAATATACTCACTTTTCCACCTCTTACTCAGACACTGGGTTATGGGGTTTCAATGCTGAGATCTCCAACATTTACCAAATAGATGACTTTGTTCACTTCACCTTGAAGCAGTGGAACAGATTGTCGATCTCCATCACTGATGCCGAAGTCGAAAGAGCCAAGCAACAAACCAAGACTGCTTTGTTGGCTGGATTGAACTCTACTGAAGCCATTGCTTCCGACATCGCCAAAAAGGTGTTATTGTTGGGTTACAGAACCTCGATAAGAGAATCCTTGGAAAAGATCGATGCCATCACCACCAAAGACGTCAGGGCTTGGGCTCAAGCTGCCTTATGGGACAAGGACATTGTCATTTCTGGTACTGGACAAATCGAAGGATTGATGGATTACAACAGATGGAGAAATGGTATGGCCATGATGAGATGGTAAGCGAACGCTAATCCCGAATATCTCCATCTTCATTTGCATCAATATCCACTCCACCAATCTTATATATTTGAACTAATAAACGAATTAAAAAAATACTGTACTTTAAATGAGTCCACTCTTTCTTAAGTTATCCTCGATAATCATATCGGTTACCGCCGAAAGTACAAACTTCATCGACGTTGAGTCGGTGGCGCAGGTTCGGTGCACGTAGATGGGTTTGTTGGTCTTGTTGATTGCTAAGAACTTTTTCTCAAAATAGCTGATTCCATCCTCTACGGTATTGCCAGTAAAATCATTGAAATACTTGTGCAACAGCTGAGGAGAAAACTTGGTTTCAAACAAATCGATCTTGTTTAAGAAGAGGATAAAAGCCGTGTTCAAAAACCATCGTGAGTTGCATAGTGAGTCGAACAAAACAAGGGTTTCATGCATTCGGTTCACTCGCTCATCTTCAAAAAGTGTCTGATCATATTCACTAATGGCCACTACAAATAAGATGGCGGTGATATTATCAAAGCAATGGATCCACTTTTTTCTTTCCAGCCGCTGACCACCAGCATCCAACACTTTAAACTTGAACGAATTGATATGGAAGTTCGTCTCGGTGATTCCTGTGGTTTTGATCCTTCCCTTCAAAATATCACTATTGGTGAACAAATAATTGGGTTTGGCAAACTCATAAATCTTCTCAAAGTAATAGGCAGCATTTGATTCCAACTGGAACTCGTTTGACCGGTGGAAACACTGTTGAATCCCACTATCATATTTCCATAGCATATCAATGGCTTCAGCTATTTGACTTCGAGAATATTTTTCAGTGGTGCCGTTGATACCATTGACTTCAGCATCTGCAGCCTCTACCTCTTCTTCCACGATCCGATCATTGTTACCTGTTCGTGGACTATTATTATCGTCCCAAAACGAGTTGTTGGCGATCCCTGTACTATTCTGACGTCTTTTGGCACGTCTCACCTCACTATACTTCAAGACATATTCGTTCAAGAAATTGTTACCTCCAGCAATGGAAGTATCAATCTGCTGCAAAGCATTGGCCTTCAATACCATCCGCTTATACTGATATAAGGACCCTGACCAATCATCACAATCTAACCGAATCCCTAATGCCCGAGCTTGAACAATTAGAATCTTCATGGACTGTATGGCATCCACCCAGATAACATGGCCATATTGTATTCTCTCCTGGTCCGAAAACCCTCCTTTGTGGAGCAACCGAAGCTGCTTTAACACGGTGGACTTACCGCTCTCTCCAGCTCCCAACAATAAAAGCAGGACCTGGTTTTTACTGTTCTTGCGATTCAGTTGCAAACTTTGGTTGATGGCAGCATTGACCCTTTTGTCCATGAGAAATGGATCTTGGTCATCGGGATCTGGAACACTAGCAGTGCATCCCATGGCTACGTGCACTCGGGTGTTTGTAATGTGGGATGTTTTCTTGTGGTGTGCCTTTTTCTGTTATTTATCAAGACCTAATCAGGAATCATAATGAGCCTCACATTCTTTCACACATCCTCGCGAATCCTGCAGGAGAAAGGCTGCAAGTGGAACAATAATAGCAGCATCAGTAAGAGAACAAGGAACCCCGTCCTGGAGTCTTCATAACCCCACAGCCCCCCTTGGATCTTTAAATTGTCTTGCAAAATATCACGTAAATAGCTACCACTAAAGCGCTTACCAGGCCTGCTTGACGAGCAAAGGCGATCGCATGAAATCGTTTGCGAATTAAGCCCCAGCTGTCAAACAGTTGTCGTATTCTCAGTTGGAGCGTCCGTGGTGACTCCTTGGTGTTTGTGTAACTGGGGAGAGGCATTATGTAGGGCGACAGGCCGGCCGCGTTCTCATTGTCTTGGTCTTGAATAAAATCGGAGAGCTTCTTCGAATTCATGTTGTGTAACGGTAACATCGTGTAGCCAACTATGGCCGACTGGCTCGAGTTCCAGTAAAGCAAGACCAAGCCACTCACCGCCGCCATAAACACATAATGGGCAATATTGTAGTAAGGGCGTGGAAGGTAGCACATGTGGGTTTTGTACTGGAACTCTTCATCAGCGTTTACAAACGATAAAAGCTGGACACCCGGCCTCCATATTCCCATGGCCATACTGATGGACTTTACGGTGACCTCTCTGGTAGACTCGCTATGTTGAATATCGCAGTAATCGTGGTCGTCTCCACTAAATACCAAATCGGGTTGGATTAGGTCTAAAATCTCCGACGAAAGCCCGGCATCCACCACCAGCTGGTATTGGTACCCCTTGGAAAGACGGAACGTTGGGCTCTCACGAAGAGGCCCGCATGGCTTCTCGCTGGGATCTCTATACAATGGAACATGTGAAAGTAACACCCGAGGATTCTCCTTTGAGATGGTCCGACCAAACTGCTTATCGATGAAAGCCCGGGCATCACCGTTGATCTCACCATTGTCAGACATCAACGAAGGGGTGTCGAGCGCGATGAAGTCCACGTCGTTGATGGTGGTGATGGTGTTAAGTCTTCCAAACTTCTTGGAAAACCGCTTGCGACTTTCTAACTTGACAGCATCTCCAATCCCGATATCGTGGTTACCAGGCACGTTAATGAAGAAGTTTCTGTCCTTCTTGAACCCGTACTTTTTATGGGGAAAAATGTTTTTGAACCGACGGAACTGTTGGTTGAAGTACTTATCACCACTGGACCGGCCATTATCAAGGTAATCTCCCAAGAAGAAGATATAGTCGGGGTCCAAGTGGCGCACAAATGACCGGTAGTTCTTCTTGATATACGTATCAACGGTATGTTGAGAGAGCTTCAACAAAAGCAGGTTTCTTCCAGGATAGGTATGACTATCAATTAGCTGGGGGTCGGCAATGAACAAAATATTGGTTATACCTTCGAATACTTGGGGCTCATGTTGCTTGTGGAATCCATGGTGTTCTGGCTGCTTCGAAAGCGTCAACTGGTCCCACTGGCACCGGTTGGCCACGTAAAATGGAAGGAATCTCTCGTGGATAAAAAACGTGATAACCCAGAGGATAAGGATCCCCGCCACTAATTGGTGATAACTCTTGATCTTGGGGAAAAGAAGCTTCATTGTTTCACAGACAATACACGCTTTTCAACGGATTATGGTCCTCGTTAATAAAATATAACCAAACAAACCGATTGTGTATACTCGTCTCAAATGCTTGATTAAAATTGTAATTAGGCGACTACCTGCTGCTGTCGTATAAACTTGCGCGTCGCATCCTACAATTGACAACTAATTAAATAGATGCTGGACACCTCGGTACTAATTGCGGTGGCGGTGGCCGTCGTCATCCACTACTTGTTCAAGAAGTATGTTGATGCCACCAAGGATGTGCCTGACTTGTACTTATCCGAACAATCGTTGGTAGAAGCCACCAGACTTTCTGACCAGTCAGCCATCTACAAGAGTAACAAACTAGATTTCGGGAATGGGTTAAGGGTCGGCCTTGACATCCGCTATAACCACTACAAGATCCGTCACGGAAACCCCTGCGATGTGTGGGAGTTATTGGTGGCGGGTTTGAAATCTAATCCCCAGAAGCTTATGGTTCTAAACAATGAGGTGATCAAAATATCCGAATTAAACTTTAAGGTCAACCGCGTTACGGCTTATTTGGATGCAAATGGGATCCGGAACATCGCCGTAAAGTACTCCGACTTCATGGCATCCATTGATCACACGGTGATCTTGTTTGCTTGTTTGATCAATGCCGTCACTGTTACCTTCTACCAAACATCAGACGATCTTCAGACCTTGGAAGTAGACCACTTTGGTGACCAATTGTTGCAAGAGGTGGATCTGATCCTCTCCGCTACCGGTGAGCTATTCACCTACGAAAATATCTACAACTTCGACAAAGATAAAGGTGCACGGATCCGAGTGGTTAAGAAACTTGATGGATCTACAATCAGAACCACCGAATACTTGGCCGTCAACTTGGTCAGCAATATCGCTTCGACTTTGAAGCACCTACCACCAAATGAAACAATTGGTCCCAAAGACACGATATTGGTGACAAATGTAAACCCTCACACTCTGCTTGTGAACACACTATGCAAAGTGTTGACTGGGTTTGTGACTAACTCCAGTGTCATCATCACCAACTCGCTGTCGTGGGAAAACCTTGTTCTGTACAACCCGTCGGTGATGTTCCTGGACCTGCTGGTATACTCTAAGGGCGAACTTGTGCACAAGTTACAAAGAGGGCTATCGGTTGTTGGTAGAACCAAGTACAAGCTTTCAATGTACTTTTTGTCCCAGGGAAAATTCAGTAGGTTTGGCAGCTCCAACTTGAGATTGGTGTACTTCACCACCATTGTAGGTGGGCCTGAGTCCTGCTACTTTGCTACCGCAAAACTTAATCAATTGAGGGCTTTGCTTAATGCAAGAGTCATTGTTGAGTATGGGTATGATAACTTGATAGGTCCCGTGGTGTTGAGTGATTTATACGATTATAGGGTGTTGGATGGAGCTATCACTGAGAATCTAGTGGGTTCTGGGTGTATTTTCCAAGCAGTTGAGATCAAGCTTGTGAACTTGAAATCGGACAATTTTGGAGATATTATGGTCAGAGGTTACAATATAGGTAAAGTCAACAATTACATTATTGGTGGTGGTTCAGGGGAGAGAGTCAATAAAGACAATGAAGGGTTCATGTTGCTTGAGGGTGTGAAAGGTAAATGGGGAAGTGATGGATGCTTGTACATATATGGTGAATAAGGAAAACAATTAATGCAAAAGAATACGCTTGTAGCCTCACAAATTGTAAATTCAAATAGTATGATGCTTTCACAACCTTCTACGAATATTGTAAGAAATGCTTTGAGCTACTTGGGTATCACCGTGCACTCTACTTGTTGACTACTTACAAGAAAGTTTGACTTTATCGTTCAAGTCGCTATCATCGGCATCGTTCACATCATCAATTGTTCTCTTGACAAAGAAGGAGTTGGAAATAAAAATCTTCAAGTTGAATTGACTCAAGTAGTAATTAATGAACTTGATCTCAACTGCATCAAGATTTTTCACATTCAAATTGGAAAAGAATATTCCCCATTTACCGAGTTTGGAATCAATCAACGCAGAATCACTTTCCCAAACTACTTCACTCTTCGAACTATCAGCCAAGATCTTTTGAACCTTGATGAAATCATACCCAAAAATAAGCAACACATTGCACCAGTTTTCGTAGGTGGCATTACTGACGTACAAATTATATTCCAACGCCTGCAATAAGTCGATTTCCAATGTCTTTAGCAACTTTATTTGGTTCTTGTCCTCCGAATCCAACCCTAAGATTTTCACCCACGTTTTAAAGGAGTAATTAGCATCTTGATTGAACTTAGAGGCCAAGATCACCAACCCCAAAAACAAATGTTTGGGATTTTTCAACGACTTAACCTTTTCGTCATTCCTTTTCTTGATGAGTTTCATCAAGTAAAGGCATGCAATTTGCAAGATTTGGATCGAAGTCTTTGACCTCTTCAAAACCTGCAAAATAAAGAACCTCAAGTTAGAAGGATTGATTTCCACCTCCTGGTCTTCAAGGTACAATAACTTGATCAAATAAATGGCACTGTTGATCAAGGTTAAGTTGAACTGGCTCTTATCAAAGTTATTATGATAGTATTTGTAGTCATTGGGCAATAAAATTTCTTCTTCAAAGTCCATTTCCTTTAACTCAACTGAAGACAAAGGTGTTAAACTGGAAGACTTAGCAAACAAGCTATCAACTTCTGAACTGCTCGGGGTGACCGGCAGAATGCTGGAAACAATAGTCATTATAATACAGCAAATGCAATAAAGTTTAAAATCACACACAAAAAAAAAACGGTTATCTTATAACATCATTCAGCCTTTATATCGTAAGATTCAAGGAATCAAAAGGACATCATGAATCTATTAGCAAACCAAAAACGTAGAAACGCCAAAAAAAACCAACAAAACCTGACAGATGATTACTCAAATGTCACACAAACAGTAATAGACCAACGGGATTAACGATACAAAAATCTACTATAACAAAGAAGTAAAGCAGATTAGTCACGATTGCAGCCAAAGCAAGCTCTGGAAGAAAAAGGGGGGAAAGAACAAAATTGAAAGGATACTCGCTTATTCACTACCTAGTATATCAAAGACCTCTATTAAATATGGAGACACTAATGATAAAGCAGCGTGCTGAATAAACTGTGGGAATAAACTGACAATGCGGACAGCCGGTTTTATATGCGTCTTATCGGCCTGACTCATTCGCACCTAACATCGGCGATGGCCAAAAAATGGGTCATTTTGCTAGATGGGTCATTTTCCTGCATGCGCGCCCGCCCGAAACCGCTGTTGAGTCAACCACAGTTGAGTCAACCCTTAGTTCATGATGCATTTCATAGTATCTATTGAGCTATACACTTACTTTGCTAATTCCCGGAAACAGCTGTCGATTATGTCTCGCAACTCTTTGTAGCTGACAAGAATCGAAAGCTTCTCATCTCGTGACACCAACATGAATCGCTCTTCTATACCACAGTCTAGCTTATTAAGTTTTATCAACACCCGGGATAAATCGATAATAGGCCTATTGGACTCATCGTGTTGGTGAAAAATGTAGTCGTTGAAAAGCTTGATCAAGTTCACCTTTTCGTTCTCTTTCCAGAGCAAATGGGGACTGTCAACGATGAAGTTGATCTTAGAAATGAGTCTGAAGAGACGGGCATTTTCAACCTCATTAGTGAGTTGGCTTTCTATATAGTCTTGGGATTTCTGTAGATCATTGATCATCTTAATCAGTCTCTTACTGAGATAAAACTGGTTGAACTTGTCCAAATTAACGTCCATAAAGCCGATGTTCAACTTTACGAGAAGGTCAATCATCTCATCTCCAACCACACCTTTCAAGCTATTGATCTGGTCTTGGGTACCACGTGATGATGGTGATCCTGGGAGCATTAACAACGCCAATGACAACACCACTTTTCCAAACCGCTCAAGATCTTGCTTTTGTAGGTCTTGAACCGTGGTAGTGTCATCTGATTCATGATTGAAAATGTCGTCAATACCACAGCTGGATAACTTGATTCTGTTTTTTCCCACCACAAGAATCTTACTTAGGTTCAATGCTGATCGAGCCGCCAACCGACTTTTGTGAATATCCATTAGTGCGTTAGTTATTTGAATAATGTAGCACCAAAGAATGTCTTCATTAATAGGCTCAAGTTTGGACCCCAATTTCCGATTGATATGCTGTTCCAGAAGGGTATTTGCGTTCGGATAATAGTCATATACCACACATAACTGTGATCTGTTTCCTCCAAAGGCAATGGTCGTGAAACAATCGTGCAACCCCACAATGTTACTGTTTTGCAAGCGTTTCCACCTTTCAACGGTTTTAAAAGGACCCTTGTTATCTATTTGAATGGTGTCACTATGGTCAAACTTCCGTAGAGCATAGGCAAGTCCATCCACATTCGAAAACACTTTATACACTGCCGAATTGACCCCAAATACCGAAGACTTTGTCTCCATGTCAACAGGCATCAAAGAGTGATAAGCACCCACATTATCAGGCAAGTTGCTGAGTCCACCGAGTGTTTGGAGAGTGGTCTCATTTCTTCTTTGGAGTGTTTCACGTAAGTCGTTGGGGATGAACATTTCTTGAGAATTGGTTTGGTGTGAAGGTAACGGAATCATTAATCGAGGAGGAGGAGCAGGGGCATAGAGATGGTAATTGAGTGGATAGTTTGTGCTGGTGTGTTGGTAATACATGTCATTGCTGCCCATACTTGAAATGGATTGGTTTCCCGCAGAAGATGGAGGATTGGCATATGGGTTTGGTGTGATGTTAACAGAAGGCGAAGATGCTTCAAACGTACTGGGCGTGAACACCGACGCAGAAGTGTTGAATTTCCGAGAAGCTGCCCCAATTGGTGTCACACTAGACGCCCGAAGCCCTTCATTGGATTCTCCGCTGGGCACAAACGTAGGAATTTTATCAAGTTTGGGTGATAGTCCGGAGAACTTACCTGTTAAAGAGCCGACACTGGCAGCAGATGCAGCAGCACCTGGAGATGGCTGGAAAGACGGGGTGTTAAAATTGAACCGTTTCTTGGTGTCTGCTTTGCCGTTCAAACTGGTATTTACAGACATGGGAGACAGCACGGGGGAAGTACGCTCGAGAGCGGTTGTTGTTGACTTTTGTGATTTGGAGGTTGAGTGACCAAAAGCGCAGCCCTTGTTTTCAAATTTGCAATGGCCGTAGATGAGAATGTTTTTACAGAGTGTGTCCTTGGCTGAGTCAAGATTTATGTTCATTATCAGCACTCTATCGATTCATTCCTGGTATCTATGAAGTGGTGGTAGGGAGTTTGATGATATCAACTTGTGTGCGACTTAGGCGATAGTGCACGCACGACCCACTAGTTTGGAAACGAAGTAACTTGTGATCAGGAGGTTATACAAGTACAGTGACAGAGTTTTTAGAAAGTGAAGAGTGTGAGGATCATTATGGTGTTACGAAAGGGTTTAAAGCAACCGAATTGATGGTTCTTGTGCAGATTAAATACCCACAGAAAAGAAATTGCGCACTGAGGAAATCTCTCTCTCAAACCTTTCTCTTCTAATGCCATTTGTATTGATACTTACTGGCGCCTCTACTGGTATGTGTATTCGCTAGCAAACACCACTACTGGGCTAAAACTAACATCGCTAGGGATTGGAGCTTCAATTGCCCTGATCTATTTGTCACGTCCTGATACATGTCTTGTTGCTGTGGCTAGATCAGAGGACAAACTTCAAGAATTGGTTGAAACCTACGGATCTGACAGAGTAGCATTTGTGGCTGGTAGCGTGTCAGAAGACCAAGTTATTCGTCAGAGCGTGGAGTTGGCGGTGTCGAAGTTTGGCCGAGTCGACTCAGTTATTGCTAATGCTGGAGTGTTGGACCCAGTACAAACCATAGATAATGCTGATATCGATGCCTGGAAACAAGCGTTCGACGTGAATTTCTTCTCTGTTGTCAACTTGGCCAAGTACGTGATTCCTGAATTGCGTAAGACCCGTGGAAGTTTCATTGGTGTGTCGTCCGGGGCTTCAGTTGGAGCCACCAATGGTTGGGGTTGTTATGGTGCCACCAAGGCGGCATTGAACCACTTAGTTCTCACCATCGCCGAACAAGAGGCCAGCAGTCAAGTGACGTCGCTTTCGGTTGCTCCTGGCGTGGTGGATACGTCTATGCAATTGGACATTAGAGAAAAACATAAGAGTGCCATGAAGCCCGAATCCCACAGGCGGTTCACAAAATTACATGAAGAACAAAAGTTACTTCACCCTGATGTTCCGGCCACCGTCTACGTGAACTTGGCTCTTAATGGCTGGGATTCGACTATCAATGGCAAATATTTAAGATATAACGATGCAGCATTAGCCTCATATATTTAGTAACACCGCGAACCACACGAATTTTTTCAGTCCAAATACACAATGATTTCCAGAATTGTAACTGCTAGAACCATGGCCAGAAGTGTTGGTAGCGTCAGAACCACACTTATACGTGAGCCTGGCTCCCTTCGATTCAACTCAAGTATCACCAAGCCCAAATTCCCGTCGTCAGCCTCGACTACTCCTCCTCCCCCACCACCACCTCCAAGAGGACGGATCTTAATTGGGTTAGGGTTGTTGGCAGCCGCCACCTCCATGGCCGCCGTGTTCTATACCAACAAGTCCCCGGTATCGGCGGTGGAACCGCAACCACAAACAGGCCCAGAGTTCCCTGAAAACAAAATATCGGTGGTGTTTGTGTTGGGAGGTCCGGGCGCTGGCAAAGGCACCCAATGTGCCAAATTGGTGCAACAAAAGGGATTTGTTCATTTGAGTGCTGGAGACTTATTGAGAGCCGAGCAGGCCAGAGAAGGGTCCAAGTATGGTGAGTTGATTGCCACATGTATCAAAGACGGAACCATTGTTCCTCAAGAAGTGACACTTGCTTTGTTGAAACAGGCAATCTTGGAGCAGTTCCAAAAAGGTTCCACCCGGTTTTTGGTTGATGGATTCCCCAGGAAAATGGACCAGGCGCTCTCCTTTGAAGAGCAGATTGCCAAATCAGCCTTTACGTTGTTCTTTGAGTGCCCTGAACAGGTGATGTTGGCAAGATTATTAGAAAGAGGTAAAACCAGTGGCCGCGCTGATGATAACGTGGAGAGCATTAGAAAGCGGTTTAAAACGTTTATTGACACATCGATGCCCGTGGTCGACTACTTCGACAAGCAGGGCCGTGTGGTGAAGGTTAGATGTGATCACCCGGTTGACCAAGTGTATGCATCGGTGTTGGAAGCCTTGAAACAAAGGGGTATTTGAGTAGATGAATTGGTCACGTGAGTAGAACTGTCAATAGATATATTTTCAAGCTCGGCGCGCACAAAAATTTGTCATCCTTATACTAGTCATGGAAACAGGACTCCCCGAAAACTACGCTATCCAAGTGTCTCGTACTCATAACAGAGAGTACTACGTAAACAATGTCACCGGTGAGTCTTCTTGGGAACCTCCCGCCGGCACCGACAAACAGAAACTCGATAAGTACCTCGAAGAGTTTGAAAACAACGGATACAAGCCTCTTGTAAATAGTAACAAACAGGTCAGAGCTACGCATTTGTTGGTCAAACACAACCAGTCCAGAAGACCAAAGTCTTGGAAGTCTCCCGATGGCATCACCCGGTCTCGAGATGATGCCATCCGTTTGATCAAGCAGTACAGAGAAAAGGTATTGAAGGAGAATATCCCCCTCGGAGACTTGGCCGCCACTGAGAGTGACTGTTCGTCCCACAGTCAGCACGGTGACTTGGGCTGGTTCGGAAAGGGCCAAATGCAGCCTCCATTTGAAATCACTTCTTTCAACTTAAATGTAGGAGAATTGAGTGAGCCAGTTGAGACTGATAGTGGCATCCATTTGTTGTTAAGAACCGGTTAAACAAGATTGTATATCATATATGTATTAAATGACACTTATTCACAGTATCCACCAATTTCTCTCATTTACCTTTCCTCTTAGCCGCATTTAGTGCACTCTGGCGGAGTGGCTCAGAGCCTCAGACCAGAGCCTCAGACCTCAATTTAAGATTTTGGCTCTCCAGCCCAATCCAAACCCGCAGTAAAAAAACTCTTGAGCAACATACCATGTGCAAAATGAATTCAGGTCAGGCCACCGGTACCGTGGTCGACAGGGAAGTGCTACCTACCGCCATCAACCCCGTTAACTACAAAATCACCTTAGAACCCAATTTCTCCGATTTCACCTTTGACGGTGAAGAAACCATCATCTTGAATGTGGTTGAGGCAACCAAGGAAATCACCTTGAACACGTTGGAAATCGAGTACCTTCTTGTCAAGGTCAATGACATCGAAATCAGCTCGTCTGATTTTGTATTTGACGATGAGAAGCAAAGAATCACGTTCAAGTTACCTGATGTTTTAAAAGAAGGTTCTTCTTGTAACTTATACATCAAGTTCAAGGGGATTTTGAATGATCAAATGGCCGGGTTCTACAGATCCAGTTATGTTGAGGATGGTGAAACCAAGTACTTGGCCACCACTCAATTCGAGCCAATTGATTGTAGAAGAGCTTTTCCTTCTTTTGACGAACCTGCTTTGAAAGCCACTTTTGACATCTCGTTAATTGCTAAAAAGTCCTTGACATGCTTGTCGAACATGGACGTTAAAGACACCATTTTATTGGGCGATGACAAGAAGAAGGTGGTGTTCAACACCACTCCAGTCATGTCCACGTACTTGGTGGCATTTATTGTTGGGGAATTGAACTATGTTGAAAACAATGACTACAGGGTCCCCATTAGAGTGTACTCGACTTCAGGGTCTGAAAAGTTGGGGGTCTACTCGGCAGAAATCTCTGCCAAAACCTTGGCTTTTTTCGACAAGAAGTTCGATATTCCTTACCCTTTACCCAAATGTGACTTGGTGGCCATCCACGATTTTGCTGCTGGGGCCATGGAAAACTATGGATTAATCACCTTCAGAACAGTCGAAGTATTGATTGACCCCAAGGTCGCCGACGTCAACGGCTTGAAGAGAGTTACCGAGGTGGTAATGCACGAATTGGCCCATCAATGGTTTGGGAATTTGGTGACCATGGATTTCTGGGATGGTTTGTGGCTTAACGAAGGGTTTGCAACCTGGATGTCTTGGTACGCCTGTGATGCATTGTATCCAGACTGGAAGGTTTGGCAATCTTACGTTACTGACGACTTACAACAAGCTTTAAGTTTGGATGGTTTAAGATCATCTCACCCTATTGAAGTGCCGTTGAAGAGAGCAAATGATGTTAATCAGATCTTTGATTCTATCTCGTACGCCAAAGGTTCTTCCTTGTTGAAAATGATTTCTAATTGGTTGGGAGAGGAAACCTTCGTGAAGGGTGTCTCCAACTATTTGAAGAAGCACAAATGGGGAAACACCAAGACTAGGGACTTATGGGAGTCTCTCTCTGACGTGAGTGGAAAGGATGTTAACACCATCATGGATATCTGGACCAAGAATGTTGGTTATCCATTGGTGACTGTGAAGGAGTTAGGAAACAATGAAATCGAAGTCACTCAGAACAGATTTTTGACAACCGGTGATGTCAAGGAAGAGGAAGACCAGTTGATTTATCCGGTGTTTTTGACTATCAAGACGTCTAAAGGTGTTGATACTTCGGCTGTTTTGGATGTCAGAACCAAGAAATTCAAGTTGGATACTGATGATGACTTTTTCAAGATCAATGCAGACCAAGCTTGTATTTACAGAACTGTCTACGAAAGTGATCGTTGGATTAAGTTGGGTAAAGCCGGTATTGAAGGTAAGTTATCGGTGGAAGACAAGGCTGGTTTGGTGGCTGATGCTGCTTCCTTAAGTACCTCTGGATTCCTTTCTACTTCCAGTTTGTTAAACTTGACCCAATCATGGGCCAATGAAACCAACGATGTTGTTTGGTCAGAACTCACTTCCAACATTGGAAGCATCAAAGAAGCTTTCAAGTTTGAAGGTGCGGAATTCACTGAAGCTTTGCAATCATTTTCCATTGACTTGGTCCATCAAAAGTTGACTGAGCTTGGTCATGAATTTTCTGATTCTGATTCGTTTGGTGAACAAAGATTGAAGAAGTTGTTATTTGGAACTGCTGTTTCCTCCAACCATCCCAAATATGTTCAAATTTGTAAGGACTTATTTGAAAAGTTTGTTGGTGGGGACAAATCCGTTCTCAACTCCAATATCAGAGGTATTGTCTTCAATTGTGCTGCTAAAACTGGAGATGAGGCTACATTTGAGAAGCTTTTTGATATATATCAAAACCCTTCCAGTGCTGAAGAAAAGGTTTCTGCTTTAATTGCTTTGGGTGCATTTAGAGATGAAAAGATATTGGATAAGGTTTTAGACTTGTTATTCCAATTTGATGTTGTGAAAAAACAGGATACCTACAAACCAATGATTCTGATGAGAACCAATACAATTGGAGTTGAAAAGTTATGGGCTTGGTACACTACCAACTATGAAAAGCTTATTGAAGCACATCCTCCTCAATTGTCGATGTTTGGTACCCTTACCAAGCTCTCTGTCGCTGGATTCGCCAAGAAGGAGCAGAAGGAAAAAGTGGTTGCTTTCTTTGAAGGTAAGGATTTGGCTTACTTCGACAAGAGCTTGGCTCAAGCTTTAGATGTAGTTACTTCCAAGATCTCCTGGGTCGAACGTGATTCAGACTCGATTCTTAGTTGGTTGTCTACGAATGGATATACCAAATCCAAGTTGTAATGGCATAATAATTATATATTATATATGATGAATCTAAATGATGTCTACTTCCCTATGAAAGATGGCAAGGCTAAACTCAGCTTTGGCAATAATTCTCTTTGAAGTAGTAGTTAACTCCGGCTTAAACAACTTATCTGGATAAGTAGTTGGCTGGAACTTACACTTCTTGATATAGAAGTCCACTAACCCATGTTCACGTATAACATAAGCCTCTATCAATACCTTGTCGTACTTCTGGGATGAAATTTGTGGATTATTTGTGTACTCGAGAAACTTCAAGTTTTGAAGATAGTTTTCTACAACAAACTCGAAAGTCAAGCTACCCAAACTCCTCATGAATGATGTGAAAGCCGTCAATTCCAATGTCAATTGGTTGTCAAAGGTCTCCTTGACCAAATAGCCACTCGAAGCCAAAACTCGATACAAATCATCTTGCAAATCATAATCATCGTTTATCTCCTTTATCTTGACTTTACTGGCATTAAACCTGAGCTTTTCAAAGTATTCCTTGGGAATATCACAAGCATAAGCGTCTTGCAAACTTTGTGACTCTAAGTCAAAGTCTCTCTGTAATTTTCCACACACGTCCTTGGGTCCTAACAAAATGAACAAAAGTGCATCCAAATTGGCCTCAAGGTCTAAATCTGATAAGAAACTAGTTGGTGATGATATTCTCTTGCCGGAGACACACTCGTACTGGAAACGAGGTTTATCATAGGATTTGTTAACAAACTTGTAATATGGGGTCCAATGCGATCTAGTGACAAGATAATTTTTGGGTAGAATTAGAAGTTCAAATTCAGACATGGATTAAAATGAGTAATCATTGAAATCTGCCAGTTTTGAAAATACAAATTGAGTGAGATTTGAGATCATTATATACATACAATCTATATACCTATATGCAAAAGCCTAAGAATGACTATGAACTGATTGGGTTGGAACGGAAAGGTCTCTCTAAACTCAATGATATGTTTCCATCTCTTCATGTTGATTGTACTTTCTTTGAATAGTTGATCCCATAAATGATAGCCTCCGAATCGACTCTTGAGAGTCTCTTTTTGGAGAATACCTAAGTTATGGGAGAAGTCTGCCCACACAATTATGCAGCCGATATAACATAATACCTTATAGTCAAAATCGTTACTGTGCACTTTCTTAGCACTTGGAGTGTACACTGAATTGTTATTCAAAGTCAATGCTTTGTACTTTGAGAAGGTATCGATGACGTCAGGATACTTCTTCAAGGTTATGTTGATGGCCTTAGACTCATATAGAGCAGTATTGGTACAAAGATCTATGAACAGGTTTCTTGTAAGGTCATCTTGGAATATGTTTTCGTTTTCTGCCATGAAGTTTAGTATAGATTTTAAACCTTTCTCTGCTTGATTCATGATAAGCTTTATTTTAATATCAGTAGGACTGAGCTTAAATATTTGTTCGTTGCTCAACCCCAAAATGGTTTCAATTGGCTGTATTTTGGGCATTCTTTCGATATACTTTTTATTTGAATGTGTTGATTTGACCGGTTTAAGGGTGATGGAAAAGAGCATTCCAGGCCCAGGAATTATTTTGGAGGTAGGAGGTACTTCAGCTGAAGATTCTGTAGCAGCCAGGCTCCTTGTATCACACGGCTCTCGGTGAGCTTCTGGTGGATTGGCCGGTTTGAATTTTGGTTCAGCTGGAACTAGTTCGTGTGCATTTTGAAGATCAGCCTCTTTGTTTTGTCCCTTCTTCTTTTTGGGTTTCCGAGACTTTTTGGGTGGGTTTTTGACAAGCAGTTCTCCATCTTTGAATGGCTCTATAGGTTCTTTGAGACTTAACTTGGACTTTTTACCCTTTGTCATACTTTTAGTCTTTATTGGTACCCTCACATCGATTTCTTTCAACACCACTTTTTCCGCCGGTAGAATTGACTCACCGAGTACATTACTGGATGCAGATGGCAGGATGTGTTTGGGTGTATGGGTCAAAACCGTTTCTTCGGCTTTTTCAGAACAAACGTTTATAGCTTCTGCCCATGATACATCGCGTCTCACAACACTAGTCTCATAGCCCTTCTCAGAGCCAATTGCTTTCCTAGATTTCACCACAACAATTGCCGGGGTCTGTTCTTGATAGAATGAATTATCAGCTTGCTCCGAACCCCAGGTATTTATGAGACTTACTTCATTATCTCGATAAAGCTCATCATTAACAACTGATACACTAGCAGAATTGGACGATTGGATATTGGTGGCCGTTTGAGTCAAGATATGGTTATCATCATGGGTAACCAGGTCGGGGACAAGGCAGTCATCAGCCCAATCAAAAGATAAGTCCTTCATAAATCACTAACAGCAGAGCTTCATACAAAATGCAAATAAAGCTCGCTTCGCAAAGCGCGGTTTGTTTTGAATATATGCTCTTTATATTTTTTTGAGAGGAGTTTATAGGAATCTAAACTATAAAAAAGGTTCCAGGTTGCTTAGAAAGAAGCAACAAAAGATTCGGTGACAGTCTTCAACTTAGCCAAAGCTTCCTTGGACAATTCACCCTTTTCTCTGATGGTGTCCAAGATTTCAGCTTCACTAGATTTCAAGTGAGACAAGAAAGCGTCTTCAAATTCACCGATTCTGCTCAATTCAACGGCATCCAAGAAACCGTTAACACCAGCGTAAATCAAAGGAACTTGTTCTTCAGCAGCCATTGGAGAGTATTGGTTTTGCTTCAACAATTGAGTCAATCTTTCACCTCTAGCCAAGGTTTGCTTGGTAGAAGCATCCAAATCAGAACCGAATTGAGCGAAAGCAGCAACTTCTCTGTATTGAGCCAAGAACAATTTCAAGGAACCGGCAACTTGCTTCATAGCCTTAACTTGAGCAGCGGAACCAACTCTGGAAACGGACAAACCAACATTAATAGCTGGTCTAATACCCTTGTAGAACAATTCAGCTTCCAAGAAAATTTGACCATCAGTAATAGAAATAACATTGGTTGGAATATAAGCGGAAACATCACCACCTTGAGTTTCAATAATTGGCAAGGCAGTCAAAGAACCACCTCCCAATTTTGGGTGCATCTTAGCAGCTCTTTCTAACAATCTAGAGTGCAAGTAGAAAACATCACCAGGGTAAGCTTCTCTTCCAGGTGGTCTTCTCAACAACAAGGACAATTGACGGTAAGCAACAGCTTGCTTAGACAAATCATCGTAGATGATCAAGGCGTGTTTTCCATTGTCTCTGAACCATTCACCAATTGCACAACCAGTGAAAGGAGCAATATATTGTAATGGAGCAGCTTCAGAAGCAGTGGCAGCAATAATAATAGAGTATTTAAGGGCATCGTTTTGTTCCAAGGTTTGAACCAATTGGGCAACGGTGGATCTCTTTTGACCAACAGCAACGTAAACACAGTATAATTTCTTGGATTCATCAGCACCTTGGTTCCATTTCTTTTGGTTCAAGATGGTGTCCAAAGCAACAGCGGTTTTACCGGTTTGTCTGTCACCAATGATCAATTCTCTTTGACCTCTACCAATTGGCACCAAAGCGTCGACGGACTTCAAACCAGTTTGCATAGGTTCGTGGACAGAGGTTCTTGGTAAAATACCTGGAGCCTTAACTTGAGCTCTGGAAGAAGAAGAAGCGTTCAATGGTCCCTTACCATCAATTGGGTTACCCAAACCATCAACAACTCTTCCCAACAATTCTGGACCAGTTGGAACTTCAACAATCTTACCTGTTCTCTTGACGGTTTCACCTTCCTTAACCAAGGCATCGGAACCAAACAACACAATACCGACTTGTCCGGCTTCCAAGTTCAAGGCCATACCCTTGACACCAGAAGAAAATTCAACCAATTCTTCGGCTCTACAGTTGTTCAAACCAAAAACTCTAGCAATACCATCACTATAGTCATATTGTTAGTAAATTATTATTGGTATAGGTGTGGTCAACGGTGGTTGAGAAATTTTGGACGTCTCATAAATCTCATGAATTTTTACATTTTCATTGGTCGAGCACGAATCCGAACCCGATCTCGATATCCAATTCCATCATAATTTGAAATCTCCACCTCCAAATCTTCTTTCCACTAGGTACAGTAAGAATCAGGTGATATGAAACATGAGTATACGCCTCTATATCTCATTGATTCATTTGTACTCGTCAAAGACCTCATAAATTAAAATTGAAAACATACCCAACGGACAAAACTCTACCGGTTTCGTTTAAGTTAGCTTCATCGGAAACACCTCTGATTCTTTCTTCCAAGATGGAGGAAACTTCAGTTGGAGCAGCCTTAGCAGAAGCAAATCTCTGCAAGGTAACTTGTGGACGAGCCTAAAATAAATCGTTAGTATGGGTCTCGGAAGAAATAACATCAAAAACATGGACAACAATTGCATACGAATGGCCATCAAATGAATTGGTGACATGGTAGACTAATTCAAATACGGCACGGTTGATGAATAGACAAACAATTGAATTGTCAATTGGATCCGGCGAGTTCCTGCTGATTTTGGTGGAATGGTGTCAGTGTCAGCAATTGGGGCAATTGCAAGCACTGACGACAGTTTTTGATACATACAATTCTCAAAGCAGATCTAGACAAAGCTGGCAAAGATCTGGAAGCAGAACGTAACATAGAACGAGAAGATAACATTGTTAATATTCTTTCAACGAAGTTGTTTAAAAAAACAAGTTTTCAATTTTTGGAAAAACTGAAAATTTTATATTTTAATTTGTCGAGCCTGGGTTTTCCAGTGAGCCAATGAGAATTCCTGCTGCCGTTTTGTGTTATTTCCACCCTTTATATTTAGTGCGACTCAAATGTTGGTATAGACAATTTGAGTGGGCGATCGGGTTTTAGGTGGGGTGGATGTGGAGGGGGGATATGGCAGCGAGAAATAAGCCCCGGAATTGCCTGAAAGAGGTTGTGTATAGTTAGAGGAGAGTTATGGAAAGCTGTGGACGTGTTTACAGGTCTTGGAGGAGGAATTGTGTGTATGTTTCTGCGTTTATTGGTTCCGGAGATAGTTGCAAATTTCGCAGTTGAAGACGATATAAGAGTATACATAAAAAGGAGTATAATACTCAAAGATTGGTAAGCTTTAGGGTTATTCACAATGTCTAGAATCCCACTACTTCTTGAATACTTCCTTTCTTGAACGCCTTTTTTGCGTTTGAACTGCAATGTAGATACGTGATAATGCTTAAATACCTTGAAGAACATGAGTACTGTTCTGTGGCTAGAAAGCTTCGCCCGGTAAGCTGGTATGGATGTTTCTATATTACATGGACTCAGATCCTCCCATTAGAAGACAGTTTAGACTGTTAGGGAAACGTATTGTTCTCCAAAGCCTTGTATTGGCCACTAAAATACCAAAAACTCAATAAAAGACGAAGTCGAGAGGTACCCTTACGACTAAAAAGTGATGAATATTCAATAGAGCCATCACCTGTCCCATTCTCCATTTTTCACCTCTCTCTCGCTACAAATACCTTATTAATACAATCTCCCCAGTTTCTTATCTCACACCATACGTAGGAGTGAGAATCGAAAAATTCAGTGAAAAATTTTATTGTAAGATCCTATACTCAAACCAAATATGAGCAAACATTTAGTGTATAGGTCTGTGAGAACGTTTGCTACAGACAACAAATCTCCTTTCTTGTCTGATATATTGGCTCGAATCGAGAAAATCAACTTGAACAAGGATTCCTTCCAAAAGGACACTCAAAAGAAACCCAGAAGAAGAACACCAAACAAACCAAAGGCTGATATTACTTCCGCTGGGGCCAAAAATTCATTGAAAGAAGACATCACGTCACCTGTAGTAGACAAGAAGGCTTCTTCTTCTGCTGATGGAAGTTTTAAACTCCAAAAGATCAAATTTGCAGATCATCCCTTGTTCTCTGGTAAATTGGACAGATCCAAGTTCACCAGAACCGACCAGAGTCCAAGGAGGAACACCCAGAGACCCAGAACAAGACCAGATGGAGTTAACACCTCCACCACAAAGGGTACTACTTCCCGCCCCAACAGATCACCTAGACCCAAAAGGGACTCAAAGCCCTCTAGAACAGCCAAAGGTTTGGACGACGACCGTATTTTTTCAAGAACAGTGGAACCAAAAAGCTACAGCCCATCTCTAACCAACCATTTCTTGTACGGAAAGCCCACCACCGTGCAAATGAACTTGACTTCCAGAATAACAAGTTTAATCAAATCTCAATTACTTGGTTCCAAATATCCCTTCAAATTGCCTAGATCAATAATCGAAGCAGCTCCTGCTGAAACGTCAAATAGATTTTTACTCAGTTCTTCATCCTACTCCTTGGAATTAGATCAAGAAAAGGTCAGAACTGAGTTCAACACCATTGTTAAGGGTCAAGCTACCAAAATAGCTGGGGACTCCAATGCTGTAAAGCTCTTGAACCAAAACCCTACGGTGAACTTGAGTGCAAAATCCAAGATGGCAAGCATAATTCAAGAACAAAAATTCCATGATCTCTTCAAAGATGCTTCGTGGAAACTGTAAATAGTTACTTGTATATTCATGAAATAGAAGTATCATTCTTCATAAACGAACAAATCAAAGTATAAAAGAGTGGGCCTAAGAAACCCAGATAGTTAAAATACGATGACTGACTTCCTCGAACATATCTAAAGCCAAGAGCCAGTCATCATTGGAGTCCATTACAACAAAGTCACCATCTTCATCCTTATATCTTAATTTGTTGACCATAATATCGTCTTTAACCTCTCCACTAGAGGCAATTTTTGTGGAAATCTTCAGGTGTAAGTCACTGAATTGGATTGAGGCTGGTACCATTAAATAGGATTTAATTTCCATTTTGTCATAAATGATTTTGATCGTGATTAAACTATTGCTTGAATTGTTTGCACTCGAATTGACAGAAGAAAGGGAGTTATCCTGAGCATTGGTTGAAGCCGAGTTACTAGCAGAGCTTGAATTGAAATTCTGGAGTGAAGATGAAGACACCCTACTGTTGGAAGGTTCACTAGTGGACTTGCTTAGGCTTTGTCTCATCATACTGAATGTAGAAGAGGACGAGTGGTGTCTTTGATTGTGAAAGTTGCTTCCGTTAGATGAACGTATGGAACTTTGATCATTAGTAGGTTGAATGGATTCAAACTCATGACTATCTCTCAATTTGCGTTGAATTTGATTGTTCATTTCGTTTGTCTTCAAGTTTCTTAAACAGTTTTCCCATTGGTTTCTGAATTCTTCCGTCCTATACCTCAAAGTGAAGGATCCACTTTCTTTCCTACCTGACCATGCAATGACCATTGAGTATCCAGTAGTATTTGAAGAGGAGATGTTATAAATTTCCAGAATGTAGACTCTTCCCTTTAGTTCGAGTGGAGACTTATCCTTTGCGTGGTTCATATTCTCTAGCAAGTTCACACTTGAAGAATTAACAGACGCAGATGACTTTTTTCTCGAGGATAACAAGTCTCTTCTCTTTTTACCTTGGTCCTCATTTGTAGGGTTTACTTCAACAAAAAAGAATATGATTTTCTCAAACAAATAAGCATAATATTCCTTTTCGTTATCGCTATCCTTGACACCTACCACGCCATGATATAATAATTCACCTTGATCCTTCAAGATAAAGCCTCTCCAATTGTTGACTCTTTCAGCAAGGTTCTGCAAGTAACCAACATTTTCACTTCTTCTTTGAGCTTCGTTTACTTGATTTGCAACTTCTTTCATGGCTTGACTTGCAATCAATAATTCATTATAGCTTGAGTTGTCAGGGTTAGACCAAGTATCAATCAATTCCTTTAACAACAATGGATATTTACACAACCTTTGGATAGGCTTCAAAATGAAACTTTGCAATTCAAAACCAGGGTCCAATAATTTCGACGACTTTTGAAGATTATCCGTTTCTTTATTAATCAAGTCGATAGCACCAAGTTGACCAATGGTCCAGGGTTCGTAAAATTTGAAAGGCCCGTTAGCAGCATGAATGAAAATAGAACCAATTCTGGTGAGATTATCTGGGATATTAATATTACACTCCAAACCGTTTAAAAACCTCCTCTGAAAGTCAATGATCTCACTCAAGTTTGGAAATAACAAATGTATTTGTTCACTGGAAATTAACTCAGCTTTGGTTAAATCAGCCTTATATTTGAGCAATACCTCCAAGTCCTTGACATATTTTCGTTCTGTCTCGATTATTTCTCTGAATACCTTCGACAGATCTGAACTAATTGTAACTTCTCCCACTGCATTATCCTCCCAAGCAATTGACGAAGGTAATAAGTGTTTCACAACCCGAATGATCTTAAGAAGATCATGGGTACTGTCCAGGAAAACATTAGAAATGGTGAACATAAGGTCATCATCTAACTTCAAGTGCATTTTCACGGCTATCAAAAAGTCGTACACAGATTTCTTGCACATTCGTACATCGTCACTTCCAATAATAGGGATTTGATTAGCCTTATTGTTTAAATTGAATAATAAACACAATGGAGCACCTTGTTGGAATAATTTCCATAATTTGGTGACAGGGTCAACTGCTATGTTTGCCGGCAAAACACCAGCTGTGAAAGTGAATAGGTTGAGTGAGTTATTTGATAATGGCGCAGATGCCTGATGCAGGGAGGTATTGGAGTTGTCAGAATGGATAGAAAAACCCGACGAAGCTCTAAACTCAGTACTAGAACGTCTGTCTTGCAACTGCTGAGACAAAGCCAATGCTTGTTGTTCGGAACATTGTTCGGCTACAGAGTGAGCAACTTTCAAGAACGGTTCCATCCCGTCGATCTTACTCAACCGATTCAATAAACTAATACACTGGTAATACAAGTGATCTTTGGCACTTGAAAGCTGGTTGAAGTTCATGTTGATACCGACAGGAGTCGAGGAAACCCGAGTGATGTTCCCCGAGTTGCTCAAGGATGTGGATGAGTTCGAATGGGAGTTTGAGGAAAACGAACGAAAGGGTGGATGGGGATCCATGATCTAGAACGTATAAGTGATATCTATTAGGAGTGGATAATGAATGATTTGGAAAAAGTTTGTACGAATATTGATATGTCCGATGAAATTGGTGTACAAATAAAGGAGTTTCTGGTGGGAATGAAATGGACAAGTATAAGGTTAGTGGAGCGTGCGAAAGTTAACGAGAAGGGAATGAATTAACGGAGAATACAGCAACAATACGTGAGTAAATGGGCGCAAGTTGAACACACGATGAGTGAAAGTGTTAATGATTCACAAAAAAGTACAACCACAACACAAGTTGATTAATATATACTTAAAACGTATTTATTTACTAAATGTGAGCAAGGAAAAGCAGATAAAAAAAACTTCAGTGCGAAGTTTCGGGAGGAGTCGCACGCACCTTCTCAAGAAGGATGTTGCTGGAAAAAGATTGAAAAACTTCTATTGCTTGGGAAATGAGAGGTCCATACTACGACAGTGGAGCTGGTATAATTGATCTGAGAGACAAGGCTATTGTTTAATCAATCTTAGAGACAATGGCTGGGGTGGTCTCTAAGAATGTATAACAATTCCAGTAATATGCTGGAATACAAGACTCATCGCGATATATAGCAGCATTCATCCAATGAATGCCATATCTCCATAAACATGCCGGTGAAGTAGTTATATAGTTCTTGAAACTACAACTCTTTAGTGTAAATGATGTATATTAGTTATTTGCAGCCTGGGGTTAAAGGAGTTGTCGACGCGACATTCGTATAGAACAGGTGCAACTACTAGAATTGGACTTGGGGCAGCGCGGTACGTCAAGCCATTAAATCATGTGCTAAGAACAAGAGCCTCTAGTCATTTTTATACATGTAGGTCATAGTGGTGCAACCCAGGCTCGCAAAGATATACAGGGTTCGATTGGGAATCCAGCACATTGAAGGCAAAACCGATTTCCCGGCGGCAGAATTGGGAACTTCCATCAATTGTGATCCCAGAGTGTACTCAAAGATCCGGATATTCTCTGTGGTATCAAAGGCTACACCAATGTGCGACCCTTCTCGACTGATACTGACACACAGAATGGCATCATCCACATCGGTGAGCGTTTTTTCCACGAGCATCGTGCTGCACCGGTGAATTGACACCACTCCTTCGTTGGACCCGAGTGCGAAGTAGGTCCCAAGCGGGTCGATGCTGATGGAAGTAATTGACGAGCGGTGGCCGGTAATGGTGGTCCAGAGCTTGGTGCTCGTGGTAGTATCGTCGAACTCGTATACGGGAGCGGTACCGTCATGGAGAGCCACCACGAAGAACTGGTGCTGGTGGTTAAACCACTGGAAGTCGTAAATGTGTTGAGACAAATGTAGTTCATGAACCTTACGATAGTCATCACCCACTGCAAGGAAACTGATGGTGCTATCGCGATCCACCACCGCTAGAATTCGGCCATCAGGAGAGTACAGCACGAACTGGCACAGAACTGGCGACGGCGTTTCGGATGAGTGCCATTTTTCAATCTTGATTTCTTGTTGGAGCTTCCCGTGGTGAGCCCGCCAGACCTTGACGTACAGGTCTCGTCCCACACTGGCGAAAGTACTATCATGCTTGGGGTGCCAGGCGATTCGCTCCACAGACTTTTCGTGGGGACTTTCGATGATTTTTGACTCTGTGAGCCCAGAATTAGTTAGTTTCCAAACTCGAAGGGACTTATCAGTACGGGAATTGACCACGGTGGTGCTGGTGGCATTAACGGACACGAAAATGATTTCGGACGTGTAGCCTCCGCTGCCCGCTAACTGCGAGTCCTTGACGGTTTGTGACTTGAGCAGCTGGAAAAACTGCTGTTTGGTGTTTAGTGGTGGCATGGGTGATAAAGTTTAGCGCGACTCGATGGTTTGTGAGTGTGCAAATGCGACTTCATGGGACACAGATCCGGGCTCACTTTTGTGCAAAAGCCGGTTGCGAACAAGGCATTGTAATTGACCAACCCGTAAGGAGGAAGATATCTCTCTCATAGGTCTGATGTCTTGGAAGTCATTAAATCAATCTAATTGTGTACCAGTTTCCTGCGCCCACTTAGTGTTTGCATCCGGTCGTGTGGACCCAATCGCGCTAGCTCGACATCAGAATCAATTCCAACATCTGTACACATCACCCATGGTTCAGCCAAAGCTTCTCTCTCTCGATGCCTTTGCAAAGACCGTCGAAGATGCTCGAGTAAAGACCGCATCTGGAGGTATCATCACGCTTGTGTCTATTACCATTGTGTTGTTTTTGATTCGAAACGAGTATCTCGATTATACCCTGATAATTACCAGACCAGAATTGGTGGTAGACAGAGACATCAACCAGAAATTGGACATCACACTTGATATTTCATTCCCCAGTATTCCCTGCTCCATGATAAACCTTGATATTCTTGATGTCAGTGGGAACGTCGAACTCGATATCTTGCAAAACGGGTTTCAGAAATACAGGATTCTTTCCAGTGGTGAAGAAGTTTTAATGAAAAATGCACCTTTAATTGACAGCACCCCATTAGAAGTAATGGCAAAGGGGTTAGACAAACCAGAAGATGCCGAACATACTCCCTGTGGTGACTGTTATGGTTCTTTACCCCAGGATCGAAAACAATACTGTTGTAATAACTGTGAGACCATCAGAAGGGCATACGCTGCCAAGGTGTGGGCTTTTTACGACGGAGAAAACATCAAACCTTGTGAAGATGAAGGCTATGTTAAAGCCATCCAGTCTGAAATCTTTAACAATGAAGGGTGTCGTGTTAAAGGTACCACTCAAATCAACAGAATTAGCGGTAACTTACATTTCGCTCCTGGAGCCTCGTTTACTGAACCTTCAAGACATGTGCATGATTTGTCTTTGTACAATAAGTTCCCAGATCGGTTCAACTTTGACCATACCATCAACCACTTGTCATTTGGTAAAGATCCAGAGACCAACGCTAATACCGATAAGAAGACGTTACATCCATTAGATGGAGAAACTAGAAACCTCAAGGAAAAGTACCACTTGTATTCCTATTTCTTGAAAGTTGTCTCCACCAGATACGAATACTTGCAAGAAAAGCTTAAAGCTCCATTGGAAACCAATCAGTTTTCCGCCATTTATCATGACAGACCCATAAAAGGTGGTAAGGATGAGGATCATCAACACACTCTTCACGCAAGAGGAGGATTACCTGGGTTATACTTCTACTTTGATATTTCTCCATTGAAGATTATCAACAAAGAACAATACTCCAAAACTTGGTCCGGGTTTGTTTTGGGAGTCATCAGTTCGATCGCCGGGGTGTTGATGATTGGATCATTGCTCGATAGGTCGGTTTGGGCTGCTGAAAAGGCCATAAGGGCCAAAAAAGATATTTAAATTATATTTGGCTATGTACAAAAGTCTATGTGAAAAAAGCTTTAAATATCATTTAATAGATGTTGAATTTCGTTATAATAGTCATTGTTCAAGTATTTTGGCAACTCTTCTTTGGCCAACCACATAAATTTTACGGTGCTGGATGCTGGTTTGAACTGGCCTGACACTATCTGGGACTTGATGAAAAATTCGTTATTGTCAGAAGATGAGATCACGTGACATGGTTTACTCGAAACATTATAATAGTTCAACCCTTGGCCACCAAGGTTGTAAATTCCGTCTTCAGCCACTTTGTGCAATGGGATCTCATGTTCTTGACTCACAGCGAAGTTGGGAAATGTCCAGGTCTTGTTGTCTTCACTTATCACCAAGTATAAGGAGCGACTCAATTTTCTCTCTAAACTAGTCGTATCGTTTTTCTCATCCGCCTGAGTGACTCGGGAGTTGGGATTGATCTTCCGAGATAAACTGTCTGACGAATATTCATCTACAATTTCACTTCCATCTTCAGCCTGCTTATAAGTTTTAGGTAATCTAAGTTCTTGCTTGAATCTTCTATCTCTCAGCTGTCTGATTTCTGGTCTTCCATCGGTAAACTCCATGGTTGGGTTGTTATACACAGGTGGCTTATTCAATTCCTTGAACCGGTGGTCTCCCAAGGTTCCCCCTCTGTAGTAGAACCATTTTGGAAAAGTCCACATCAATCGTTTCCATAGTTCATTCTGGTACTTATAATACAGCTTTTCGAACGCGGGCAAGTCCCTAGTGATCACCGGATTCCTGGCCAATAATACAGTGGAAGATATGACAGGAGTGGCAGTAATACTCGAGTAGTGTCTTATTATAGTATTCCTGATCATTAGCGTGAGGTTAAGGTTTAAATTTTTCATTTTCAAAAAAACTTTCTCACTCGCAAAGTCGTGTGGCCGGGTAACCATAGAAACTGCCGTTTTCATTTAAAGGGCGGCGTCATTCCCACCTTTTTGGTGTCGACAATATTACTCAGATTTTTTTTGTTCCACAAGTAATTCTTCCCTTCTCTTAAAAGAACTGACGAAATCAGAGTTTTATTTTGGTACGTTCCCTCCAGAAATCATCAAAACATCCTCCATATCATATCACAAAACATTTCCTGAAATCCCTTCAAGTTAAGTCGTTTTCCCGGTTTATTTTTTGTAATTGAGTGCTTTTTTATAGTAAACGGCATAGAAGAAAAGAGGTACTTGGACGCTAGTATCGTAATCACTTAGTAGTAAAACTCACTCAGAAAAAAAGAATATGTCGGACATTGAAAAGTTTGAAAGTATTTTGAAAGAAATCCCTACATTAAAGGCTCCTGGAGTATCAGGATCAAGAATTAAACAGTTGACCGAACTTGCTGTTAAGAATGTTAAAGAAGAGTCGGTGTTAATCCCCATTTTGTACACCGCTTGTAAATCCGTACCTTCATCTCATAAATTGGGTTCCATGTATGTTGTGGACTCGATTGTGAGAGCGTATGTTGATGAAGCCAGAAGATTTAATGAAACTTTTGGCCCCGAAGCTCCTCAAGGAAGTTTTGCCGCTGGCGTTTATAAGATCAGTGAATTGATTGAATCTTTAATGGATGACGCTTTGGAGTTATCAATCGTTCAGTCTCAAACCATTAAAATTTTGAAATTGTTGGATATTTGGGAAAGAGCTCAAACATTTGATGCTTCTATCATTGACAGCATCAAAGACAAGCACGCAAAATCTTCTACCCCCCCAGGCACTCCACCTCCCGGTAGAGTTAAACCAACCAGTCATCTCACCGCTTCAGCAAATGATACTAATGATGGTGGCAGTAAACCCGAAGATTCAAACAGTATTTTGCTGGCATTAGCATCTTTGGCTCAGAAGTCAAACTCTAACAGTTCTACTCCGAATAACCAAGGTGTAACCCCTGTTACCGGTGGTGGTAACCAAGCCAATAATATCTTGGCTCAATTATCTGCCATCTCATCTGCCGGAAACGTTGCCTCTAATGCTGTACCAGCATCGACTCATAATCAAGCAGCCCCTGCTAGTAATAATGTGTTAGATATGTTGCAACAGATGCAAAACTCTCAACTTCAACAGCTGCAACCGCCACAAAGAGATCCTAGAAATGATCGCGGTCCCGATACCTATTCAAGAAGAAACAGATCTCGGTCTCCAGGCTATGAGAATACCGGTAGAAGAAGAGACAGGTCACCACCTAGATATCAACAACCTGCTAGTTTACCCCAGATTCCTGGTCGCAATGGAGTACCACAGCTTCCTCAGCAGGCTCAGTTTCAGCAGAATCAATATCAGCAACAAAACCAGTATCAGCAAAACCAAAACCAGTACCAACAAAACCAATACCAGCAAAACCAGTATCAACAGAATGGTTACCAGCAAAACTCGTATGATCAACAAGGTGGAAATGGTCAGTTCTCTCAACAAAACCCTAAAAAACGACAAGGACCATCTGGTCTTAACCAAGAAGGCGAACAAAACGTCCCTGGAAACCCTCATTTCCGTCCTCGTAACGTAGGAGTCGATGCTACCTTACCCCAAGGCTCGATTAAGGTGTTGTCCAGAACGTTGTTTATTGGAGGTGTCCCTCGTTCTATGGGAGAGCATGAACTCGGTGATGTTCTTAGACCATTGGCCGAAGTGCAATCAGTTATTCTTAACAGCGAAAGAAAGCATGCATTCGTCAAGGTCTACTCAAGAAAAGAAGCCGAACAAGTCATCATGTCTTTCAACAAGGATAATGCGTTGCCCTTGCGTACCCGATGGGGAGTTGGTTTTGGACCAAGAGACTGTTGCAACTACCAGCAAGGAGTTTCAATTATTCCGATTCAAAGACTTACCGAAGCCGACAAGTCTTGGATTGTTAGTGCTCAATGGGGAGGCACTGGTGGTCAACCATTAGTGAGTGGAGTTGTGGTTGACGAACCAGATATCGAAATTGGATCTGGTATTTCATCCAAGGCTATGTCCAAGAAAATGCCAACGAACTCTGCCAGAAATGGACCCAAGTCCAATAGACCTGGCGAACCAGAAATAGAATACTCGAGAGGAGGGTACAACGGTCAGCAACAAAACTTTGGTGGCATGAATCCAGGAGCTGTGAATCCATTGCAAGGGTTGTTCAACAATGGTGCACCACCAAACGGATTACCACAGATGCCCAACTACCAACAGATGAACATGAACCCTAATGGTAACCCCAATGGTAACTCCAACTTGGGGTCCCAGCTCTCCAACTTCTTCAACCAACAACAATAGTATTAGTAATAGAGTATATAGCATTAAAATAAACTATACTTGACTGAGAATTAACCCGCGATTTTTGCAGCCTTGACTTTAACGCGATCCATCGACAACATGTCTGAAAACAAATATCCAAGTATACACCGACAACGCGCAAGCCCCAACGCCAAGGCTATCAAGATCAAGGATCCCAAGAAGTCTCTGATATTCAATTCAGATACTAATTCTTCAGACTATCTGTCCCCAAAACGTAAGAAACAACGCTTTTTAGAGAATCTCAAACAGCACAACAAGTTACCAGACACATTTAAGGATGCAACGTCTTCCCTGGGAACTTGGAATTACATTCCTACTTCAGATAGCGAAGATAGTGATGGCCTTGATGACTTGTTGATTAACACCAATGGAATTGTCTCTGAGAATCAAAACTCCTCATCCAGACCAAAAACTGAAGCAAAAGATCTCGCTGAGTCGACAGAACTCACACCACCAAGACCCCAGCCTTTGGCCCTGACACCTAGAAAGACAGCACTACCCGCTAAACAGGACGTTCTAGATACCATATTTGATCAGCAGGTGGATCTTGAAGAAGTCAAAACCCGGTTTGAACTGATGAATATCCCCCCGGTGACCAACTCCAAGTTCGAGCTCAGGCACAGAACTGATAAGTATCTCGATAGTATTCCCAAGTTTCTCAAGGGGACCAAGCCAATGTCTTATTTCTACGATTTGGCCAAAGAACTGAGAATGGCTGCACCTCACGAGACAATGAGACAGCGAGATAAATACAACATCCGCTGGGAAATATTTTACGGAGGATACTACGGCTTGAAACGGCAAATGTATGTGGCAAGCGTCATCCTCGACACGTACCGAGACTTAATTACCAAAACATCCTCTAAAAATGCCACAGTGGCTTTCTGGGGGCCAGAAGATTTCTGCAAGTATGTGCTTGCCAACGAGATCATCTTAAGATTTATCATGGAAGACTACGAGTGTCTGTTCAGTCGAGCTGAGGAGATAATCAAGGAGACGTCAGAGTATGGAACCAGTGTTACCGACTCTATTGACTTTGATGACGACGTTACAGAAGAAACAAACACTTTGGAACTTCCAGAAGTTGTACCCAAATCGAAACCGGAGCCCACAAAACTTATTAAAATCAGTGACTTGTTTGATGATCTGGATGACGACTAGTGATTCATGAAATATCCCAAAACCACTATATGTATAGTGGTTAGCGTGCGCGGCCCAGGCGGCCCTCACAGCATTTGGATGCGACAAATAAAATGTCTTGATCAGAACCTAGTTTCCAAACTGTTCAGTAAAAGTCGTTTTTTGTGGGCAAACCACCCAGTACTCCCTTCCACGTCCACTTTTGTTCCACGTCTCTCTAGACAGTTCCACCATACATCCCAGATGCTCCAAGACACTGTTTTCGTTAAGAATCTAGCTGCCACGGCCATTACAGGCTCCGATGCCTGGAACAGGCCTACGGCTCAGCCGATCTTGATTTCAGTTGCTATTGATACCGATTTCTCCAAAGCATCGGAAACAGACAACCTCAAGTACTCGTTGAACTATGCGGTGATTTCTCGAAATGTCCTGGAGTATATGAAACTTCATGAACTGAAAAACTTCAAATCACTTCAGAATATCGCCGAGGAAGTCTGTAAAATCGTTACAGACCAGAAAAGAGGTGGTGGAGAACAAGCAACTGTCTGTGTCAATAGTGCCAAGTCGGAAATACGGGCTGATAGTATTGAATACCAATTGACTAGAAACCCATCCATGAAATTGGATGTATTGGATACTATCACGGTTCGTCGGCTTCGATTACTTACCATCATTGGGGTGTTTACGTTTGAACGGTTGAAGAGACAAATAGTGGACGTGGACTTAAAGATTGAGCTTTTACCAAATCATAACGTTCAAATCCATATTATCATGGATGAGATTACTAACTATGTCGAAGGGTCAAATTTCAAGACTGTAGAGGCTTTAGAAATGGCTATCGGCCAATTAATATTCCAGGGCAATGGTGATCATATTCAAAAGGCTGTGGTGACTATCACAAAGCCTAATGCTATCACCTATACCGATGGAGTTGGAGTAGAATCCTCAATTACTCGGGAACGGTTTGTTGGGGCTGAACCGATTAAAGTGGACAGTTCGGCAAATGTGTCTGAAAGTTTTAACTTGCCAGCAGACAAAAGTGTCGATGGTGCCGGTTTTCACACCGCTTTCATAGCGTTTGGCTCGAATGAGGGAAACCAAGTTGAGAATATCACTAAATCCATTGAATTACTTGACAAATACGACGTTAAAGTACTGGCCACTTCTGCCATGTACATTTCCAAACCCATGTACTACAAGGACCAACCTGACTTCTTCAATGGAGTCTTTAAAGTTGAGTTCTCTGACAAGTCCCCTCATGATTTGTTAAAGATTTTGAAGAACATCGAGTACAACCACATTAATAGAGTGAAGGAGTTCGATAACGGACCTCGCTCAATTGATTTAGATATTTTGTTGTATGACGATATAAGCATTAACACCCCTGACTTGACTGTGCCCCACAGAGCAATGTTGGATCGGACTTTTGTTTTGCAGCCATTGTGTGAATTAATTGCACCGGACTACGTTCATCCAGTAACAGCAGAACCTGTTCACAATCACCTACAGCAACTATTAAAGTCTTCTGTGCACGAACTGATCCAAGAGCTGAGCAAGCTCTTGCAATACGTGCCGGTAAATCGGTTAACACCACTGGAGAATCCATTTAAATTCGATTTGTTGACTAACCACTCACCAACGTTGATGATGGGGATTCTCAACATCACTCCTGACTCTTTCAGTGATGGCGGAAAGAATTACGGAGTTGAGTTGGATCAAGTTCTTGCAAACGCTGCTCAGTTGGTAGCCGACGGAGCGAAGATTATAGACATTGGAGGTGTTTCCACTAGACCCGGTAGTGAAGAACCTACAGAGGAGGAAGAATTACGTCGGGTTGTTCCTATAGTAGAGGCCATACGTTCAAGTGTTAATAAGAACCTTGCCAACGTGTTGGTGTCTATTGATACTTACCGGTCGTCTGTGGCGGAAGCATCGTTAAAAGCCGGAGCTGATATCATCAACGATATTTCGATGGGACTCTACGACGATAAGATGTTTGAGGTTGTTGCTCGCTATGGTTGTGCCTATATCCTCAATCATACTCGAGGTACAGCGAAGACCATGTCCCAGCTCACCAACTACGAAGCCAATACAAATGAAGACATCATTGAATTGCTAGTGGACCCAGTCACAGGCCAGCTCGATTCGGTCAGTGACTCGCCTTCTGTGAACAATCTCATAAATGGAATTGGAAGAGAGCAGGCGTCACAGATTTCAAAGGCATTTAAGCAAGGAGTTAGAAAATGGCAAGTAATTTTGGATCCGGGTCTTGGGTTTGCTAAGAATTTGACCCAAAACTTGGCCATATTGAAACACAGTCATTCGTTCAAACACTACAGCACCATTTTACGTCAACAAGCCAATACTGAAACCGGCACGGCCAATGAAAAATATATGAGTTTTAATGGACTTCCGCTTCTTTTGGGGCCATCGAGAAAGAGGTTTTTGGGCACCATCAACAATGAGCCCACAGCCGAAACTCGAGTTTTCAGTACTGCTGCTTCTATAGTGGTATGTGTACAACAAGAAACCAACATTGTCAGAGTCCATGATACAAAAGAAATATTCAAAACAATTGCAGTTGCAGATGCCATTTACCGAGATTTGTACTAGCAGTTACCCGACTGTCAGGACAAAAAAGTGTCGAGACCAAGAAATCTTCGCGCATTCAAAAAATTTTCATCATCGATAAAGACCAGCTTTATTACAATTATTAAATAAAATGGCAGCAGTATTCCCAAGAGCTTGTTACAAGTGCGGAGAAGTCGGACACTTGGCTGAAAGCTGTACTCAAGAAGAAAGATTGTGCTACAACTGCCACCAACCCGGCCATGAAAGCTCAGAATGTGAGGAACCAAAACTGACCACCCATAAACAATGTTACTTGTGTGGTGATGTGGGACATGTTCAATCTGACTGTCCAACTCAAGAACAAGGTTCCAAGTGTTACAATTGTGGTCAATTTGGCCACATATCTAAGAACTGCAATGCTTCTGCTACTGAAAAGCCAGCGTCTGCTCCTGCTGCTTCTAAGTTCAAGCCTTCTACCACCTGTTACAAGTGTGGAGGTCCTAACCATTTTGCCAGAGACTGTCAAGCCAACAACACCAAGTGTTACGCTTGTGGAAAGACCGGCCATATTTCTAAGGACTGTCGGTCTGCTACTGGAGGTGACAACTTTTCGGTTAAGGCTTGCTACAACTGTGGACAAACCGGCCATATTTCTAAGGACTGTGATGCCGCTTAGTCAAGTTGAAATGTTGTATATGGTTTGATTTGATGCTGTCATGGAGATTGTTTTGTATTCATAGGTGAAAGAAGAAAAGCCCTAAATATATGATTTTAGCTGTAAGATGAACGGAACTTGTCCTCAACGCTTTGAATACTCGGGATGATTGTCTGATTCCATAAATATGATGAAAGAACGTCAGTGTAAGCATTTCATTGTTTTGCAAGCTGGTCTATTTCATAAAATAAGCCATCCCCAAAAAAGAATAAAAGTCAGCGTTCTAAGATGCCTGGATTCAAAATATTTAGCCACTATGATTATTTGTGACAATGACCTAGGCCATTGTGATGTGATCCAGTAACTCTATTCAGTATTTAAATTTATATATTCATCTAAAAGCAGACAGCGTACACAATGTTAATTAAATAACGAGCCTCGATGGAATTTGCAATCCTTAGTATCTCAAATAATCAAATGTCACAGCATCAGGAATGTCTGCAATTTCCAATGCAGTAATTTCATTGATGGTTTGTTCCAACATACGAAGACCAAATCTTAATTCCTCTTCGGTAATCACCAACGCAGGTGCCCACCGAATGGTTTTTGCATGAACCATTTTACAAATAATACCTTTTGACCTCAAAAGCATACAAACATGCCATACCTTTTTTCCATTTAGTTGCAGCTCATCAATATCAAAACCTGCCATCAAACCTCTTCCTCTCACATCGGTTATAATAGAGGACTTTTCTCTGATAGAATTAAGACCATCAAGCATTATCTTTCCTAAGTGCTTTGCATTATCAATCATATTGTCTTCAATTAATACCTCTAATGCAACCTTGGATGTTGCACAACTTAATGGACTACCAGAAAATGTTGCACCATGAGAATTTGGTTCGATGCAATCCATTATTTCTCCAGATGATAAAACCAAACTAGTAGGATAGACCCCACCACCAATACTTTTTGCAACCACAAGCACATCTGGCTTAATACCATCTTGCTCGCATGATAAAAGTGTACCTGTTCTTCCAGCACCCATTTGAACTTCATCAGCAATATATAAAATATTATACTCTTCACATAAACGTTTTACTTGTTGCAAATACCCATCTTTTGGAACATAGATCCCTGCTTCTCCCTGAAGAGATTCCAAAACAATAGCAGCTATATTTGGTCCATCAGTTTTAAAAGCTTCTTCTATATCTTCAATATGGTTGTACCTAATAAATTTACCTTCCGACCCATAATAAGGGCCAACTTTAGGAAGAAAAGGACCATAGTTTTTTCTGGCACCTGGTGTGGTTGATGCCGAAGTACTGCCAAGGGTTCTACCATGATAATTATTCGCAGCAAATAATACTATGGCTTCGTTTTGACTAATTCCCTTCTTGGTATAACCCCAAGCTCTAGCTAATTTTATTGCAAACTCAATTGCTTCTGATCCACCATTCAATGGAAGTGCTTTTTCAAAATCGAAATATTGACAAACAAATTTGATGTAATCTCCATATAGATTATGGGTAAATGCTCTAGATGGCAAAGCGCAAATCTGTGCTTGGTCAATAAGAGCTTGAACAATTTTTGGATGTGAATGACCTTGATTAGTTGCACAATATGAGCCTCCAAAATCTAGGTATTCATTGTCGTCGACATCCCATACTTTACACCCTATTGCTTTCTTAAATACCACTGGCATAGGAGTATAGTTTTTTGCGGAATACTGTCTTTCGGTTGCAAGACATATTTGAGATTTCGAGGAATTCATCTTATACCCACAAGGTCTAAAGGAATTTCTTACCTATATATAATAGTATTTCATGCTGATGCTCACCACCATCTATTGATGATAAGGGCAAAATCCCGTGTTTCTACTTCCCAAAACAGCTATACTTTTGAGAAAATATATATTCTCCGGTGTGTGTATGGGCACTGGCAGCTAGCGTATCGTAGATTCCGTTCTCAAAAGAGCAACAAATTTGAGAAAATCAATTCTTCGGTATATGCTTTCCAGAGTTCCACTCAAATTTCTTCTCTGCTGCTACGTATAATTTCGTAGTATTTCACGCAATATGACTTGAAAATGGTGAATTTAAAACATAGGAGTCCCCGGAACAGTTGAACCTAATAAATTATAAAAGGAAACTCTTTTGAGATTTTCTTTTGCACTTCCTCCATATTTTCTTGATCTTTTACCCAAAAATGATCACACAAAAGACTTCTAGCTAACCTCTGACTACCTAAATTAAGATGCCATTCCGATAAGTTGATAAAATTCAAAACCTGTGCTCTGTGAGCCTCCAAAACAGCTTCTCTGCCCGCAATATATAAGGGAAATGCAATGCAAGAATCCGGGCCAGACCCAACGAGTATCTTTTCTGTAACTATTGAAATAACCCTGTCAACATGAAAAACCATCCGAGCAGATTTAGGATCTTCGTGACAGATTTTCCTCAAAAGTAGTATATAAGCTGAATGATAGTAGATTTCAACCAATACAGAAAAGTTAGAACTATCATCTTTAAGATTTATTGTTTCTTCATTTAACCTCTTATAGTCTTCTAATTTCTTGACGAAACGAAGCTCCAGCTCTGTCTTTTCCTTGGAGATTGAAATCATATCATCGTCACTTTTTGTTGAACTTTCTTTGGCAATATCATGACTGAGGACTTCAATTTCATAAATTATTAACAAAATTTGTACAGGGCAGCCAATAATACTTAATAAAGAAGATACATCAGCCTGATTCAATTCACAATGTAACAAGTATTCAAGAATATATTTGGGAACAACCGGTCTTGTGTCGTTAAGACTGCTCATAAAGACATCATTAAACACAAGTCTTTGAATGATAAACATGGTGGATGTACTTGAAGAAACATGGAACCTCAAGTTATGACGCACTACCAGCTCATTCACTAACCTTAGATAATTTCTCTGCTCTGCGAATCTCATTTGTGTGTCTGTTTGATCACACCTGAAAATGGAGTAACTGATTTGCATCAACAAGTTTAAGCATTTGATTGCAAATGATTCATTCTCAAAATAATTATTCTTGTTCAATTGTATAGTGTTTGAAACAGACATGAAACTCAAACATAGCATTTCCGAAAGACCCGTACTCAACGAGTCTAGTATCGCCTTTGACATAAGCTTCCTTGCATACAAATGTTCACCAGCAATACAAATCAATGTAATTAGGATATCCTGGGATATCTCAGAATAGGGAACCAAATATTTTCTGTAGGGTGAATTTGCATTATCAAAAGGGACCATCTGATCCAATATAACCTCATTGAAGTAATCAAATAGTTTGAATATCAATGCTTGGTCAACAAAATAATAACTGGTTGGGTTATTACCATTCAACATATTAACTGATTTTGATAAATCATGGATTGTCAATCGGAAAGAGTCCGATAATGAAATCCTTGTGAGTGGATAATATTCTGAAATGCCTGTTTTAGTACCAGGAGCTTCTACAGACATATCTAAGGCTTCATTTTCTTCAAATCCAAAACCTTCTTGACATAACACTAAACTCTGGTTGTTCTTTAACTTATTCATCTCCTGATGGCTCGGCTGTAGATGTATTGGCAACCTTTTTTGAGCTCTATCAGAAACGGCATATTGAACAAACCTTCTATTCTTTTCAAAATGACATTGTATAGCTTTCTTGTGACACTTCCCGCAGGTTGGTTTGATTAAATCACACTTTATTCTACGTTTATAACATTCAAAACACGGCCTTTTATTATTATCAGGGTTCCTGATGGACCCTAAGCCCTTAGAATCCTTCAAGCTTGTCATGTACAGTATCGTTTGTCTACCATAGGCCCTTGCGAAATATGATAAAGTTGTAGGTGCGTAGATAATTAACCTTGTGATTATATGGTTAGTACACATACTCATTAGCCCTGACTGTTCTTGACTTCGTGTACACTTGAAGCAGTTTGGATTCTTCTAAAACAACTAAATGATAGAACCAAATGTGAACTGCTGTAAAACATTACTAAGGGTTAGTGCTTATTAACTGATACCCATACCCACATATATACCTTTACTTTTACTGTGGGTGCGAATTAAACATTTCACGCAGTAAAATCTAGGCTATTTGCGAACATCTAATTTCCAATTCGTAATCCTTGTTCCAACAACCGAAGATACAATGGAGTACACCAACTATATGTCTAAAAATGAATTTGAAAATGGGGATATCGGGCTCTATAACGACAACCAGTTCGGCTTGACCCAACAAAACGTCTATATGCTCGATGAACCCGTCCAGTTCCCGGGTCAGTATATTCCCAATGCTGACACATTCAGCGATAGATCATCTCCTTCCACAAACAACAGCAACTTGATGACAGTAGACCACGCTATCTTGTCTAACCATCACGGCCAGAAGTCCGACTTGGAAGCCAGTTCCACTGACGAAAACTCCCATAAAGTGGTAACCTTGCGTAACGGAAAAGGTAAAAGTAAGAAGCAGTTGGCAGAAGAACAAGATACTCTTTTGTTATCACGAGACGACTCAGAGTTGACAGAGGAAGAGTTGCAGTTGAAGAAAAAGGCACAAAATAGAGCTGCTCAACGAGCTTTCAGAGAGAGGAAAGAGACTCGATTGAAAGAATTGGAGCAGAAATTGAATAAGAGCGAGGAAGATAAACAAGCGCTATTAAACAAGTTGGAGGCCATTCGCAAGCAGAACCTCGCCATGAAATCAGAGAACCTGGATTTAAAGACCAGTAGGAATAACGGTACTACTCCCGAATTGAAACTTGACTTCCCCAAGAACGAGGGGGATTTCATCGCTCGTCTTTTGGAAGGTCAAGAACATGTTTATCTGTCCTCTGACTCCAAGAAGGTCTACGATTCCCCTGAAAATGGTCAAAAGGTTCTTGCGTTCGGAGCAGTATGGGATTATCTCTTGTACAGGGCCGATGAGGACAACTTGAATATCGACGTGATGGAAGTAATGAATAGCTTGAAAGGTAACGAGAAATGTCATGGGTATGGGCCTGCCTACCCGGTGGAGCTAATAGATAAAGCCATTTTGGAGAACAGTTCTCCCAATGACTTTTGAACGAATGAATGATTCCCAATTCCGCTTGCTTTCCAGGAGTTTTTGTTTTACTACTGAGTGCTACTTGTGCAATTTAATGAACCTGCTCAAGTTGCTTATACCAGAGGCTATTGTCCATAGACTTTTACTATAATGTACTTCTAATAAAATGAGATCGAACAAACGAATTTTCTAGAAGTGAAAAGTGCGACCAAAGCATACATAAATTCACATACAATCCCTAGGCGAATTCTTTAATCTAATCATGTCCGCAGACGAATTTAAAGCTGAAGGTAACAAGTACTTTGCTGCCAAAGACTTCAATAAGGCCATTGAATACTTCACAAAGGCCATCGAAGCCTCTCCTGTCCCCAATCATGTGTTATACTCTAACCGTTCCGCCTGTCACGCCTCGTTGAAAAATTTTGGTGAAGCATTGAAAGATGCCGAAAAGTGTGTGGAAATCAACAGTTCGTGGTCCAAGGGCTATAACAGAGTAGGGGCAGCACAGTATGGGTTGTCCAACTTGGAAGAAGCGAAAGCCTCCTATCAAAAAGCCTTGGATCTCGATGGTTCAAATGCCATTGCCAAAGAGGGATTAAAGGCCGTTGAAGACGCCATTTCTTCTAGAAATTCCCAGCCAGATATGGGCTTGGGAGCCATTTTTTCCGACCCAAACATGATTGAAAACTTGAAGGCTAACCCTAAGACAGCCGAATTGATGAAAGATCCTGAATTGGTGCAAAAGTTGAGAGGCATCCAGGCCAACCCCAAGGCCAATGCCACCCAGTTTTTAACCGATCCACGGTTGATGACGGTGATGGCCACCTTGATGGGAATTGATATGGATGGTCCTCCACCAGGTGATTTTGGCGCTGCTCCAGAGGTTCCAACCCAAAAGCAAGAACCTACACCAGCTCCTCAATCAAAGAAGGAACCTGTACCTGAACCAGAAGACGTAGAGATGGAAGAACCTGAAGACACCTCGAAAGAAGATGCCGACAAGCTCAAGGCTGAAGGTAACACTTTGTACAAGCAGAGAAAGTTTGACGAAGCCATTGCTAAGTACACCCAAGCTTGGGAAACTCATAAGGATATCACCTATTTGAACAACAGGTCTGCTGCTGAGTTTGAAAAAGGTGATTTCGAAACTGCCATCAAGACGTGTAACCTCGCCATCGACGAAGGAAGAGACATGAGAGCCGACTATAAGTTGATTGCCAAGGCGTTTGCCAGATTGGGTAATATCTACTTGAAGCAAGATGACTTGAACGAAGCTGTCAAGTACTTTGACAAGTCATTGACCGAGCACAGAACTCCTGAAGTGTTGAACAAGTTGAGATCAACTCAGAAGGAAATCAAGATCAAAGAGATTCAGAGTTATGTTAACCCTGAAAAAGCTGAAGAAGCTAGATTGGAAGGTAAGGAATACTTCACTAAAGGTGACTGGCCTAATGCGGTTAAAGCTTATTCCGAAATGATCAAGCGCGCACCAGAAGATGCCAGAGGGTACTCCAATAGAGCTGCTGCATTGGCCAAGTTGATGTCGTTTCCAGATGCTGTGCAGGACTGTAACAAGGCCATCGAGAAGGATCCCTCATTTGTCAGAGCGTACATTAGAAAGGCCAATGCCCAATTGGCCATGAAAGAATATGCTCAGGTAATGGAAACTCTTAATGTGGCCAGAGAAAAGGATACCGAATTAGGAAGTAAGAACGTGAATGAAATCGATCAATTGTACAACAAGGCATCATCTCAGAGATTCCAGAATATAGAAGGTGAAACTCCCGAACAGACCATGGAAAGAGTCTCTAGAGACCCTGAAGTGGTCCAAATCTTGCAAGACCCAGTGATGCAAGGAATCTTGCAACAGGCCAGAGACAACCCCGCTGCCTTGACCGATCACATGAGAAACCCCGAAGTCAGCAAGAAAATCAACATGTTGATAGCTGCTGGTGTCATTAGAACCAGATAGTGGTGGTATGCAAAATTGGTAAATAGCTAATATACACTACAAAGTTTTCCCGTACGCCTACCTGTAAAAAAGTATTCACCTAGCATGGCCCAGCAAGGTCCAGTAAAGTCCAGTGAATGGGGGAAACTTAGTAAAGCATTCTGGGATCTTATGAGCACTCGATTCTCACTCACCCGACTATTTTTCAAATCCGCATTCTAGTAAACTTAAAATTTTTAGTTTTGAACGGAATCATATTGATGAATCGAATATTGTAGAGGCAAATTGACCAACCTACAAGTATTCTCCCGTCTTCCCGTATACAAGCTTCAAAATGTCTAGCAATTCCAAGTCGTCGACGACAGTGTCCATCAAAGATGTGTTTTTCTTCATCCCCAATTTAATCGGGTATTTCAGAGTGCTTACGGCAATTGCTTCATTTGTTACCATGAAAAACCATCCTTATTACACTTTTATATTGTACGGAATATCCGGGTTCTTGGATGCGTTTGATGGGTATGCCGCCAGAAAATATAATCAAGGAACCCGTTATGGGGCTGTTTTGGATATGGTGACAGATAGATGTGCAACTTCGTCTTTGATATGTTATTTGTGTGTGATTTATCCCCAATACTGTTTTATCTGGCAATTGTTGGTGTCGTTGGACTTGGCATCCCACTATATGCATATGTATGCCATGATGTCCACCGGATCGGCCTCCCATAAGAATGTGGGTAAAGAACAATCGAGAATATTGTCTCTTTACTACACAAATAGAAAGGTGTTATTTGTTGTGTGCCTTGTTAATGAGTTGTTTTATGTGGCATTGTACTTACATTCGTTCCAATTCTTTTGGTTGGGAACTGTCTTGGCCTGGTTGAGTGTACCTATCTGGGCATTCAAACAGTTTGCTAATTTGGTCCAGTTGAAGGCTGCTGCTATTATTTTGGCGTCAATGGATGCTGCTGAAAAGTCAAAGCCCAAGAACGCCTAGAATGGTAGCTCCAGTTATTTATTCTACTTCTCCACATGACTTTTGCTTATATATATAGTTTATCCATTACTCATTATGCGATGAAGCCAGAGCTTCTCTCTTGTATACTCTTTTTGATGAGCCGATCAACAAGCCCTTGCCCGTGTTCAAGTAGTTCTGGGGATTTTTGGATGACGGCCACCTGTTTCTCCAACTCGAAACACTTGTGTAACATCATTAAATTAGAGGTTTTCTTGAACCCATTTATACTCACATTCAAATACCGAAGTAATTGATTGAAAATGACTTTATTCGTAGAACCCACTTCCTCAAGAAGGGTTGGCAGTTTGAGGATATAACAGCAGGATCTGGAAAGCTCGTAGTATGCCATAGACGAAAACTCCATATTTTGCACCAGAAGAGTTGTGGTTAATTTGGATCTTAAAACGTTATATGCATCCACAAAGCTCTCGGAGTTGTTCAAGATGGAAGAAAATATTATGGTTCCTTCTACCACAATGGAAATGAACCCAACTTTCTTAGCGTGTTCCAACTGTTGTACCAACAAGGAAAGGGTTCTCATATGGGCACCTGATTCGGTGAAAATCCTACATTTAAGCAAGTTCAATCTCATATTAGCGAGCATATTGGACTTATTCTGGGACATCTGGGTCTCCATTTGGTTCAGGTATAAGAATATCGAGTTTAAGGCCTTGGAGTTGTTGCCGATGGCACTCTGCACTTGGGCATTAAGATGAACTAATTCAGACCTCACCTCTATATCTTGAACTTCGTCATTATCCAACAATTGTATAAGCTTCTCAGCTTCCTTGAGTCTTCCTTTATTTATGTACATCCTCGTTAAGACGATTGAACTGTGAATGGCAACTGGTTTGTAAATGGATAAATCCAGTTTCCCTTGTGGTTTGAGATCTTGAAGTTCTCTATACCCTTCTTCGGTGTTGCCCTTCATGTAGTCTAAATAAGCTCTTCTCACTTTTATTCCAACCTGATCGGACCTCTTCCCTGATACGGCTGCAAACTCCAGAGCCAACTCCAAGTATAACTCACTGAGACTTAAGTTTCCTATCCGGCTCCACACAACAGATGCCATTTCCATAGACTTGACAAACGATGGAATACTGTCATGAATAGAAATGTACGTAGCTTTCGTTAAGCTCTCCAAATATTTGTTCATTGATCCACCGTTATCGATGATATGAAGTGCTTCAAAATGATAGCTAGTGGCGTAAAGCAGTAATGATACGGTCTTGGACTTTTTGACTAAGAAATCTAATAAGTGCAGTTCGTTATTATTGTGGTAGAAGTTCTGAACGTTCCATAGTTCAGGTTTGTCTCTCATGAAGTTGAAAAGCCAGTTCAACACAAAAGTTAAGGTGGGATTATCTCTGTGTTCTCTGGCCACAGAGATGGCTTCTTCGATAGCATCAAGAGCTTTTTCGTCTTCTCCGAAGAACTGGTGTAAGGTGGCTCTTGAGATCAAGGCATAGTGATAAAAATATTTTGACTTGTTGGAGACCATATAATCAAAATACTGGTGTAATGCTTGCATAGACCCTTGATAATCTTTTTCGTATAAGCATTCGAGGAACCGGATATAATAGTAAGATGGAACACTACTCAAATTTGCGCTTTGAATCAGGTACAAGCTCGAGGAGCTTGATGTCATAAGCTTCATGATGTTCTTCAATTTAGCTGGAGGTCGTTCTCCATACGTTTCCAAGATAGTGATGTAACTACTAAGCAAGGCCTGAAGGTCGTACTTTGAGACAGACATAAGATCCACTTCATGCAGTTTGGTCAAGTCTCTTGGGAACGAGATGTCACTTTCGAGAGCCGTATCCAACTTTCCTTTCAATTTCAAAAACATCTCTTCATCCTCCTGTTGGGATTTACATCTAATGACATCATTTGGAATCACTTTGGGGACCAAAACTTGTTTTACAGGCATCTCTACCGAGACTCTTGTGGGCTCCCTATATGACACATATGCTTCGAAAAGCAAAAACAATTCGTCAAAGTGTAACAAATGCAAACTGGCTACAATTCGTTGGATAAAACTGCCGATTGTAGACCTTGGAGAGAACTTCATTTTCAGTAAATGTTCCCCATTATTTCCGTGCTCATCGTAGCTGACTACCAGAGGATCACAAATGTGTTCCAACATCCCCATTACTGAAGTATCTAAGCTCTCCACAGAGTCAATTCTCCACAAGACCTGTAACAAGTGTTGATTGAGAACCAGTACAGTTTTCAAAATCTGGTCTTCGGTTTGACCCATGGAATATCTTGTCACATCTTGACGTATCTTCTCACAAAGATCGCTGGCTGTTGGAATCACCACAATTTCTTCTGGAGACTTGTGCAATGGTTCATGGAAAATGAATTGAATGATGGATATACCCAACGGTTCAGTGCCCACTTCGCTTTTGTAGAAGTGAGAATAGGTCTGTATCAATGCTAGAACAGCCACATCCTGCGGCGAAACGTCTTCTGATAGTAGGATTTTACTTTCTCGATCTATCATGGACTATTTTGATTTAGAAATGTGTATTCCTTCGCGCATTTGTTTTTGTTAAGTGCTAAAAAATGTATGTCTATTCTTGATCAGAATCTCCATCTATATCTATTTGGGGCATTTCGAAGTCAGACTCGTCTCCAGACGCTTCCCCGGCATCAGTTGAGGCGTGTGATGGTGTGAGTGACATTTGGGTTACTGGGATGTGCTTCAGGGTGTTTGTTTCATTAGAAACTTGATGTGGCAGTTTGGCTGCAACTTTGGGTGTATCTGATTCCTTGAATTTCAAAACATCTTGTGGTTGATATTTTAAGGATGAGATAGATTCAGATTGATCTTGTAAGTGAATCTGTGGCACTTTCTGTTCGGTTTTGAGTCTTTTACCATCTGTATCAACTGTATCGTTGGCATATTCAAATGTTCTTTTGTTGAGTATATCCGATAATACATTTGTTTCGGGTAGAACAGTAGTTTCTTCCTCTTCTTCCTCTTCTTCACTATCAGATTCAACACTTTTGTCGATAAGTTGGGGAACAGGAGGAAATCTGGGGTTGTTGAACACGCTGATTAAGGGATCATCGCCCATAATAGAAGATACAATTGGAAGAAGAGACACCTTTTCGAAACCTGGATACGTAACAGCATTGATTAATAGTCTCTTCAACTCTGACAGCATGGAGTTGTTATAGCTGAAATGAGTGGACTTCACTGCTTCTATTATGAGGTATCTCATGATTTTGTAGTGTTGCGTAGAAGGCAATTCTGTTCTTGTGATGACCGAATTGACAAACGTTCTGACAGTATCAATGGTTTCAGCCGGGATTTCACCATCAAATAAGTGGCTATGTGACAACAAGTCAGCCATTGGAATGGCTTGGCTATTCTTCTTCTTGGTCTTTTTGGTATTGTTGGCCTTGTCAATATTACTACTGGATGAACCATTAACATTGATTCTTGGTTCCACCAAAATCAAAGCAGCTTCAACAAACCGGACTAGTTGCTGAGGCTCTTGATATAACTGTACAAGCTGCAAAATCTTGGACACAGTAGATAATAACTTGGTGGTAAATTGCTCATTATTCAAGACTTCTTCAGAGTCGACGGCTTTCTTATTCATGGGAATGGAAGTTTCTAATACCAAGAGAATATTCGTCAAGTAAATGATCATGGGTCCTTGAAATGTCGTAGTTAAAGCATTCAAAATGGGTAAACTACTTTCTTGGATCTTTATAGTGATTGATCTGGTTAAGGCTTTGGCTTTTTCATCACGAATATCTCTTTTCACGGGTAAGTAGTGAGTGTTAATGCTGAAAATGATCTCCATCAAGCTGATGACTTTACCGAGTGGGAACTTTACACACATTCCCAAGGAGGTGGAAATAAATCCCACTAACAAAGAAAAAAGCGTCTCAAGTCTAGTGGATAGCTGCAATAAGGTTTCTGGCTTCGAAATATCTATTTGTAAGAAAGGAAATATTCTGGCATCATCAATGACTTTGAACACAGGGTTTGAAATCAAGGAGAGAAGTTCGCTATCCTGGCTGAAATCAATCAAATCTTTGAAAATTGAAAGGATATCCACAATCTCATTGATAACACCATTGAGTTTATTGGACCAAACCTTATCTGCGTCAGTCTTTTCAATGATAGGCAATAAGGCATAAGTTCTGGAAATATGGAACTTTAAGGTCGATGGGAAACTGGAGAAGTCTAATTTCAAATACTCTACCAATCTGCTATTCAACTTGTTTGCAAAAGGTCTGAAAGTAGTAGGATGATGGGACATAAGATTATACAAAGACTCAATGATCAACTCAGGATTCAAGTCCAAGGTGTTTAAGTATAATTGGATAATCACTGGTAACTTTGGAGTCAAAATTTCTCTGGTTAATGTCGGTTTACCTCTGATCTCATCGCAAACCTTGTTCAAACACCGGACGGTAGCATTGAACAACTTGATATCTGTAGACTGGTTGGCTGTTTCAAGGATCTTGAGAAGAGCATTAACAAACTTCAAGCCGCTACCACTCAATATCTCGTAGTTCTTCACTAATACCTCCGTTATAACAACTCCACACCATTTTTTGTAGGCGAGATGAGCAGACATGAGGTTTAAAGTGCGAGACACCAAATGGTTAGCTTCAGCTTTTGAATGGCATAAGGCATTCAAATTGGTATATAAGGACTTCAATATGGGAACTACCGAGTCCGGCTCCTGGAGCTGTTGTATAACAACTGCAACTGGTAAAGACATAATTTAACCAAGTACTGAATTTTTCAGAGAGATTTGGTTTTCTGGCGCGATGAGACAAAATCTTCTATTTGAATTAGAGAACTTAAACACAATTAAATGTACTCGTCTAAGAGTCCAACAAAGCCGAAAGGCTCGTAAGGATGTCCACCTCCAACAAAGAACTTGGACATGGATTCCACCCAATGTAATCTTAAGGAATGCAACATGGCGGATGTACCTTCCATGATAACCAAGATAACCACGGTCAAGATGAACCACATACCAAATAACAACACCGTCATGATCACACCAGACACACCGGTAGCTCCAAACGCATTACCAATTGTCATTGTCCACAAGACAGTAGATAATTGAGCGTGAGCCAAAGACAAAGCCCACAATCTTAAGTACGAGGCAGTGTGACTGACACAGTTCAAACAGAACTCAATGGTGTGAATAACTTGGTGGATCATGATATCCCCAAATTCATGGGCTTCTTCGTCGTCGTCATCGTCACCGTGGTCGGCAGTTTCTTCAGAGTGTTCGCCCACGTCACCAGTAGAAACCTCTTCGTCTTGGAGCGCATGGTACTTAGCTTCTTGGTCAAACTTTCTCTTGAAGTACAAAGGCTTCACCAATAATAACCAAGGGACACAGATCAATGCCAATAACAAAAGGAACACTTGTACAGTCGATTGTCCAGCGTACAAAGGTTCGGCGACTGTACCTGGAGACAAAAACATCGAGATCAAAGTGTTTAATAATCCTGGAGGTTGTTGTTCAATAGCAAACCAATCAACAGACCACTTGTAGACGATACAAAGTGACAAGTAACCGAAAATACCTTGCATGAATAATAAACCAGGAATGAAGTTACCAACAACGTCAATCATACTGTTAAAATGGATGTAGTTCACCAAAGAAAATACGTATGAGTAGGACATGTGAATGTAACCCATCAAAATGGATAATTTCATCTTATAGGAGTTTGTGAATAATAAGGCATTCTCAGTTCCATGCCATGCTGGATCTAAACCAATAGGATATATACCCAGAGCCGAAGCCTTGAGAGTATCACCGATTTCAAAGTCTTCAGGCCAAACCCAACCAGATTTGAACAAAGTCATGGACTTGGAGAATAAATCGTTGTATAAGAAACCAGTGTAAATGGAAAACAATCCCATGAATAACAAAATATAACGTCCTGAAAAGGCCATGTCAAAGATTTCATCCCTTTTCATGGCACCGATTTTCTTTTCATTGAAAACTAAAGTGGAAGCTGCCAAAGATAAAATAATACCATGACCCAAATCACCAAACATAATAGCAAACATGAAGGGGAAGGTAATGATAGTAGGTAACCCTGGGTTTACTTCACGGTAACTGGCTACTCCATAAGCATCACAGATATTTTGGAAAGCAGCAGTGAACTTGTTGTTTCTATGGAAAGTTGGTGGTGTTTTGGTAGTCTCCAAAATGTTAACAATAGTGGGCAAGTTCTGAGAACCAGCCTTGATAGTAGCGTCCAAAGTTTCGATTTCATCGGTTGGAATCCATCCCTCCGCAATCAATGTTTTTCTACTACCATCGTAGTCACAACGGTTCATGGTCTTGTAGAGTGCCTTTTCTCTGGCAATGATTTCCCACCATTTAGACAAGTCCTTGGAAATCGCAATCAACTCGGAGTTCAACGCCAATTCTGACTGCTCCAAAACCGTCGATAAGTCATCTAAGTTGCTACTGACATGAGCAAGTTGAGTGGCTCTTCCCACGGCGGTGGTATCCACGTCGTACAAGTCACAGTCTAAAGACTCACAGATCTTCTTGATTCTTTCGTAAATGATTTTCCGTGAGAGAAGATGATGAAAGAGTTTTTGGAAACATTATCTTCAAGCTTTGGATCGTAGATGGGCTCGGTAAACTCCTCGGTGTAGTAGTACAAATTACCTCTCAATACTCTCCACAAAATCTGCTGCAATACTTGGACTTTATCTCTGCTAATAGTACCAGTGATGAACGAAGTATTGTGGTCCGCAGTCTCGGCAACTTCAATTGGTAAGTTTCCGGTGTTTAACTTGAAGAATTCGTCCACTGACTGGGTGGTCAAGAAGTTTTGCTTCAAGTCCTTTTTCTTCGAGTACAACGAAAACAACGAGTCGACCAATTCAGTGACCCTGTCTTCCAAAATCTGGCCGTTGTCAACCAATTCGTCAATGTCCGACTGAGGGGCTACTTGGGATAATTCGGATTCGTAAGGGTACTTCGACAATGAAATTGACTTCTTATCTAATTCCTCCTTGAAGAAAATGAATTGTCTTTCCACATTGTCCAATTTCCGTAATTCGTTGACAAACGCCCTCTGAAAGTCAGACACCTTGGAGTTCAAGTCTCTGAACTGCACCAAATTCAATTTACCGATGTCATAAATCAATTCCCTTGAGATTTCGGTGGGCAAGTATAATTGCACAAGCGACATAGTGGCCGATCGGAAAATGGCTTCTTCCTTGCCATCCTCGATGGTCTGTGTTCTATCTGATGAACTCATTACCAGTGCGGTTGTTGTCTTTGAAACGATAGAGAACCAGTAACTAAATGAATTGTTCCAGTTGTGGGTTATCAGTTGGTGAACAATTACGGATGAGTCCGTTTTTTGAGATTGAGGGAATGCGAACCAAGGATGGAACAGCGTGCGCGAACCACCTAGTTGACAGCCAAAAACGTATATTGCAAAAAATACTATTCTCCAACCACATGTTTAAACTTCAAAATCTCTTCAAAGATAGCGTAGCAAATTCCCGGTTGGTCATTCTCATATAAAACAAGATCCTTAATCAATTCCCCCACTGCTCTTTTTGTCGACGGTAAATTGGCCCGTTCCTCCACCCGTTTCATACAGTAAAAGAAACAACTGGTATAGGTGTAGGCTGGTTGGGGGGAAGAATTGGGCGACAATTGGTCGGAAGGAAGGTGGTCATTTTGAATTTGTCCCAGCAGCAATGGAGTCTCTGGCAGCGAAAGCTCCGAAGACAGTTTGAATGGAATATCAAAAGAAAGCTCTAAAGAGTCCAAAGCCATAGGGCTTACCTTCCTACTGACAATCGATGGAGCTCCTATCCGGGTGGAATCAAAATTCCAATTTATCATCTGAGATGTGGTTGTTTCATCCAACTGTAGCTCATTTCTCGGTCTTCTGACCTTTCTTTTGGATGTCTTCATCCACTCGTCTTTTTCTTTGATTAATTGGATAATGTTGACATGCCTTCTGACTCCAGTGATAAATCGGTGATGCAATAAGGTGTTGGCACTGGGTCTATTTTTGGGGTCTTTGACCAAACAGTACTTGACGAAGTTCTTGATATTTTCGCTGAAGTTGATTCCAGTCAACACTGGTGGTTTGCGCCGGGGAATGTCAAAGATGATTTTTCGGGGATCTTGTCCGGATAGAGGGGCTTCTCCTGTAATGAGTTCAATGGTGGTGATACCAGTTGACCATATATCGGCTTTTTGGTCATGACCCATGTCCCTAGCGGCAATGACTTCAGGTGCCATCCAGAACGGAGTGCCCACAAACGTTTCTCTCTTCAAGTGGGTCATAGTAATCTCTCCACTAACACCAAAATCGGCCAACTTGATTTTCCCGTCGGAGGAGAGCAAAATATTGGCCAGCTTAATGTCTCTGTGGACTCTTTTCTGATTGTGGAGGTAACTCAAACCTCTGAGCACATCCCTAATAATATAGGCTGTAACTTCTTCGCTAAACTTCTTGTGGCACCGTAATAAATCGTAGCAAGAGCCTCCACCACAATACTCCATGACGATCCAAATGGTAGTCCTCTGAACAATCGTTTCAAAATATTTGGTGATATACTCGGATCTCAACAGTGATAGGAAATGGATTTCCAGCACAAATGTCTTGATATCGTCAGAGGTTTCCTCCAAGTTAATAACCTTAATTGCGACTATAGTATTGTGCTTCAATGAATGGGCCCTGTAGACGTCCCCAAACGCACCACGGCCAGCAAATGCCTCCAATTCATAATCATCAACACCCATGCGACACAAGTTTACAATTGCAAATTCTACAAAACGCTTTTTCGCAGCCACCCAAACTGTTTCAATTTCATTAACTTCATAAAAAACCTCTTGCTGGTTATGCTATTTTAGAGTATTTGCTACTCCAGAAGTCAAATGCTTCTTCTGATAGTTCTAAGTCTCGGTTTACACTGTTGATTTTGCAGCCATTTAACACGAGAAATTCGGAGATGACAAAAATTTTGGTGGGTGAACTATCAGTTTCTACTGTCAAATACTTTCTCAAGGAATACTCAAATAAAAGGATTTTATTACCCTTATCCCCAAGCAGTACCTTCAAGTTCACGTCAGCTCCTAATAGGACACATTTTATTGTGTCTTCAACACTAATAGCCCTAACCGATTTGAAAAGTAAATCATTAATCCCGTCCACACTCTGAGCGTACTTCTTGTCAATGTACTTATTTTGGATAAATTCAAGTCTTTCCTCATAATCAGCAAACGACGGTGTCTTGTGTGTACTTTGCAAGTATTTGTTGTGTAAATGGTTGTTGATGTAGGTCAAGAGTACTTCTGTTTCTCGGTTGAAGTTATCCATTTTCAAGGACTTCACTCTGGAAATATGGGACCCCATACTGCGGTGACACGATGAGCAGTTGATGCAAAGTACAACCAAAAAATTTATAGATACCCATTCAACAGATTCTAGAGATCCACAATCAGCACAAATGTTGTTATCACTGTCAGGAACGTATCTCACGGCTTTGTAATAATCATTTGGAATCACAGCACTTGAAACAACAGAAATGGGAGATTTGGATGGAGCTGCGCCTGATTCGATAGGTTTTGGCTTGTCAAGCTTCAAGTTAAGCTTCTTGCTGAGCTTTGAGTGCTCTTTGGGACTCAAATTCTCCTTTAACTTGTCGGTGTTCACCAGGAGCCTGGCATTATCCAAAACTTTGATCCATTGATCTCTTTCTTGTTCATTAATAGCCTGGAAAATATACCTGTTTCCAGAGGATGTGAAGATTTCGAAGCAGTATTGTCTTTTGTCATGTGTAGTTGGCTTCACATTTGATAAAGCGATTTGAATAGGTGTGTTTATTGGAGCATTTCCCGTTCGCCAGTCACTATACTCTTTGAGTTCACCGTTTTTGACAACCACCCATTCTTTGTGCCATCCCTGCTTTCCTTTCCCTCCCAACGCATACAAAATACCCGATTTCTCAGCAGAGTCTTCCAGTGGAGAGTCGGGATTCATTGAAACAGTTGTTGTTGTGGTAAGTGATGGCAGTACTGGGGAAAATATCAAGTCTAAGTTATCGGAAGTCACCTTAATATCATCATTTGAAGCTGAGTCGACGGTTAGGCTATTATACCGGATGACGTTGGTCAAGTCATCATTGGAACTACAGCTTTCAATCATCTGTCGCAACTGGTACTTCTCTGAGTTGAACTTCAACAACACATTTAGGTAGATGTTGTGATAATCAGTCAAGCCCACTTTGCTTAGGTCCTTTGGGATATTCGCCAAGTCAATGGACAAAAACTTGAAAAGGTTTTCATAAAACTCGTTAATGTACTGGTTATTAGAAAAGTTGTTCAAGTAGTTGAGATAGTCAAATTTAGACAACTCAAACTTCTTCCTTTTAAGTAATAGTTTCAGCTCCGGGCGGCCCTTTTCGTTAGATAAGTACTTCTTCAACCAGTTGTAGAATTCCTTAGAATCGTGCTCAAAGTTCTTCTTTAAACTGTTCAATTCGTTCTTTTCATCCTCAAATGTTGAAATCAGCTTGATCTTATTGAGAAGCCGTTTTTCACACACTTGTTCTAGAAAGAATGATAATTGCAGCTCAAAAGGAGTGAATATCTTATTGAGTTTCAGGCGTAGTTCGTCCTTAATTTTGAACGTTGCAAGCACCGAGTTCTGGTTCGTGAGCCCGTCAATTATCTCCACCACTTTCCGTTTACTCGCCACGAGCCGTTTCAAGTTGGTCTCCATGGTCTTAAGCTCATCGATTAACTGGATGGTGTTCTTCTGAACATTGGGTATTGATTGCTCATACTTGTTTAAAATAGCCCGAAACTCAGGACCATCATCAAGGACAAAGCTAAACGCAGCTCTGTAGTCGGAAAGTTGAAGGGCATTTGAGGTGGGTGTTTTGACCAGCACTTTCTTTGGCAGTTCTGCAGTTTCCAATTTATTTATCCAGAGTTTGACACTCAAAGCATACGAGTAGATGTGATCCTTAAACTCAAACAAAAACACGTTCATCGACTGGCCATTGAAGTTGTTGGCATCGTAGCTATCATTAATAACTATCTTTTGAGCATCTTGAACAGTATTATCCAACGGCAAGCTATCAAAATCGAGCTTGCTGATCTCAATTTCAGAACTGTGAGTCACACCTGACTCCAATAGCCTCCTTAAGTGTTCGGAGTCGTCGTTATGGCCCTTTGTCTTTACTATTAGAAGAGACTTCCCCTCGTTATCTGAGGTGTATTTCAAGGATAATGCCAACTTCATCTTGTGGAAGACTGGATCACACCGGACCAACAACGGCGAAGTCTTGTGGACGGACACATTGTCTATGTACGTCAAGGGTTCATTAATCTTCAATTGGGTGGCAGTTTCAAGTTTATAAATGAAGGTGCATCGTTTTGATGCATTGTCACCTTCAAGACCAAAAACGTATCTTAGCTTATCGGCATCGTCGGTTAACACTAGTCGATTGAGGGTCACGCTGGTGTTTTCGGCTTGGGTATAAGGAAACGCCAAGCTGGATATATCCATGGTGACAGTTGTTAGGTTTGTTTTTGAGGTATTGATGTCAATTATTTAAACGGTGCGCAGCCATCGCTAAAATGCGGTTACACAACGTTCAAAGTACTCAAGTGTCAACAGTGACAAAAAAGTATGCGAATTCTGTGGATCGAACACAGGACCTTCAGATTAACTGGGACTGGAGTGTAACTTCAGTCTGACGCTCTCCCAACTGAGCTAAATCCGCAAGAAAGAACCCACGCCGGGACTCGAACCCGGAATCTTTTGATTAGAAGTCAAATGCGCTAACCATTACGCCACGCAGGCATCTGCAACGTCAAAAGTGGTTAGGTTCTACTAGAGTGAAATATTGAATGCTATACTCAAATTATGTCTTAGGTATTAAAATATACATATTATAGGATTTAGAAATAGTCAAGGGTTCTTTGTGCGTTGCCGGTTCCGCAGAGAAACCAATATTTTGTCTCTTGTTGTCACTATTTCCCCCATCATCCGCTTCATCGCTGCGAAGAACAAACCACTGCGAAAATCGACTCTCACTAACACTGAATGAATAGGATTGTGAAACCCTTAAAGTTCCCAGCAAGTACTTCATATTCGGTTATTTCAAGAGCAGTCAGTGTAAATATGAAACGCACAATCAACAACTCGATTGTGTTGAACGAAACCGAAGTCAATATTAAGAACCTTCTACTCGAATTCTGCAACCAGTACAACTCGACCATCCAAGATAGAACCCGTCATTTAGTATTAAGAATCACCGGTGGTTGGGTCAGAGACAAGTTGCTCGGCGACGAGAGTCACGATCTTGATGTAGCCATCAACCACATGTCAGGAGAAGAGTTTGCAAGTAAGTTACTGCTATACCTCACTAAGCATCACCCAGATTTACCACTCAGCTCCGTTTATAAAATCAAAAGCAACCCTGAAAAGTCCAAGCACTTGGAAACCTGTACCACCAAGATCTATGACTTGGATATCGACTTTGTGAACTTGCGATCGGAGAAGTACACAAGTGAAAGCCGAATTCCTGTCATTGAGTATGGAACTGCACAAGAAGATGCGTTGAGAAGAGATGCCACTTTAAATGCATTGTTCTACAACTTGAATGAGAGCAAGATCGAAGACTTTACCAATCGTGGACTCCAGGATTTACAGGATGGCATTCTTCGGACTCCGTTGAAGCCTTTACAAACATTTCTCGATGACCCATTGAGAGTGTTGCGTTTGGTGAGGTTTGCCAGCAGATACAACTTTACCGTGGAAACCGAAACGTTGACGGCAATGAAAGATCCCGAAATCAACGCCAGCTTATTGCATAAAATCAGCCGTGAAAGAGTGGGTGTAGAGCTTGATAAAATATTGACATCAGCCAATCCTGAGTACGGCTTGAGACTTCTCAACTACGTGAATATCACTGAAAGTGTGTTCAATGTGGGAACCATTTCTTCACAGTTGAGTAAATTCAACAGTACCAATGAAATTGAACAGTATGGCCGTCTTAGCCAGCAGCTAGGTCCACAGGTGAGTGCTGCCACTGCCGTTTTCCCTGTGTTCAAAAGCATTTTGTTGGGCTCGGATAACCATCGATTAATTGGCCTGTTCAATACGGTTTCCTCCAAGCATTTATGGTTGTCTGTGGTGCTCTATCCATTCCGCAGCATGTCGTTGCGCATCAATGACAAGATGTCTGGCATTTACCATGTTCCAGAAATCATCATCAAAGAAGGACTCCGGTTTGGCAAGCACGACTTCGAACCGGTCCTGAACGTACTTGCCAACTTGGGCTCGTCGTCTGAAATATGGGCCAACACCGTCGCTGGAACCATCGCCAGGTCTAGGTTGGGTTTATACTTACGGCAGTTTGGCATCTACGGGGATGTTAACATCCTTGTCAACTGCTTTCTCGAAGCTCTACAACAGGTGCAACACTTATTGAAACCATCACACGACGAGCCCACTCCACAGCCCCCTGTGTTGAACGACCCTGACATCAATGACGCTCTCACTGCAACTATTTCCAAGTACGAGCGGATTTTGGGTGCCATTGAAGAGCAGGATTTGACTTTGGTGCACAGTCTTAAGCCGTTGGTGGATGGAAAAACCATCTCCAAAGCCCTTGACAAGAAGTCAGGGCCATGGATGGCACCTGTCATCCAAGAAGTGCTCGTGTGGCAGCTTGATAACCCACAGGGCACTCCAGAACAGTGTCTTGAGCATCTCAAACGATCTTTATAGAGCATATAATATACCGGCAGATTTTTTGAGTCATAGGACTAAATTTTTCACTTGTGTCGCACAAAAATATTTCACCACCACGAAACTTCTAAAACCACAAGTCATGGCCAACATTGAAAAGGTGTCGATTCTTGGGTCGGACTCCATCCACATTGGATATGGTATTCAAGACCATATTGTGGGGGAAATTCTTGCCACGCAGCACTCGTCAACCTATGTGATTATCACCGATACCAATATGGCCAAAACGAGCCCATACGCAAAATTATCAGCCAACTTCAAACACCAGTTGAGTGTAAAAAAACCCGAGTCGAGGTTGTTGACCTACACTGTTCCACCGGGAGAAGACAACAAGAACCGGGAGACCAAGGCTGCTGTCGAAGACTACCTCTTACAACAAGGGTGTACCAGAGACACATTGATCTTGGCGGTTGGAGGTGGTGTCATTGGAGACATGATTGGGTTTGTGGCTGCCACCTTCATGAGAGGAGTGCGGTTCATTCAGATCCCCACCAGTTTGTTGGCGATGGTCGACTCGTCGATTGGGGGAAAGACTGCTATTGATACTCCGTTGGGGAAGAACTTTGTAGGAGCTTTCCACCAGCCCAAGTACGTTTTCATCGATGTATCTTTCTTAGAGACTTTGCCCACCAGACAGTTCATCAATGGTATGGCCGAGGTGGTGAAAACAGCCGCCATTTGGAACGAGGATGAGTTCACCAGATTGGAGAATTTTGCCAAAACTTTTATTGAGGTGGTTTCCAACACTCAGGTACAATTGTCCAGTATTAAGCAGGACCTCATCAAAACCGTATTGGAATCGGTCAAGGTGAAGGCGGACGTGGTTTCCAACGATGAGAAGGAATTGGGCTTGAGGAACTTGTTGAACTTTGGTCATACTATCGGACATGCCATTGAGGCTGTTTTGACTCCAGAAGCGTTACACGGAGAGTGTGTTTCTGTGGGGATGATTTTGGAGGCCGAATTGGCTAGATACTTCGGCGTTTTGTCGCCTGTGGCCGTGGCCAGGTTGTCCAAGTGTCTTGCCTCATACCATCTTCCTATTTCTATTGACGATGAGGGATTGTTGCAAAAAGTGGGAAACAAGCGTAAGAACATCAACTTGGACATTTTGTTGAAGAAAATGTCGATTGACAAGAAGAACGACGGTAGCAAGATCAGATGTGTTTTATTGGAAAGCATAGGAAAGTGTTATCAATTGAAGGCACATCAGATTTCGAAACAGGACTTGGGTTTCGTGTTGACAGACGAAACATTGGTGCACAACTTTGATGCCAACCGAATCCCAACTTCGAATGTAGTAATTCCTCCCGGCTCCAAGTCTATCTCCAACAGAGCCCTTGTGTTAGCAGCATTGGGTGAAGGTACCGTTAGGATCAAAAACTTGCTTCATTCCGACGATACGAAACATATGCTTGCAGCTGTGTCGACCTTAAAAGGAGCTGCAATCTCAGCTGAAGACAGTGGAGAAACATTGATTGTGAAGGGAAATGGTGGGAAAATGTTCACGACTGGTGACCAATTATACTTGGGAAATGCTGGTACTGCTTCCAGATTCTTGACTACAGTGGCATCGTTGGTGGGTATCAACCCTGAAACCAATGAGAAGCACGTTATATTGACTGGAAATGCTAGAATGCAAGAAAGACCAATTGGACCATTGGTGGATGCTTTGAGAGCCAACGGGTCTCTCGTTGAATACTTGAACAGCCAAGGTTCTTTGCCATTAAAGATTGAGGCTGGAAGAGGCTTGAAAGGTGGCAGAATAGAATTGGCTGCAACCATTTCGTCGCAGTATGTTTCTTCCATATTAATGTGTGCCCCATACGCTGATGAGCCTGTTACGTTGGTGTTGGTAGGAGGAAAGCCCATCTCACAGTTGTACATCGATATGACAACTGCGATGATGAGAGACTTTGGAATTGAAGTCACCAAATCCACTACTGAAGAGCACACCTACCATATTCCAAAGGGTGTCTACAAAAATCCTGCTGAATATGTGGTTGAGTCTGATGCTTCGTCGGCCACCTATCCATTGGCATTCGCTGCCTTGACGGGTACTTCTGTCACAGTACCAAACATTGGCTCTGCTTCTTTACAGGGCGATGCCCGTTTTGCTGTGGATGTGTTGAAGCCAATGGGATGTAAAGTTGATCAGTCCACTCACTCCACAACCGTCACTGGTCCACCGGTGGGTACTTTGAAGCCTTTGCCTCATGTGGATATGGAGCCTATGACAGATGCTTTCTTGACTGCTTCTGTGGTAGCTGCTGTGGCAGTGGATGGAAGTCAATCCACTTCCATCACTGGTATTGCCAACCAAAGAGTGAAAGAGTGTAATAGAATCGAGGCCATGGTGACTCAGTTAGCCAAGTTTGGTGTCAAGGCCAACGAATTACCAGATGGAATTGAAATCCATGGTATTGACTACAAAACCTTGAAGTCTCCAACTGCAGAAGTTGGAGGTGTCCACACTTACGACGATCATAGAGTTGCTATGTCGTTCTCATTACTTGCTGGATTGTGTCCTGAACCAGTCTTGATCCTTGAAAGATCATGTACTGGGAAAACCTGGCCTGGCTGGTGGGATATCTTACACACCAAGTTCAACGTTGAGCTTGATGGTCATGAACCGGAGAAAACTCTCAACAATACCAATGACCTCCGTGATAGAAACATTATCATCATTGGCATGAGGGCTGCTGGTAAGACCACCTTATCTAAATGGATTTCTAACCATTTGGGTTACAGTTTCCTTGATTTGGATGACATTTTCGTTGAAAGATTCAAGGACATCAGAGAGTATATCAAAGAACACGGTTGGGAAGCGTTCCGTAAAGAAGAAGCTGCTATTGCTGCTGAGTACGTTGGGTCTCAACATAAGAGGTTTGTGATCTCGACTGGTGGTGGAATAGTTGAGTCGGCCGAATCTCGGAAGTTGTTGAAAAAGTACGTCGAAGACGGTGGTATTGTGTTGCACTTGCATCGCGATATCGAAGAGACCGTTACTTTCTTGTCTGCGGACACTTCAAGACCAGCTTACATAGACGAAATTAAGGAGGTTTGGAATAGGAGAGAAGATTGGTACTACGAATGCTCCAGTCATCACTACTACTCCCCACACTGTGCCACATCTGAGGAGTTTGAAAATTTGAGAAGCGTCTTTGTTAAGTTTATCAATTCCATCACCGGTTTATCGCTGGTGCAAGTTCCAACCAAAAAGTCATATGCTTTGGAGGTGACTTGCCAGAGCACTAAAGAGTTGAAGAAAGACTTTGAGGAAATCAGTGTGGGTGTTTCGGCTGTGAAGATCAACATCGACTATCTCAAGGCGGTTAACAAGGCCACTGTTTGTGAACAGATATGTTACTTACGAACCTTAACCAGCTTGCCAATAATATTCAGTGTGAAAACTGAATCTCAAGGTGGCAAGTTGAATGATGCAGACTTGGACTTGGTAGAAAGCTTGTACGATGTGGGATTCAAATTGGGAGTCGAATACGCTGATATACAGATGGACTTACCAGGTGAATTATTGCACAAAATTGTGTCCAACAAAAGATTCACCAAGTTAATTGCGTCTTATAGAAGTGAAAGTGACTGGATTTCTGCTGAATGGGTCAATAAGTACAACTTGGCTGTCGCTTTGAATGCTGATGTTGTCAAGTTGGTGGGTGTGGCCAAACAGTTCCAAGATAACTTCACCTTGGAGCAGTTCAGAGCTTCACACTCGTCGATTCCATTGATTGCCTACAACGAAAGAGAAGCTGGAAAATTGACGAAGATCACCAACACTATCTTCACGCCAGTATCTCATGATTTGTTGAACTCTAACGAGTTGACAGTACCCGAATCCAATTACGCCTACAGTCTTGTGGGTGGTTATACCAGCTTGAAGTTTTGGATTGTTGGTGAACCTGTTTCACATTCAAGATCTCCCCCATTGCACAATTCTGCGTACGAGAAATTGAAGTTGCCATATACATTCGACCGATTTGAGTCGTCTGATGCTGCCAAAGTTTTCAGCACTTTGATAGAAAATGTTGACGACTTTGGTGGATTGGCAGTGACGATGCCGTTGAAAATCGATATGATGAAGTATGTAAGTGAATTATCAGTCTCAGCCAAAGTCATTGGAGCCATCAACACGGTGATTCCACTTGCGAGTCACCCAGGTAAATATTTTGGTGACAACACCGACTGGGTTGGAATTAAGAACTCGTTTGTCAGAGATGGCGTGCCAAATATCACGAACATGCCGGTTAATGGTCTTGTTATTGGAGGTGGAGGCACCTCGAGAGCTGCTCTTTTCGCGTTGCATGATATGGGCTGCAAAAAAATTTATATGGTGAACAGAACGGTGCTGAAGATTGTTGATATCAAGAACACGTTCCCAAGTGAGTACAACATTGAGATCTTGGACTCTATGGATGCAGTATCGAAGGCCGATCCTGTTTCCATTGCTGTATCATGCGTTCCAGCGGATAAGCCACTTGATTCGAGTATCGCTGAGAAAGTGTCTGCCATCTTGGAGAACGGAATTGCCGCAAAGGTTGGGGACTTTGTGCCTTCGCTTCTTGATGCTGCGTACAAGCCGGCAGTGACTCCCATGATGGAACTTGCCAAAACCAAGTACCACTGGAATGTAATTAGAGGAGTTGAGATGCTAGTAAATCAGGGTGAAAAGCAGTTTGAGATTTTTACTGGGATAGTTCCACCGTACGATGCTATCCACGATGCCGTCTTGTCTTTGGACTAAATGACTACGTAAATAAGACAAATAGATTTCTAACACATTGATAATATTGTAGTTTATTTCAGCTCCAAATGCTCATGTACGGAAAAACTCGGTTGCAGCCAATGCGGCATCGCATCGGAAAAAAGAAAAACTTCGCACTCTAAGTCCGAACCTGGAGGGGACTTTGTTAGGCTTACCATATATTCCTTTCATTCAACACAAACCCACTTAACGATGTTGACAACATATTCTATGTTCAACATATGTGGTACTTTTTTTAAAGCAGTGGTTAACGGTTCCTCCGCTGCTGCAGTCGTTTCCAGCCGAGGTACCCCATCTACTTTCCAGTCAGCCGCGTGCATGTGTCACGCTATGCAACACAAAAGATCATTGTCTTTGTTTAACGGAGCAAGACACTATTTCCTATCTCGAGAACTGGAAGATGATGACTTGGAGCTAGAGAACCCGTACATCCAATACCCAGTTGTTACGCGTGATCAAATGAACAGAGTGGCTATTGATAAGTATAAGTTTGATTTCTCCTACGCATCGTTCAGTTTTCATTCCACAAAAGGTGAATCGGCCATCCACTCTTTGTCTGACTTGAGTGATCCTACGCTGTTGAATACCTTGCTTCCTCGCCGAAGACCGCACGGGTCTCCCGCCGATACTTTGTCTATAAAGGCTGGAGATGATGCCATGTTAGTCTCACCAACAGTTTTGGGGGTTGCAGATGGTGTGAGTGGATGGGAGAGCAAGGGAGAACACTGCTCCTCGGGCGTGTGGTCCAGATCCATGCTTGAAACTTTGAGCCGGTTGTTGACGGAGTACAAAATTGCACACTACCCTCACAACTTGAACAAAAGAGACATAGACCAGATCATCGATGATTCTTACTTGCACACCTCGCATCTTATGGACTTGCAGAATTTGAATGGATCTTCAACTCTTGTGTTGTGTATGTTGAGTGGAGAGTACTTGAAGATGATCAGTATAGGTGACTCGAAGTTGTTTGTGATTCGCGATGGGCAAATCGTCAAGACCAACGAAGAGCAGTTAATTTCCGAGTTATGTCCTAAACAAATAGGAACACAGACATTGACACAGTTGCCTTCAGAAATGGCGTGGGTTGACGCCATGAAGTTGCAAGAAAATGATGTGATTTTATTGTGTTCAGATGGTATCACCGATAACCTTTATGAAGATGAAATCAACAAATACTTGAATGAGTATTTGAACGAGCAAAACTTGGGGTTGAGGCAGGCGGCCCAAAAACTCTTGAGTAAGGCTAAAGAAATTGCGTTTGACGATTATGCCTTCACTCCATATAACGAAAAGGTGAACGCATTACCGAAGGAGAAATTTGGTAACAAGTCGAGTTGTGGAGGTAAGTTGGACGATATGTCCATATGTTTGGCCAGAGTGGTACCAAACCAAAACGGGGGTCAGGTTAAAGCATAGTAAATCTAATTGGGCTAAAAGGATATTTATAGAGTAGTATTTCTAATGCTACATTAATAGTAATACATTTCATGGTAATGGATGCGAAAAGTAAAATACTTGAAATCTTTATTATCTATATGCAATTATGAACTCAAAGTTGCCATTTCAGAAAAGTACTGTCTCAAAATCAAGGAAAGCATTTCTGGAAGCTCATTAATATCTCTTACCACCACGTAGAACTCGAAGGGGAAGCTATCAAGGTACTTGTCGACCTTCAACACGCTTTGACCATTGCTGTCAAACTCATATTTAACCTGGGACATATCCAAAATCGACTCATTGGAGTTGATTCCGTCGATGACCACAAACACAAGCATGATCCTTGATTCTCTGGCCTTTCTTACCAAAGCTTGGATTGTTTCATGGTCTTCGCAAACACCATCCGAAATGATGATTTGCAACTGCCATAAATTACTGCTGGAACTTATCTTGGCATTTTCAAAGATACTCAAAGACTTAGCACATAAGTTCTTGATATCGGTCCTGGTTTGCTGGAAATCAAAGTACTGGAAGATTTTTGCTCCGCTTTCTTGGTTGCTGAACGGCTTTTCGAAAGGATGAACAACCTTAACATCTTCACCAAATCTAACAATCGATAAACCACCGCTCTCTAATTGAGTCAAAGCTTTAGAAACCAAGGCAATTGAGTGGAATGCCAATTCGGTAGACTTACTTTCACTCATAGATTTCGAGTCATCCACAGCTATCATGATTTGATATTGTCTCTTGGAAGGTTTGGTTCTTCTCAACCAGATCTTGTCTTTTCTGAACTCAGAGGCAATGTATGGAATGATTCTCTTCATATTCAATCTCTTTCCGGTCTTATAGTCACCTTTTAATTTGGTGGCTAGCGTAGGTTCAAGAATCAATCTCAACTGTTCACATAACCCGGAAGCCAATTCCTGAGTAGCAAGTTCACTGTGACGCCATAAGTCTCTAGCAACATCCAAACTCATTGGAGGAACATCGTCTTGGGTAATAGCGACATCTTTATCGTTGAGATCAAGCTGATCCATTAAGATGTCTTCGTCCAACTCGTGATTCATAAGTCCAGCTTCGTCTTTGACCTTGGTTCTGTCATTGACAAAACCACCCTTAGTTTTACCCTTAAAGTCGGCATCTGCATCGTCTTCGTTGACGTCCTCAAGGTTTTCATCCACTTCCATACCCTCAGCATCCTTATTTTCTTGCTTGATTTCAGGCTCTTCCTCAATGTCTTCTTCCATATCATCATCTATAGCGTTGTTGTTGTCTATAGATTGGACCTGTTCTTTGTCAGCAGCTCCTAAAGCTTGAGTGTCGGTATTGGTGTTTTCACCTTCAATGTGTTCAAATTCATCAGGTCTCTCACTGGCTTTATCTTCAACTTGTTCCTGTTCTTTGGAAGCTTGTTGGATTTCCTGGTGACGGCGATGGAACTCTTTCAATGCGTCTCCTAACTGTTTAATCGACTCTTTAGCCATCTCATTTGCCTCATCATTTTGTGGTGCTTCTTCGGACTTTTCCTGTTCTTGTTCTTGTTTGTTGGAAGCGGCTCCTGATGCTCCAAGGTCGTCTTGTTCATCAACCACCTGGTTATCAGCTCCTTCGCCCTTTTCTCCTGCTTCTTGTTTAACAGCAGATTCAACATCAATATCATCTTGAGCTTCATCGTTGTTGGCACCATCAACTCCTTCGGCAGTTTCTTGTTCCTCTTGGTCTCCTCCGCCTTCTTCTTCCTTTTGCTCGTTTTCTCCCAAGGCTTCATCTTCACTATCCATGGCTTCTTCATCGACATCCCCATCTCCTTCGTTCACCTCATTCCCACCTTCTTCGTCATCTGCTGCTTCTTCATCGTCGACTTCATCAGCTTCTGCTTCAGCTTCTGCTTCTGTTTGTTCTTCATTAGCGTCTTCAACATTTTCCGTTTCTTCTTGGTCCTCTTTGAGCTCTTCGCTATCTTCTTCTTTGGTTTCATCAACGTCCATGTCATCAAACTTATCATCATCTTGCTTTTCTTCGTCATCTCCATCATCATCACCATCTAAATTCATGTCATCTGGGAGCTCCAAAGCGTCTGTTTCAGGAACAAAATCGTCCATTTTTTCAGCTTCATCGTTCTTAACATCATCTTCTTGTTCACCAACATCCTTTTCATTATCTGCTTCTTCGTCATTGTTCTCTTCGTCACCTTCCTGGTCATCAGCGTTTTCTTTGTTTTCAGGCTTTTCTCCCTCTTGGTTTTCTTCTTCATTTGCAACCATATCGTCGGGGTTTTGGTTAGACTCAGGAACCTTGTCAGATTCCTTCTCCTTGTTATTTTCTTTGGCTTCTTCGTCCCACATCTTTTCATCCACTTCATTAGGATCCAAGTCGTCAATATCATCGACTTCTTCATCCATATCTTCTCCTTCATCGTCTTCTTTGTCGGTGTCATCTTGGTCAGAAGCATCTTCAAGATCTCCAGCCATATCACCGTCCATCTCAACAGCATCATCGTTTTCGTCCTGTTCATCTTTGTTATCATCCTTTTCTTTATTATCAGTCTGGGCTTGTTCACTCAAATCTTCGTCATCTTCAACATCATTCGAGTTGTTTTGTGCACCTTCTCCATCTCCCAAACCAGTTCCATCCTTCAAGCTATCGTCAGTCTTTTCTTCGGAAGGAGCTTCTGGAGAACAGAAACCTTTGGTTGCTAAAGAATGGAGGATCGAGAGGAATATGAACCCGGCGTGTGAGGTCTTCACATAGTTGTCTCTGGCATTATGCAAGATCGAAACCGTTAATTGCAAGTAATGCTTGATGATGGGCATTGAGAAAGCCACCATGGCTGAAACAAGCTTGGAAGTAGTGGAATTATGCTCAATGGATTCTATTAATACCATGACACTATTCATCTTTTTCAAGATACTCTTGTGGTGAGTAGACTTGATATAGTCCAAAAGCCGGGCTTGTACAATCTCAAACCAACCATCATCTGCCTCGGTTACCTCAGTACTTTGTGCTTCTGTGATTTTTTGAATCACCACAATGACACTATTACTGAGCCCTCTGAGGTTTGTTTCAACATCTTCAACCAATTTGAGTTCAGAAATGGTTGTGGATGATTGTATGAACAAGTGGATGTTTCGGGTTTGTAACCAGTTGAGGATCATGTTTGCAATGAAACCAACTTTAGCGTTTTCCACAGACCATGCTGATAACTTAATTTTCATGTCATCAATGAAACTGCTGAGGACCCTAATATATTTGGTGGTTGCTGTTGTGCTTATTTCATTCAAGCTGTTCAACTGATGCTCAAATTCACTCAACTTAATCTTAAATCTGTAGAAAATATCAGATGATACTTTATCGATAAATAAAGCAGAAGAGTTTAAAGCATCAATAGCCAAATCCAAAACTCTTGGTAACCAAGTGAAAATTCCTCTGACTGTTTCAAGATTGATTTTAGTGGATTCCACCATGGTCGTTGGTAAGAGAATTTCGTTGGAATCGTATAGCTGGGCAGCTGCTCCAAACGAGTTCAGAATCCGTTCAATCGCTACAACACTTTCAGAAAGCTGAAATAATGGCTGACGAGCAACGAGCACCGTATACACAAGATTTTCTGCAACAGCAAATCCCTTTTCTATGTCTGGTTGAGGAACATCATCAGGCAATTGAAGCACAGCTGATTTTAAACGAGGCAACAAATCAATGATCCGGAAGTAGTAAGCATCACTGCCCTTCAACAATGTGCTTTCAAAGGAAGTACTTATGCTGAGCAATAAGTTACTACTAGTTTGAGACTTCTTAACTTCAGGTTTCGAAGTGGTCTTTAATCCAATTCTTCTGAGCTCTTTCAAACAATTACTCAATAACTTGGCCTTTTCGTTCTTCAACGATGCAATGAGCTTCTTCGACTCTTCCTTATAAACAGTCGGAGTCTCACTTCTGAGAGTCGAGGACTCTTCTAATATTTCCTTTGCATAATCATACAATGTTGGAAGTTCTTCTTCGGTGATTCTCTTTACATAGACTGTCATATTCTTGTCCACCAAGGAAATATCTTGTAACCGCTTGGGTCTTTCACTCCACGTTGAAACTTGAGAGCTGATAGTCTTAACTGCTTGAGTGTCGATGACATCACCCTTCACAACTGGAATTGGGGTTTCCGAAACGTGAGTCTTCAATTCTTCTGACAAACCGGGTTCAATGATCGTTGACACAGAAGTTGCCAAAACACTTCTGTACTTTCTCACAATCTTATAAAGACTGTTGTGAGAACGACGAGCACTTTGCTTAAGTGCATCGATATTGACATCTTTCCAGCTTGCCAATAAGATAACTTCATTAATGGATTTTTCCAACGACTTTCTTTCGGAAGCCAACTTATCTTCAATCATACTTGTGAACTGTTCGTAGAAGGTAATGAAATTGGAGATAGCATTGTAGGTTTCTCTCTTTCCATCAATCATCAACACATGTTGTCTGAAGGCCCTCAATAACAGTAATCTGAACTTGAACTCTCCAAAGGTAGTTTGACTGATGAAGATATTTAATGCTGATAACAAACTTGTAAGGCTTGTCTCTTCTCCAGATATTAACGGAATAATGATGGTTTCAAACAAGTGAAACCACCATTTACCAATGTTCACTTCCAAAGCTTTGTCTTCATGGTTAAAGAGTTCTTTCCATGTAGATAACTCCAATCTTCTCCATGACACGATAACAGTGGTCAACTGATCAAAGTACATCTTTAGAGAAATTTTTGAATGGGCGTATTTCTCCCATTCAGAGATAAATGTATAGATTTGTTCGATCTTCTGGAGCTGTCTCGCAATAGGAATATTCAATGGATAATCCAAGAACTCGTTACAAACTCTGTAAATTTCTCTCAATGTTGCATGATCTGGCCACTCGTTCAAAAGCTTCTTCGTGAAGGAAATAATCCCTGTCACGATTTCAATGACTCTTCTGGTTTCTTTGTGAGACGATTGTCTGTAAAAGTTAAAGTCAGAACCACAGTCCTGGGTGAAGTTCACAAATGCTTCACCAAAACTCAAGACAGCATTTACGTATCCTGAAGCCTCGTGATTTCCTGACTTAAACTTAGACTTGGAGTCCAACAACGATGATATCAAGGTGTTTCCTTCCTTAATAATCTCATTCATACTGTAAGTTTGGTCTTTGGTGAATGCAGAAATGTATGACTTGGCTATCTTGTAGTAGATTTCATCAAACGACTGAGATGAGTTGACGGATGTGATATCCACTTCCATAACTTCCTCATAATCAGGAAACAAAGTTTTGAAGTCCTCTTCGATATCAACATCTGGGTCCTTATATTTGTACAAGCTCTCACTTTGTATGTTCTCTTCTGTTTCTTTTAACTTACGAAGAGTCCATCTGTAGTAAAGAGACTGTAAAGCAGAATCAAGGATAGGTTGTGAAATCTCCGCTCCATGAGCAAAAGATACCATCATGAAGTAGCACATAACTCTTTCGGCGACTTGAGAATCGGGTTTCTGTCTCTTGGTGAACTTTGTGAATTCACTGAATAACTGCTGAAACTGGTTGAAGTTACCAATGTGAGAAACGTTTGTAAGAGAAGTCAATTCAGCTTTGTATATCCCTTTCTCTTTGGCAGCAGCTGTGATTAAATCAAATCCTAACTTCATCGACAAAACGTATCCTTTCAAAATATGGTTCAAATCAGAAAACCTCTTGAAGTTGGAATCCAAACGGAAAAGAAACTGAGAAGAGTTGTTTTGGAACATACTCATCAACTGTTCAGTTTCTTGTGTCAACAGTTCGGCTGATTCAAGAAGCATTTCCACTTGCTCAGCGTTGATTGAAGAATCCATAAACGCACTCCATTCTTCGAAAACACTGTCGAAAGGACCAACTCTGAAAACCCTTGGTTTTAATGGTGCTTCCATGTCCTTCTCGTGTTTAACCACTTCATAGGCGTGGATTTCATGTCCACTCAAAACTTCACCGGTAACAGCCCAAGAGTTGACCAATTCTTCAGTTCTTTTCTGTTGAACTAGAACTTTGTCGTAGATAACGTGCTCTTTAACAGCAGGATCATACGCTGAACTTGGTAAATATGATTGGATAGCACCACAAGCAAATAAAACCCACGCAACTCCCAATTGTCCCTTAGAAGTAGACTTTGTGACTATCTTGAAAGCTGGTTCAAAATAGGTTTGGAATACTTGTTTCACTGGTTCTGGCAATTGGGTGATCAAAGACTCGAGAGCTTCAAGGTTTGGAATTTCAACCTCTTCGCCATTGATTTTGGCGATTTCAGAGATCCACCGAAGTAATAAATCTCCAAATATTCTCTTGATGTCAGCAAGCACATAAATCGAGTTACCGATCAAGTCCTTGGTGAGGGCTTTCATATCCTGTAATTTCATGTTCAAAAATTTACCAGAAGTCTCATTAAATCTCACAGACTTCACCAACGAATTGGTGATTAAAGTATCGTTGAATAATTCAGGCACTATAGTGTTGTATTTGCCGTCTCTAATGTTGCAAAGGTTTTCAAAAATTGGTGGATATGGGCTGAATAACTTTGATTTCTGATTAACAAATTGAATGGTTGGTCTTGCAGCCAAAGAAGACATTCTGATGATATCCCCGGAATCTCCTCCATCAATAGTTTGGCTAGCTTGAACAAACATAGACAACAAATTGTACTCGTCTTGGAAATCATTCTTTCTCTTTACAGAAAATGTTTCGGTTATAGCCCGAAGCTTTTCAACACCCAAGCTTAAGTTGGAAGCCACCGTTTCGAACTCCTCGTTAGAAATAGATCCTTCAACAATAGAGTTGTAGACGCTTAACAAAGACTGTTTGAAGTCTGCAATTTCTCCAAGACTATTGTAGTCTTGTTTCACTGCCACTGTGTCAAACTCAGAGAATATGACGATCAACTGGTCGAGTTTGGTCCAATTTTCATCACTGTCAGGATACCCTCCTCTAAAGTTTTCCCATATTTTCTCCATTAGAAACCCGGTTTTGAGCTGCAACATATCCGAAAAATCTTCAATTGCACTCCTCAAGCTGATGATCTGATCTTTAATAATCATTTTTGAGCAGGCTTCTTCACACCAAACAGAGAGAAGGTCTCTATAAACTCTTATTTGAGATTCGTTTTGTGAGTGAGAGGCATCCATAAGACTCTTTCTGATGATGTCAAGATTAAACAAACTCTTGAAGATTCCTTCGAACTTGAAGATCTCATCTTGAGAGGCTTGTCTGAATACCCCAATGAAGAAATCATTCACAGCTTTCAAGAAACCGTAAACATTCAATCTAGGAACGCTTTTGATGTTCCTCCCCAAATACGCAGCAGCAGACCTCTCAATATAGCTCAAGTCAGCCATGCTTCCATTCATAGCTTTCTGTTCAATCTGATTGAGTTTCTTTTGAAACTCAAGCATATCACCAGCAACCTGAAAAAAGAAGATGGGTTCAGACGAGCTGACAAAGGTCTTTTCTTCTGATAATACCGAGAGAATCAACGAGTTGATAGCAGGATTGATTGCCTGGTACAGCGTATAAGTATCATCCAAGATGGGTTTGTATACCCCATGTAATGATGATAAGATATTGAAATCTCCGGCGAAAAGGTCTTTTCTTTCTTCAATCTCATTGACATAGAAACCGTCAGCATCTCCAAATTCACTACAACTGTTGACCACATTGACCCATCTGTCCAATCCTTCGAACATACTAAATTCAAGCAAACCACAGCAAACGGAGGCTAAGGAAGTCGATTGGACGTTCAGGTTGAAGATATCATGCAACTGAGCGTAAACACGATCCTTCGAAAACACCCTTGAAATGTGCTGGGTAACGGGGTTATTGGAAGTAGCCGATGCAATACCAAGAACCCGTTTGTCGAATGACGTGGCTCTCTCCTCCAATGGTTCCAAGTATAATTCAACACCTCTATTTCTCATGGCTCTTGATAACTCTCCGTACTTAGGATCCACTGTGAGAAACAACCTGAAGTTTGGATGTGGTTTCAAGATACGAGGCAGCCCATCCTCCAAACTACACTCGTTAATGATCAAAGATCCATTGGTTTCAAGTAACGAATTGAGTCTATCCAAAACAGACGGACTACAAAGATTAGCATTGTCCAAGATCAACCAGTCACCCTTTTCGACTGCTTGCACCAAGAGACCATCAAACCATTCGAACTTGACGGAAGATTCCTCCTTCATTTTGACAAAAATCACTAAGGATTCATCCAATAACAGCTTCAAAGTGGAATCTGAGTATATAGTCACAAACGACTTCAAAAATTCAATCACCATGTCGAAGTTGGAAGTGTCTATTTGCTTGTTCTCGAGGAACCCAAAGAACTCCAAGGCATGATGGGCTACCAATGTGTTTCCTTCTTTAGCTTGCAATGCTGATAAGATCAACACTTGCAAATTATCCTTCAACTTAGAAATGAGCGTGGTAACGGCTCTGGTCAAATCAACTTGCTCGTATCCACCCAAGATATCCATGCTATCGACATCACTGTTCATAGCAAACTCTTTGAGACGGGCTCCCACAACAGACGCCATGTACCTCACTATTTCAGTTTTACCTGAATTAGAGGCACCAGCAAGAATCAAAGGTAGGTTGTGTTTAACACATCGAAGAGCTGCTTCGATGATCTTATAGTTACATTGAAGTGCAACCGACCGAGTAGTATCCTTGTACTGCACGGTCTTTGACTTTTCCATTACTGCAAGTCCCGACTGAACATACGTAGGGGTTTCGTTGAAGTAGTTGTCTCTCGAAGCAATCTTACCAAATACCGATTCAAACAATTCAGTGGCCCTTACTCTATCATCTGAAGCTCTGAATCTCTGGCAAATAATCATGTGGAAATAATCACTAGGGCTAATGTCATTGGTGATGGCCTTGGAGTTGTAAAGGTCTAACCATCTAAGGGTATCACGCAAATTGAACTCCCATGGCCCACCAGATGAACCCCAAGATTTCTTCACCACCACCTCTTCTTCCAACTTACTCATGAATCCAATCATCTTAGAGCTGATATCGAAGTCCACTTGAGGATATAAGTGTTGGGAAATCATGTTCAAATCCTCCTCTTTCAACACATCCACGTAAACAACCGTGAATCTGTTGACAAAGGACTTGGGTAACCCCTTTCTTCCACCTCCTTGGTATTGAGGATTCTGAGCAGCAAACACGGTGAAGTCAGGGTGGCAGAGGAAAGACTTGTCCAATTCTGGAACATAAGCTTCACCACGGTGATCTAAACAGGCATTCAAACCTTCTAATACCGACTGTGAAGCCAAGTTCATTTCATCCAACAACACCCATTCACCCTTTTGCATGGCTCTTAAGAAGGGAGCGTCTCTCCAGACAAATTCACCCGATTTCCCACCTTCAGCTGGCGTATCAGATCCAAAAAGATCGATTAAATCTGTTTGTTCAGACAAGTTGATCCGGATCAAGTCGTTTCCAGTGGCCTTAGCAATGGCAGAAATCAAACTGGTCTTTCCGACACCGGGACTACCTTCCAACAAGATCGGTTTATGTACTTGCATAGCTCTGATCACACGCATGGCATTGGACGAAGTGGTTGGAGCGTGCAATAAGAAATCGTCAATAGGATTGGAAATCACTCTTGGAATTGTGAAAGATCCAGCTGATAAAGTTTCAGATTCCAATGAGATTTCAAAGTCGGACAAGTAGGTGGGAAGCAAGTCTTCACCAGCAAGCTCCGACAACTTTTCCACCAAAACCACCTTCTTCTGTTTCAAAATTTCTTCGTTTTCAGCCAAATATGCCGTGTTGTTTGTACCTAATGCGTCAATGAACACCATGGCAGCTCCGTGCAAAAGAGCTACGTTGGAAGGAATTTTGTCACAATTGGAGTTAATGAATTGGACCCAAGCCAAGATATCACGAAGTGAAATGACACCTGAGGTGACATTACCACTGCCGTAAGTGAGTCCATAGTACCTGGAAAAGTCGACAATTGCGTCGGTCAAACCAACCACCTCAGGATTCAATTTACTTTCGACAATCTGTCTCACGTCATCAAAGTTATCCATAGAAGGAACCCAGATTTCTGTGAATCTGTTTCTCAAAGCTGGTGACAACTCTTTCTTACCATAGTCACCACCGGGATTCATTGTGGCTAAAAACTGAAACTTGTCGTTGGCAACTATGAAAGAATCATCAACACCCTTTTCAGCCAAAAGTAAACTTCTTTCGGGTTCGAGCACAGAGTTTAATCTTTCCAAAACAGAATCATCGGCTAAAGCGATTTCATCCAACAAGAACATTTCTCCTTCGTTCATGGCGTGAATCAACGGACCATCGCTCCACTCAAACAAAATCTTGCTGTTGACGATATCTTTTTTGATCGATTGCAAAAGCTCTTCTGCGATTCCATCAAAGCTCTTCAAAGAATTGAATTTGGCAATGCAATCGTCCAATTTGACTTCTTCTAACGGAATCTCAACTCCAAGTATGTCTAACACTGAAACTATGTTCTTGAAGAGCCTGCTTCTTGTCTCGAATCTATTACGAACGGGTCTTTGTGCACCCAAAATGTCACTTGTTTCGGTGTTCTGATGAGCATTGACAGTGATTAGATTTTGGCCCAAAAACTGAGAAATAACCTGACAAACCGTTGTCTTCCCACATCCAGTTTCTCCCACAAGTAACAAAGGTTCCTTATATTTGATGGAAGTGAATACTAAAACAGCCAATCTTCTCATAGCTTTAGTCCATACAATTGAAGATTCGATATTCATCAACGCCTTTTCTTCCAACTTATCATAATAGGCATCCATGTCCAACTTGACACGCATGATTTTCTCGATGGTCTCCTTGACAATCAATTTTTCGTCCTCTTTTCTAACCCTTTCTGCCAAAAGCATATACCCGTTTGCAGCCAATTCCTCATATCCTATAGCTTCTCTGAAGGCCCATCTGAACAAATCTCTCAACGTTGCAAACGAGTTCTTCTGTTCAAACAACCGGGTAGACTGTCTTTGGATGGACAATTGCTTGTACACTTCGACAATTTTCTTACAGTACGAAGGAGCAATCTGGCATCTTTCTTTTAAGATAATCTCAAGTTCATCTTGGGGAATATCGTCAAAGTGCAACTCCAAAAATCTGTTCCTGAAAGCTCTGGATAACATCTTTCTTCCACCGTAGAGACCAGGAGGGTTCTGAGTAGCAAACAACATAAAGTCTGGATGTGGGTGAATTACTTCTTGCGTTTCAGGAATAAACAATTCTCTGTTATCATCCAACAAACGGTTCAATGCTTCCAAAATGTCGGTTGGGGCAAGATTCAACTCATCCAAAACAATCCAGTATCCGTTTCTGATAGCTTCCACCAAAACCCCTTCTTTGAAAGTAAGCTTTCCTGTCGAATCGGAAACGTAAGTTCCAATATATTCTTGTAAGTCAGTATGTTCATGGTTGTTGATTCTGACAAACTTATGTCCGGTTATATTGGCCAAGTAGTGGATCATAGATGTCTTACCGGCAGAGGTAGGACCTTGGATCAACACTGGGAATCTTCTGATGGCCGTTGCTCTCACCAAATTTAGCATGTTCTTCTCCACAAATGGAGTGATGATATAGTTAGGTTGAGGAATAATTGCTTCTGGACCATGATGCATCCAGTAGTGCTTGAACTGGACATATGCTTCTGGGTTGGACTTGGGAGCTGGTGGACTTTGGGACATTACAGATTTAGCATTCTTTAACTTGTTGATAGTATATTTTTCAATGATTGGTTTCAACAACTGCTCTGATTTCATGTCCAAAAGGGTTAAGAAAGACATACAAAACCCTTCATATAATGATCTTCTTAAGCCATAGATTGATACGATTTCCACCACATATATCAATGTTCTTGTCAAAGTACGAATACTGAAATGAGGTTTTTGGTTGGCACCATCGACAATCTTGTTTGACTCAGATAATTGCTTTGCTTCCAAATATAAATTGGCAATATCGTGGGCAATAAGATCATCAGTAACGCTGAACCTGGCAATGTACTTATCGATAATTGCCAACAAATCGTTAAAGTCTCTGTCAGGGGAATGGACATAAATTTCGGTGAATCTGGACCGAATACTCAAAGGTAAGTCTCTCTTCCCCACGTCTGTGGATGGATTCATACACCCAAAAATTCTAAATTCTGGGTGGGCTTTGATAGGTTCAATGTCACCCTTTTCACTCAATAAAATGGACCTCTGATCAACAGACTCTGCTAATAAATCTGCTATGCTTTCCAAAGTATCAGATGAAGCCAAGTTAATTTCATCCAATAACAACCAATCTCCGTTTCTTATGGCATTCACCAATGAACCTTCGACAAAATTGAACACGAAACTGTTGTCCAACGAAGAAGACTGAATCTCAAAGTCATCAACCTTCGTTCCAAACTCCACCCATTTATCCAACAAGATCTTTCTTTCATGGGATCTCAATCTTCTCTTCTTTTTAGGTTGGCTGCTTTCAGTGTTACTTGGATCATCAGACTCTGACTCATTAATTTCTGCCGTCAAGAGCTCTTTGGACATCTTTATGGCCTCATTCCAAAGCTTAATGACGTTCTTCCATTGGTTTCTGTTGAACACCTTTGTTAAGATGCTCGAGAACTTTTCGTTCTTCTTTCTAGAGAAGGTGGTGATGAACAAGTTTTCAAAGATCTCTTGGAGTGGTAATGCTATGATCTTGGTGTTTACTGGTTTGTATCCTCCCAATAAGTCACCCGACTCTGTCTGTTGAGAAACATTGATGACGGTCAATTTCTTGTTCATCAATTTTGCAACCTGCTGAACAACAGTAGTTTTACCGGTACCGGTTTCACCAACCAATAATACAGGCTCCAACATCTCTATCGACACACAAATCTGTTCCATCAACCTTAAAGAGTGGTTGGTGGTAGCAAACGATGTGATATTGTTGGACTTTTTGGATTTGTTCAAAGCATTATCAATATCTGACTTGGGTAAAATAGATCTACCGACTTTCAAGTTGGACTCGCTATTCATGAACATAGGAACGTGCTTTGTTAAGAACAAGTTGATTCTTGAAGGAGGAACTTCTAAGCACTCGCCAATAACATTGGTTAAGGGAATCAACGCGTTGTACTCACTAATGGCACTACCGAAACAATCGACTGCTTCTTGGAAGAAGTTGTCATAAATAGAAGATTCGATGAGCTGATCAGGAGAGATGATGTCGTTGTTCACTAAGAGCCGGTTGCAACGTTCACAGAATTTGAACAAGTCTCTTGAAGAGATTATTCTCGGGTGAGAACCTCTGTTCAAAGAAATGAAAGTATTGGTGGAATAGACCTTTAAGATCTCATTGAAACACTTGATGAATATCTTGATCAAGTTTCTCAATAAGGGGAACCTCATGGTTAAGATCTTCAACAACTCCAACTCGCTGAGCACTTGAACTTCAATAAGACTCCACAATCTCATACCAATCAAGTCTGGAACGTTATTACTGTCATTGCTAACTCTTATGGTTGAGATGATTTGAAAGTTGTTATGGGCTTTTATCACTTCTCCTCTAGAAGGAATAATCAACTGTCTTTTTTCAAGTAATGTCAACAACACAGACAATACTTCAGTGGGTGCCTTGTCGATATCTTCAATCAACACCCATTTACCTTCTTTAACAGCGGTGGTCAAAACACCAGATCTCCATTTGAAGGTTCCAGGTTTCTCTCCCGATGTGTAAGTTCCCAACAACAACTTGGCGTCTGTTTGTTCGCCCAAATGAATCTTCACCACGGAATCTTGATATGACATTATTTTGGCCAACTGGTTGAACAAGAACGTTTTACCAGAGCCAGCCTTTCCGAAAAGTAGTGTGGCCCTGTTGTTCTGGATATTAGTGGCTAACTGCTTCAATACAGATACCGCATTGTCAGTGCCTACAAAGTCCTCTAATTGTGGCCTCTCAGCAGATGCTATCAAATGAGGAACGAGAATGCCATAAACGGATGTCACCAATTTGGACAAGTGTTGTTGTTCTATAACAATGACTTTTGGACTTGTAGAGTTGGCGACCGGTCTGCTGGCGACAAGGGCCTTGAAGTTGGAAATTCGTTTGGCCTCAACTAAGTTCAAAAACTTATAGTCGACTTGCTCACCTTCGTACTCAGATGTAAGACACGTTGAGTCCACATGGTTCTTGACCATATCATTTGTAACTTCTTCAGAGCTTTGAAGATATACAGCCAAAATTAAAACCGCCAAGTATCTGACAACGTTGAAGCTTTTGCTTTGGGTTTGGATAAAGTAATTTAAGACCCTTGGGTTGATGAACTTTTTGAATTTGAAACGGTCGTGATTGATGAATCTGAAGTAGGCCAAGAGGACCAATTCGAGTTCCTGGGGATTCTTATCATCCTTGGAGTTCGTTAAGGATTCTAATTGGCTGAAAATATCGTTCTGGGACAAGTAGTATTCTATCATATTGGTGGATTCACTGGAGATGCCTATTAATTTGGATAACGAGTTCACGACTATGGAGCTGTTGATGGAGAAGTTCAAGTCAAACAGGTGTTTGTACTGAGTATCTATATCAGAATTTTCGATCCATCTGCTTATCAAGTCGAGAAAGATGGTTGGAAAAGAATATAAAATTGGTAATGATTCCTTTAATGCAAAGAACGACAAATTGTTTAAATTGTCATTGATGGATTTGTTGGTGTCGAACGAAAACACCTCATGAAATGACCTCGAAGAATAAGCTTCCTTGTATATAGAATAGAATCTTTCGGACTCTTTTAAGTCTATAACAACCTGGTTATTCATTTTGATCGTTGTGCTCTATCTATATGAAAAAAAATAATGCTGATGAGATGCGATGCTTTTGATTTCGTTTCGCGACTGCAGTAAATTTATCTCCAGATTTTGAATTGATGAGAAGGGCTACTAGATTTGGATCTCAGCTTAAAGAGTTCATTGAATCCAAGGACATGTTCAGGGTGTTGTATCTGTCGAAGAATCCGCAGAATTCGCTTTTCGTGCTCGACTCATCCTTCAATCCACCACATTATGGACATTTAGAATTGATCAAACGAGCTGCACCTCCTAAGTCTCACATAATCCTATTATTGTCAGTCAATAACGCCGATAAGAAGCCCATTCCAGCTTCTTTCGACCAGAGACTTGATATGATCTACAAATTCGGTCAGAATTTACTTACTCATGACCTGTTGAACTATACTATCTGCGTTTCCAAGTCGCCCAAGTTTGTTGAGAAGTCCCTTGAAATCAATCAGATATTTGAAGGAACAAAGACATACTTATTGGGGTTCGATACGCTTGTTCGCGTGTTTAATCCCAAGTACTATGTGCCTTTGACAATTACGGAGGCACTTGATGAGTTTGTATTGTCCAATAATTTCTTCTGTTTAACTAGAGAAACAGAAGTATACCATCAGGTGGAGTATTTGAATGCTTTAAAGCTGGGAAAGACCGACTTGCCGTCATCCTGGGGAGACCGAATAGAACTTGCTGTAAATAAGGAAAACAACTCTGTCATCAGTTCTTCCGATATACGGTCCAGGTTCAACTCGAACTCATCGGTAGATAATTTGACTACAAGTGACATTATTGAGTACGTACAGGAGAACCAAATCTACACATGAAGGTATTAGTTGCTATTGAGTTACATACAACAAAACGCTACAAAAACCAAAGGAAAGTAAGGAGGTGGACCCATCCTTTGGCAAGTACTTTCACAGCATTCGATGTTTTCTGTTTGAGAGAGTACTCCTGGTCGTCTAAAGAGTTGTGTCGCTCGGCACCATTGACGATAGAACAATCGATCTTGCCTCCTCTGAATGCCAAACTCAACTGATCTCTGATGACTTTGTTACAGTCGAATTTGGAGTTCGAAGACTTGATTTTTGCTGAGCCTTTGACAAGTTTCAAGCTGTTGAAGTACATAGCTTCAAAATTACCCACCAACTCCACGCCTCCATCAATTTTGGTCAAATTGGCCAAAAACTCGATCTTTTGGATCTGGGTGTTGTTGATAATCATCAACCCGCCATTGATTTCTTCAAGGTTATCTAACTCTATGGTGGATAGTTGGCTGTTTTTGGTAATTGACAAAGTACCACCAACTCTTTCCAAGTTTGGAAGCTTTAACTCCTCGAAGTTGTTGTTATATATGCTCATAGACTCCTTGACTTCAGTCAAAGCGGACAAGTCGAGCTCTTCGACGTCGTTGATGCTGACGTTATTGACGGAGCGGAGTTTGGGGATGTTCAACTTCAAGGATTTTGCGTTGGAAGCAATGTGCAACATACCATTGATGTTTTCAACGTTTGAGTTCAAGACCTCCAAAAACCGGTTATTGTTGATATCCAAGGTTTGCAACTGTTCGGCCCTAAACCCCGAGAAGCCAGTCAACGAGGTGTCACTGATGATGATGTCTTGAACATCAGAGATTTCGCTGCTGAACCTGACATTTGACAAAAGTGGAATTACTCTCCAGTCAAGTCCTGTCACGGACTTTAAACTGGGGAATGAGATTAATGACAAAGATGTCAACTCGTTCATTTTGAGGCTGCCAGATATCTTTCCCAAGATAGGGGACTCGACTCTAACCAACTCAGGAGAGTTTCTGATAATCAAGTCGCCGTTGATTTCCCGCAACCGTTTAAATTCAATAATGGGGACATCTAAATCCTCGATTACAAGGTTTCCTTTGATCAGCTCACAGTGGGAGATGGCATAAAACAGCTCGATGGACTGGATGGGGTCTTCAATTTGACACTCAAAGTACTGTGTAGCATTGACAGCAATAGCCAACCCCAAGAAAAATATATTGATTAATAACATGGGAGCTGTTTGTGGATATAGTCCAAAAATGCGATTTTGCACCCAGCGCTGGACAGGTGAATTGTTGTGGTGAAGTGAGAAGCGAAGATGTCAGAAGGAAGAGATATCATAAAAGACTGGTTTCCAGCTCCACCTACACGACTGGAAGCATCACCATAGGAGAATGTCCTCCATTCAGAACCTATAGCAACCCCTCTATCGCTACCACAGATATCGCCCTAACCATAGGTTTCAAGGACATCAGAAGAATAGCTTTACAGTTGGGGATAGCAAGAGCTATTTTCATGTTTGAACCACTAGCTGAGCCTGTTTGGGTCTTCATATGAAGTGTAAGATGTTGATTATCTATATAATCACTAATAAAAACTACAACTCGTCCTTTGGCAAACCAGCAATATCGACCAACTCGGTATCGAATATCAACACTGCATTGGCGGGAATAGGACCAATTCCTCTGGAGCCGTAGCCCAACTCTGGTGGAATCGTCAACTTTCTCTTCTCTCCAGGACACATACCCACAATTCCTTGATCCCAGCCCTTGATCACCTGACCAGAGCCCAACTTGAATGACAAGGGTGAGTTCCTGTCATATGAAGAGTCGAACTTGGTTCCATCCTCCAAGAAACCAGAGTAATGAACCGACACCAAATCGCCAGCCTGAGCAGTAGTATCACATTGCACAGCGTGAACGGTTTCTAGAGTAGAAAGTTAGTAATCAAATCCCATAAGTAGGTGTATACAATCACGACGTACCAATCTGGAGGTCGGCAGCGACTGCCGACAGTAATAAAAATGGTAATAAGTATAAAAGCTTCATTAAAACAAGTGTTGAATTTAGTGCGCCTTCAGTTGATAACTTTTCCAATCAAGCCTTTTTCATTTTCTATTATACATTTACCCTATATAACCATAAACTTTCAAAAGCAAATAAAATACCCCAACTTCAACAAAAACTGCAGACTTATAAATTAATTTACAAAATAACGACCTGCTTCGAGGTCGTCGATGGTGGACTCGATGACTTCGTCGTCGTCATCATCTTCAACCAATTCAATGGTGGCATACTTGATCATATCCCACCGATTCCAAAAGTTTTGGATATCTTGATAGTCGTCGGAATCCACCAAGTCCTGTAAATAGTACTTGGCTTTGGTCAAGCGATCCTTCATCTTTTGATATTGGTTTGTGGATTTATTAGAGTTAGATCTCTTGATGGATAAAAGTTGGTTATTTCTGTAGTTAGCCAACACTTTGGACTTTTGATCGTAGTGGTCCGACATGTCGGTCAAGTCGGTAGAATTGACCGAGTAATTGTCGATAATCTCACTCTTATCGTCTTCAAGTTCCTCATCATCATACTCATAATCCGAATCCTTAAGGGTTCTGCCATGGTCATCACTAGCATCATCATTATTTGTATTATTACCGTTATTGTAATAATAACTGGAACCAGCATTCGTCGTGCTGGCACCACGAGGTCCCTTCATGTACTGGGAGATCTCTCTTCTGTTGTTGTTGTCATCACTGTAGAAAACCTCATCTTCAATACATGAAGTGGCATCACAGTATCTGGCCCACGCCTCGTCAATGGCACCTACCAAGTACTCAAAGCACTTGGACCGCGAAACCTTGTCGGCCTTCGGAACCTGGACGAGTTTAAAGTCACATTCTTGTTCTTCAACCGGAACTGGAGGAGATGAGTAAGGTCTAAAGTCTGACTCCAGGCGATTCTTGGGCGAGTGATTCTCACCATCTTCATCTTCGTCGCTATACTTGGAAATGAACTTGGACAACTCCAAGTTTGGGTTCAACGAGAACGAGATTCTGGAGCTGGCTCTTCTCTTGGCTTTGATCTGGTGCAATTTGTAGCACAACTGCTCGTCGTCAGAGTTTTCGTCATCGTCAGAGCTCGACACGCCACGGGCGGTGGTATCGGTGTCAATGGCGCGGGACGCAAGGGTGCATCCAGGAAAACGGTAACTGTTAAAACAGGTTTTCTTGGTGGTAGCACCCAGGTCGGTCGCGGAACAGCTTCTCTTGATCGACTTGTTGAAGGCCTGCGAACACAAAGCCATTGTGGTCGTGCGGATGTGTGGAAAAAGGTGTGTGTACCGGAAAACAGAAACGGGCCAATCAGAGGTCGCGAATCTGGGATGGCAAAGGGGAGGAAAATTTTTCTCGATACTGAAGCAAACCAATCAAGGAGTCCAGAGAAAAACGTCGGTTTGTGGGAAAAGTAGTTATGATATAAACACCAGGAAATACGTAAACTAACTCTTCGTGATACCCGTAGTACTTTCGTATCCCTTGTTTGTGGAGGGGAGTAGTAATTTCTTTAAAATAAAGAAGTTATCCCGTGTGGATATTTACAAGAAATTGGTTAAAGGGGTGGAGATTTTTAACCAACCGAAAAAATTTGGGTGACTACCGATTTTCAGGAAACGAGCGGAAATTTAAATGGCTGGGAGCACAATTGGAGGTGCACAGGCCATGTACAGGACATTATCTGGTGCGCGCACTTATTTCCCCTTCCTACTGGGAAGATGCCACGTATTTGGCAGTGGTGGAACCCGCTAGAACGGGGTCCCACGAGCCCCAGGACGCGCGCACGCCCTGAAAAAGGGGTAAGGTTGTCTAGAATGACAGTGACGAACACGTATTGATCTAGACAGCGGTTGCGAGGGAGACCGGCTCCGCCTACTTAGACGACGATGGCTAGACGAGTGGATGGATCACATGTGCTGAGTCGGGGGGCTGTAGAGTATAGACAGGGGTAAACTCACGGACAAACCCCCTCCTAGGATTATTTCCGGTTTCAGAAAAGATACGTTTTTCCTGGCGTGGCACCTGTACAAAGTACATATCGGTACCCTATCGAACAATGTCGGCCCTGGTTGGCGACGTTGACCGCAAGCTATAGTATTTTCAGGATGAATATCGCACCCCTATACTCCATATGTCTCATGTAGATGGGGTTCAATTTCTCTCTCCTCGGTTTTCTATATCCTATCAAAGTGAACGAACAAAACGTATTCAATGACGAATTTATTAGATTAAGAATGACCTAAAACAAAGCCCATGAAGAGTCTTTGGATTTTATAAAAAGTGGAAATTCGATGTTGAAACTGCCAAAAAACGTATAGGAGTATTTGCAATTACGGTATTCAGGTGCTTGTAGTGCGCTATTAATTATGTATGAGTTGCGATATCCAGATTATGAGGGTGCATGATTCATCCAGATAACATTTTAAGAGTGAAATTTCGATGCACATAAACTGGAGTTTCATAAGTAATTAATTGGAGGGTAGTTATAAGGGTAGTAATGGTGTATTGATTGTTATGACCCACCTTTCTCTAAAGCTCTTCACTGCACTTGATCAACTACGGGAATTTTCTAGGGTTTAGGGCCTTGGTTTGGTATCGTTGCTTGTACTGGCTCCTACGCTTCGTGGAGCATGATAAGCACTACGCAATGTAGAAACCTACAGGCCTACTTTTGTACTATTAGTCGATACACAACGAATCTGTATTTTTGTGATTCAGTCAAATGTTTCCAGATTCTTACGGCGTTCACTCCACTATCATTGTCCTCTACAACCCATCCTCTGTTCGCATTTTTGCAGCCAAATCGTCCATTCATTATACATACTACAACTGCCGGGCAAACTCCTCTGCCAGGTTGAAAAGCGTCGTGAGACCAGCCCTTCCCTGGTTATACATCTGCCACACCCCTATAGGCGTCAAGTTTAAAGGCCCAAAGTTTATCTGATTCTCATACTTGATATCGTCAATGTCATTTTCGTACTCACTCTCCAGCTCATATACCTCCAGTACCGAAGAAACCTCACGAGTGGTCTGCGACCACGACAGATCGGCTCGACTCATCATCCGGATCGCCAACCCAAGTAGCTTGTTGAAATTGTTGTTGTTGACCACATACATCTGGTTGGAGGTGAACTTCACATAAAGCATCTTGGAAAACGGGATTGAGTACCGAATAATCAAAAAGTTGAGCTTCACCATTAGCATCGTCACCACCTCGATCTTCTCAAACATCCCCATGTTGTTGAGAGCTTCTTCGTCAATTTCCTTCAGGAGTTCTCGTGAGAGTTTCTGGTATACCTGAAGCTTTGTGGATTCGTCCATCGAGGTAAGAAGTTTATTAATTTCAAACTCTGACTACGCGTTCGTTTCGGCCTCTAGTTTGTACACTTCCTCGAGATCGAGGCTCTGATGCTCCACGTACTCCAAATTCTTGTTGATTAGCTCATTGAACTTCTGGTTCTGTTCATTGAGATATCGGTTTATCGACTCGTTGGTGTAGAAGCCATCCGAGTCCTGCTCGGTGTCGCCCCCATACCCGCGGCTGATGTCGTTATATGCACCGTAGGAGTCCCCCCACGAGTCGACGTCCAGGTTTCCTCTATACCGATTGTCCAAAAGCCTGGTATGAATTTTCTGGCGAATTGAGCGGCACGATGTGGTCTCAAACTCCAGCTCGTTCAACCATTTTGATCTATTGGCCCCGTGTGTACCACCACCCCCGGATCTACTGTTCTGGGTATAACGTCCCATTAACCATCTTATCATGGTGTTGTAGTAGTTGCTTTGAGTAGATTTCGCGATGGTCTGTTTCATGGCCATGTGAAAATGCACTTTAGGCGTGAGTTCGCAGCAATTATAATTATCAATCATGTTGAACTACTTGATAAAATCATTTTTGAACCGTTTCTTCAAGTTAGAATATAACTTCACGGTGGATGACCCCTACTATGAACAGGTCCCCATCAACCCCCAAAAAAATCGATTTAAAAAAACTCCCAGACGCTTGCCTGACAACTTATCTGCCAATGATGAGAGGCTCCTTAAGAAATTCAAGACAAGAGCCCACCGGTACGACATGGCGTTCTCATTTATCGGGGTTCCTTTTGGAACCGCCACCATTTTCCAGCTAGTGCCGGTTGCTGGAACAATTTACACCACCTACAATTCACTCCAACTACTTTGGCTCACCAGAAGCTTTACAAACGGGTTTCCGATCGACTTGTTTCTTATGTGTTTGTTGAACATTTTGGTAGATTTACTCATTGGATTGATACCTATTGTGGGAGATCTCATCAATATCGGATTCAAGGCCAACCTGAGAAACTATGCTATTGTCAGACGCCATTTGTTCCAAATAAGCGACTATAATAATGGGATCATTTCCAAAGCCGCTATTCGATCTAATTTCGTGAACAATCGGTTCAATTGGTTCAAGGAGAATGAGCCGGTTGAGTTGAAGAGTTTGGCAGCGCCATTGTCGAGTAAAAGTTCCTCCACCACCTATACCAGTACTGAGACTGGCCCCGTCACGAGGCTGCGCGCGGCTCGCCTGGTTGTATCGAGTGCTACCGCGAGCACTCTCGGGCCAGAAGACATTGATCTAGAGACTTATTGAGCAACTACTTCTGGTTCATCTTTGGCCTTGTATATTCCTTGACACTAGTACGTTTGTGCGATATACTCATTCCAAGAAAGTATATTCTTTCATTTCACTGTTTCCATCTTTTACTCATTCACTCAAATTCATTAATTTTGCAGCTATTAAATTTGTAAAAGTCACAGATCCGTGAAATACAAATATATGAAACTAAAAATAAACAAAAAAGCTCAAAAAACCCCCAGAAATTCAGGTTGAGCTTCTGTACATACTCTGACACAAATGCTGGCCAATTATTACCCTTAGGCCAAATCAACTCCAACTATGTGCCCGTTGCAGTCGGCAACCTAGGCGATGCGCCGCGATCAAAACTCGCGCAGTTTACTCGCGACCCAGCCCAGATCATTTCAAATCCACCACCATGGCAGAATCCCAAGAACTCAATTTGGTGGAGCTACAAACTATCCAGAGCAGCGCCGTTTCTGCCAGCTCTATAAACTCCACGCAAGCCATTGCTGAAGTGGACCGAGATAAGTTGAATGACAATGAGAGTACTCAACTTCCCACCGAGCAGGAACTAAAGCCTGAACTCGCCCAGTTTATGACTGCTTGCCAACAAGGTAATCTTCATCTTGTCAAAGAAGCGATCGAGTCGAAACATGTCACGAGTGGTGAAACCTTTACCGATGGAATTACCGGGTTGCATTGGGCCGCTATCAACAATCGAATGGAAACTGTAAAGTATTTTGTGGAGAACACTGACATCGATGTGAATGTGTTTGGAGGTGAGCTACAAGCAACTCCGCTTCACTGGGCATGTAGGAATGGGTTGGTGAACATGGTGAACTACTTAGTCAACCATGGGGCTGACCCTACCTTAAGGGATTCTCAAGCATACAATGCGTTGCACTTATCGGTGCACAGTTCCAATATCATGTTGGTGATATACATACTTTACAAGTGCTGTGGGTCCAACGGCAGCATCTATGTTGACGAAACCGACAGCTCGAACAGGACCAGTTTGCACTGGGCCTGTTACCAAGGAGACATTTTGACGGTTCAAGCATTGCTCAAGTTTGGTGCTGATGTAAATAAAGTTGACGACGGATTATTTGTACCCTTACACTGGTCATTCATGAAGGCATACAAGCCGTTGTTGAAGGTTCTTGTAGAACATGGTCTGGATCTTTTCGCTAAAAATGATCAGGGTAAGAGCTCGTTTGATGTTGCAAGAGATATGAACTGTTTGGATCTTTGGGTTAAAGCGTTGAACGAATTGAACCGGCACGAGAAGGACAATTGGCAGGTACTGAAGTCTTTATTTGGAGATAAAACCAGTAAGCTTATTGTCTTTTTCACTCCTTACGTGGTTTTGCCAATCATGTTCAAAATCAACTCCTTCAATCATGGATTTATGATTCCAAAGCTCTTCCTCACCGGCTTGATGATGGTTCCCATCGCGTATGTTTTGAAGAACTTCGTCATCAAAGGGATTGTTCCTGATCGGTCGTTGCTAAAGTCACCTTTACTGAGCGGAATCTTTTCAGGAACGTTGTTTTGGGCGATTTTGCTGTTCTGCTTCGAGGTGTTTCCGATAGTAGCATTCAAGAGCTTTCGATTGTTTATTCATTCACTCCTTTTGGCTGCATGCATCGTGGTGATATCATACTCATTCTATAAATCCATGGTATTAAACCCCGGCTTGGTGCCCATCACCACTGACCAGACCAAGATCATGGCCCAGATCCACGAATTGATCAAAATCAATAGGTTCAATCCAGACAACTTTTGTGTCAACATGTTGGTAAGAAAACCATTGAGATCCAAATACAGTCACTATAACAAGCGATTGATTGCCCGATTTGACCATTTTTGCCCTTGGGTGTACAACGAAATTGGTGTTAGAAACCATAAGATCTTTATATTTTTCATCTACTCGTTGAATTTGGGGATCTTTTTATACTCGACTTTGGTGCTCAGCTACTTCAAGTACGCCAAACCTCAATTAGAAACCCGTGATGGCTATGATTCTGACGATGAAGGCGAATGTTTATTCTTTGATGACGAGATGTGCAAAGGTTTCATCAACTTCAACTTCACCTTCAACTTGATGGTTTGGTGTTGCTTCCAGTTCGTGTGGGTATCATTCTTATCGTTAACCCAGACGTTTCAGATCGTAAAAGGTTTAACCACCTACGAATTTGCTACGTTATCATCACCTGGATCACTTGGGGAACCAAAGAACCCTTTCAAAGTATGCCTCAAACTTCTTGGAATTGACCAGTTCATGTTATCAGCAAAAATGAGTATCATGTCGTTGCTTAATAGGAATGTAGATGATTTCCAGAATATCGAATCAGATATTCCGTCCGATTATGGAGTCAAACAGAACTGGCTAGATTTTTGGGTTCTTGGAGACATCAAGTTTCGGAACGTGTTCTACTTACCACTTGAAGGAGAGAACAATTTGAACGGACAGTTGGTTGACTACTATACGCTTTATGACTACCCTAGCAAAAGCCCTAGCCAACTAGCTTAATACACTGTATCTATACAATCACAATATTTTCCATACATGTACTTGAATGACAACACGCAAGTAGACATATAGAAAACAACATGAATAAACATATTGTCTCTATAACGGGTGGCCGACATCACAACATATGACAAAAGTCAAGTCAACTTGTCAGACAGCCACTTATACCCACCCAATACGAAGCCTCCCGAAAGAGTATGAAGTAAAGGGTCAAGATCATCGCTCCTTTGAAGACGAAAATCCTCACGAGGAGGAAATTCATCCATAATAAAGGCAAAAATGAATAGATGACCGGACCACAGAGGATCACAGACAAGCTAAATCGTTCTCACTTTGAGGGTATAAGGGTATCTCACTCATCAACCAAGTTGGATTCAGTGGCTCTTTTGAAGAGTCAAAGAGAGACGTGACCTATAGAAATGATCCTATGAAGTACGTCGACAGAGAAAAGAAAAAAAAACTAGAAAGCGAGGGAAATCGCTGGTGTATTTATACCCATTTTCTCAAGCTCCCGCGATGAGGTCGTGCAAGGCGCCAGATGGCCTTTCGCACCACGCCCGCACGACCGGCCGCGAATACGCTTGGGAAGCAGGTTTGTGCATAGTGACTGCTATACAACCCTCTAGGGCTTGTACCAATTCCTTCTAGACTATGTTTAAACTCAATGACAATCACTTCAGTAAAGTCAACTGCCCGAACCATCGAGCTGGTCACACGTGCGATATCCTCAACTGTCTTTTCCGCCATCCGGAACCCGCGTCAGGCGCTACAAAACGATCCATAAATGACGAAGAAACGGGTTTTAGTGACAACAAACGTCAAAACGTATCCACCTCCGACGATGTGCTCGTGATATTACCCCGACCAGTTACCCACATTGAAATCCCGCGTCCCGAACGAGTCGTCAATATCAAACGTATTGCTAACACCCTCACCACCGCAACTCCACAAAGAGATGCCATTGCTAAAGAACTCGAGATTGCAGGCCAGTCCGAGTCACATGATCAGTACACCCAGAAAGTTGACTTGTTGTTGAACCCCGACAAACCAGTTCCACAGGACCCCGAATTTGTGCTTCCCAAGCATATGATATCACCTCCAGCAACCATTCAGGTCCGCAAACAGAACATTTTGGAGTTGGTGAAAGCCATCACCCAGATGAACCCGACATTCGAGACCCCTAAACTCAAGGCCATCGACCTTGAGTTTAGTATCGCATCGTCCACATCGAAGCACACGTATATGCACAGCATCAAGCGGAAGATATATGAGATCAAGAATCCTGCGAAGTTGCAAACACGCACCAAGGAATTAACGGATGACGACTGGTATCGAGAGCTTGCAGCCCTTGTGATCTCACTCGACACCCTCAAGAAGTACGGATACATCACTGAACCTCCCGAACCACAAACACCTGCTGCTACACAAAAGTGTAGAAGGTGCGGGCATGAGTTTGAACTCGCCAAACAGATGACACCCATCCACTGTGCGTACCACTCGGGGAAGTCTGCCAAGCGAGATAGGAAACGGGTGTACGGGTGCTGTGGTGCCGAGGTGGGAGATAATGAGAGCTCACCGTGTACATCGTCGAGCCACCATGTTTTTGGGTGGGAAACCGCCGGTGAGAAGCACCATTTCTTACCATTCCAATACACCCACGATATTTACAAACCTAGTCCCACCGCGTATAAAGCCATTGGGATCGACTGTGAGATGGGCTACACGACTCAGGGGTTCGAGCTTTTGCGGATCACTGCCATGGATTTTTTTTCGGGTGAAGAAGTATTGGATGTGCTCGTCAAGCCGCTTGGGGAGGTGGTGGATTTAAACACCAGATGGTCAGGAATCGCCGAAATCAAGGCCGATGCTCTTAGTTTCGCCGATCTGGTCAGAACCGTGGGTGAGATAATGGATCCCAACACGATCTTGATCGGACATGGGCTTGAAAATGATTTGAATGCCATGAGGCTCATCCACCATCGAGTGGTGGACACAGCTATTTTGTATCCCAAGCTCCAGACGCTGCCCACGTTTCGGTTCCCCCTCAAGTACCTCACTTTCAAGTACTTGGGACGTAAGATCCAGGGCGGTGAACATGATAGTGGTGAAGATGCGTTGGCAGCCATTGACGTGGTTAAATACTTTATCAAGAAGGACTATAGGTAAATGACGTGCGCGCACGACCCCATATCGGTGCTGCATTTTTTTTGCAGTCGCATTCGTAGATGTTTCTCCTCACCTGATACACATCTGTTCAACCAAGTACAAGATCATGGCGTACAGCGTGGTGATTTTGGTGGGCGGTGAAACCACAGGAACAAGATTCCGGCCGTTATCAATAAACACCCCAAAAACCCTTTTTCCGATTGCCAGTAAACTGCTTATTTCACGTATCATCGATAAGTTGATGTCACACCTTCACCACTCCATTTCACAAGTGTTTTTGTTAGGGTTTTTCAAGGACTCGGCTGTATTTGAGAACTACAGTCACAAACTCGCGGGAAAATACCCAACTGTGGTGTTTGAGTACTTGTCGGAGGCCAATTCCAAAGGTACTGCTGGAGGATTGTACCAGTATCGAGACAAGATCTTGACCCCCGAATCTGAAGGATTGATCTTTGTGCACGGTGATGTGTTCTGCAATTATCCATTCGAAATGATGTTTGATCAGCACATCCAACAGCGCCTGGGGGTGATGGTTTTGGGGGTCAATCCACTCTTGATCCCGGATTTCTTTAGAAAATACTTGAATATCCAGGCAGATGACCCAGTTGCCCTGGAGAAAAACAGCATTCTTTCGTGTTTTGGAACTATCATCTCAAAGAAAGCATCGGATTCAGTGATGCACTATGTGGAGAAGCCTTCTAGTGAGTTTTGTGTGCAATTCGACAGTGAGTACGATGTGTTGATCAATGGGGGTATCTACATGTTTAGCAAAGATGTCATTTTGAATTTGTTAGAGGTGGCGCACATAAGGAAAGAAACAGAGGAGGTCACCGGCAAAGGAGATAACATTTCGTTGGAGATGGATATTTTGAGATGGTTGCCACATCAAACTTATTCGTTTGATGTGTTCAAACATCAGGATTATTGGTACAATTTGAAGACACCTTTGTCAGCGTTATTGGCCAACAGCGCCTTTTCGAGAAATTCAAATGGCTGGAATGATGAAGCTGACCAACTTGATCTTGAGTACACTAATCCGTATGTCACCATTGGTAAGAATGCTACTATTGGCCGTAACGTGAAAATTGGCAATGGAGTCAAAATCGAAAACGCCATCATTGGAGACAACGTTATCATTGGCGACAACAGCTATGTTACAAATGCAATCATCGACTCATCGGTGGTAATTGGTCCCTGGTGCCGGATCGAAGGCTCGATCAACAACTCCACCATCTGGAATGATATAAAGCATTCTCACTCAGCCGGTAACATCCAGAATATCCACAACTTGGTGGTCTTATGTGAGAACACACACGTGTCTGAAGGTGTGTTTGTGTTTAATTCCATCGTATTGCCCCACAAAGAGCTCAGTTGTGACATCAAGTATGAGATAGTTATGTAATCTATGTAGCGAATGTAGGGTTTTACTGATCCCGAAATAGCTTGTACCGGGGAGTGCTAAACTCAGCAGTTGATTTCTTGCACGTCGAAGACCGGCCATTTCGACAGTAGAATGTTCCGTTGATGGGGATGTTTACTTCAAGTGCCTCCACGAATGTACCATCAAACAGCTTATCAAACCGTTGAAATCCGCAAGATTCAGGGACTTCAATTACTTCTTGGACGTGAACTTGGAGGTTCCATTCTTTCATTTTCACTTGAGAAATCTCTTGGTATTCTACCAAACACTCGAGTTCAGAGTTCAATGCGTGGAAATTGTAAAACTTGATTTCACCAATTTTGGGAATTTTCAGCCCCAGAAACTTCTTCATGAGGTTCATTTCTACCAGTTTAGTTAATGGGTCATTATATTGGTGAATAAACAGGGAAAACCCAGCGGTGGGACTTAAAATCACTTGGTATTCCGGGTTCAAGTTAATTCTGCACTCGGAAGCTTCGTACTCTTTTTGTACAATTTCGAACCCTTTGACAAAAAAAGTGATTTCGGTTCCTGTGATACACTTCTTCTCTGTATCTTTATCTCCGATGTAGAGTTTGGCATGGGCGTAATCGGGGAGGTGGTACATTTTTTCGAAGGAGTTTTGTAACCGTTGGAAGATTATGGATTTGTCGTAGCGTAGGGCATTGACCACCAAGATGGGATGTTCTTGTAAGTACCATTGGAAGGATACACTGGTGCCGAATAACAGGAACAACAACACTGACAACTGCAAAAACTTGGAGTTCATTGGATATCGGCTGCAAACAAGATTTACACAGTGGCTGCGAAATCACAAACAGACGCGGGTCGGTTTTTTTGTATTTTGACAAACCGCGTATCGTGAAGTAAACTTTCACAAGTAATACGCTCTTTTCTTATCCATGTCGCTGACAACAAAAAAACCACAGACTCCCAGTATAAAGAAGACAGCGACTGTTACAGGCTCCAGTGGTTCTGCCAAGATGAAGCAGCAGACTTTAATGGCGTTTTTCAAACCGGCAAAAAAGCCTGTCATCAACTCATCCCCCGTCAAGAAACTAGACATTGACATTCAAAACGAGAACAGTGACAGTGATAAGGAGAACGACTCAAAGTTCATGGAGGATGTAACCACCGATACTCCCTTGACCTCTGAAATGGATATCACGGTTTCAAAGTCGGAAAAGACTCCTCAGTCGTCTCCTATAAAGCAGAAGGTCGAGAGAAAGCAACAACCAGAAAGCGACGAATTGCAAAGGCTGGTAGCTAAAAAGGTCAACTACTTGGAATCTGAAGATGAGGATGATGATATCGTTCCAACCAAGAGGAGAAGAGTTGTTGAAAGCAGCGAAGAAGAAGATGATGACGAAGACGATTTCAAGCCTCATGACAGCGCAAGTGACGATGATATGAGTGATTTCGTTGTGGAAGAAGAAGACTCTGAACCAGAACCCGAGCCAGAAGAAGGGTCTGATGTTGAGGATATTGTTGAAGCACCCAGAAAGCTGAGCAAACCGAAGATAAAGGCCAAAGTTACAACCCCTCAACCAAAATCTGCTGGTAAGCCTTCCATGTCGAGCGATTTTGCCCAGAAGTTTAAGACTGGATCCACTTTTGTGGCTACCACGCCTCCTACAACGACGGTGACCACAAAGTCAAGTTTGTCGAGCAAAAAAGCATCTTCATTTGCTAAAGAGAATGAAGAAAGGTATCAATGGTTGGTGAACATTCGTGACGCTGAGAAGAGATCAAGTGAGGATCCAAATTACGATCCTAGATCATTGTATATTCCTCAAGCTGCGTGGTCGAAGTTCACGCCTTTTGAAAAGCAGTACTGGGAAATCAAAAGCAAAATGTGGGACACAGTGGTGTTCTTCAAGAAGGGAAAATTCTACGAATTGTATGAAAATGATGCCGTAATTGCTAACAGCAAGTTTGACTTGAAGCTTGCTGGAGGTGGAAGGGCAAACATGAAGCTAGCTGGTATCCCCGAAATGTCCTTTGATTACTGGGCCAAGGAGTTTATCAGTAATGGCTATAAAGTAGCTAGAGTTGATCAAAAGGAATCGTTATTGGCCAAAGAAATGAGAGGTGGAGGATCCAAAGAAGAGAAGGTAATCAAAAGAGAACTTACTGCGGTCTTAACAGGAGGAACCTTGACAGACTTGAACATGATTACTGATGATATGGCTACCTACTGTTTGAGTATCAAAGAAGAAAAAGTCAATGACAATGATTACAAGTTTGGAGTGGTGTTTGTTGATACTGCAACATCTGAGTTGAACTTCATTGAAATTGAAGACGACAAGTACTGTAATAAGTTGGAGACTCTTATCACACAAGTGAGGCCTAAAGAGGTTATTTGTGAGAAGCACAATTTGAGTTCCCTTGCATCGAAAGTATTGAAATACAATAACTCCAATCAAATTTGGAATGCTTTGGATCTGTTGACCGAATTCTGGGACTATGATTTGACCTTAGAAAAATTGGTAAAGAGTCAATATTACCCAGGCGAGGACTTGGATGATTTTTCAAATTTTCCTGAACTCTTGGTTGAGTTTAAGGACAACCATCAGTTGGCTTTCAATGCTTTTGGTGGCTTGTTATTTTACTTAAAGACTTTGAAATTGGATGAAAGTATAATGACCTTGAAGAACTTCAAGAAATATGACATCAACAAGAGCTCCTCCTCACATTTGATTCTTGATGGGATAACTTTGAACAATTTGGAGATTTTGAATAACTCTCATGATGGTAGTGACAAAGGTACACTTTTCAAGATGATTAACAAAGCCATTACTCCATTTGGAAAGAGAATGTTAAAAACATGGGTGTTGAACCCATTGTTGAATGCGGAAGACATTAATGAAAGATTCAAATCTATTGAGTTTTTGATGGGGGATGGGGCTGATTTCAGACAGACTTTGGAGTCGGGATTAACCGGTTTACCAGATTTAGAAAGATTGTTGGCAAGGATTCATGGAGGCAGTTTGAGATTCAAAGACTTCTTGAAGGTGATAGAAGGATTCGAAAGAATATCAAAGCTAGTTGATAATTTGAGAGAATTCACTTCCAGAGAAATGGGATCGCTTCACAAGTTCGTTGGGGAATTTCCTTCCGACTTGCATGAACTCATTGCTGAGTGGGAAGATTCCTTCGATAGAATTCAAGCTTTGAGTGACGTCATCTCTCCTACTAAAGGAATCGACGAGGAGTTTGATGATTCCATGGACAAGATCAACAATTTGGAAAGTCAGTTGAACACTTATTTGCAACAGTACAAAAGACAGTACAAATCCCAAGAAATATGTTTTAGAGATTCTGGTAAGGAGATTTTCTTGATCGAGTTACCTAACAAGATCAAGAATATTCCTAAAGACTGGCAAACTATGGGATCAACATCCAAAGTAAAGAGATATTGGTCGCCAGAAGTCAAGCTATTGGTGAGAGAGTTGCTTGAGCAAAAGGAGTTGCACAAGATGGTTTGTGACAACTTGAAGTCAAATATGTTCAAGAAATTCGATACTCACTACAATACTTGGTGCAAAGCTATTGGATCCTTGAGTAAATTAGACTGCTTGATATCCTTGACTCGGGCCTCAGAGCTCATTGGGTATCCATCTTGCAAGCCCAACTTTGTTAATTCATCGAATGGGTTCATCGATTTCAAAGAACTTAGAAACCCAGTTTACCAAGGGACTAAAGAGTTCATTCCTAATGATGTCAGATTGGGTGGTGAAGAACCCAAATTCTGTCTCTTAACCGGAGCCAACGCAGCCGGAAAGTCTACGATTATGAGAACTACAGCTTTGGCCGTAATTTTGAGTCAAATAGGATGCTTTTTGCCTGCCTTAGAGGCCACGCTAACACCGGTGGATAAAATAATGACAAGATTGGGTGCCAATGATAATATCTTACAAGGTAAGTCCACCTTTTTTGTAGAGTTATCAGAAACCAAGAAAATCTTGAACAATGCTACTCCCAAGTCTTTGGTGATATTGGATGAGTTGGGAAGAGGCGGATCTTCTGCCGATGGATACGCGATCGCCGAAGCAGTATTGTATCAGCTTTGTACACACATCAACACCTTGGGATTCTTCGCTACTCATTTCGGTAGTTTAGGTCTTTCCTTTGAAAACCACCCCCAAATCAAACCCATGAGAATGGGCATAATTGCCGAACAAGACTCTCGAAACATTACATTTTTGTACAAACTAGAACATGGAGCTGCGTCCGGATCATTTGGAATGAATGTGGCATCTATGTGTGGCATTGCTAATGAGATTGTTGAGAATGCCGAGATGGCTGCTAAAAACTACGAGAGAACTTCCAACTTGAAAAAAATGAAAGAATTCAATAAATTAAGTCTCGGATTACAAAGTGATTATTCTTGGATAATGAAAGATACCGATGAGTCACCAGATGATAGTTTGTTCAAATTTGACCCCGAACAAGTATTAGTGAACATTTTCAAAATGATTCAATAGAACAAAAATCACCAGATTTGATCGCACCATTCTCAATGATCAATTTTCTCCAGTTTAAACACCAGGGTTTTTTCTATATATTTCTACTAAATACAATACAAACAAACGTTAACGATGTTGCTGAAGTTGGGATTGAATACTAGAGCTCCATATCATCTTATGATATATTCAATTGCGTTTGGAGGCTCTGCTTTCTACTCATTCTTTGCCAGTCCAATTGCTTTCAAAGTGTTGAAGAGAGAAGAATTTGGGGTATTGCAAAACAGCGTTTTTCCCTACTATTTCTTGGGTCAGACCATTGCACCTGGATTATTGGCATTGACCACACCATTGACATTGTGCCCATTTACTTCGACGTTATTGGTGTTGTCCACTGTGTCTTCAGCCATTAATCTATTCTACTTGTTGCCAGTTTGCAAGGATATCAAAGAGAAAAGGCTTAAATTGATTGAAGTAGGTTTGGACTCCATTGATGGAGAGCCAACTGAAGACTTCAAAAAGTTGACCAAACTGTTTGGAATCCACCACGGTCTTTCATTGTTGGCCAACTTCACGTCCATCGTGACTCTTGGTGTCTACGGTTTGGTTTTGTCAAAGAGATTGATCTAGTATGTAAAAAGATAATGAATATTTTGTTTTCACCTTCAGTCATTTTTCTTATCAGATGGCACAATAGACTGACTGAGCAATGGATGCACTTTGTAGATAAAACCGTAGATTATTCCTGCAGCAGTGGTGGCCCAAATCCCAAAGTTGAGTGCCAACTCGCCATACAGCATCTCAGGATTATCAAGCAATTTCTTCATCACGTATACATAATGGAACAATACCAACAATACACTTATCATAACTGCCCCGCAGAGCTTGAGGTCCTTGACTAGCTGGGTATCCCAGTACTCTTTCAACAGGTCTTTGGAGTATTGGTCTTTCTCATCCATCGTACTAAAAAATTGCTAGTCGCAAGCCCATTCGCAATGCGATCTCGCTATTGAAGTGGTCAGAGGCACCAAGAGAGTTTAAAGGCACAGCTTTTGAAGAGGAAAAGACATGGAGGTTGATCTAGCGAAATTTGTTACAAATAACTAAGATGTGTGTGAAAACATGCAAAATCACTTTCCCAACCCGGACTGCCCGTTTGCAACCAAGCGCAAGCAATTCGCTGCTCGCCATATCTCAAAAAGTTTCCCAAGGAATCAACTCACCATATTTTAAAACCATGTCAATGAGATTACCATCGTCGTTTGACGACGCCCAAAAGTCAGAGGAGTATGTAACCACACCACCAATATGTCTGTCATGCGTTTTTGTATGAAAAAGCTATTGGCAGACTCCATTTGAGTGTACTTTACTAACAGCACCAGCGAAATGGATGTTATTGAAAAGATGAAATTCAAGTGCAAGCAACAACCTTTAGTTCCTATCGGAGCTTTGGCCACCACAGGGGCCATCATAATGGCTGTTCGATCAATCAGAAGAGGCGATAGAATGAAAACTCAGATATACTACCGGTACCGGGTTGGATTCCAATTATTCACATTATGTGCTTTAGTGGGAGGGGGATACTTCTTCCAACTGGACTCGGTTGCACAGAAGAAGACCCGTGAAGACAAGTTGAGAGAGAAGGCCAAGTTGAGAGAACAGCTTTGGATTGAAGAGTTGGAGAGAAGAGATGCTGCTATTCAAGCTCGTAAATTGAGAGCACAGGAGAGTAAAGAGGAGTTGGAAAAGATAGCCAAAGAAGGGTTCAATGAAGAGAAGTACCGCAAAGGCTTGGAGGAGAAGGGCAAGAAGACCAACGAGTGACCTGTAAATAATAATGAAATGTATATAGTAATGCAAATGAACTATTCAAGTGTAACTCAAACACAGAGTTATTCAAATGTGATTTGGAAATAGCTCTTTTCCAGCTCTAGTAGATGCTCTGACTTTAAGTCTATGGAGCTGTCTATATTCTGGATATCGATGGTATCTTTCGAGATGGGGATGAGTTTTTCGCTTTCAATCACATGTCCGGTTGAAGTAACAACAAAGTTGTCGATGGAAACAATGTCAGCCTTTAAACCAAGATCCACAGACTCAAGGGCAATCACAGAAACCACTTGATCGGTATCAACACTTTTAATATAGTCTATCACCTGAGAGTTGAGACCGTTGATAAGAAACACCAAATGTTCAAACTGGTCGAACCGTACGTCCACTTCAGAAGCTGCCTTGTCAATGTCGTAAATAGGCATCTCAACTGTTATATTGGACTCGGTGAAGTTCAACACCACACACCGCTTATCTGAATCGATCAACTCTTGGACGAGCAGAATTCTTTCAATTATATTATCGTCACCCTGATCATCTGAAAGGCCTGTTGGCTTGGAAAAAACTGTGGACTTCATCGGCAACCTGGCCCCTTTCAATAGCACGGGTGCAATATGAAGGGGGATACTTTCATTTATAGGAAATCGGAGTCCACTGCTGGAGCGACTCTGGAAATCTGTCTGATATTTGAGTCTTTCTTGTGGTGCCATGAACGGGTACAGATCGACCAACTCCGACTGGTGAGGTTCTCTCACATGTGAGTGCAAGAGAAGTAACCTCTCTTGAGCTCTGTTCAACATGTGGTGCAAAAGTGAAGGATAATATAAAACTGGTGATGAAATCAAGCGATTGCAAAAAGCGAGAGCGAGCAGGGTTTGCTCACTTCACGTGAGGTGCAACACGTGAACAAGTCTAAAAGAAATATTATTTTGACTATAAAAGTTAATTATCAGACCCATTGATATTGTATAGTTTCTGGAAACGGTAGATATCTTCCATCATATCGGTAATTCCATGGTTAGCAGCTAAAGACGCGGAATCTTTATTGTTGATGTTGTTTGAGTAGACTGCTTGAATTAAAGATTGGATTTTAATCAACCCATCTTTGGAAACCAAGTCATTCAAGCTTAAGACCAAAGAGGGAGAGAAGTCACAGTACCACCGGTGATTCCACACGAATAGTTTGATACAGCATTCCAAAATTTTTTCGTTTAGTTGATTAACTTGTTTGCTTGGGTTCAGTGGGTGAGAATTCAATTGCACTTGCGACTGGTTCATGGAGTTCTTCAACAAGGTTTTGGTTCTTTCTATCTGGTAATATCTCAACATCTCCCTGGTAGACCTAGCAGAGAACCGGCCACTTAGAGCGTTGGCAAACGCAATAGAGCCCTCTTTATAGTGTTTTAATCTGAAGGCTATGGTTCCCAAAATCTCCCATTCCAAGGTCGTTTTCTTGTACTCCATTTGTTGGGCTTGGAAATGTACATATTCTGCTTGCCACATGGTGTAGGCTCTCAAATCTTCGTATAACAACATGAATAAATTGTCCAACCATCTTTCACATAATCTCTTTTTTCTAAATTCCGTTTCGAGGTTTTCAGCATCTTCATTCTGGTCCAATGTGACAGCCGAACTATTATCTTCACCGAGCAGAGCTTTTGGTGACTTCACAGCAATGGTGGAAGAAACATCCTCGGTTTCGTTGGTATCGACGTTCAAGCGCGAGGAGGAAGATCCGTTTCTTTTGTGGTCACCATTCTTTTGGCCGTTGACAACTTGGGCACTACTGGACTTGTCCTTTCTGTACTCCTCTTCCATTACAAACACCTTGGCTCTGTACTTCAACAACGATTCCCAGCCGGTTTTCACAACGATATCGGTCAACAAGTCATAGGCCTTTGCGAATGTCGACTTCAAATTAGCAGCCGGGAGGTTTGACAACTGCGGATCCAAATTTCTCTGTTCATACGTGACTTCGTTTATTTGCAAGTTGGATACTTCGTCCAACACAACATCAACAGGCGAGGGCAAGTGGAGATCATCGTTGCCTTTCAAAGGAACCACTCTTTTCAAGGTATACTTCTCTTTATGTGAGTTCATCGGACACGAGTTTAACGTCAATAAGGCATTTTCAAAGTCGTTTAACTTTGTGTAGACTCTCACCAACATCGACCAGGACTTGAAATCGGCCGGTGAGGATTTGACTGCTTGTCTGGCCAAGTGTAAAGCAATATCGTATCTCTTTTTATCGATACAGAATTGGGCTTGGAGCAACAACAAGTCCGAGTCTCTCTCATTCTTGGTGATACCTTCGTTCATGATCTGAACCGCCTTGATCTCCTCATCTTTCAACAAGTATATTTTGGCGATCAAGCTAATGACACCTGACTCATTGGCGTACAATCTCCATAAAATTTCCAACGCTTTATCATAACACTGCGTCAATTCCACACACTTCACGAACCCATCGACCAAGTAGTTGTAGATCAAGGTGGGCTGAGGAATCTCGACGTTGCATCCCAACTTAGGCCCATCAAAGAACAAGGTCTCGAAACCGTCCAAGAAGTTATCAAGAACTGTGGTAGACCCAAACGGATTCTGCTTTCTGACCTCCACAAGACCACCAATCTTGTTGGAGTCATCTTCGTCACCGTCGACCAATGACCTCACTATGGAGCTAACAAACGTTTCCAACCAGAAACGATTGACCTCGTCGTCACTGTTGTGGTTCAACAACTTACCGTCGTTACTGACAATTTGATTCTCAAACTTCCCAGGAATATGGACGGTGACTCTCATGTCGACCTTCGAGAATGCATTATAGCTGCAGTATGTCAACTCAGGTACCTTCCAGTGTTTCTTTTCGCCAAACCAGTATTGAGATTTGGAAGTGATCAAGTTAGCCAAGGTTTGAAGCTGGGCAGCAATGGAGGCTGAATTGGACGTATCAATCCCCGTGAAATAGAGAAAGGTGCCGACCTCTGTTTTTGAGTTGACCGATTGTTTGTGGATATTACACAAATCGGCTGGTCCCAAGTCATAAAAGGTATAGAGCCTACCTGTTCTTTCGATCAAGGAAGAACCGATGTATTCTTCTTTTGCTCTATAAACACGTTAGTAATGAGATTGGCAATGCAATGGAACACGAGGTATCCATTGATGGATGTGTACGTACTCGGGAATCGAAGAGATAGTAGTATGAAGCATTCACTGGTATTACTTAGTTTGTTGATTTATTTTCGATTCGCATTAGCCTCTTTTTGAAAAATTACGCACCGAGTGGAGTAGATATATATTACAGTGCATGTGTACATAGTGAGCACGACAGGTGTGGAGGGTCCGTAGTGGCTGAAGCGTAGGGTTCGGGTCCATGTAGAGTACGCCCGTGGTGAAATGGGATACGTATGTTCAGTAAGGGCTGAAATATACTCAAGTATCACCTGAACGTGAAATCAGGTATTCACTGAATGGATAGATTCATGCCCGTGGTCGTTTCTTACCAGGCTCATCCTCATCTTCCTCATCCAAGTCATCCCAGTTTCTCGCCGTCAAGCAATTCTTTTCTGGTGGCAAGTTTAATCCCCATCTAGGCGACACTTGGGGTAATGGCTTTGAATTTCTCTCATGGGCCAACTCCAACAACAACTCTTTCGGAGGAGTCGGCTTGAACTGGTAGTTTGTGCGGGCGGCTATGGCCAACCGTATATCGTCGGTGTTGACAGTGGTATTTGTGTTGGCATTCAAGTTGGTATTGACGTTGACGGGTTTTGCATGGTCGTTATACGTCAATGCATCTTTCAAGACCGCCTTTGTGTATCCTAGAGCGTTAGTAATGTGCTGGGGGAGGTGAATGGGATGAAATAGACATACGATGTGCAAAGTCCATGAGTTGTATGGGAACATGGTCTTCGTAGTTCTGAATGCCTTGAGTGGCGAAAATCAAGTGCAACAACCGCACGTCTCGGGGAACTATGGACAGGGGTTGACCAAGCAGCCCATCGTTGGCGCTGGTGCCATTCTGTAGTCTTTCTGCCATTGTTTCTTCAGTGAGTTGGAGGTTGAGTTTTTAACTTTTGTTCGCGCGCTTGAAGGATACTTACAATTATGGACCAGGAAGCAGAAGTGATAGAGAACCCAGATAACTTGGAGGTAGTAGCCCCAGAAGACGCTCACGTCATCGAGCCTCTCATTTTCAAAGACAGGGAGGTGGGAAATTCGAGTTTGATAGTTCTCAACCAGGAGATACATCTGATTGACCTTGAGGGGCTTTGGCGCAATACAAAATTACACATATGTGCTGACGGAGGTGCCAACAGGCTCTTTGAGTACTGGAAAAAGCACCAGCGCACAGAGGAGTTTGTACCCGACTTCATCGTTGGTGACTTGGACTCGTTGAAGGCGGATGTTCAGCAGTTTTATGAACAACATGGTTGTATTGTGATTCCGCAATACACCCAGTACGCCAGTGATTTCATGAAATCCATGAGGTTGCTGATGATATATTTCCAGTCAGAAACAACTAGAGGGCTACTCTACGAACCAATTGAGTCGAACAAGGGCTTGGAGTTCATCCAATTGGAGCCGGCACAGGTGTCGGTAGATATGTACATTTTAAACGGGTTGGGGGGACGGTTTGATCAGACAGTTCACTCAATAAACCAGGTGATCCAGCTCGCCCAGCAGTTTGTGCAAAACAGTTTCCGCTTTATCACCCCCGACGATATTGTGTTTCTTCTTCGCAAGGGAGTCAACTACATCAAATATCCGTCTAAACAGAGTTTTGGGTGTCAAGGGAACCCAGTGTGTGGGATGCTTCCTTTGAACACAGAAGTGGTGTTGAACACCCGGGGGTTGAAGTGGGACGTCCTACACTGGCCCAGCAGCATGGGAGGTCACGTGAGCTCCAGCAACGCCTTGGTGGGGATTCTGGGAGCCGTCATTGAGTGTTCTAACGACATGATCATCAACATCGAGCATCTGTTTAACTAGGTTCAACTCGCGCTTTTTTTGAGAAGCAGAAAAATTTTCAGGAACCACCACCATGTTGAGACCAGGACTCTTTTCACGTATGGTGAGTCTGAGCATAGGGGCGGCCAGATTCATGAGCACAACAAGCTTCGCACGTCCTTCCTCTGGGATGATTTTCCCTGGGTTTAAACTCTTCCAGACCGTGAAACCACTGTTGATACTGAGTCAAGTGAATACCAATTGGGACTGGGACACTCCTAATCCAATCTCCGAAGAAGACAACACAATGTACATGGACTCGGTGATGAGAAAGAGAAGATTGAAGATGAAGAAGCACAAGTTAAGAAAGAGAAGAAGAGCCCAACGGGCATTGATGAAGAGATTGGGGAAGTAGAGGTATATACTGTAAATAGAATGCATACATTAATGATTCCAGAAACCAGAACAAAACAGCACTAAGCATGAACCAGTTTTCAGTGAATTCATGTCCTAGGAGTTTTTCAAACAATTGTTCTAGTGGTGTTACTCACGGGTTTCTCACTGGTTTCTCGCGTCTCAATTTTGACTCACAATGTCAACCATTACCTTTGTAACAGGCAACAAGAACAAGCTCAAGGAAGTAGTGGCTATCTTGGCCGGTGAAACTGACGGCAAGAGCAATGTGGGCAAGTTCACCATCGTCAACGCTGCGTTGGACTTGGACGAGTATCAAGGAACCGTTGAAGAGGTGACGGCTCGCAAGGCCAAAACTGCAGCAGAACTCATCAACGGTCCAGTGATGGTGGAAGATACATGTTTGGGGTACGATGCCATGAAGGGTTTACCAGGCCCTTATATCAAATGGTTTGTGAATCTGGTGGGATTGACAGGATTGGTGGATATGCTTTACAAGTTTGAAGATAAAGGTGCAAAAGCCATTTGTACGTTTGGGTACTGCGAGGGACCTGGGAAGGAAGTCAGGCTATTCCAGGGGGTGACCGAAGGAAAAATAGTTGATAGCAGAGGACATACTAATTTTGGATGGGATTCAATTTTTGAACCCAATGGCTTCAACCAAACGTATGCTGAGATGGACAAATCGGTGAAAAACACCATCAGCCATCGGTTCAAGGCCTTAGACAAGTTGAGAGAGTTTTTGTTACAACAATAAATGTATACATATTAAGAGATGTGTAGATTTTTCGTATATCATTAGCAAAAGCTCAGTATGTGATTCTACTACTTTTTGAAGAAGCCAGTAACTTTGGAGAGGAAAGACTTGCTGTTTGGGTTGTCAGGGCCATTGGAAACCACCGTGTACAAGTTTTCTGGACTCGAGTCTCTTCTGTCTTTCTTTTTGTCGGCGTTGATGAAATTCCCGTATCCTCCTCTTCCAATAAAAGACTTGTTGGAGGTGACAGGATGGATTTCATTGTGTCCATCGACATCTTGCAACTTTCGGGTCAATTTGGGATCATCATTTTTAACGATATTTCCAAATCCTCCTCTTCCTGTACTGATGAAATCATTATTCAATTGTGGAGTATTGGAGCCTTGAGGAACGAGTTTTGGAGAAGGCACTTGTTTTGAGGACGTGATATTCCCGGCACCTCCTCTACCGGTAGAGTAGTAGACCCTTTCGTTGTCTGCCATTATGGAAGTGAAGAAAACAAATAGAAAAAGCTGGTCAGGTAAAAAAGGCCCAGTTTTTTCTTGTTTTCCGAAGATGCAAAAGAACGAGAAACTTCAGCCACAACGCAGGGCGCGGCACGGAAGGAACGCGAGCGCTCACTGGCGGTGCTGTCGCACCATGGACGTACCACAGTACGATGGCCACAGTTCACTCGACCGCTTAGATATCGAGCCGGAGGAACAACGACGCTATATCCGTATCGATGTCTAGGTACTCCGCGTCTCTCGCCAACAAATAGAGCAACGCCCCCCGAATTCCGTCAACTTCTGTCCCACAGTCTGGCCGATGAGGTTTGGCGGCACGCACGACCAGTTTTTCTTGGCCGGTACAAGCGAGCTCAGGTGGCTTCGTTACAACCACCACGTCAAATGGCAGTTGTTTGATTGACTTTTGGCCAAAAAGCTGAAAGATTTCCTTGGAGTACTCAGAAAAGTTTCGAGAAAAGTGCTTGAACGACAATGAAACCTTTGCTTTGGTGGCGGCTTTCAAGCTCTTGAGTGAGGGTTTTTTGACTACCACTGGCAGTTTTGCAGCCACCATCTGGAGACTGAACGGGGTGAACGAAGGTATGGGTGGGGGTTTCCTGGCGATAGTGAAAGGCTTGGGGACAGTTGTGGGAGGCTGGGGATATGATATATCATTTGTGGTGATAACTGAGGCAGGTGAGACCAATTCGAATGGTACCAACTCCTGGGACAAGGGAATAACGCTGTCGAGACTCGTGAGGTCAGGGCGGTGACGTTTGTGGGATCCTAGGGAGAGGCTGGAAAAGGATCTTTTGAGGGAGGCAAGGTCGACCATAGTTGCAGAGAAGAGAGAATATGGGGTTTATATATTTGGACAAATATGATGTATCACTCTGCGAACTCTGGTGGGAGATCTGTTTTGATAAGAGAGGGTTAGAAACTGTCGAACGAGAGATCGGCGTTGATATTTGCCAGGGCAACTGGAACTGCATCTGTGGTTTGTGGAGCATCAAGAGCTGCTAACAACCCAACACAGCTTTTGAGACAAATCGATGTCTTTAAGTTGTGCAAATCAATCAGGTGGTTGAGCTGCTCGAGTTGGTTGACGATCTGGAAGTAAGACATTATCAATGAGAGTTTGCTGAAGTTTTGTGCCACATGGTGGGGGGTGGGTGTGAGTTTCAACCGCTTCAAAACCGCCAAGTTTTGTGCCAATTTGGCCACCACTTCGGCCCTGGTACCGGGAATAGTCCCAGACCATGCCCGGAGCTCGTCATCGGACTCAGGTGGATCAGGAGACACGAGAAAGCGGTTGACGGTAGAGTTGCGAATGGGAGATCCAGAGGTAATAAAGTTTCTCTGGAAATCGCCAGAACTGGAGGCCGACCCTGAAATGGGTGTCGATAGGGGTGTCGATGCGGTGGAGGGCATGGTGGGAGAGCGTATAGTTGGAGCAGCAGGATGTGTAGCAGAAAAACCCATTGTTGCAAAAAAACCAAGTTTGCGAGAATCCACAAACCTAGAAAACATCGGGCAACCGCTCAATCACATAAGCTCTGGCCCCAACACCCATAATAGGAATACCGGGAATTTTTCTAATCCGACGCTTAAGGTCAGCATCATTAGTGGCCACCACAAAGCACTTGTGTTGCATCACCCGATTGACGATACAATCATCGGCGTAGATACCTTTGTGGGAGCAAGTGAGTCTCTGGATTCGTGGGTCTTTAGCGAGCTTAAGAGCGATTCTGTATTTAGGCCCCAACTTTTCCAATTCGGCCATCACACAGTCGGTGATGATGGGGATACACTTGGCCATGGTGCATTCCATGAGCCCGTGGATTATGTCGATTTTCTTTTGGATCGAGAAGTTAATGAAGTTTGTATCGATGAGAATTTGGTATGGAGGTTTAATGCTTTGGTTATATTGGAAGAACAAAGCGGACGAGACCTGGGGTACCGACCGGGTGAGCTCAGGGTCGGACTTTTGGGGCTTGGAGACGGACTTCTTGATGTCTTTGGCGTTGATGACACGCTTGACAGCGGCGAACTTTCTAGTTTTTTTAGCCTTTCCCATGGTGACGAAGAGATGAAGTATTTTTGCGATGAGACAGTGCGAAGAGAAATGCTGAAAAGCGCGCGCTGATTTTGGCCTGGCGCTAGGGTCGTCTGGCGGTGGCTGCGCGGTAATCTCGTCCCAAAAAATGTATTACCTACAGTTTTGTCCAAACCTAAAACAAACTAACCTAAAACTGCTTAATCACCAGATAGTGGAACCCCTTTCCGTCCACTATCTTCCAACTAAGTAACCGCTTATTTTTGATCTCAAAAACCCGCAACCGGCGGTCAAATCCATCCGGAGCCGTCGCCTGCAGCCCTGCCACCGAACTATAACAAAGCCACACCAGCCTAAGCACCTTATCACTATCGTCCTGGTGGAAAATACACCCGTCGTTTGTGTGCTCGTGGCTCGCCAGAATCACGTTGTAGCCCATCATTAAAAAATCATTGATAAACGTCTGGTCCGTTGATGTGTTCAACGGGCCCTTCTCGTTGTAGTCTCCCACGATGGCAAACTTCCCCACGGGGCGGAAGTTGGGAAGCGGATAGTGCACAAACGCCAACTTGAATGTATCGATAGGAAGATCGGGGGTGTTGAATCGGTACATCGAGTTGATCTGGTTGTTTTTAATATTATTCTGGTGGGAGTCGAGTACCAGCACCACCCCCAACACCTCTTCATCGGCGTAGATCTTGTAGTTGTAGTTGGTCCAACCGTGAATCTTGCGGGTGGTGTCAATGGTGTTGATGCAGTACGGCAAGCTCGCGACAAACTCGAGCGAGCGTACCATGTCGGGAGAGAGGTAGTCGCTCTCGCCCCAATTCACCACGAACGGCACCTTTTGCCGTATAAACACATTTAGGGCACTAAGGAGAACTCCCGTCAATTGGTGCCGTGATATCAGCTGGAACTCCACCAAGTCTCCGTTGATAATAATGAGGTCGGGAGATTCCTTGGCCACGCCGGCAGAGATTAATTTGTCGGTGTCGGAGTCGACGTAGCCGTTGGCAAAGTGGAGGTCACTAACCTGAAACATTTTAAAGCGGTGAGCGGAGGCCTTGAGCACACCCTGCTTCATGTTATGGATACGCTTGAGCTCGGGCATGTACTGGGCGGCCTCTTGGGCAGAAATCTTGAAGAAATGCAAATTATCAAGATTCAACGGCACATGGCGCCAGTGCGGGCGCTCGTCTTGGAGCTGGGTCTGGAGGCCGTATAACACGTCAATGGCGCGCACCACGGGGATGTCATCTTGTAGCTGAGCCGGGGAGATGGTATTGTACCACAAGCCGAACCCGAGGTCCACCAGCATCGTGTCACGGATGGCAAGACCTTTATTGAAGTCGATCACCACCTCGTCGTGGTCCTGTAAAACATCTATCAGTTTGTGTTTGTACACGAGGTAATAGTTGAACATGAGTGATGAATGGAACCAGAGCGACTCCACCGTCTCTCCCTCGCCCGGCACCAAGGGCCCAATGGAAGCGGCAGACAGAAAAAGTCGAGATTGGCGGGCTACCACCACCGCTGTCACCACCTTGTTGTCATTTAGAATCTCCATCTCCGGCCGCTGGAGGCGGTTAACGGGTGGAGGCATGGTTAAGAGTTTGGCTACCATTAGTAGGAGCATGAGAAGTACTGTCATTTCCAAGTACCGTCGAGATCGCATCACGGAGTTGTTTGTGGAATGGGAATTATCGATTTGCAAAGTTAGTTGTTAGAAGGGTGTGATTAATTATAGCATACGAATGCGGAAATTTGGGGAAGCGCTCCGCCTTGGAGGTAGAGTTTCGGGACTGAAGAAAGCTTAAACCGCTAAAGAGGGTTTTGATCGTTCATAACGGGAACTGATGGGGGCGTTAAAGATGATAGACGAAGTATAATTACTAGTATACAATGGGAGGTGGAAGTGTTTGGTGGTGTTTGGAGTACGAGTAGCTGGCGCAAAACCAAATATTTAGTCGACGTGCCGGGGCCAAATAGGGTAATTGTTCGCGATAGGCCCCCAATTCGGTAGGCAGATCGAGGCGGGTTCAACAAAAGCAAAGAGAGCAGTGGTCATTAAACAACCTCGGTGAATTTGTGACGGGGCTTTCTTAAGCAGACTTGCTACCTAACCCGGGGTGCGTTCCGAAGGACAAGGCGATTTAGATCTAAGCGCGCAGGATGACCAGGGTCTAGACCCGGGTGCGTCGTGGAAGTGATAGTTCTGCGGGTGCGCGTGCGTTTGGTCAACCACGCTACGGACCAGCCCGAGTTACTATGCAGCCTAGTTTGACAATGATCACCTGTTTCGGACGCACAGCGCATTCTATCACATATGGCGGTCTATAACCATACACTACGGAGATAGCGGCATTTCTCCTCGCATAGGTCAGGCCACTTTGAGGACGATTCCTGCTGTCCGGTATTAAGCGCCGCAGCGTTGACCTACACAAAGAACGAATCGTGTAAATAATAGGGCCGCTTAATGAGGCTGTCTATAAAATACCTTAACCGATAATTCTATGGGTCAACTGATAACATTTGAAACTTAGATGATAAGGCCTATGAGTATTGTTTTTATTTGGGGGTTTCAAGCATCTGGTATCTCTATTGGAGAGTATGTCACAAACCTCAGCACCACGAGGATGTGTTATCTTCCCCAAGGCGGGCCCGGCGAAGGTCTACGTAACCATCACAGTGGCTGCATAACCAACATCCAATCCGGTAATGCACTGGCATGTTTCACCACCGAAGTGTGATTTACGAAAATTTTTTGGGGGCATGCAAAAAATAAGTCGTATTTTTATTTAAGAACCTAGGGAATCCCACTTTTTTTCTCACATCTGCCATTTGGTTGTTTGCTCCAAAATGGACCCTCCTATGATGTTGCCCTATTTGCCTACTATTAATGCTCCCATTATGTACCCCATGGAGTACCAGAACTTTGGAGCTCAGAACTTTGGGACCCAGAACCCTCATTTGTCCTACAACTATAATAATAGTTTGGCCAACACTTCATTTGCTGCTGCCAATCCATTCGGAAGCGCTGCCGCCACCTACACAGCTGCAGCTGCAGCTGCAGCTGCCGCCGCCGTACCTCATCCGGGCACCCTCCAGACATCCACCGCTTACACCCCCCAACTGTTTATGGAGAAGATTTCTGCATTCTTACCAGCGCCACCACTCGTCAAAGTACCGAACCGACCTAACTTCAATCAGCAGATGCAACAAAAACGCAGTAAGAGAAAGTCCAAATTCACTGTGCAACAAGACGAAATGATTATAAACCTCAAACGCAATGGTAAGAACTGGGTGGAAATCGCCGAAATCACCAAAGTGGGGTCGTATCTTGCTGCCCGGAATCGCTACCAGGTGATAATAGGGCAACAAGGAAACAACAACTCTTCCAGCTGGAGTCTGGAATTGAACTTGGCTCTCAAGAAGCTTATCGACAAATACGAAGTTGAGAAGTGGAAATTTATTACCAAGGAGCTCAACAAGATCTTCAATCGGGATTTTGATTACAAGGAGGTGCAGCTGCTTGTGCAGTCGATGTTTGAGGCTAATCCTTATTCATTCAAGGTGAATGATGAGCTCATTCACGAGTTAGTGAAAGAGAAGAAGATTACAGACAAGGCACATGAGAGTGTGAAGAACAATGATTTTGATGATTTTTTGAATTATCAGATTGATAACGAATATAATGATTTGATGTGAATAGACCAATACATTATTTATTGGTACGGTGTTATTATGTGGAGACAATTTTTTTGATAAGCTTTGTTCGTATTTAGAGTAGATGTGAGGGCTGGAAAATATTTTATTTTTCAAATTTCTCGTGTTTGACAATAGTGAACAATAAGAAGGGTTTCGACTCGGCGTTTTAGGCTGGGAGGAGCTGTGGTAATTTTTCTTTTTTTGTGCTCGCCTCTTTTTCCATTTTGGGGCTGGGATCTTTACCCGACTCAGTGTAGCGTAAAGTTCCCAATTGTGGTTGGGTGCGCTGACCGAGGCTCTGCTGCGTGGCAAAGGTGTTGGGCGACAGAGGCGGTCTGTTGACATTCCAGCCTGGAGACCAGGGAGTACATTGGACTCCAGCTTAACCACACCGCAGATCTCAGTGCTTCAAGTGTGGCTGATTTACCTAGGCGAATATTTGTATTTGTTCTATAGTGATTCTGGTGTCCGCAAGTCGCTAAGCAGATAGAACCCTGATTATACAATAGTAAACTATCGCTGTAATGGGAGGTCGTGCATTTGGTTATTTACCTGAGCGACCGAATGCATGCCCAGGAGCATGTGCTAACAGGAGCATGGAGAGTAGTTTCAGATGGCTCACACGTCGTCAATAGCGATCGTAGACAAAGACAAAAGGTGGGGACAGATTGGCAATCAGATCTTATTGCATCACGTAAAATATAACGTTTTATTTCTAGCTTGAAGTAGTTCAAAATCTCTAGCTGGCAATACTTGTATTAGTCCACAAGAAATGTGTCTACGATTTAAACGGGCCAACAATAAAGATAGCTCTTCGGCTATTTCTTTAGTCCTGTAATTAAGCCCGCCCATATAAAGTTTATTCGTACTCTCTTAAACGGAATGTTGTTTTCTGCGAAGATAAAACGACAACCCTTTGGCTAATCCAGAGGAAGGAAAACCTAAAGATCATGAATATTTCTTTAATTTCGTACACCTGAACCCACCTTGGAGAGTGGATAGCACGATGAACTCTGTTGGTAAATCTTTAGGCTTTAAAGAATGACTGTGTTTTGAATTCGCTAAGGTGAAATCCAGTTGATCTTAGATACTTTTCCTTTGTAAACTTAAGTATTTTTTACCAACTGAACAGTTTTTTCTCCGCGAAGAACGAATTGTAGGGTTGCTACCGCACACTTGATCCATCTTTATAATTTTTGCCCTCTTCGGCAAAACTTTAGCTGATGCTATTTTTTCTTTCACCTAAAGATTGGCTTATTCAAGAACGAATGACTTCCACCTTTAGTCGATACAAGCCATAATTCACATGCCTACGGATTTAATTTCCTACAAATTTTAGCTTCGCAGAACGCGACATTCAGATTAAGAGAGTGCGACTAATATATGGACTGCATTGCAGAATATGCCAAGTCAAAAGCACTAAAAACACTAAACCTCACTTCTACATTTCTATCCGTTCCCATCGCATTTCCTTCCTCCTAAGTAGATGCGTATTTCTTGATTCCTCTCCATTTGCGTGGGTTGTGACCCCACCGAAATGGTCCTTTTAAAATGGTGTCCATAGGCCTACCACTCCTTATAGCAATGCTGTTCACTCAATACATCTGCCAAGCGTCTCTTGGCACTCGCACCGCTATTTCTACCAATAACGACCTTTTTCCACCAACAGGAAACGTAAACCGATCCAAATGCGGGTGCGTCCAAAAAATAAATAATCTATTTAATCAGCTGCGTTTCTTTTGCACAGCTAAATTGTTATAACTTAAGCCAAATGAGCGAAAAACACGACTTGGAGCGCCAGCCCATACTCTACCAGAAGCGATGGTTTTCATTCCTTATGAGTAAGCGAGTTCCTCCCATCACGGGCCCCGAAGACCGAGTTGCCTACGACCACTCAGGCATTTTGAATCGACTTTTCTTCGTATGGGTGTTTCGTCTCTTGAAAGTTGGATATAAGCGTACAATAGAGGCCACAGACTTGTTCTACTTGCCACACGATATGAAGGTGGATCACCTCCATCGAAAGTTCGAAACGCACTTTGCTGCTCGACTTGCTCGCAGCTCATCGGGTGAGACAACTACATGGATGTTAATTTTATCATTATTTGATACTTTCAGGTTCCGGTACTTGTACGCGGTGGGGGCTTTGCTTCTCTGTGACACCGGGAGCTCGGCAATGCCGTTACTTTCCAGGAAACTCATTGGGTTTGTACAATCGAGACAATTGGGTGTCGACTCTCCTATTGGCAAAGGAATTGGGTATGCCTTAGGAACGTCCTTTGGATCTTTCACATGCTTTCTCTTTGCTAACCAGTACTTGTACTACTCGATCTTGACGGCGGCTCAGGTGAAGGCGATTTTAACCAAGTTTGTTCTCGCCAAATCATTTAAAGCCGATGCCAAGTCAAAGCACGATTACCCAGCATCTAAGTTGACAACCTTAGTAGCAACCGACTTGGCAAAAATAGAGTTTGGGATAAGATTTGCTCCACTATGTCTTACTTTCCCAATGACATTAATTGTTTGTATTACAATTTTGGCAGTCTATATCGGTGCTCCATCTGCTGTGGGAATCGGAGTTGTCATCCTATTCACTTTTCTTCTCTCAGGATTAAGTGCGTTCATGGTGAAGCTCAGAAAGAAATCATTGGTGTTCACAGATGAACGCATAAAGCTTATCAAGGAAGTGGTACACCACTTGAAAGTCATCAAGTTCTATTCGTGGGAGGTTCCTTACTACGACACCATAGTGAACGCCAGAAAGCAGGAAGCGGGAAAGTTGTACCATCTCCAGTTCATCCGAAATATTCTCATGGCATTTGCACTTACAGTATCCATCTTCGCATCGATGGCCTCGTTCTTGGTGTTATATACCACAGATAACCAAGGAAAAGATGCTGCAAACGTTTTTTCTGCAGTCTCATTGTTTGGACTTTTGGGTTTCTTCATCACAAACATTCCTCTTGCTGTAAGTACCACTGCCGACTGCGTTATTTCACTCGGACGGGTGGCAGCGTTTTTAAACTCCAAGGAAACCTCGATTTCTGCCAATGTTTCGATTCTTCCTGATGCATTACCTTCTGACTCCAGTAAGGATCAAATTGTCGTTGATGTCCAGAATGCTAGCTTCTGCTGGCACTCTTTCGAAGATGCCCCGACTGAGGAACCAACAAAGAAGACCAAAAAAAGTAACAAAACTAAAACCACCGAGTCAACCGCTACTGATGGATTCATCTTAAAGGAAATCAACATCAAAATCAATAAAGGAGAGTTCATTATTGTCACTGGGGTGGTTGGATCAGGGAAGACGTCGTTCCTCAATGCTTTAGCGGGCTTTATGACCAAGAAATTAGGATCCGTGGCCGTCAATGGATCCCTTCTTTTGTGTTCCACCAATTGGGTGCAAAATGAGACCATCAAAAACAATATTCTATTTGGGGATTTATTGGATGAGAAGAAGTACCAACAAGCAATTTACTCATGTTCCCTCAATGACGACTTCGAATACTTACCCGCTGGCGACAGAACGGAGGTTGGAGAACGTGGAATTACTTTATCAGGGGGGCAAAAGGCCCGTGTAAACTTGGCAAGAGCTGTCTACAATGACTACGATATCGTTTTACTTGATGATGTTTTGAGTGCTGTGGATGCCCGAGTGGGAAAGCATATAATGGAATCATGTATTTTGGGTACATTAGGTGACAAAACCCGAATCTTGGCTACCCACCAACTTTCCTTTATCAATGCAGCGGACAGAATTATCTTCATGAACGGTGATGGGTCTATTGATATTGGAACTGTTGAAGAATTGAAGGAGGCTAGTTCTGCTTTCATGAATTTGGTTTCTTATAGTTACAAAGATCAAACCACAGATATGAAGAAAGTCAGTGCGGATTTTGCAGCCACCGAGGAAGATGGAAATGACGAATTACCTGTTATTCAGGCTAAGGACTATGACTCGACAGGAAAGTTAATTGAAGACGAGAGAAGAGCTGTCAGCACCATAAGCTGGGATATCTATAAACAATATGTGAAGCTAGGATCCAAACCTTTCAATCCTCTTCTTTTCACGATTTTTGCGTTGTTGGGAATGTCGATAAGTGCCTTCTGTCAATTGTTCACAAATACCTGGTTATCTTTTTGGACAGAACAAAAGTTCGACAAGCCCGATAGGTTCTACATCGGAATCTATGTAATGTTTGCTGTGCTTGCCCTTTTGTTCATTATTACAGAGTTTCTCTGTTACATTCATGTGACCAACGTGGGTTCCAAACGCTTGAACATCAAGGCCGTCCAAAACCTATTGCATACTCCCATGTCATTCTTGGATACTACTCCAATTGGAAGAATTTTGAATAGGTTCACCAAAGACACCGATTCTTTGGATAATGAGATCATTGAGCAAGTGAGACTCTTGTCTCATTCTGCTTCATTGATTGTTGGAACTGTGGTATTATGTATTTGCTACTTGCCATGGTTTGCCATTGCCATTCCTATTCTTGTGACTATCTTTTTGTTCGCTGGCAGCTACTACCAAGCATCTTCAAGAGAAATCAAACGTTTGGAAGCAGTGCAAAGATCGTTTGTGTTCAACAACTTCAACGAATCGTTAACTGGTATGGAAGTTATCCAGGCATACGGCAGCGAACCCTACTTTATTGACAGAAATGATATGTTCATCGATAACATGAACGAGGCCAACTATCTTGTTAATGCAGTTCAAAGATGGTTGGCTATGCACTTAAATGTATTGGCATTTTTGTTTGTGTTAATCATCACATTATTGTGTGTTACTCAAGTATTCAACATCAGTGCTGCCTCTACCGGATTGCTTCTTTCTTATGTGTTGATCATGCCCAATCTCTTTACTTTGATTGTGCAGAGCTATACGCAGCTTGAGAATGAGATGAACTCAGTGGAGAGAATGTGTGAATTTGCCTTTGACCTTCCTCAGGAGAAACCTTACCATATATCTGAGACGGCTCCAAAACCATCATGGCCCAACCAGGGCCAAATAAAGTTCAATAACGTCTACATGGCGTATCGTCCCGGATTGCCTGATACTCTCAAGAACGTTAATTTAGATATCAGGCCTAACGAGAGAATTGGGATTTGTGGTCGAACCGGAGCTGGAAAGTCATCAATAATCCATGTTCTATTCAGACTTGGAGAGTTGTCGTCAGGGTCGATTGAAATAGATGGAGTGGATATTTCGACATTGGGATTAAAGGAGTTAAGGTCACATTTATCGATTATTCCTCAGGAAGCAGTGTTATTCAGAGGAACAGTCAGATCTAACTTAGACCCTTTTAAGAAGAGCTCTGATGAAGAACTCTGGAAAGTGTTGATAAAGGCTGGAATTTTGACCCCAGATGAGTGTGCTGGTACCAAGCCAAAAGAACAGACGCTGAAGTTTGATCTTGATGCAGTGGTTGAAGACGATGGAAATAACTTCTCTTTAGGAGAGAGACAGTTGATTGCCTTTGCTAGGGCTTTGGTGAAGAACTCCAAGATCTTGTTCTTGGATGAAGCCACATCATCGGTCGACTACAAAACCGACTCCAAAATACAAAACATTATTGTTGAACAGTTTGGTGATCGTACTATTTTGTGCATCGCTCATCGGTTGCAAACAATTCTAAACTATGATAGAATTATTGTCATGGACAACGGAGAGGTCAAAGAGTTTGACAAGCCATGGACATTGTTTCAAAGACAAACGTCTATTTTCCGGTCATTGTGTGAAAAGGCAAAGATTACAGCCAATGACTTTGTTTAACGATTACTATACACTTAAATATTTCATTATTTCATTTTCTTCTTGTAGTCAGCAAATGAAAGCTTCTTTTTGACCATGGGTTTCTCAGATGGTTCGGCTGGTATTGGAGGTGGTGTGACTCTCTTCTCCAAGTTGAGGTTCAATACCTTATTAATCTTGGTCAAGTTGTTGTCGGTCAATTTTAACTTAAGCTCACTTAAGCTCTTCTTGATTTCGGGCTTCACCTGCACTTCTGCCTCAACTGTTTTTTCAACCTTGGCACTGATTCCAGTACTGATAGGAACCAAGTCCAAGACTTTATCGTTATGGTACTTGCCATCGATTACTTCTACCGAATTATCGGTCAATTTGACGAGTTGGTTTTTGATAATGATATCCTTTATGGTATCCCGCAGGACTTCTTCATCATCGTCAAATTTGATTACTTTAGTAGGCGTAGGAACAAAGAGTTTGGTCTGGATGAATTCCTCTCTATTGTGCAATCTCTGTTCCCACGGTACATAGGTTTTGGGTTCTTTTGGTATAATCAACTCATCTTTAGGTTTGTACATGTTGACATTTATAATACCAGATACCTTCCTAGTTGCTCTTAATAGGTAAGAAATTGCCTTTCTCACTTTAAAAACTGCACAATTGGGTAAGTACAGTGGGGTGTTTGTGGTTGTTGAACATCCACATTCGGTGAAGTAGAGCAAATTGTCAATGGTAGTGATGAGCAAGGTCTTTTCTTTATCTGACAATTGATCAAATTTAAGTCCTTCAATGTTCTTTGATTCATCACCATACATCTTTCTGATCGGATGTGCCTCGTCCCATTCCCAGGGTAAGCGAAGCTCTTCTTCAGAAGTCTCCTGATCCAATTTGATATCCTTAGACGTCACAACCAAAAACCTAAAGGACTTTGCCTCAGGAATATAGAAAGCTTTAACCTCACAATTAGCAGCTGGAGGACATGCCTTTCTGATGAACCTTGTTTCATTGCCAACAAATCTTGAATCCAATACCACATCAAAGTCTTTAATTTGCTTACCCTTATCAATAAACGATAATGAGGTCTTCAACACTTTTGGTTTAGTAGTTCCCCACACATTGTACTGGTTTGGCTTATTATCTCTATACTGAGAAAACTCGTTCAACACGCCAAAGTATTCCAAAATTGGAGTTCCTTTGGGTATTAAATCCTCAAACGCTTCTTTACTGCCCTCTCGTTGTGCTTGAACAAATAAACTCAACTTTGAAATTCCATTGAACTTTTGCTTCTGAGAGTCAGAATACTGTTTAACTTGAATATACACATTTGGAATCTTAATGGGTTTGTTGTGAGCTTGCATGTGCGTCTCATGATTGGGGAGTTTCACGTACATCCTTGGAATGGCCTTGAAATTCTTCAAAGTCACAACTTCAATATTAAGCTTCTCTTTCTCATCCTCAGAGAGCTGTTGGAACAGATCGTAAAACCTGTCTCCTAAATCTTCAAAATGCTTCTGTGACTGATGGTTCAAATAGTCATTTGATCTCAACTTATAGTAAGTGCTCTGGTAACTCTCAGCAGTATACCCATCGTCTAACAATTCATTATCTTCGTTTGGAATGAAGTCAGGAATCTCATCAACTGCTGAGGTAGGATTAGAAAAATCATCTCGAAGTTGTTTCCTCCTATCCTTGGGTCTTTCTTGATTTGGATTCAATCTCAGCTTTTTCTTATCTCCAACCCTCCCAGAGGTTGAAACTTTTCTTTTGTTGCCTGGTTTGGAAGTTGACACATCTTGATTATCATTATCTTGTTGTAAACGAGTGACGGTATTGTGTCTACATTGTTCTGGATCAAACTTGCCCCACTTTTCTTTGTCACAAAAATAACATTTGTATTCGTCTTCAGGAACCTCTTCGTTGGTGGAATAATCCATGCACAAACAATGCTGCCATCTGTAGCAGATATCACATTGAATGGTGAACCCGTCATCATCGCTGATTCCACATATGCACCCAATAACCCCGGAGTCTGGTTCTACTTTGTACTCCAGTAACGGTGGGGCCACATAGTCTTTACTAACTAGGGGTTTGTCATCGTTATGTGGAGTAGGTGCTACTACTTCAGGAATTTCTGGCTTTTTCCCAGGCACCACATGTTCCTGCTTGTGCACCACATGTTCCTGCTTGTGCACCACATGTTCCTGCTTGTGCACCACATGTTCCTGCTTGTGCACCACAGGTTCCAGCTTAGGCACCACAGGTTCCTGCTCTGGCACCTCAGGCTTCTTTTCTGTTTTAACACCCGCCTTATCGGCAACAACCGGTGACTTTATAACCTCGTGCTTGATTTCCCTTCGTACTGCTTCTTCATGCTTGAGAAGCGGCAAAGGATTATCAGCCGCTTGGGCCAATGCAGCAGCTGCAATAATGGAATTATTGTTGGTCCCATTACTGGAACCCCGTGCAAGCACCACACTCGCTGGACCTGGCGACAAAGCGTGGGTAAGAGAAACAGTGGTACTTGGTACCGAGCTTGTGCGCCTATGAGCTGGTACGTGAAGAGATGCCTCTTTTGAACCAGGCTCCGAAACCGACGAGTGGGCAGATACATGGGTTGACACAGGTACCAGACTGCTTGGTGGGCCGAGCTGAGAGGTCCCGTTTATGTTATTGGTGGTGCTGGCTGTAGTTGGAGGTGAGGGAACAGCGGCAGCACCAGTTGTTTGGCCAGCAACACTGGGAAATTGGACTTGATGAACTTCCGCAGGAGGTAATGCTGTGCGGTGATGAGGAGGTAGGTGGTTGTATGGCGTGTGATTGATGTATATCTGCCTCACAGGGTCAAACACCGGGTGCTTCACATATGGTGGCTGAGAAACAGCCAGTTGAGTTGCAGGTTGTGGAGGGAGTGGTGCTTGTGGCAGCGTAAACAGCCCCAGTCCAACGGGATGGTGAGAACCCAACTGCGGCACAACTGGCGGCGAGGGGGTGTTTTGTCGGATTTCTTGCTGTTGTTTAGCGGCTACGTTTGCAAACATTAGCAACGTAGAAGCATCTTGCAAAAGCTGGTCCTGACTATTGCTCAGGTTCGGGGGGTTGCTCATGCTTTAGTGTGAAGAGACAAGGCACTAGGAGATGTCTGTTGGGCTACCGATGAGGTATTCCTAAAAACACTGGTAAAGATGTGATATAGTGTAGATTTATAGATTTTTTTGCGGTGCGCACTTTGGTTAAACGATCGTACTTTTCATTGTGGGACTATTTAGATTCTATGTACAAGCACCAAGCACACTCCAATGTCAGCCAATGTCAGCCGACGTAAGCCATCAAGTGGTATACATGTAATGACTGACCGTCGTAAGACTATTGGGTCAGCTGAGCGCTAAAGGTATTCTGAAGCACTTTCGTTGTGGAATTCCGGGGCAGCTGAACAACACGGCTGGGGTGCTCCTATGATGCCGCCTGGTCGTTACTGCCCTTCTTCTTGTCCTCCTTCAACCGCTCAAGGTAATCCAACTCTTTTCGTAACGTATCCATTGCATAGTACACTTTGGACTGTAAGTAGAATGAATTGCCCTTCTCCTTTGAGTTAACCTCGAACAAGTACTTGTACTTCTCGTCGACCTTATCCAACGACAACTCCTTACGGTCCAAATCAAGGATTTTGAGTGATTCGTCTACTGGTATTCCTCCTATACTCTGAGACTTTGCCACTGAGTTGGCAGCAGACGAGGCGCTCACCTTGGCGGCTTGCTTGTAGGCCTCCGTGAATGCCCTGCCAAAGACGGAGGCGCCCGTGAATATCACGTTCATTATTAACCTGTGGGCCATTTGTGATGTTGTTGTGGGATGACTGGATGATGAATAAAATTTTTGAAGGTCGAGGATGAGTGCGAATTAGAGACGGTGTGAGAGACTGACCACAGACAACACAAGTATTTCTATTTGTACAAGATGGATGGACTCAAAGTGCACAAACAGAAAGACTGCAAGGATAAGCACATCTAGACGGTGGACACAGGGGTAAAAAGCAAAGGCACACAGGGTGTAAACCCACTAAAGGCACAATACGCAGAGACAGAGAAAAAAATGTAGCACAATGAATTAATCTGACAAAATGGGCTGGCCGCCAACGCCACCAGCATTATCAGAACTGGTCTAAAACATAAAGTGCTATCTATTCTAAAAGACCGGAAACGGAGTGTTAATTGTGGCCAATCTGTTAAAAAGGTCAAGAAACACTTAGCTGAACGCCGTACCTAGCTCACACAATCACTCATGTGGTGTACTTAAGATACGACTAGGGTCTTTCGGTAGTTGTACTAAAAGTACAAGTTATATATCTATTAAGAGATAGTATAACCACTACTGATGATTAAAGAAGAAGAAGAAAAAAAATTTCATTTTTGCGGGCTTCTATGTTATTTATATCGCGACAGTTGTCCGGGTTATGCTCATCTCAGTTGCGAAAATCGATTTAGCTTTGTATCGTTAAACATAACGCTATGGCAACTCAACACCTTGAAAGCTACCATAAGTGGCTTTTGGAAAATGCGTTCTGGAATGACGAGGTGGTGGAGACCAAAACTTCATCAATTGGTGGTGTTGGGGTATTTTGGAAGCATCCTGACATGTTGGAAGATTCTCTTCTCGACGGAGTGTTACTTAGAGTACCCAAATCAAACATCTTATCCTCCAAGAATTCCCTGATCTATAACTTGCTTGTGGATCACCAAGAGATCTACGGCGACATGGTCCCTGATATCAACCTTAGTGAGGGAATGCACTCATTGATTATTGCATTTGTGTATGAATTGTCTATGGGTCAGTCTTCGCCCTGGTACGACTACTTGAAGGCAATTGATCCACAGGCCACAAACATTGAATTGCCAATCTGTTTGTGGACCCATACACAAAGAGAATTGCTCAACAATACCGAGTGCAAAACCTTGGGAATGCTCCACATGGACGAATTGGTAGCTCTTTTTGAGGAGTGTATCAGGTTTGCCAAAAACAACGCCAAATACGTTGATATACCGTCTATTTTTAAAATAGAGCTGTCGGTCAAGGACGACCAGAAGTTTGCTGAGTACAAGAAAAACCTAACAGTGTTTGGAGCTTGTATCCAATCGGTAGTGTCGAGAGCTTTCCAGGTGGATGATTTCCATGGTCCTTCCTTGGTACCAGGTGCTGATTTGTTTAACCATTTATCGCCTACAATCGACGATGAAGGGCAAGTCATCGAAAGAGAGAACGTCCATTTTGTGTGTGATGGGGGTGAAAATGTATGTGGAGAGTGTGGAGAGCATGAATGTGATCATATGTTTGAGGACAGTGATGAGGACGATGACAGCGATGAACATCTCGAGGAACATGAACACCAGAATGGATGCCCATGTTCTGACCAGGAAGATGGCAACAACGGGGATGAAGACATAGATGTGTCAGCAGTGGAGTACAGTGATGTGGAAGTTGAGGAGTCCGAGGCCGAGCAGGAACTGGAACAAGAGCTGCAAACTGACGAGGTGGGCGACGACTCCAGCTCGGACTCAGAGGTGGGTGAAATCACCATGGAGCTCATTCAACAGCTCGAAAGAGAAGAGAATGAAGATAGTGACAGCGACGAAGAAAGTGAACCAGCCGAAGACAATTTCATTGAAGACACCAATAGTGATGCTGATACCACTGTCAACCAAGACTTGAAAATGCAACTCTTGGATAGTTCCAAGTGTGTGGATATCGTATTAACAAGCTTACCTCTGGCTGAGTACGACTTTGAGGTGTTCAATACATATGGAAATGACCTTCCTAATCCTTACTTGTTGCAAAGGTATGGATTCGTGTGCAAGCCCAACGAGGCCAACATCAATGACTCATGTCTGTTACAGGAACAACTTACCAAGTATGTTTCTGGTCTTGAGTCGAGAAGCGGCACCAATAAGGCCAACCAGCTAAAAGCCAAACTCAGTTGGTTGGAGCTGAATTTTGACTTGGTGGCAGAAATCGTTCACGAAGTCAGCCGAGCCCAACTAGACGATGATGACGACGATGAAGACGATGAGGATGATGATAATGATCCAGAAGATGACGAGTACAATTTTCCCGAAGACTGGAGACTGTCTGTAAAAGTCCATTTCAACGGCAGTCTCAGCATTCACACATTTTTGATCTTGCGATTAATTCTACTCCCGTTCAAAATTTTCTACCTCAAATTGCATAAGTGTAGGAAGTCCAAACTAGACCAGCAGATCGTGAAGTATTTATTGGACACCGACTCCTACGAAACTGAAATCAACAAGATCTTAAAGGGATGGTGCGAGAACAAACTAAAAGGATATCCGCTGCTAAAACCTCTCAATCACAAGCATGAGAACTCCACCGATATTGTGAGATTTGAAACGACTAAGAACTTGGTTGAGCAGGAAGTAGCAATTATTGAAAGAGCCCTTTCTGTTCTTTCCTAATGGTGCTTCTGGTTGCACCAGTGCACTTTTTCGCAGTAAAAGTTTCCGCATCTATTTGTAAAACACCAAGTCCCGTATCACTAAGATTGCCAACCAACATTTATATACCTGTTTAGCCTGGTTTTAAATCAACCAACATACCCATTACCTATGTCAGAAGAAGAGTATTCGGGCGCCAGTGACGACTTTGAGTTCGAAGACCAAGTCTCAGACTTTTCTTTTGATAATGAGTCTCAAGACGGATACGCATCAGACACTAGCGAGAAACAAATTGACCACCCCAGCAATGCCCTCAAGAGCAAAACCCTACGGAATAAGGATGTGGAATATTCAGTATCAACATTAGAGGACTTTGTATTTGACGAATTCATTTTGTTGGCCAACCGGATCCAGCTGCAACTTTTAGTGATGGACTTTGATGAAGTGTTGATGATGCTACATCACTGCAAGTGGCAACAGGAGGAACTAATGGACCGGTTCTACGACAACAGAGAAAAACTTTTGGCTGACTGTGGCATAAACAAGTCCAACGATACTGTTTGTGGATTCAATCATGTGAGTCTGTTTCTGTGTTCTATCTGCTGTGAAGACTACAGTGCAGTGGAAACGTTTTCCCTTTCATGTGGACATGAATTTTGCATCAACTGCTACGGCTCGTACGTGCGCACAGAAGTTACACTAGGAAACTTGATACGGTGCATGATACCTTCGTGCAACTTGAGTATTCCCCATATGGTTGTACAGGCTATCTACGATAAGTCAGATAAAAAACTACCTGATTTTGGTGCCGTCGAAGTCCAAAAGCCCTCCAAATCAAGAGACAAGACTCACGGTGAGTACAGCCACAACGTGCTTCTCAAAGCTGCTACAATATCCCATATTCTGGGGAGAAAGGTAAACTATAAATGGTGCCCGGCCCCAGACTGCGATGGTCTTGTCCATTTGCTTAAGGCTCGCAAAACAGGCCAGTCCCGATTGGAGGATGTAAACGAGTTTGAGGAGCTAGTTGACAGTGAGAGTGCTGACCTCCAGTCGATTCCCATTGTTTTGTGTCCCAGAGATCATGAATTCTGCTACGCATGTCAGTACGAAAACCACTTACCGTGCACTTGTTTGTTGGTGAAAAGGTGGATCAAAAAGTGCAACGACGACTCAGAAACCGTCAACTGGATCGATGCCAACACCAGGGCGTGCCCGCTGTGTACCGCATCCATCGAGAAAAACGGAGGATGTAATCACATGACGTGCTCGACGTGCAAACATCAGTTTTGCTGGATATGCCTTGGAGAATGGTCTCTCCATGGCACCAACTACTTTCGGTGTAATTCGTTCCTGTCTGATATGAAGGAACAAATAGGTGAACAGAAAAAGGTCAAGAGAGAGAGCCTTCAAAGGTATCTACACTATTACAAGCGGTTTGCTCTTCACGAGTCATCCATGAAGGGAGACATCAAGACGTTGGACAAGGTGCACCAGAAGATGTCGATTTTTATGGAGGAGCAGCTGAAGACCAATCCCAACATTCTATCGTGGATCGATGTTCAGTTCCTTCAAGACGCATTCCGGGCCTTGACTAGTGGACGTAAGACATTGAAATGGGCTTACTGTTTCGGATTTTACCTCCAAAAAGGAAACTATGCAGATGTGTTTGAGCAGATCCAGGAGTACTTGAGTCGAAGTGTAGAGGACTTGTCAAAGATATTTGAGCAGATCATTCATAAGGATAATCGAGGTAAAAGCACAGCTATTATTATGAACCAGAAACTAGACATTATGAACTTGAGTTCGTTGATCACGAAACGACGTAAGACTTTGATGGAGTGTGCATCGAGCGGTCTTGCCGATGGGCTCTTGAAGCTCGAGATGTTATAGGAATCCGAATCTTTAGTGAGGTAACCATGTTCTACCATACAATACCCATACTGAATATGCTGGTCTATACCCAAGTATTTTACATTTTACATTTTTGAATTCTCACTCTCTCAATGGCTATTCCAATCTAATCTCTTATCTTCAAATGAAAAACAGCTATCACTGCGGCTTATCGCCCAAACATTAAAATTAATGAATTGGACCCAATTCACAATTACATGATCCATCTCCTTCACCAGTACCACTAGCATTCATGTCTGATCTAGAAGAGTCCCGTCGAAGTCGGAGTCGGGTCAGGGGTGGTCTTAATAAACTGTTTCGCATCCAAGACGAAACTATTCACACCTCCACTAATGTCAAACAACCACTGGAAGCATACCATGACAGGCCACATAGATCTCTATCCCGCCTAAGCCAAGCCACATCAACCCGAAGCACCAACTCCGACAACCAGCTCCTCCAACAAGCCCTCCAAAACCAAAATCTACGAAACTCGGAATCTCATAAGCTTACAGGTAAAGCCCACCCCAAAGCACTGGATATCACCATAGACGTGCGACCTGCCATCAAGAGATGGAACTCCATCCAGTATCTCCCCCAAGATTCCAAAGAACCAAAGAACATCGGTGATCCCACCAGTCTTTCCCCGTTGACAGTGATAAAGGACCAATACAATACCAGAATGCCGGTCAGCAACTATGCTGCTGCCACAGACAACTACTATCGGGATCTCGATGGGAATGATGCTCCTCCACAACCACAGCCAATTAAAGACCTCAAACTAGCAGAGGTTTCTTCTCCTCCTCCAGATTCCATCACCAACAAAATCTACAATAAAATGGTCAAACTCTTACATCTGAGCAACACCAGCACCTTCACAGATACGGATCGGCTTCTAGAGTCAGGCCCGTCTCTCCATCCAAAGTCATCTTTGGCAACAAACACCACCTCGCTTCTGAAGTACCAGAGCGAGCTGGATGACGAATCGGAAGAAGACTTAACCACGGCAGATAGAGACGAAGCGTTTGACTCGTGGGCGTCTCCCAACGTGAACTTGAACGAAGGCACTGTGCTAAACGACATCAACATCAACAGTATCATGGATGAAATCAATGACTTCCAAAGTAACTTTGTAAGGAAGTACAACGCTACCACCCCTCAGGACGAGTTGGTACTGTCATCAAGTCGAGTTCAGCAAAAGATCTTGGACCACAGAGACTTGCACAGTCAAGAGAGCGATCCAGTCTCGAGCTCTTCCAGCTATTTCAGTCTTAAGCTGATCAACTCTTCGCTCAATCAGATGTTTGGAGACCACAACTTCAAGATCCAGCATGAAACCATCCTGCTGCAATATAACCAGATTCGATTTCGATTCGCCTGCAACACTGATATCAGCTTGTACACTATTGGTGGAGAGCCAGTGGATAGTTGTGACAAGTCCATTCTTTCGTTGAGATCGAATATTGGTCCGTTGGGGTTTTTGAACAGGCAAAAACTTCTTGCTTCGCATGGACTTGGGGTGCTAGCTCAAAGCTCCAGCTCTCCCGAGTGTCATACAGACCTTGGCATCGGTGACACAGATGCGTACCTCAAAGAGCTTTGGAAATCTGAGATGGACAGCCTTTTCCCAGAAACACAAGCCCCCAAAACCCCACAAACACCGCAGTTCAATGAGGGAACAGCTCTTCCCAGTCCCATTCAGCTGCAGAGGCCCGACTCCACAGTCCGGTTGTCGAACCGCTCATCATTCGAAGTGATCAAGTCAAACACCAGTTTTGCTGAGCTTGCTGGTAAAGTGAGGTTGCAAAACTAACCTCCATAGAAGATTTATTACACAACTGTGGAAAAACTCTTGTAGACATTTATTCCTCTGCTATTAGTATCCAATTATAGGCTGTTTGTATACTGTTCCCAATTATATTTGTGTTCTTCCACAAACCTGCTGCAAATTGGTTGGCTTAGAAAGTGCGACTCGAATTATTTACCAGTCTTGTCACTATCCTCATGAGCAAACGGTTTAATTTACCTTACACAACCCAGGACCTTTTCCCGCCAGATCTCAGCATGCCTTCGTTTCTGCAAACACGGCCCGATTCAATTTCAGGTTCATCAATGGTTTCCAGCTTGCCGTTTACACCAGTCCCCAATTCGTATTCCACCTCATCAACATTTGCGAACGGTACTTCCAGCTCTAATTCTACCCAATCCCTCCACAAAATGTTTAAACGGTTCTTCAAGCCCAAGACACTCGACTTTGAGACCGCCATGTGGGAGATCTTCCAACTCATCATAAATCCCCGCAAAATGTATCGATCTCAGTACTACTATAAGCAATATCAGACCAGCGGGAAGAACAACTATGCCCGAGACGACCCATCATTTTTGATTCTCTTGACCTTGTTTCTCAGCATAAGTGCAGTGGCGTGGGGGTTGGCATACTCGCCACATGCACTAGACATTTTGAAACTCATTGTTTACATGGTGGTGATAGACTTCTTCTTGACGGGGATTATGATCTCGACCATCAGCTGGTTGGTCTCCAACAAGATCTTCAGCAACTCCTGGGGCGTCACCTCACAAAATCGGTACAATGTCAACTACATCGAGTGGAGTTTCTGCTTCGACGTGCACTGCAACTCGTTTCTCATCATCTGGTGTCTCTTGTATTTGGTGCAGTTTATTCTCCTACCAATTATCACCATCAAGAAGTCGTTCATGTCGCTCTTATTGGCCAACACCCTTTACTTTGTGTCAATCGGCTACTACTTTGTCATAACCTTCTACGGATTTAATTCGTTGCCGTTTGTCAACACTCAGAGCATCAACTCCAACAACCAAAATGACAGTCCGGTAAGAACTATGCAGTTGATTCTCGTGGTGGGAATCTTGCCAGCATTGGCAGTGACATGGTTCTTGAGCTTGTGTCTAAAGATCAACGTGGCATGCATTATGATCGACTTGTACTTCAACTAGGGTGCTGTTTGTGTATGCTATAACCTATGTACTTACCGTTTGGTCTGAGCAAGTTGGTCCAACTTCTCGCTGGCAGCTTTGATTCTCATGTTGGTTCTGTTACTTAATTCGTAGTCTCCCGTATCACTAATAGTACTTGCTTTCTTCAACCAGCTCTTACTTTCATTCGCAACATCTTGTACGTCAAACTCGGGCTTACTGGTCTTTAACAACCACACAAACATCGTCTTCTCGTACAAGACCGTGGGGCACAAGTAGGGACTGTAGTTCAACCGGTTGAACTTGAAGGGGGAGTCCAGAACTACGAATTTGGAAATGACATGCGAGTCTAGCACACTCAATCCGGTGGAAATCTCCCCCAATGACCGAAGGCATAACGATTGCAAAAAGTATCTGATCATGGCTTCGTCTTCGGTTTCAGGGATTACGGCGTACCCAGCTTCGGAGTATGGAGTGCCTTCATCACCTGAGTACCCCAATAATTTAATAGCCATAAGCAATTCTTTTGTACCCATGCGATTGTATGCGTTCCAGAAGTACATCAACTCATGGATGATAGATGTTCCCATGAGGTCCACAAACGCCACATCCGGATACTGCTTTTCCCGCTCCTCTAATTGCTTGTACTTCCTCAAAACAAACTTATCAAATGGAAGCTGTTTGTTTCCGCCTCCAATCCCACCTTTTCTACCTGTGGCATTGGCCCCGTGTCCTGGAATATAAGTGGGGGCTAACTTGATATACTTCTTTGCCAATTGAGCGTAGTGCTTCAACTTTTCGGCTTTTTCCTCCTCCGTATCGTACTCAACCAACCCCATTTTAATCATCCGGTACTTTGCTGCGTACGAAGACCCACACATGAGCAAATAAGCACTCTTGCACCACGAACTCATGTCTATCAACAGGAGAAAGTCTCTGGCGGCAAGGTCAAACTCATGGTCAAAGCAATAGAAGGTTCCTCGGTCAAACACCAATAATGATTCGGCCTGTTGCATCTGGATCTTGTTGTTCGGATCGTCTGTAAACCCTTGCATCTGTTCAATGGCCTTCTTCAATTGTCCGTGTGATGCTAACACACGGCCCTGCTGTAACACCCACAACGCATTATGAGGGAAAATGGTTCTGGCCTTATCCAACAATTGGGGTGTGTAGAAGTCCGGGTTCATCAAGATCTTGTCGAGTTCACTATCGGAAATCGAGGTTCGGGCCCCAATATCAATGATGACAGAGACATTGGCATTGGTGTGCTCTGGTAATTGAAATCCTTGATCCACAAACTGCACCGGCCCGTCGTAAAATACCAACAAGCACAACAACGCAAGGTCTCCATGGATGTTCCGACAGGTAATAGCATTTCTCCAGAGAAGCCTCAACCCTACGTCTCTCTCTCCTTTGAATCCCACAATTGCCAATACCTTCCCAATGGTTGGGGGGATCAATGAAAGCACCACCTGGAGAATCCCAAAGCAAAGCTGCACCCCCGAGTGGATGAACTCGTCGATGGTCGAGACATGCAAGTAGGTGTCGTTTCTTTCAGTAGAAGATTCGGTCAAAATAGAGGCACCCCCATAGGAATCAGCATAGTGAGGATCGGTCACCGAAGTTGTCAAGTCGGCCGACTCATCTAAAGTATCGAGAGCATCCGAGAACTCATCGTCATCCGAGTCGTCGTCATCAGCACCGGTAGCTGGAGCCTCATCGGTTCTAAAGGCAGTATTGGCTTCAGCTCGAGGAGAAACACCTCTTTGGTGTCCAGTCATCAAGGAGCTCTTCTTTCTCGTCAACGACGCCGCCGACAGTGTGGCCGAGAAGTTGGCAAATAAGTTGACTTTCTTGGGGTCGATAGAGTTACCGAGGTTCGTACCTTCGACCCGGGACTTTCTCATCTGGAAAACAGCCTCCAAATCCTTCATCAACTTAAAGTCTGGAGGTAACGTCGACGTCTTCTCATCCACAAGACCAGGCAAGTCGACGGAGCTCACACTACTATTATTCTGAAACACCTTGGAAGACTGTTTTCTCAACCTAGAGAGGTTCCTATTGAAAATCGGCTCCAGGTCTTTGATTCGCTTATAAACCGCATCCAACGTGTGGTATGCCTTCCGTAACTTGTACAAAGCCTTGGCACTCTCCACCACCCCGTTGTTCTCCTGCAACAACATCAAGAGGGCATTCAATAAGGTGGATTCAGCATGGGTCACTTGAAACTCGGTTCCTGGCGGATAGATATAGGAAGTCACGAGGTTGTACCTGACGTTGTACTTTGCATTTTCTACCAGGGCGCTTTCGGCCCCCGATAACGTTTGGTGGGCTTTAGCCATGACCTCCGGCTCGAATCCCAAGGTGGCTTCAATGAACTCCATCACTCCTAATGCCAAGTGGAAAATCCCTACCGGTTGGTCGGACTCCAGGGTTTTGTTCTCCTGCAACTTTTTCTTCAACAAGTCGGTTCCTTCGGACGATCGGTCGTCAAGCAAGAAGTCCATGGCCTTTAGAGCCACCTCGAAGTCATGGACTTGTTTCAATATAGGTCCGTATAGTTTATCGTCATTATTGCTACCGAGCAGGTGTTGCAGCAGCTGGGATGATAACAGAAGCAACAGCGCTTTCTTGCGTAAACCTTTCAACATCATGCAACAAAGTGTGACAAGCGGGGTGTCTGACGATGACGGGGCAACTCTGAAAATATGGTGATACTTTAGTTATGGTTTAAGGTGTCACTCGTTGATCTGACGAGGCTACGCGCGACGCAGCGGGCGTGTGCAGGGTCCAAACCTGCCAATTGGTGTTTCAACTTTGCGTTGGCGATGTTCACTCCTTCGGCCTTTAAAAACATCACCTGGAAGACTTACATGGTGTACGGCTCGTTTTGTGGAGCCATGTTTGTGCATGTGTTCTTTTTTTTCCCTGAGACAAAAGGAAAAAGATTGGAAGAGATTGGCCAGATGTGGGATGAGAAGGTTCCGGCCTGGAGATCCAACAAATGGGAGCCTTCGATTCCAGTGTTGGGAAGCCACTTTGACGATGAGAAGGAGCATGTGGAACACGTGGAAGGGTCGGATTCCTCATATAAGGAGCAGTAAGAAATATTTTGTGTTTGGTTTTATCGGCTGTGAAATAGTCATTTTCTCTTGTTGAGAGGTTTTGCATTTTGAATTTAGCACACGTTGGTGTGCTTGTTGAGACAGATAAATAGGGTATTATAGAGATGAGTAATGATGTAATATAAGTCACGTGAAGAAACCCGTTTCAAGGCTAGAGGTAGTCACTGGTCATATGATGGTGGTTATGTCTTTTTCCTTGGTGTTTTTCCGATTCGTGTGCGTGTAAATTCGATGCGGTGATAATCGAACCACCGCACTCGATCAAGTATTTTCTCTTCGTTGTTTAGCACTTGTTAGTGTTGCATAGCGTCACACAGTCTCGTAACCAAAACCAATTGTGTCATCATACTTTATAGACAGACAACTGGATAAGTGGGTATTTTGAATTCTCTTACATTTAGGTGGTAATTTGGGATGCAAAAAAATGAGAGGTAGTTAGTGAAAATCTAAAGTCGGCATGATGTCATTACAATGTTTTATTACAATGTGTGATTATACTCATTACTCAAATCACAAAACATTTATTAACATAGTACCAG